GTAGTAAGAAGATAGAGGGTTGTTTCTAGATACTCTATACTGCTTTTAATACAGTGGGATATTTATATTCTTTTTTCTCTATAAAACTGCCTGAGCAATTACCATATGATACTGCATATAACTATGAGTTTGACGAGTACAGAGAGCTGCTCCTTAGAGTCAAAAGTAAAGAGAATCATACCTAACTAGAAAATGATTTCACCTATAGCAGCAGTATGGCAATAATGAATAAATATTTTTACTCCATTTCTTACTCTTCTAATAGTGAGCCTTAATATTCAAATATCTTTCTGAACAAGGCTTTTCTATGAAGAAGTGTACTGCTCTACACTGCAAAATAGGTAGTATCATTATGATGATACCTTATTGATACCGTAATGATATCATATTGAGTTTTTGAGTACTAACAAGGAATCAAATTTCGATATCTGAGTTATACATCAGGGTATCAAAATGTTGAGTTGTCGGAAATCAACATTTTGACTTTTAAGATATCAACATTATTGATATTTCAGGTATCATAATGCTATCAACAACTATAGCTTCCAATAAAATCGCTAGTCTTTAACAGGCGTTTCTGGCCGTATCCGATTAGATTGCTGTGCTGCAGTTCGCGATAACCATTTTCGGTTTGATATCAAGTAAAGCTGCTACATAGACTTCGTCACTAGTTGATTGCATGCAGATGCTATCGCCAAATTCTTCTCCCATCGCTTGGATCGGATCTTGCTGTGGCATGCCCACTGGATAATAGCGCCGCTTCTTCACTTGCATTATTGAATATAACCCATTATCACTTTTCATCGTACGGACCATATTTGGAGAGCCAAAAAGCGAATCGGCAATTATCGTTCGCCCAGAATGAAACCAAGGTTGCGTTAATCGTGATACTGTAGCCACCAACTTCTTCTCGTATTTATCTTCAAATTGCCTTTGAACCCATTTGTCGCCAGTCATGTCAAGACGTATAATACAGCAAGTATTCGTGTCTGCCGTAGTCTTGTACTCCTGGCCGATAGGATGTGGCTTTCGAGGTATTTTGATCAAGTTCGGCATTCCAGCGCCTGGCCATTGGTTCATTGATTCATCCACACAGAGATACTGGCCTGGTATCAGCGCTTCTGCTAAGTTATCGTTGTAAGCTTGCAGAAACCCTCGTATTTGATACAATGAATCATCATTTCTCCTTGAACATGACAAGCACAAATATATTAGTTAGCCTAATAAAGTTGGAGCATCATCTATAGTGAATGTACCTTGCAACATCCGGTCTAGTGAAGATATGCATTCGTGTTATTTCCTTGAACCGGTCTTTGGCCATGTAATCAGAGAAGCTCATTGTTAGTTGGAACGGAAAACTTCCTTGGTGCCAATAGGCGTCATGATCGTCGATGCGTACGGTCGTCATAATTATAAAAAGTGCAATCCAGATGAGATATTCAGAATAGGTGATGTCTTGGAAACGAGTCAAGTTGGAACGCGCGTTTTCATTAATGGCAGCTATCACAACATTTTTGATGTATGATTCAGGAAGAAACCGTAGAAAGTATCGTGCAGGTGATGCTGTTTCTTTTTCGTGCAAATTCAACTCTGTTTTTCCTCTATATGAAGATACAGGGTTGACGACACGGGTATCGATATCCACCTCTTTAATTTGCCAGCAAAGATCTGCTTCTACATTTTCAGGCGCCTCATTCTCTGAATCGTCGTCGACCACGTCATCCCAAAAATCGTGTGAGACATCATCTTCTTGCTGATGGTTACTACTGCTCCCTGGAGGTCTTGTGTTTGTTGCTGGTTGTCTTGTTGCCGCGATGGCGAATGGTTCATCTGGCAGTATATCCAGTACAACGGTCCATGCTGGTTTTCCTTCGATATCTGACGCCGACCTTACAATTTTCCCCTTAGAGCGATAACCGGGAGAGTCGACTGGTGCTATCCTTCCAATCCGCTAGTACACTGTTGTTTTCTGTAAAAAGCGCGGTGCTATAGATATAGTTGCGTTGTCTTTAAGATCTAGTGAAGCTCTTGGCATTTTAAACCATTGGATTGCAGTAAAAGAGGCAGCATATTGCGGTGTTTCAGGAATAACGCTAAGTAAAATAAATACATCAGTTGGAAAGAACCCAATAGTTTAAACCAGTATATGCATGCCAACCTTACTTCTCAACGCTAAAAACAATGCATAAACAAAAACTACACGGGTGAGAAGAGTAAGATTGCTGTTGAAAGAATGCATTTATTTTATTTTTTTCATTTGCCCAACAGTTTCGAAAAAAGTCCAATTTTGGACTCCATCTTTATAATCCATTAAAGATACCGAATTTTGCCTTTTTTATATACATGATGGGTTCGGTTCTTCGGTTCGATTCTTCGGTTCTACGGTTCTCGTCGGTTCTAGTCGGTTCGGTTCCCTTCAAGAACCGAACCGAACCGAACTGTGCGGATCCCTAGTTATGCATGAAGTATTCTGTTTGTGTATGTAAATTTACTATATTGGTACAAAAAGTTCCCAGTATATGCAATAGCTACAAGAACAGAACTTCATGTTAATTACTCAACTACTGCATCAGATGAAGCACTCTGAGTGTATGCTTTGGCTACAAAGAGAAGTCTTTTATGAGTTTTCTTTCACATACACCAGCATGCACCATTCGATGTACCTAAAAAATGACAGGTCTCACACTACCACTGTTCTGCATCATTTTCATAATCCCCCTACAAACCCTTGCATCAAAAGATCATATGTACTTTCCATAGTGCTGTCTTAGAAGGATAATCCTTGATTATAGTTTAAGCAAAGTTTTACATTTAAAAGATATATCTATAATAAGATAAACATTTCGAAACTACCAGTTCCAAAAATCGAAGATAATTCATGGAGTTTTGAGAACCTTTCTCTAGAGAAAGAACCACAAAGAGTCGCTGCGCAAGGTGTTAAACACCTTGTGCACTGGAGGGAGGAGCAACTTACTCCCGTAAGTTAGGATCCTCGTTACCACTCCGGGGGGCTTTTAATCCATAAAGGATTTAACTATTTATCTTTTAAAATTTAAATCTTTAAGATAATTATCAATCGAAGGATTAAACATTTAAATGTTTCATCTTTTTTAATTATTAAACTTTTAAAAAGTTAAGATCAAAAAATAAATTTTTTTCATAAAAAAGATAAAACATTAAAATTAAATGATATTGTTTAAAAAGATATATCATTTAAAAAAGTTAAATCTGTTTTTTTTATTTTAATTATAATTATATTTATAAAAGAAACATCATTCAAAAGAAATACCATTTTTAACATTATTTTTAAACTACAACCTTTACAAGGTTAATAATACAAAGGTTTAATCTATGGGTAAGGATTGCACCCCTTGGAGGCATCGAATGGTTTTGAATGAGCTGCGTCGACGGGAAAGTTCTTCCTCCTGCTTTTGAGAGATTGTTGCTAACTCCACTGCGTCGTTCAGCGGGCTGTTGTTGTTCTTGAGCTTCTGATATCGTTGGTGCAGGAGATTGGTGGTAGTTATTCTCCTTCAATGGTCGTCGCCTTGCTTACTTCAAAGCAGTGAGAGTTCAATTATTCGTAGCAATGCTGGATACAGGCAGACATCATAGACGGGTGACAGATTTTACTAGAGGGTTCGGATGCATGTTTGCATAGATGGTAGATTGGCTAGCACCAGAGGTACGATCGTAAAAAATGAGGTGCTGGTGTTGCGAAGACATTTTGGCGCAGCTGTTTTGTACTTGATGTATCTTTTGAGTTGGGTGGTTGATAAGGCGGTGATTGCAAGGCCGTATTCAAGATCTGGGCGGATGAAAGCTCGACATGTTGGTAACGCGGGCCAAAGACCCATGCCATTATTGGTGAACGCCGAGTCTTCGCAGGAGAGCCATTCCTTCAGTTGCTTTGGTGGTGCGTTGGCTGATAAGTGGTTGAACGTCAATATCCTGACAGGTGAATGGAATACCAAGATATTGGAATGGCTCGACGGTGCGCAGTGGTTTGTTGTATCTGTGGGAAGTGGTTGATTGACTGGTGTGGGGTGGTCGATAATGGCGCATTATCGGGGTGCCAACAAGAGTAGTCTAAGACTCTCGAATGTTTCTCAGCGACTTGTAGGAGCTTTATCAAATCCTGTGGTGATTCTAGGAGAACGATATCATCAGCATATAGTAATGATGGAAGAGGGTTCGGTGGGTGTCTGACCTATCTTTCTTCACATTATTGCGCTGTATACTGTAACAACAGAGATGAATTATACAAACCACGTTCAGCAGCAGCACCCGATTCTACTCGGACATTATTCAAATTAGTACTACTGTTAAGCCTCCAATAAATATAACCCAGTATACAGAGCGCATGACTGGAGAGGGATTAACAAAAGCTTATGGTTTTCACCAGTCCCCTTCCGGTGTCATCCAGTCATACTCGGACGCGGTCCAAGTAACTACCCAAGGCGCATGTCCTTAAATAAGAAAAATAAAAATAACCTAGTATACAGAACGCATAACTGGAGAGGGATTAACAGAAGTTTGTGGTTTTCACCAGTCCCCTTCTGGTGTCATCCAAGTCATACTCGGACGCGGTCCAAGTAACTACCCAAGGCGCATGTCCTTAAATAAAAAAAAATAAAAATAACCGAAGATCCCACAATACTTTGAATCCAAAAGTAATACATAGCTATAAACGCTAATTAAAAACAAGAGAAAACATATATTTAGCGACATTCATTGCAATAATTCAAACTTTTTTCTTATTAAAAATGACAAATCGGTAGTTTACCTTTCGATACAATCAACTTTAGTATAACTTTCATAAATACCCCACTGAAGTCATGGAAAAGCAATTTGGGTGATCGGAACGCGAAAACTGATGTCCAACTTTTTTTGTAACGCGTCTGGAAGGGAAAATAAAACTTCGCGTCCTCTCGCGTACCCCTCTTTTTTCCCCTTTCTTCACGCTCTTTTCTTTTTCTTGCGCAGTCCTTCAAACCACCATGCCTAAATCAACCAAAAAACCAAGTACATCCAAAGTATGTACTACTGACGATGTTACTAACTGATTGGCTGTCTTGTTAACCATGAGTCTAAAATGTTTCTCTCTTTTATTAGGAACAGCCAAAACGCGCAGCAAAGCAAACAACCAAAAGCCGTAATGTGGCCGACATGTTTGCACAACAAAAAGGTGTGTATTTAATACTTTCCTCAAAATACTTGTCCACACTCCTTGTCCTACCAATCACTATTAAAAAAGCAAAAACCATATACGTTACTCAAATTTGCCAAATCTAGGAAAGCGACCAAGTTCTACTCAAAGTCATCTTCATGTACCATCCAGCGATGAAGACGACGACGAGCAGGAAAAGGACGAGTTGGTAGATTCAGACGCTGAAAGTAATGCAGACGATTCGGGACAAAGTGACAGCGAAGTCGAGATTAGTTCCAACAAGCGACGAAAGACTAGCAACAAGTCTGTGGAAAAGCGAGGCACACAATCGACGCGCAAACAACAACGCAGAAAGAAAAAGTCGACGACAACGACGACGACAACGGTGCAACCTACTGAAGTCTCGATTACGCACGACAGCCAGCTTTTGGAACAGATACCCTCTGATGAAAACGGCACGTTATACGGTAAGTACCGAGAGTGTAGTGTATAAATCTAACCGTTGTGAAACTCATGAACCATTTTGTATTGGGCATATGTGCTATATAGACCAAGTCTCCGAAGCAAATGCAGATATTGAAAAAATTGCCGCTTTTTGGGTTGCAAGCTATCGCCAAGATAAGGCCAATGCCTTGCGCCGCTTGGTGAATTTTATCATTCGAGTAAGCTCGTGTTTTAACCAGAAATTAGTGTTCATTGCTGCTGCTAATGGATTGCTGACCTCTTTTAGGGATGTGGCTGTATGACTGCTGTGACCGAAGAAGCGTTCCAAAAAGAAGATGTCTCAATCGAAGTTCTGAAGGAATTAGAAGAAGAATTGGCTAAGGTAACAGGAGAACACATATAAACACTATCTCAGGTGGGGGGGGGTGGAAAGTAAAAAGTAAAGATCTATTTATTGAAGAATAATTCAATTAGTTGCCACAACCTGAATATCCGGTCATATCGAGATCCAAGACCGGCAAAACACTCAAGAAAAGCATCTTGAACTTCTTTGCATTTATGGTCCAACAGTGCCAGCACGAGATTATATACGATGGATCGTTCACTGAAACACTGCAGAATTGGCTGACGACCATGTCAAGGTTTGTGTGGAAATCAGATTTAAATGGGATGGAAGTGATATTACCACTGGGGAGGAAGGGTCTATGGACGCTCACACATAATTTGAGAAAATACTAGTTCTGTTTACCGTCCTTTCCGCCACACCGCCACGATCCTGACGTTCCGAATCATGAACTCGTTGTGCACGTTTGCGGATAAAATCAACAGTGAACTCCAAGTTGTGACTCGACAACTTCGAACTGAAAACGAACGTCAGACTAGTCGCGCTAGAAACACCCAAAAGAAACGAATGCTTGAACAACGATCACATACCTTGGACCGTAAAAAGAATAACTTGCATGAATACATGACCGACTTTTTTGAAGGGTAATAAGTTGCTGTTGTGTTTATTATAGAGTAGTAATTAACAAAGACAAAATTTGTAGTGTGTTCCTTCATCGATCAAGAGACGTGGAGTCTGTCATTCGAGGAGAATGTATCAAGGAGCTGCGTGCATGGATCCAGGTATATCCTGTTCATTACGCCGACAATGTGTATCTTCGGTACTTTGGCTGGGCGCTCAATGATACGGTAATTATGTTTTCAATTTAAAAAGAAAGTCATTCTTTACTAGATACCTTATCATTTTCCTTCACCAAATGTATCCATGTAGGTCGCAGCTGTCCGATCAGAAGCACTGAAAGCTATTATGCGACTCTACCAAATCGAGACGATCGTGCAAAAACTGCAGAGCTTTACAAACCGATTCAAAGGACGTATCGAAGAAATGGCCTTGTACGACATTGATCTATCTGTACGACTCCACGGTATTGAACTCTGCCATGTCTTGTTCCGCCACAACAGTGAATGGATCAGCGAAAACGGTCGCGACGAATTGATGCATCTCGTGTTCCTTGACAATGAACGACTACAAAAAACTGTGGCTCCGTTTGTTAAAGCGGTGATGGAAGCCAAAGTCTTTGAGCCCATGGTGGAAGAGACTGAAAAAGCGCTGAGTGCTATGAACGTCAATGGTTCGGAAAGCAACAACACCAACAATGATGCAGTGGAAAAGACGTGGATCTCGTTCAAGTGTCTCGCCACGTTCTTAGTCGAACGAATTTCGAGTGAAACGCCCCATGGAGACAGCAGTAATAGCAATAGTTTGAACGGAGGCATGGATAATTCTTTGAGCATGGTGGTGTCGGATGAAGTTTGCGATAAATTGGTGGTGAATGCTGTTGAAGCCTTGTGGAGTCATATGTCGGTGCTACAGGTGATGATGCCCTTACCTTTTAAAACATTATTTAAAATATCTTTTGCTGACTTACGATTAAAAACTTACAGGACTATAAAAGCTTGGCCGAATACTTGACACGTGACCATTCGAGCAGCTCTCATCAAGAAGATCAAGAAGAGCTCGCTACTGCAGGTCAAGCTAACTTGGCTCCTGTTGTTCAAGAATGCTACCGCCTTGCCGAAGAAGAAGAAACTGTCCTTGTCAAAGTCCTTGTCACATCACTCCGACTGATCACTGAAAGAGGCTTTTTGGATATGTCGGATAGCAAGACAAAGAAGGCTCATGTATGTGTACAGTTTCTCTCTACTACCAGACGGAAATAGAGAAAGAGAAATTGATTATGTCGGGTTCTTTATTTTCTTAGGATGAGGCACAGCTTGAAAGCAATCGAAGCACAATCTCACGCTACCTGGTGCAAGTTCTGCCTCGTCTGTTAACCAAGCATATCGATAGCGCAACTAATATGATCAAGCTTATTACTATCCCACAACTGATGAATATGAACGTTTATGCAGAATTACGAATGCAAAAAGTAAGTTTTGTGTGAGCATGTGTGTATTTAGAAAGGTGCTCCACTATCTATTGTAAGATCACCACAAGATAACACGTAATGTTTTTTTCTCTTAACTAGGAGTATGAAGAACTCCTATTGACGATTATCAAGGTCTACATCGGTGCCACTGTGCCTGAACTTTTACAAAACTGTGCTGGATCGTTGCATCATCTGTTCAAGGTGGAACTTTTGGGAGATGTTAACGAGCGTCAGTTCCCCGAACTGATGGAACGTGTCACTTCTCAAGTACGCGACGCCTGCCGAGGAAAGGTAATGAAGAGACAACTTATTAAACACTATAACACGCAGAGCACTAACCTTTCAAGCAAAACAACAGGATATCGCCAGCGCTCGATTCGATGCCGATGATATCCATGCCACAACCACCAGTCTCCTTCGTTTAGACCATCTGATCAACTTTATCGATATGACTGACATGATGGACGAATCCGAGGACATGGATGAAGACATCACCGAACTCGTAGGCCATTTTGTGGACCGTGCTGTATCCGGATACAAAAAGGAGAAGCAAAACAGTTTGTCCGCCATGGCCATTCTTTTCCGCTATATGGTCTGGAAGTGTGAGCGAGTGTCGAATGATCGCGAACTGAACGAAGCAGGCAGAGTGGCTGTTGGCAAGATCGAACGACGCCGTGATTGGGTGTTGGAGAAATACACAACCTTGGTGACAATGTCGACGGATATCAAGCCACTAGCCACTGTGAAATCTACTGTAAGTTTGTTTCTTATATGCGATAAGCTCTTTTACTTGATGTTTGATCGGTCAGATCGATTATAACGATTGTAAGAAGCTTATGAGAGTGTAAATCTTTTGTCATTAGGCATTTGGTATCCTCATGGATCTGTATTGGATATTCTCGAGTGATCTCTTTGCCAACGATGGCCTTGACCTGCTGTATCTCCAATGCCCCGAAAACGTGCAACAAGAATGCGAAAAGTATATTGCAGCCGAACTGGTAAACTGGCGGGAAGCATTGGAAAGCAACAATGAGGATGATGAGGACTCGGACGAAGAAGGTAAAGTTTGATTATCCATTATCAGCAGTGAACACGAGGTGGAAGAGGGGGCGAGAATTCAATTCTAAAACGAGACTCGTCGCTATATTCTATTCTTGCAGCCATGCCCAACCATGGCGGTGTGGATCTTGTTGCCAATATAGCGCGCGCCATCATGGCCAAGGTGCTTGACTACAAATACGCCATTCCACTTGCAGCTGAGTATGGCCACCTTGAGGAAGATGCGGATGATATCATCAAGGCATTGATCGAGGAAACAAAGAAGGATGTAATTGGCAATGACGACAGTCAGACCGAGAGAATTTGCCGCATGTATATTGGCGGCATCAAACAGGTAAACCTTTTCAATAATTTGTGCATGGGGTTGTTTGTTTGTTTGTTTGTTTGTTGGCGAAATTGCGAGTCGTTTCCTCTTACACACACTCCTTTTTTCTTTCTTTTTTTTTTTTTTTACCCCAAAGGCATTCGAATTGTATGTCAACCAAGCACCTCGTTCTATTGACAAGCTTCTGCCATTTGCACGACTGGTCTCTCAAACACTCTATCTCGCCGATCAAGAGGACCCTGCACGCCACGTGGCGCAACATGTGATATGCGAGCAGATTCACCTCAACGGTATTACCTTTGCGCTCACAAAGGCAGCCGAGCACAAGAATAACCACAACCGCGCCGAGATGAGTGTAGCGTTGAAATTCTTCCGGGTTCTAAGTGTCTTAACCAAACCATTGAAACGAGCACGCGATGTGGCGAAGATGTAAGTTCTGTTCTGTCTGAGACATCTGCTACTCTTTTACACAAACAAACAAATTGTTTTTAAGGGAAGGGTTCTTGTAGCTGACTTTATTTTGGGTGAAATCAAATTTTCTGCATGATTAGACACAAACATATTGAAAAGTGCTTGGACGAGCTTGATCTGACGGTTGAGACGAACGATAAGGAGTGGGATGCGTACGATGCATACATTAAAGACATTGACACAATCCTCAGAAAGAAAGGTCTTCGTTACGACAACCAGCACGCAGCAGCAACAGCTGCCGCAACAGCACAACAACCACAACAACAACAACAACCACAGCAATAAGAACTGAATAATTTCAATAAAAGAAAAGGATTTACCCATGTTTCTTGAAAAAAATTCGCATGAGGTGCGGGGGAGGAGAGTAGCATAACAGCTCTCTCTCTTTCCGTTTTCTGTGTACTATTTTTTTTTTTTCGCACACACTGAAAAAGCGAGTGTTACTATTACTGCTTCTAATATTATATATATCCTCCCTTTATTAACAGTTTCTCTTCACCCTAATTTTTTCTGTTCAAACCTTGCCTCATCCACAGCACCACCCCTGCTCTTCTCACCAAATAACCCCCTCGCGTCATATAACAACAGCAGTAGTAAAAACCCAACAACTGTCTCCTTATGCTTATACTGCGGCACAACAACCTGTCTGTGGAAGAGCTATTCCAGATCGAAAGTGTAAGGATTCTCAGACCGAAAAAGAAAAGTAGAATTCGCTGAATCGAAAGGGCTTCTCAGTCCAATGGGAGTCGGGGAGGCTTCATTGAATCACTACATGTATGCTCATGCACTTTTCTGATTCTTCTTCCAACGGCTTTTTATATCACTAAAGAAAATGCTAAAGATCGCGGATCCCAAAGAACCATACACGTACTCGCTGGAATTCACCCTGTTGGACAAGCCCCGCGCGGCGATATACGGCATGTTGTTAGGCTATGCGGATCGGCTTGGCATTTATCGCACACTGGGGATCAACGCTTCTGAATTCCTTGATTTCTTAATCGATGTTGATCTCGGCTACCATGTCAATCCGTACCACTCGTTCTATCATGCAGCAGACGTAACCATAGTGATATATCATATGCTCTTTCAGTTCGAGGTGCTGAATTATCTATCACGCATCGATGTCGCCGCATTATTCATTGCCGCTTTGTGTCACGACATCGGTCATGTAAGTTGTTTTGGTTCGCGGGAATAAAATAACACTATCATGCTAACCATTGGGGATAGCCCGGGTGTAACAACAATTACCAAGTGAATCTACAAACGGAACTGGCGATCCGATACAATAAAAAATCAGTGCTCGAGAGCTATTCATGTACGCTAGCCATGGATCTACTGTCCAAGCACAAGTTACTACGTCATGTCGAAGAGATTAGCACGGCACACACGTTCCCGCCGACCACCGAGGATCAGATGCGCACATCGATCGTCAAGATGATTTTGTCGACGGATATGGTTTTCCATTACGAACTCCAAGAGAATTTCGCTAGCTTATTGGAGATTGTTGCTCAAGACCAGTTCGAAACGAGTAGCGAGTGCAGTGACATTGTACCACCAACATCATCATTATCATCATCATCACAGCCGATACCGCCACACCAGGTGTGCTATCATGTGCGATCACGGACCCACAGCAACAGCAACAATAAGAACAGTAGTAGCAACAATACCACCACAAGTAGCAGCAGCAGTATGCTCAGCACACTCTCTGTCCCAACCGACCCGTGCGTACAAATGAAAGACATCTTTGAGACCAAGGGCGACAAGAGCCCGCTGCATAATTTCGAAGAACAAAGCTATTTCGACGAAGACGATCCACCGAATCTGCACAACCAGCTGGATTACAGGGAACGACAGATGCTGTGTCAGATCATACTGCATGGTGCAGACATTAGCAATGCGCTCAGGCCGTGGCCGATCTGCTGCAAGTGGTCGGATCTGGTATGCGAGGAATTTTTCCGCCAAGGCGAGTTGGAAAAGGAGCACGGACTCCCAGTATCACCCAACATGGACCGGGATCAGGTGACGCAGACGACGATTGGCCTGCAATTTGGCGATTTTGTCGTCAGCCCATACTTTGAAATCTTTGCCGCCATGTTTCCCAAGGCTGACGCTTTGATTAAAGAGCTGGCCACGAATCGGAATAGATGGCTAACGCTGGAAGCGCAACAAGAGGAACGGGAGGAGCAACAGTGGTACTTGAACAATGGCAGTAGCAGCAGTAGCAACATGAATGACAACGGCGTGTTGGATCAGATCAAGGCACCGAATACTCCAGATATCGAGGCTCAGAAGCAGCTGCACAACACCTATTTCCACCATCGTCCTCATTACGCATCGTCATCCACTGGAGGAGCCGGGGGCGACTCTTCTTCATCGTGTTCCTCGGACCGTGGACGGCAGCCCACAGACATGCTTCCAGATCGACACATTCTAAACCCGGCTGGCCGACGTGTGAGCGTGGCAGCAGGGATGGTTGTCATTCCCGACGAGCTAGAAGAGCGGGTGATTGGGTCTGGCAAATCACGCCGCAAATATTTAGGGCTACGGAGTATCAGTGACACTGGTATCAAGGAGGAACAACGACAGGCGCAAGCAGCAGTCAACAAGTCGCCGATGCTGTCGGTGCTAGGGAATGACAAGAGTCGACGGAAAAGCGAAGAGCCTGGGTATTATCTGTACCGCCACAAGCTCAAGGTCCGGGGCGAGAGGAGACTGAGTCGTGGAGACCTGGTGGATAAATGTCTGGAGCGGCAGCGGCATGTTGCGTCTCCCCGGTAACACACACTCTGCCTAGTAACACAGTCGCTCTATCATATAATCACACATAAATGACCGGACGATTGGTTTTCTTTTTTACGCTCCTTCTCCCTGCCCTTGTCCCCCCAAGCCTCTGCACGCACAGCAGCAACAGCAGCAGCAGCAGCAATCGACACTTTCCACCTCCCCCCCCACTCCTCGTTGCTATGGTTCTCTCCGCATTTTCAAACCTTTTCCCTTGGCACCATTCATCACGCAACCCAAATAAAAACTAAAACTTGACCTCCTATTTTTATTAGTGAAACTGATATCTTATAAATAAAACTAAACTCAACAGCAAAACCTTTCTTTCTTCTTCTTCTTCTTCCCTTCTTTCACTCTCACTCTCTCTTTGCTCACTAGCGACGATCCCAACTCTCTGCACACCGACTTTACAACAAACTTTATGAAATGTTTTTCGTTGACTTGCTTTTACTTGCCGTGCTGACCCTGCTGGCCATGCATCCAACTCTTCCATCTTCGCTTAACAACAGTAACAGTAACAGTAGCAGCAGCAGCAGTATCAATAAGGAGCAACAACAGCCACGTCTTATTCAAGCCGTCGCCATGGTCCTGTTGGCACTTCGCGTGATCGTCTTTGTTGCCGTGACAACCGTTGTAGCCATACTCAACCAGAACGCGTCTTCCATTCTGCTGGCACCTGCTTCTATAATGGGCGACGATAGCAAGAATAATACTGTAGCTGCTGATGCTGTGTCGCCAAACATGCAGCAGCAAAAGCAAACGCAGGGGCCCGCATCACTTGCAGCAACAGCATCATTGACGAAGACCACAAATAACAAAAAGTCTGATTTAATTGACACTCATTCCACGACCAAGCCCGCTCCCGTTGATGAAACACCGACGACGACGACGACGACGACGACGACGATCCAAACAGCGCGACAAGAAAAGAAGCCCGTTACTGATACCGTTGCAAAGAAAGAAGGCGTCAAGGTGCCCGAGCCAGAAAACCATGCTGTCGCTGCCGCTGCTGCTGCAGCAGCAGTAGTTGAAACGCCAGAATCACATAAGCAGCTAACAGAGGAACCAATCACCACGCCATCACCAACAACAGCAATGGCAGTGTCTGAGGAGAACAAAGAGAACCGTGGCCAAGTTCCATCCTCTGTCAGCATTGAGAGCAAGAACAGAGACAATGATACAGCTTCGGCAATCAAACAAGAAAAGGAAACGCCCATTGTCGTAGCTGCAGTTGTGGAAAAGAATGACAGTGCGCCTCCTTCAGAACCTGGGACTAGTACCAAAAAAAGCGCATCCGTGCATAGCAAGAGCAGCAGCCACATCGATAACAGCAGCGAAGAGCACAACTCTGACGATACGGCGCTCACATCTGATGCCAGTGAGACCTCCCTTCAGCCTCCTTCTTTACCTCGTCTGTCACAGCAGCAGGAGGAGCAAGAGCACAAAGGAAAGGGCGTGGACACACAAGAACAACAGCAGAACCAACCACAGGTACAAGAACAACCACAGCAGCAGGAACTCGAGAAGCAGCCATCGACGACCACATTGGAGGAAGACAACGTACCTGCAACCACAGCCTCCTCTGTGCATACCACCACCAGCACTTCACAAAGCAGCAGTCTTTTGGCCCGTATGGCAGGCAAGAACAAGAACACTGCTACTACGAAACAGAGCGGCAGTAATGAGCTTTCGCCACAACAGCCAAGTGAAAGCACATCCTCACGCAAAAATGGGATCATCCTGCCTATCCGCACGTCAAGCTTAGGTATCGGTAGCAAGCGAAGCAATGGCAGCATCCGCCAAGACAACAACAAAAAAAATCATGGCGATGATGCTACTACTCCTGTTGTGCATAAAACCTTGAGCATGCGCTTACCAAAACGAGCCGCAAGCATTCTCTCAAGTCATCACGACGAAACAAACAAGACCAGCAACAACAATAACAACGCGACGCCACGCCACTTCTTTACATTGGGAAGACGAAGCAAAGTACCTGGAACACCACCACCACCACCACCCAAAAGCCAGCAACAAGCACAAGGTGATTCCAGCAACGACAAGAGCACTACTTCCTCGTTATCGTTGAAGAAAAAGACGCGTAAACGCATTTCTGCACTTTTCCATTAAGCTTTTTTTTGTATACCACCGCCACCTACTCGCATCTATCATCCTATAGTATAGCTCTCCTGTTTCTTCTGTTTTCCCCTCTCATCGCCGAGATCCTCCCATCATCATCATATGCATATGGCGCAGGCTATGATTCTGCATTATCGCCTTCACCATCATCATCATATGCATTGTGTACATATAAACAACATCATATACTATCAAACATCATTCTGTTACTATTAAAATCATTGCCATCCTCATCAGAGTCATCAGCCCTCAGCCATTAAGCATTATTTACCATCTACTATTTATTTATTTGGATCAAAACTGTAATCAATTACTTTACATGTGTGTATAGCATTTTTTTCGGAACTACTGGTCCGAGCTATTCAATAGCACTAATACAGGTGAGAACAGAATGGTAATAGCACAAACCCCCAACCACCAGCCAAAATTATAATAGTTAGGCCATGACGGCCACCTATACTTACCAGTTTAAACGAGTACCCCATCCATCATTGAATGAAATCACCAAATTTCCTTTCTAAGTGACCAATAATCATAACAATTTTTTAGCGCAAGGTAATTTCGTCGATCGGCCGTTGCTGTATCGCTAGCACCACCACCACTAGTAGTAGTAGTACGCCGATCGTACAACATGAGTGCTTCAAGGTGCTGCAATTTATCGTGCCCCAAAAGGTACTGGTCTACTTCTGCTTCTGACAAGGACTCCGGCGTGCTAGCAATGTATAACACGCGTAATGAAGGATACAAACGAGCCAGATTTTGTAAGAGTGGCAAGGATATCCGAGATCGGAGGATGAGTACCTGCAAGTTCGGGTTAGGCCATTGCAAGAGTACCCGCTCGACGAGGGCTGCAGGCTGTGGTTGGATGCTAAGCTCCAAATGAACCAGAGTGGATGTGTACGTCTGCAGTGTCCGCTGCAGGCAGTCTAAACTGATATGAGCGTCAACACCACCACCACCACCTCGAGTGACCAAGGATAGCCGTCTTAACCTAGGACAGTGGGAACGTAAAGCATCGAGTACGGCGTCAGTTGTATTGTACGGCGCTGTAAACGATGTCAGACGGCCTGAACAGTGTTCCACAATTTGTTGGATGGTCCCCACATCCATGTACTTGAACTCGAGGCGTTGCATGGATTCATAATAGTAATTGTAGTAGTGAAGATCATTGGAAGCCATGGTAGTAGCAGTGGAATGATCATGCAGAGGTTTAGGTAACAACAATGTCATCATTCTATCGTCATACCCACCTCTGCGGCCATAATCAACATTAGCATCATTACTGCTACTACTACTGTAACTATAATCCGCTTCTCCTCCTTGTTGGTGTTGTTGTGTTAGAACGGCGGGTAGTTTACACCGATGCAATTCCAGGGTCGTCAGATGCTTTTGAGCCACCAACTGATCCAATAATGGTGGAATCAATCGACACCGCACAAGCCGAATCGACCGCAAGTCTTGATTCCGTTCAACGAGGAGCGTGATATGTTCGGAATCCATTCCGTCTAGCGATACATGCTGTAGATGGCTTAACAATCGGATCGTTTGTCGATCTAACCATTGGCCTGCCTTGAGCGTTTTGAGTGATGCCAAGACTGTTGCTGGTCGATAGCGCAAGAAGAAATGGGCGAGGCCAAAGATATTGAGCGTCTGTAACTCAAGTCCAGAAGATGAAGAGTCTTGTTCTTGTTCTTCTTCCTGTATCAGTTGGTGTTGTCGTTGTCTTCGTCGTAGTCGTCGTCCTCGTAATGATAATAAGGATGAGGCTGTTGTTGTTGTTGTTGCTGTTGAAGGTTGCTGCGGTAGTTGTTGGTGGAGACACCGTGCATCGATCCTAGTGGCCATGGATAGATACAAGTGTTTCATCTTTTTGCATTGGGCTAAAACACGTTTGACCGCAACCGTAGTGACGCGGTGACAATTGTACAAGTTCAAAACTTCAAGATTGGGACAATCGAGCGCCAGATCATACAGTAATGAGTCAGTGATATCTTTGCCGCTGTAGGGTATAGACAGATCCAGCTCGCGGACGTAGAGTCCATAGTTTTCTGACGAATAGAATCCACTCGTATTCTTGTTATTGCTGCCATCTTCGGCAGCACTAGGCTGCTTGTCTGCTTGTTGTTGTCCAGGTGATTGATCCTCTTCCTCTTCCTCTTGCTGGTCTTGTTGGTGATGCTGTGATTGTGATTGTTGCTGCCGTAATCGTCGTCGTCGCGTCTCATTAAATAAATTGCGGTATTCGTATTGTTCTTGTATACTACGGATGCAGATCGTTCGATACAAACGCGCAGTAATGACATCGCGCCAGTGACGATTGACTGTGAGAAGACGTACAATATGAGCGCGTGGGAGGTAATCGATGATGAGAATGATGACTTCGGTTGGCAATTCGGGTACTGCCATGGCTTCTTTCTTTCACTTTTTATTCCAGTGGCTGCTGGGGCCACTCTCTTTTTTCTTGCCAAACCAGAAAAACGCAACAACGAAAAAGGGAATAAAAGGTGGTTTATAAGGAACCGCCACTGTAATCAATAAGATATGGAGAGAGCGCTGCGGAACTGACGATGATGACGACCCTCCCCCCACCGAATCGAAGCTTGTGTTGTACTGTTGCACCGGTGGATTTTCTATGAGTCAAACAAACAAATGCATATCTAGACAACAGAATAATATGTCAGGGCCGGATGTTTCTCTCGCTAGTAAATAAGTGATAGGATCCTACGTATTGTTTGCTACATCTTGTGAACATGTATGAACATGTATACATACACAATCGGTGAATATCACTATTTGAAGGAACCGGATCTGATTTTCCATCCATATAAAAGCCAGAGACGGCATTGGACCGCAAATCCACTTTTCTCAATTTTTTACGGTTACACCTATACGCACACTAGTATGAAGACCTCATTATCCCTACTAGCAGGCTTGGCCCTTATGGGCATGTATTTGCAGGATGGTGTGGCTGCAGCAGCCACGGACCAACAAGGAAGCAATATCAAGTAATATACCAGAAACAAGCTCATCCAAAGGGAAACATCTAGAAGCTGACCTTTCTTATATAGTATTGAACTTGCGCAAAAGACAGGCCAAGTCATGAACACACCTGCTCGACTCCAAAAAGCTTTGGCAAAGTACAACTTAGAGAGCCGTGTGTCTCCTTCACGACTGAATATGGCTGCATCCACCATTGATTTGTCTAGTGTACATGTGGATGTCGAGGTAAGCTTTTTTTCTCACTCACACCTCTAAAGAGAAAGGAAAGACACTAAAACATATATGATGATGGCGATGACAATTCTTAGTATGTTGGCACAATTGGCGTCGGTAACCCACCACAGCTTTTCCAAATGGATTTTGATACAGGCAGTGCCGATATCTGGATCCCCCATGTAGGCTGTGCCCACTGTGGAAAGCATCCTTTGTTTGATCCCGCCGACTCATCCACGTTCTCTCAAGACACAAACCAAACGTGGGGCCTTCGCTATGGTGATGGTTCCGGTGTTCAAGGTATTATCGGTCGGGACACTGTTCACTTGGGCGAGCTGTCCTATCCAGATCAAGTCTTGGGATTGGTCCAAGGCGAATCGGTCGATTTGGCCATGGATCCTGAATTGGATGGCATTTTTGGCCTGGCGTATGCTCCCTTGGCGTTCACGGGCCATAAAAAGTCAATTGTTCAAGGCATGCAGGATATGGGTGTGATTCCTTCAGCTTCTGTGGGTGTATATCTTGGCCGCGCTCGTGATGGTGGCAAGGGTGAATTGGTAAGGTTCTTTTTTTTTCTTTTCACCAACAATTATAACTCAAGTGATGTGTTTAAATATTCAGAGCTTTGGCAAACCCAATCCAGCCCACTATGAAGGCGAACTCAAATACGTCCCGGTCACTGAAAAGAAGTTCTGGCAAGTCGCGTTGAACGGACTCAAGATCAACGGCCAAGAAACACTCTCTAAGCCTATTGAAGCCATCATTGATACTGGTACCACACTTATCATCCTGCCTTCTGAACTTGCCGAAACCATCCATGCAACCATCCCAGGCGCTACATTTAGCAGCATGTATGGCTGGCGTATGCCTTGCGACCTCAAGGCCAGTGCAGCCGGCGATGCTGAAGTTACATTCACTCTTGGCGACCATGATTTCTCCTTGCGTGCAAGTGAACTCGTCCGTGAGCGCGCATCGCCATCAGAGGAAGGGGATGTCAAATTGTGCTATTCCGGTATCGCAGAGGCCAAGACCCCCTTAATTATCATGGGCGACACGTTCTTGCGCAGCTATTATTCTGTGTTTGACTTTGATAAGGATGCTGTAGGTCTGGCACCTGCCAAGCCCTAAGGAGTAATCTGTGAATACGTTCATCCTTAGCCTTACCAACATCTAGAGCGTTTACCCCATTTCCGTAATAAAATTTACACCGTGATTTGATATTTAAAGTAATAAATATCATCTCATCTTTAATGTATAACATAGGCTTTCTATCTGAGGATATGTGTGTAAGCTTCTCTATAAATATAATGCTACATTTGTCATAACAATCATTGAACAATCGTCATAGTTATGTTTGCTGAAAGAGCTGGATTCGCGGACATGTTTCATTGATAATATGAAATGACACCATTGCAGATAATGTAGCACCGAGGGACGTTGTCTTAAAGGAAAGACGGAACATCCCGATTTCAAATGTTGATTGTTTAGGATTTCCTTTTTGTTTGTTGTTTACTACATGCGCATTATAAATTAAGGATGAAGGGGAAAAACTTAGCTCACTACGAGTGATGAGTGGCGTATAACATTGTGTTTGTTAGACTTCCAGAACGCTCGTTTCAGAACGCTCATTTTCACCTCGCAGCAGCAGTTTACGACGCTTTTCGGCATTAGCTCTTTCCATATAATATAATATTGAAATGCTATTCTAAAGCAGCGATTGAAATGAATGTTTATTATGTGCTCCTTATCATGCTGGGTATGTGTTGATGAGTGGTTACATACAAAGAAACAGAAATGTAGAGCTTACGCATATCCCGAAACAAGAAAACTTTAATATCCGATGGTTCTGCATCTAAGATTCTACTACATAACGTTTCTAAAGTTCCTCTTGCTCAGTCCATGAGCATATAAAAGAGACTCTGTGGAGCAAAAAGTGGCCGTGTCCTCCGGGAAATTGAATGGTTAGGTTACCCAAACGTGTCGTACGGCGATAATGAACCTGGCCCGAAGGAGGCAGTACAAACTACACCACCCGTGACAATCTCCACAAGTACAAGAGTGCACATGATTGCGTGCTCAGTTCACTACCTCATACCGTGTCTTTTTCCTACACCCTATTTGCACCTTTAGTTAACTTTTTTGCCTCGTGTGGTTTTTTTAGTTATATTACATGTCATCCTCTTTATCTCTCTATCTATCAAATCTTTCTTTTCCGTACAGCAAGAAAGTGACTATATGCTCACTGCCGCAAAGCACTGCACCATCCACAATAAAATAATCATATATTGTCTGAAAGAGGGCCAGAACACCATGAAATCAGATTGGTATCCTAAAGCTAATGAACTTTATACTCAACCGGATTTTTAAGTACTGCTCTAGGGATTGCATGCTAGCTTATTTCTTTAGAGTCGCGTTAATGTAGCATATGTATATACGCCCACCACCCAGATTATAGCACTTTTGATGGAGGATGCGACTTAGCATAGCAATTATTGGCAGTTTTCATGTATGGCACTGGTAGCAGTATGGATGATTGTTAATTCGACAATGTCAGGAAAGCATAAGATTGAAGAAACATATTATAGTGGAGGATACACATGTAAGACTTGTTTGGCAGCCCTAATAGCGATATTATAGGTTGACAATTTAACCTGGCCTGCCAAACAGCACAAAATGTGAGTTTGACTGGTATGACAGACGTGTTGTTAATCTGTCATTCTGTATCAGGTGTACTACTCACTATTGCCTTCAATGTTTTCTCTGTCATGTTGTCAACAGCGTTTTGACCCATCTCAGGCCAGAAAAGAATTGTATGTATATATCGTGCGATGAAGGCAGTGCTGATAGAGTACACTTTTTGATGAGCACTTGATTAAATAGCATCACATCTAACAAGCTTTTCATTACCATGCAAGATATACACTGAGGAGTGATGCTATGTTGTATCCTGGTATAGCTTACACAGACACTTTTTCACTCTGAATTTTTTCTATTCCAGAGAGAAGTGGCACTTTTGGGTTGTTTCTTTTAATAAAGAGACGATGTATGCGCCCAAGGGTTTTAAAATTGACGATTCGGTATTAAGGACCAAGAAGATACGGCTTTGTGGAATAGAGGTAAAAGTAGAGTTTCGAAAAAAACGATATTTTGAAGGTTCAAATCCTAATCTATACTGAGTTGCCAAACGCGTCAGAAACACCATTATCTACCAAATCATTATTTGACAGCCAAAATCGTAATTTAGGTTGGATAGCGGACAAGCCCTGATAGCTTTGATATACACTGCTTTGGATTTCAAGGGAGAAGTGACAAGGTAAGCTTCAAGAAGGCAAGTGGGTCATATAATTGACAATCGTATGCGGGTGCTTTATATTATCGTGGGACCAAAGCAGGTGCATGTGCTATATGAATTATTTGCGGCGAAATCGGAAACGTGTACATTTTCGGGCAAACTATTTTTTTTAAATGTATCAGGTGGCTACGTGTTTGACCTTTTCTTTACGTCTCATGTGAGACAGTTTACAAGTAGCCGATATAAAAAGCCAGAGAAAACAGGCGTCGTTCTGCTTTTCTTTCATTGCTTTCTTTTTTTTCTTGTTGCCACGTTATGATCCGGCCTTTTCTTTACATTACTCTCTTACTTGTATTCATCAGTCAAGCAGCAGCAGTCCTTCCGTACTGGCTACAGCCCGACTTTGTGCGTCAATACGAATCGTCACCTTACCAAACAGACTTGATCGAGGATTGCAGTAAAGTATTATTCTCATTTTTTCTCTCCTCGATAGATTGATAATATGCTTGCCATACACTCTTCTTCCGCCACACTCTTTTTATCGCTTTACTCTAACTACAAGCGGTTTAATAGGTGATGAATCATATATTTTGGAGATCAAAGATATAACTTTGACACCGCCGCATCCCGTTCCTGGCGAAGAGCTCAAGATCGAAGCCGTTGGTTTGCTCAAGGAACCAGTGAGGTCCGATGCACGGGCAAACGTCCTCGTCAAACTTGGTGTAGTCACTCTGCTTCACAAGGACTTTGATATCTGCGATGAGCTCGACAAAAATGATACCGAACTAAAGTGTCCCATCGAGGCTGGTTTAATCAAGGTAAATAATTCTTTCTTTGCGTTAGCGACCGCTGGGACCCCTTCCCCCAACAGTATGAAAGAATGTCAAACCCTGAACATGACTGTTCTCTGTTACAGGTTACGCAAAAGGTCACGTTGCCCAAAGAAATACCAAAGGTTTCATCATCGTCATCCATCTTTTTTTTTTCTATCTTGCTCAACAGAAGCCATAACACAGAACAGTATGTAATGGTTAGCGAGAAAGTGTACTGATCTATCCTCTGTTGTTGGTCTATTGCTCTAGGCTCATTTCAAGGTCCGTGTTCGTGCTTACAACTGGGACGATGAAGACTTGGCTTGCTTGAACGTAGATGTTGATTTCCGTCGCCATCGACGTGATTTTAACAAGCACAGACTTATCGGATACTAGTCTCAAAAGAGATGAGTAGAAGGGACTAGTGTTGCTGCTGTTGTTGTCATGTTATGTGTGTGTATTTTATTTTCTCTGTTCCTTTTACCTGGTCATGCATAGTGGACGAGCAATCATCGGAGTTCCTTGCAGTAGATATCAAACACACCACGTTTTAAAGTATCCAAATAAATAGTCAGAGATACCTTGTTTATACAAAAAATGAGCGAGGGGTAAGGGGGATAAGAGCTGCCAACAGTCAAGTAGATGGCCGTATTTTCCATTTTCTATGTGCAAATAAATAGCATCGCACTAGTTTGTAGTAGATGATGGAACCAGGTGAGGCGGAATACAGTTGCGCCCATGGTGTGTCATAAGAACTTCTTTTCTTTCTTCTAATGAACGAAACCCTCCCTATCAAGCTCTCTCGCGCTTTTACCAGTGGAAAGTAATATTTATCTGCTGTGCATAGGATTCCTTGGCTGCCTGCTCTCAACAAGTGCATTTATGTACGCCATTATGTGTTTTGTATTCTTGGGTTTCTGCGTCATGCGTTAAAAAAACCTTGTATATGTAATTTATTATATCCACTTGTAGAAGCTTTTCTAAGCATTTATCAGCGCAAACCTGCTACTGATAAGCAGAGCGAAAGATGGTTGATGAACTGCTGTATCATAGCTTCCGACAGCATATTATTTAAATTCGTTGGATCAGATGACACCTTTTGGTGGCTAACGCTGCGTGACAGTAGACTGATCGGAACACAGGCGTTTGCTTAATGAAAATGTGCCTGTAGGTCCACGTCTAGTGGCGGAAGATCTTTTGATCAGGTGAGCTTATTGGAAGCCCTGGTTTTCTTTGATCTCTTGCTGCGACACCGATGTCTTCTGCTTACGATGATTTCTTGCTGTGCTTGTTAAAGAGATACTGTGATTTTTTACGCTCCCTTGATTAATAAGCTTCCAAATGCTATTATTCATATTGAATTGAGATTGCACGTTTGTACATTAACATAAGAAAGGGTGTCGATGTAACTTTGTATGGACGATCATGGTGCGCCACTATACATATTTGAGTCAGAAAGTCCGCGGTGTCGGACTGCGCGCTTGAATATACACGCAGTATTCTGGTTCTCTTTGAGCTTTTGAGAACTTGTCAAATATAATGGACGATCCCAACGCAGATACAGAATGGTATTAATGAGAGTTACAGTAAAGATTTAGAAAAAGAAGAAACCAATAAATCAGGCGATTTGTCATTTGACCTCTATATTCCGTTAATGCTCGATAGGAACGACATTCTTCGTGCTCGTGGAATTATCCCACCCAAAGATGAACAAAGCAAGGAAGCCATCGAGGACTTGTACGTCGATGCCTTGAACGCACGCAAGAAAGAAGAAGAAAGTTTAGAAAACAAGACTCTAGATGAGCTGGATGAGTTGGAAGATGAGCTTGACGACGATCGTATTATTCTTGAGTATAGGTAAAGTTTGTTTTTAAGCTTTTGTTGGTTGCTGTGTTACAGTTACCATGCAGCAGAAAATCACTCACACATCGGTGGCCTGGGTTGCTGATCCCTAAATTATTTCCAGAAAGCAGCGGCTACAAGAGATGCAGAAATTAGCAGAAAAGGACAAATACGGTGAAGTGACTCAGATTTCCAAACCAGACTTCGTCAAAGAGGTGACGGAGGCGAGTAAAGAGTGCTATGTTGTTGTCCATCTATTTAAAGATTAGTGAGTACTGTGCGTAGTTACAGTACGACCCTGGCGCACTTTTTTATTTCCATATCTCGCATACATACACACACTCTGTCTGACATTATCGATCCCGATTCGTGGTTGTGTTTTTAGTATTCCTGCGTGCAAGCTGATGAACCAGCATTTGGCTCAGCTTGCCAAAGAGTTCAAGTCTACCAAATTCGTCAAGATCATCGGTGATCAGTGTATTCCCAACTACCCAGATCGGAACGTTCCTACATTGCTTGTGTATGGCGAAGGCGATATTAAGGCAAATATTGTTGGCGCCGTTGCTTTTGGCGGAATGAACATGACCGTCTCTAGTAAGTTTCGTGTGATGTTGTGGGGGGTTCTGGTGTAGTGTTAGATTCACATGGTTTCCTGTCTTTTCGTTTGTCGAGACTAAATTTTGCGATTTAACTTGTAAAGGCATCCGTGCACAGCTCGCAAATGTTGGTGCCGTTCCTCCAGAAAAGAAGGAAGATGAAGGCGACAAAAAGAAAAGAAGCATTTATAGTTCGGCAGCAACTGCCGCGTTAAGTAGCGATGAGGAAGAAAGCGATAATGATGACCGAGGATATTACTAGATTGATTTAAAAAAAATCAAAAGCAAGTGGATTTTGATCATGTGTACAGTATTGTGCGTGTGTACTAGTGGCATTCAACTAATGTCGCTTGATCCCAAATTTTTTTCTTTGTGTCTTTATACTCGGATCAAACAATTGAGAAGAAAAGAAGATAAAGGGCATCGCACGATGAATTATAAGTTACTCAATGTGACTAAAACAACTCTCAGATTCTGCCACTTCAGAAGCTGCTAAGTACCACATAAATCGTAGGTATTTGGAAGATGCAGTTTTCTGTTCGATTAACGGCGTAATGGGATCAAGTGACCTGTCTAAGTTCATCGTACAAAAAGCTTTGATCATGCATTTGCCGCTTTAAGAGAGGGATGAAAGGGCGAGAAGCAGGGTGTTTTGATGTATATCGCGGCACTTTATAGTTCCACGGCTTTTAAATATGTATACTGCGTGTATACTTGGCAACTGCTCTACGTACTAGTGAGGATACGATTTCGTTGGGTGTACATAAATTAGCACAGCCTCCTCGCGTTCCACAAGCTTCGCTGATCTTGCTATTTATGAACTTGACGATGTATTTCTTTTTCCCTTTTTCCCTTTTTTTCTTCCTAATTTGCCTATTTTTTTTCTGCACTGGCGATGAGAAAACCACTATCATTTCTTATAGCAGCTTCTCTGTTTGGTCTTGAGGCAATAGCTATTACACCACAAGGACGCTATGGCGGAGGTATGACATATGATGAAGAAGCTACCCATTTACCATAGCTTTTTGAAAAAGAGTCTACGTACATACAGTAACAATATATTAACAAATCTTCTATATTGTATACGTAACGCAACAGATAGCATTTTGCTGAACAAGAAATTATATTACTTTGGCGGTGGGACGACTGCAGGCAATGACACGTCGACTCTACAGGACTTGATATATCTCGATATTACGGAATCATTTGACGTCAACACGGCACTTTCATCCTGGAAACAGGAACCAGTTACCGGCGACCTTCGTGCCGAGCCGAACTATCTGTATGCCATGGGAGTCATCCCTCAAGAAAACTCTATCATGATTTACGGTGGTGAGGGATACAACTCTGGTACACAACAGCTTCTTCAAAATTCGGTGGTGCTTTATAATGCAACTTCTAGAACGTGGCAAAATCTTGCAGAGCCTCAGCCACGTTTAAAACAAGCGTAAGAAGCTTTATTATACTTCCCGCCTCCTTCATCTTTTGAGAAATCACGCTATATATTTGCTGATACTGTGATGCTTAAAAATTAGTTTCGCAGGCACTCTCTCACGTGGTGATGATCATAAAGCATACTTGTTTGGCGGGCGCAGGTAGATGTATACTTTATACTTTGTGGTTGATGTTGTTCTCCAAGCAGAAAAGTTGCTATCATACACCATGACTTTCATGTTTCTTACACATCAGTTGATTCGATTTTTTTCATAGTTTGGACAGCAGTGTATTCCCACCGTTCAATAGAGATATGTGGATATATGATTTTATTGTAAGTGATAATCAACGACCCGAGAGCCTTGTTACTCTTGTAATGGTTGCTTGTCTGACTGGTTTCTTCTGAAGACATCTTCTTGGAGCGCAGCTGCAGCATTACCAGACAACATTGGCGTTCGTTTTCGCACTCCCACCACTTTGGCAGGAAATGATTTATATTACATCGGAGGCATGACAGCAAATTATACGAATACGTCAATTACCAATGATAATGTCATGGTTCCAATGACCGATATCTTAATCTATCACATTGATGACAGTACCTGGGAAATGAAAACTGCTACAGGCGATATCCCATCGACGCGGATCATGCATACAATTGCAGCAAGTGAGTGTCACAAACAGTTAAAGTAGAAGAAAATCCTACCTTTCAGAGTTATTCTTACGCATTGAGTGATAACTAGAGCCTAATGCGCAGGACATCTTACTGTTCGGTGGAAAGTATAATAGTAAGTAGTAATGTTGATATTTATGTTTTTTAAAAAGCTATGTGCTATTTAGGTGATCTCCTAAACAAATTAAAGTGAATTTTTTACCGCAATAGTAAGCACGAACGTTCCTATCAGTGGTGCTACCTGCTACGTATTACACACCGATTCGTTGATATGGGAGAAAAAAAATCCTGTTGGAGTAGGCCCAAAGGGACTTTATGGACATGCCTGTAATAATAACATGCCTTCTTTGCCGTCATGGCCGCAGCATTCCTGGAATTATTCTCTTTGATTAACAAATGTTTTTATAGCTGTTTTCGCCGACTACAGCTCTTTGCTGTTCATCATGTTTGGTGTAAATTCAACTGGACAAGCAGATAGTGCTTTTCACGTCTTGAACACGGAGACGTGGACCTGGGATTCCAATTACCTTTCGTCATATCCCAGTCAAGGCAATGATAATGGTGCTGGCAGCAATAGATCACTATCGGGTGGTGCTATTGCTGGTATAGTTATTGGATGCTTAGCTGCTGTAAGTAATCTATTCCGCCTTTTCATTGAAAAGATATTACAGATTAATAGATATCAAAATTATCATGTAGTTAAAGAACCGTTTTCTAACTTCCCTCTCTCACTTCTGTATATAACAACATAGGCGGCTATTGGCCGTTTGTTGTTCTTCTTAATTCGAAGGCGCCAGAATGGTAAAACGGAGGAGCTCGCTGCTGGTGGACGCATTGCAAATGCTAACAGTACCCCTACCACTGATGCCGGTATCCGTGCTGGTGGTGGTTTTAAACCAGAAGATTATCACGACGGAGTGCCCCATGCCACATTGTCTCCTTTGCTTCCCGAGGAAACGGCACCACCATACCGTGCACAGGTACCTGATGAGATAGATCAGCCACCAACAACCGTTTCATTATCCATGCAAGAAACAGGCGGAGGTCCAACGGCACCAAGATTCCAAAATATTAAACCGGTAAAGCCGGATGGGGAGTAGAGAATCCTATCAAAAATAGTATTATTGTACGATCTATCGTTATCGTTATTGTTTATCATCAGCATCATCATTCTTAATTACAGCAGCACATATCGTGCATAATTACTTGAGTAAAAGTACAATAAAATATACTCGCAAATAGTTATACTTTCACGTTCAACGAGGGATATATACATACATCTTGAGCTAAACGCATAATTAAGTTCATACCTTGATTGAATCGAAAATAGAAGCTGCATTGGCGACTTAAACATATACTAGGATAAAGTAAGCTTACCACACTGTTAAAATACGTCCAATATTCCTCAATATCTCTATTGCCTAAATATGTCAGGTCCAAGGCGACATGACAGATCAAAAACAAGCCTTGCCAGAAAGTCGGTTCATAGATCAGGTAATGAAATATCCTTAAAACCGAATTTAAAACCGTATGCAGAAACTCAAAGAGGCAATACATGGTCCCCCAATTTTTGCAACGGTGGCAGGTTTCCAAAACTTGTTACAAGAAGTGAGGTTTGCACCAATCGATGATAATTCAACTCTAAACTAGCCTACTGGGGCTCGAGGATTCATTGCGAAAGCCGACTTTATTGCAAATAGTGCGATTGCAAAGAGCGGAAGACGACTGTATCAGGATAGGAAGCTTACACAGTTTGTAGTGGATCGTGTTACAATGCGCGGCTTTTTCTCGTATTTTTTAATCACTTAAATCGCAAAAGGTATGCTGTGTATCGGGTTACAAGAACTACACCGCCCGAAAAAGTAAACAAAGCGCGCTTTCGGAAGATGTTTTGGATCATTCATTTTCTAGAAAAATAGTCTCCTCGTACCACATTTGCGCTCATCATACTCGGTCCATACTCGGTTCATGGATCAGGTTTTGTCCTGACTATATTATTTTCCTTCTCTACTCTCTTCTTTCCTTTTTCTACTGTTTCGTCATCATCAATGATACAAGTTTCCTGTTTACCTTTGCTCCTTTTATTTATTGACCTGAGATTTCAGCAATTGTACCGCAGCCACGAGTTGGAGCAGGTACACTAAAAGTTCTATAGCCAATATCGTTGTTTTATATGGAAAAGCAATATATATTTTGTTTTGTTAGACGCAATTCTCATAGACGAAAGTATTACTATGGCTGCGGTACCAGCGCAAAAGCTAGCAACGAAATAACCACTTCACAAGAGCTGATATATCTTGATACTCTAAATTCGTTTGAAATCTACAGTCAGCCCAATCGAACTGACAAGTTGCAAACGCTTCCGGCGAGTTTCAGGCCGAGCCGAATTACTTATATGCCAAGGCCGTCATTCCTGTCTACGACTCCCTTATGCTTTACGGTAGTGCCGGATACAATAACGAATCACAGCAGTTACAATATACTGACATGCTGTACAATGCAACGTCTCAATCCTGGAGAAAGTATTTTCTTATTCTATATCGAGGTTGCCAAAGACCCTGTGATCCTGACATGTCTTGCCTTTTTTATAAGCAGTTATTTGGCATCGTTTCAGGGCGGTGGCGGCAGTAAAGCGCTTCTATTTGGCGGACGCAGGTGAGTACTATTTGCTTTTCTTTATTCGTATAAGTGTGGTCCGACCAAACCTCCTTACGGATACTCATATATGACACTAAGATACAACTTGTGATCAAGCTATGCCAGCGATGTGTATGCGCCATTTAACTGAGATATGCACATATTCATAGCTAAAGTACGTATTATACTGTCCTTTTTCTTTTTAGAGTGAGCTTAGATTTTTTTTTGTATCCACTAATAATTTGTATCTTTCTATATGACTTTCAGGCTTCATCATGGACTACCGGTGCGACATTGCCAGACAATTTAAGTGTACGGTTTCGTACACCATCCACTTTCTAAAGAAAATCGGTATATCATATCGGGGGGCATGACAGCCCAAACTACACGGACACCGAAATTACGCATGACAACATAATGGTGCCAATGTCAGATATCCTAGTATACGATATTGATGAAAATACATATGTAGGAGCAGAAGACAGCTACAGGCGATATACCATGTCTAAGAATTATGCACTCAGTCGTTGCAAGTAAGTTGGTGAGACACATGTAAGAAGGCTGTCAATATACTGCTGTATACTGATCGTCTACTCTGTTTCAATTCATGAAGCCTGGTGCAAAGGAAATTCCTGTGTTTGTTGGAAAGTATAATGGTACGTTTTAATTAGCATTTATATGCTTAATACATTAAACGGTACTTATTCTTTCTGCTAATCGCACAACTTGTTAAAACATAATATTCAGCACAAGCGTTCCGGTGAGCGGTAATGATACCGTATATGTACTGCATGTCGACGCGATGACCTGGGAAATGAAAAATCCTTCAGCTGTCGGTCCAGGATCCTTGTACGGACATTCTTGTATGCACACCTATCAGCTAAACTGATTCTTAATACCGAATAAGTATGATACATCTTCCCCTGCCCTTGTTCTTGCAAACAAATTTGCTTATTATGAAGCTGTTTTTACTGACAGAAGCTCGTTGCTATTTTTCATGCTGTATTGAGATTCACAGAACGCACGTTTTGAACACTGAAACATAAAGCTGGACAGCCGATATCTTTCGTCATATGCTGATCAAGGAAGAGACGACAATTATGATAATGAAGATCTTCTAGATGACGACAATGCTGATAACTGAACGCTTTCAACAGGCGGTATGCCGGTGTAGTCGTCGGATGTGTAGCTGCAATTGTACAGTACCTCCTTTTCTTTTCTTCTTCTGCACAATGCCCGAAAAGAAGCACATATTATACAATAAGTGATTATTAATAAACTTGTTCCTTACTGTGCCCTATCCTTTTCTCTATACGCAGGCTATTTTTGCTTGCTTGATTTTTCTTTTGCATGCGAAGAAGACATCAGAATTGTAAATTAGAGCAAGCGTATCATGACGCAGGCGCAACAGCTATTAACGATACACTTTCTTCTGGTAATGCCCTCGTCGATTTAGAAGGCAGCAAGTGTGGTGATAGCGATGGTGTGACCCATTCTGCTCCTTTGCTACAAAGACCAGTGCACCACCATATAGTGGACAGACTCTTAAAGAATATCACAGCAATGATCTTTCTATACCACCCGTGGTCTTTTTTGGTATAGGTAGCAAGCCTGATAACGCCGAGGCAGCAGGAAGACCACGATAGGCGGTAAAGCCCGATGGACGTTTGTCCTTGTCAATGTGATTTATGTAATACAAATTTTGCATTTTAACATCAAGCGTCACATTACCAGTACTGGTAAATATAAAAACATACATACAATATGCTGTTACTGAACTGCCATGCTTTATTAGTTTACGAAATTCCTAGTATATCAAAACCACGTACCTAAAATTTTTCATCTTGAGCGCCCACTATTTGCACCGAGGGGCCTATTCACTACTGAGCAGTTATACATATGCTGTTTTTAGGATGGCCGAGCAAGTATCTTCTGGGCGCGGGTCATAACCAGCTAGGACAGGTTTGATCATATGGAAGCGTCTTCTTTTAGGAGATGTTAATTTCTATTTCGGACGTAGCCATAGAAAAACAGAAGAAGCACATAAACATATAAACTGTCCAACAGTGCCCTTACTTTGTAGTGTGACAAACAAAGATGACAGCAGCTTAATTTTGAACTAACTAACTTCACCTGCGATCCCGCTATCTATCTTATGCTGACTAGTTCCAGCAATAATCCAATGGTGTTAAGAGTGGGCTATGTTAGAGTCCTTTGTAAATTTAGCAATCATTATATAAGTGTTATTAATAGTAACAGTAGCTTATTTATATTTGAAAGCCGTAATTGATGCTGGCGTTATAACTTCTCGTAAAGAGTACAAATGATTCTACTAGATAGGAAAAAAAGGTTTAAGAGCATCACGCTGACTGAACCTGATTGTCGGAATCACAGCCGCACGCATATTTTTACCAGCACGCTATTTTAATTCACTTCACACCGCCGAAAGAAAAGCGACAACCGTTGTTACTAAACCAAAGCATACGCGTGCAAATCTCTACCACTCGATGAGCTCAAGAAGAGGGAGCACTGGCCCACAACAGACCAGCCGCCAATTCCAACGTGGTGGACAACGAGACAATACTGGTAATGGCCGTCAGGGACAGTACCCAACATCCGCGCAACAACCTACGGCGTCCCAATCGCGTTCTACTAGACATAGCAACAATGGCCAACGAGGAAAACACAACCACAGTCAAAATCATAACCAAAACTCACAACAGCAACAGCAGCCACAACAGCAACAACTTGAAAATACGAACGATCTACGCAGTTTACAGTTGCGACGTATTCTACTTGACGAAGACGATTTGGCCAGACGCAACGCTAGTGCTGTACAATTAATCAAATCGATTGAGGACTCGCGCCAAAAGGACGATCCAGCACAAACTCAACACGAGTTCCTACAGCTCGTTGATGTCTGCTTGTTTAAACAACAACAAAGTGTGCGATCGATCCTGGAATCTATGCGTCCTCACAGCAACACGCTTAAAAACTCGACTATTAAACTTATTTCAATACTCGGTTGTTACTGCGGCAGACTCGATATTGTCCTTATTTGGATTTTCGAACATTTGCAAAGATGGACAACGAATGATACTTTGCCAGCTGAGGCAAACAGAGTCAAAGAATTCAAATTATGGCTTCTTCGTTTGCTTCGACAAGTACGTGTCGTGGCTATGTGTGCGAATTGGGTGAAATGAAGAAAGAGGAGAATTGGCAGTAATAGTATATATCGAACAAAATTTAAATGGTGGTTATTATGCAATTAATGTTCTGTGGGATTACCTTCTTCTTATTAGGCTATTGCTGATGCTGCGTCCGATCCATATATCAAATGCCAATTATACGATTTATCATCCAATATCATGAGCAGCATGATTTTGTTTTTGGACGCCATGGATACCCCTGACTATTTACCCGAAGTCCTGCAAGTGCTTGACATATTAGCAACTAGTTGTCCTACAACATTTTCAGAAAAGTTTCAGGTACGTCTCAAGTGCATTTCACCTGAGATAATCTATTCCGTACTGGATTTTATTTTCTGATGAGCAAAACCGTATCTACTCAGGATATTATTGACTTGCTTGTGGGTTGGCATATTGATACTGGGCTATCAGAACATCGTCGATCTCTCCTCCGCGGTAAGATGCTCTTCTCGAATTGAAGTACTCGAGAGATACTGCAGGCAGAAAATAAGATAGGAGCATGAACGGTTAATTCTTTTTTCTTTGACAATAGATATTTACAAAAAGTTTCGACCTTTTTGGCCAAGCAGATTAACTTTTGCATTTGAGTTGTTACAGCACTTTTTGAGCGACATGCAAAGCATCATTGCTGGTATGATGGCTGAGGAGACGTCGGATAATTGGGACTCCAAATGGCAGACTTGTGAGAGTTTATTCAGGTTGGTACAATATAATAAACATGATAAGGCATTATTGTTACGGACAGTATGTAGATCCGCTCGCTTACATTTAAAAATAACGATAGCTGTTTTCATGCAATGGTGTTCGCCATCGTACCTTTACTATCCACATCCGAAGTGCGAAAGGATATCCATGTCATTGGACCTATTTTCGACTTGCTGCGACCGAACGTTCTAAACTTTTTATGCCATGTCAAAGAGTTATCTCCCAGTGTCACGTGGATGGAAAAGTGTATGTAACTGGCCCAATTTTAGGGGATCGATGAAGCGTGTCCGTTTATGCGTATTTTACTAATTCAGTATCTCTTGATGCAGCAAATCAGGTCCTGCTCATGATGTTTACAATGATTCCGCGAGGTGCACGTTTGTACCAGAGACAAGTGTATGAGTACTTCGCCTCACAGGTGACTGGAGGATCGCTCAATATCAACCCCCAAACTTATTTGAAAACATTGATGAAGGTATTGATCTAGAACTGATCTGTTCGTGGGCTCGGTCTTTAAAGCATATACTAAATTGCTTCTATAAATTAGCTAATCGACTCATGGAGTTTTGAGGTCGATGAAGCCATTCTTCAGTCCATGTTGGATGTTGACACCTCCCCTTTCTTCCACTTGCGGGTGTTGAATAGGGGAAACAAACAACTTAATTCTGGCATACTTGTAATACTACGCTCAATGATTCGTCTATCCAACACAGATCATGTCCAGAGCAACACCAGCAATGTACTTGCGAGGCATCTGGCTGAAAGATTGGCGACTATCACCAGCATGTATAGCGGCTCCACAGCAACGGAACTCAAGAGAACGAATCAAGAAATTCAAAAGCATACCGCCGTCCTATCCAAGCGTGAAACAGCCGCATTGCCTAATGGGAAACCAACTTGGTCACAAGTGACAAATGCTGTTGTGGATGCTATGTTCTTCAGCTATCTATTGCTTGATGCTGCAGCCGCCTGGTCGAATTACAAAAAGCAACACTTCCTCCTCGTATTGGATACAACATATACAGCTTGGCGGTGTAAATGTAGTGATGTTTTCGATGCATGTGTCCAAGTGCTTTTGGAATTTTGTTCAAGGTGAGTGGTTTTCTTTCGCGTTTACTCAGATTGCATTGTTGGTTATGACTAGCATTGAATAATATACAATTAATGGTATATATATAGCTGTTCATTCTTGTTGGATGACGAAGAAAACTTTGGCTTGTTGGCAAACCTGTATCAAGATTTATGCGAAAGTTGGGCCACGCTCAATTTGACAAGTCGGCAGAATTTGTGCGGATACATAAAAAATATGCTATATACGGTTTCATCCTCTGACGACATTCCGGGCCCAATCTTGGATGTACTAAGTGGCATAGTGAAACTATTTTTGGAAGCTATTGGTAAGCGAAAGGATACGAAGATATTGTTAAAATTTAGCTTATTAATTAGAATGCGTTTTCTCTTTTATTATATAGAGTATGAACGGAATAGTACAGTCAAGGAAGATATGCTAAGAATCGCAACACATTACTGCCGACATTTCAACTCTACACAACTTGTTGAAAGCGCACACACTTGTATACAAAATGGGTACTTTTTTCTTTCTTTTCACTTTATTGTTTTTCTCCCTTGCGCTGCTTCTAACTACTATGCATCTTTAAGCCTCGACGATTCACATTCTGGTATTCGTTCTGCCAGTTGTGAGCTTTTAAGTTTCCTCAATCCTTTTTTGACAGCTGATATTGAAATTGGTTATAATGCAACCATCAAGTTTCTCGAGGTAATAATATCTGCGTGAGGAAGGATATCTACTGTGTTACTTACGCGATTTTCTCCAAAACGCAGACTGTCGTTGTGGCAACTCCTCATACAGGCTCTTTCCGTCCAGCGCATTATGAGATCGTCATGGCAAATCTTGGTATGGCTGGGCACTTGATTGGTTCGCACGCAGAAAACGCTGCCAAGGCGATACAGAAGCGTGATGATGGCGACCAATTAGCATGGGCAAGGCGTTTGTTTCATCACTGCGCGTCAATTGAAAGCATGCGAAACGTCAGTGCTTTAAAAGAGTCAAAGAAAGGTATATTTATACATAGGCGGCTTAATGGAGGTTATTTGTGTACTGATTATATTGGACGGATATTAGGCGATGGTCCGATCGTACGATATGTCAACAACTCTCGGTCTTTTCTGAAGTATTGGGCAATGTGGGAAGTTTCTCGATATTGTATGCTGTCGCGATTACGAACCCCTTTTGGTGGACCACAACAGGTATTGTATATCTATTGTAGCTTTACTTATATTCAGAAAATAAAACACTAAACGAAAATAATAATTAGACTCTTGCGGCATTTGAGCGAATGCTCTCATCGCTGGTAACAGCCAGTATCGACCAGTTAAGGTAATGTTATGCCATATTTAGCGTAATGAATTGAAAAATTGGGTTGCTTGTAATACTTACAGTGCTACGGCTTCTTTAGAGACGATTCGACAATAAGGGACAACCTGTCAAATTTGCTTTTGCTTCTAAATCGTTTGGAAGTCCAGATCTATAACGCATCTAATGGCTGTGCTACGAATGCTTTACCTGCAGTGCCTCGCTCCAGTTTGGCATTTTTTCGAACAAACAAAAAAACGTGCAAGGAATACTTTGCACGTATCAGGCCAGCTATCATACAAGGTTCCAAGTTGTTACATGATGATAACTTGTTGATCTGTAATACACTTGAGGTAAAGAAAAACAAAACGTGGTATTACTCAAGTCTTTCCTTCGCATTTACTAACTCATAGAACCAATAAAATAAATAGATGATACAGGACCTCGAACTAGTACTTCATGAGAGGGAGTCACTGGATGTATTTGCTTGGTTTACTGAAATTAATAGCATATTATATGATCTAGGTAAATAACAGAAATCAAGAGTTGCTAACACTGATGGCATATCTGATTTATAACACTTTTATATAGTGCGAGCATGTATCAAAATGACTGCAAGCGACTTGATCCATGGTATCCAAGCCTGGTACAAACGGATAATTCGTAAAGTAGCACGCATCCAGCCCTCATTTGAACAAGAGTGGGTCTTTGATGGTCTCATTGGACCTATCAGTACTGAAGGTTATTACATCGCCGTTCCTTTCATACGTTTACTAGTGCTCATGGATAATATACTCATCTTTTCTTCTACTTATAGAAAGGGAGACTGAGTCATCTTGCCCTGTTACATGGTTTCAGGTCGCTGCACAATTCGCTCTCGTATGTTTAATGTATTAACTACAACCTATTACAGATTTTTGGTCGTTAAAACTATGACTGAACCATGTATACTTTTAGGGACATCATGAAGATGCGATCCAATATTTGGATATATTGCATAGTCATATTGGCCGTGATGAATTTGGGATTATGGACATGCTCGATAACGAGGTACAAGAAATTATATCTATCAAGCTAATATCACAACACGATTGCATGATACAATTTAGCTGACACTTTTCTCTAATATACAGGCTCTTGATTTCTACACGTGTATTGAAGATTATGATTCTTTAAAGCGATTATACGATGCAAACGGCTCCATGTTTTCCAAGATTTTCTCTCGGGAACTCATGATGTTTGCTGAAAGCGACAACCCAAAAGAGGTGCAGCCCACGTGCGATCTTTCCGATTTCTATTCTTCGCTTCGGGATCTGGGAGTGACCGAAAGCATACAGCTAGGCAGACTATTGCGCTTCCGCATATGGCTAAGTCAAGACGAGCCTGCAGATCACATTCAAAAAGAGATTGATAGAGTTTTAGCCGATCGAGCAAGACTGTCGCTCGAAGAAGGGGCATTGCCCGAGCGCATCAGCATGATTGAAACACAACTCTTACAATCGTCACGGCGGAGTGTCCTTGACAGTATCAATGACTATTACACATCATTTGGGAATCCAAGCGACGGTGACAAAAACATCCTGGAAACTGCTGTCTGGGGTCGTCTATCCAATTACGTGGAGCATACATGCGAGGAAACCTTTAACACGGACGAGAAGAAAGCCAGAGTTTTGGCAACTGTACGATTGCGGTCAGCCAGAGTCGCTCGTAAGCAAGGAAATCTGAAAATTGCGGATAGCTGGCTGGAGCAAATCCCTGCTACTTTATCCGATAAGCATTACCATGTTCTTTATGAAAAGGCCAAGGTTCTATTATTGCAGCCAGACAATACTTCCCACTTGGCTGCCATGGAGGTGCTAAACGAGATAATTGTTGGTATGGAAACCGAAAAGGACAAAAAGAAGCTTCACAGCAAGGCATGTTTGGAGGCGGCACGACTGTTGAAAGCTAGCTACAATGATGGTGGTGATGTCGAGACTGCGTTGCTAGGCAAGTTGGATCCGACTCTTGTCAACGCAGAAGGCATGGACAGTGTATACAAGCTTCAATCACCCGTTGAAATTGCAATTGATACCATACTCAAGAAATCGGTTCAGGACTCAAAGCTGTTTCGAAAACCGTGGTTTGAATATGCAACATACCATTACAAGCAAGGTTGGAGAATCCTGGATGAGCTTAGTCGGAGCGAGCCTGGCATGCCTATTGTGTTGTGGGCTAGACAGCGGCTGCGAGACATACTGAAGGCCGATCAGCATTCAGAATACAACAGCGTTGAAGTGGTATGTGCACACTGACGAAAAGCTGTGGTTATTTCTCATTCTCAGACTAATCCCTTTATCTGTTAGAATATTTGCGGTCTTTTGCAAAAGCATTCTGGAACTGTCGGAGCGAAGGCGATCGCTGACATTGCTGAATTGAAGAGCGCGGTTCAACAGCTACTACCTTTATCTAGTGACGAGCAAATTACCCAAGTTCTAGGAACGATGGCCACCGTACACAACAACATTATTGAAACTTTTCGAACCTCCGTTACGGCTTATTTCCAGTACTTGTCTTTGGGCGACAGCAATGCCAAGGTAAAATCATAGTGTTGCAGTTTTAAGACCTAATGGAAAGAAGTGATATAATGCTCAAAGATCTGGTATGCTATTAAATAGGATACTCAGACGGAAGACCGTTCAACTTCAATGGTTATGACTGCAACGCTGCGATTATTGCGCATCCTGGTCAAGTACAGTGATGCTCTACAATCGGTATTCTGTGGAAATATTGAGCATGTATCCATTAAGCCCTGGAAGAAGATCATCCCACAGCTATTTGCAAGACTCAACCATCCGTCCAGCGTGGTACAAAAGGTCATAAGCCAACTACTCGGAAGAATTTGCGACGAGTATCCACGAGAAATCATTTATGACGTGATTGTGAGCTCGTCTTCGTCCAAAACTAACCGCGAATCGAAGAGTATCCTTAATGCGATTGCTAACCGTATGATGGAGCGCAACGAAACGCTGTGGCTATTCACTCAACGCATGGCTGAAGAACTGGAGAAAATCACCGTACTATGGGAAGAGAAATGGTCGTACAAGTTTTCATCGCTGGCACTCAATGCTATCGAGCAATTTACAAAACTGGATCAAGAAGCCGTACGTCTGCGAAGCAATCACAAGGAAACCGTGACACAAGTTCAAATCGAGAAAGCCTTCTTCGAAAGCTACAATAATGTCATGAAGTTTATCATTTCATCCATCGATAAACTGCTGAGTGTCACGATTCTAAACACTGCACCGAAAACGCCGCACGAACAATGGTTCGTGGATACCTTTGGAAAGCGGATTCTTCATGCTTTCGAGGTTTTACAAAAACCAAAGGATATGTCCACCTTCCGTACTGGTTGGGATATGTTTATTCAGGTAAAAGCTCTTGCTTCCATTGATCAAATATTAAGTATCTGATACAGCTAAATGACAAATATGTTATCCCTCTAGCTTAACCGAAACCTAGTATTTGAGACTCATAAAGTGCGCGTATTGGAACTCGATAACGTTTCACCTTATTTGGCGTCGCTGCGTAATTCGGCCATTGGCATTCCTGGCATGTCCAACAACGACGATAACAATAGCCCGGTGTATATCGACTCATTTGGCTCTAATGTGGTAGTCTTGCCTACGAAAACCAAACCAAAGAAGCTGGATATTCAAGGAACCGATGGCAAAAAATATTCGTACCTCTTTAAGGGTTTAGAAGATTTACACTTGGATGAACGGGTGATGCAGCTTTTGAACACAGTGAACGGGCTGCTCAGAGAGGACAAGACGGCAGTCGCCAGGGATCTCAAGACTAGAACCTATGCCGTTATTCCATTAAGTGACCACTCAGGTATGATCCAATGGGTAAACGATGCCACGCCGCTCTTTGCTTTATACAAACGCTGGCAGAAACGTGAACAAACAGCAAAGATGTTGCTTGCTGGTGACAAGGCGACAGCAGAAGACCACAACCAACCACTGCGACGCCCAACAGAGCTCTTCACAAGTAAAATCGAAGCGGCACTGAAAGGAGAAGGTTTGCGCGTGACAACGAACAGACGGCATTGGCCAAAACATATCCTCAAAAAGGTCTATTTGGAACTCGTCAAGGAAACACCTGGTGATCTATTAGCCAAAGAAATCTGGTGCTCAAGCTCGGATGCGGCTGAATGGTTACAGAAAAGCACATCACTTAGTCGGTCGCTTGCTGTGATGTCTGTCATTGGCTACATTATCGGCTTGGGTGATCGCCACTTGGATAATATTTTGATTGATTATCGGTCTGGCGAAGTGATCCATATTGACTACAATGTCTGTTTCGAAAAAGGTCGGCAGCTGCGTGTGCCTGAGCTGGTTCCTTTTCGCTTAACGCAAAACATGTTACATGCTTTGGGTGTCACGGGCACGGATGGTATTTTCCGTATTGCCGCGGAAGAAACGATGCGGGTATTGCGAAAACACAAAGAAGTTCTCATGACGCTCCTAGATGCGTTTGTGTATGATCCATTGGTACACTGGGCGACAGAAGCTGAGGAGTTGGAAGAGCGTCAAATTATGGAGCTCCAAATCAATCTCGGTTTAGTTGCTAAGAGACTAGGTAAACTTTGATTCGTATAATCCGATATTTTGTTTTAGAACATACTTTTAATGCTAATGCTAAATATATTTTAAATAGCCGAGAAGCGAAGCGACTACGAGAAGCGTCAACAATGCGTGGTGAAAACACTCTTTGGTGTCACTGGCAAGTTGCAATATACCCAACAAGCATCGCTCCAAGAGCTACATCAGCAGGCAATTGACGAAGCTGGAAGCGACGATGAAGTCGAAAATGAAAGCTTTGCTGACCAAGCAAAGAAGAACCTCCATGCCATTGCTCATGAATGTTCCATATGGGCGAATAAACACGGTTCGATGCTGGCATCTTTGACAAAGGTGGGAATAAAATACTTACAAAGAGAGCAATGTCATGTAACCGATTGGCTTACAATTTTTAAAAAATAGAACGTGTTTGTAGAGTCTTTTTTCAAAGAGTCGCACTTGTCTGAACAAATGTTTGCAGGAGTACCTGAGCTTAGCAGCAATTTTGAAGTCAAAAACTTCTTGCAAGCATTGTCGACATGGGTAACACAAAAGAATGCCGTTTACCAGCAGTGTTTCGAAGAAGTGCGCACGTACAAGAATCTGACGCAGCCTGTTGCACGGAAACTACTAATACAAGACTGCTGTTCCATTTGGCCGCTCCTACAACAACTTATTGAGCAATCCTTTGCAAAGACCAAGGCAGAAGAAGTCTGGAGATGGTTACAGCAGGAGCACTTTTCCCAGTTTATGCAAAATTTGGAGAGCTCGGTATTCAACTATGCCAGTACTATTGCTCAAGCTTTGACAAGGGTTGAGAAAGCAGCCAGACAGCCGGAAATCAGGCACATGCAGGACTCATCCAAGCTCGAGTCCGAATTCAATACTTTGGCAAAGCGAAATCCACGGCTTGCGATCAAAGAATTGGTGGAATCGTTAGTCTCCTTAGAGTCGGCGTTCCGGCGACTTGACAGTGACGACCAAGAATATACCAACACTGCTTCTGCTACCACGACCGCCACAGCTGCCGCTGCTACTACTACTACTCTAACCAGCACCGAATCTCAGCTTGACTTGATCTCGGTGTTACCGGAAAAATTGCAATCATTTGAGCAGCAATGTCATCTCGGATCCTTTGGACATTGCACATATGTCAATGGTATACTTAGTTTGGCTGCCCACCTGCAGTGCCACGTGGATGCATTGATCGGTAAGCTAAACTACAAATGCATTAATGCATGTATAATTTTGATTCCCCGGCTCACTGACAATTTAACACAGGTCTTGGTGAGCGATTCGAGCCTTCCGAGCTAAGGGCCCTTCAACCTATTACTCCTTGCGCCAAGTCCTTGTACCTAATGGAAGACGAATGCCTTACTGCATGTAACGCTGTATTCGAAGGTCTTCTCGCAGACGGGCAACGTACAAAGACATACATGGTTGAACTTCAAGGCATTCTTAATAATATGCATCCCGACGCTTTGGTATGGGGCAAAAATCATCTGTTATAATGGTATGTGCTTATCACTAACATTCTCTGTGCATATTTAAAATAGATTGGCAGCGAAAAATATACAGGTGTCAATCCTCTTTATGGCCTTATGCAAAAACCGTTTGAGCACCTTGATCGATTCTGTAACATGGCAAAGGTAAAAGCAAAAACACGTTGGATTACTATCGGTCATAAATCCATATTGATGGTGTGAATAATAAAATAGGATATTGTTCTTGAAATGGGATCGACCGACGTGAAGGCAGCCATCGAAACTTACAGCCGACTCAAGCGCAGGGTAAGATACAGTTTTGGAACATAAAACAGAACGTCTAAATGTCCTTTTAACGCGTTACCCTCTCTATAACTAGGCCATTATGTGTCTCATGCGAGAATGTTTAAAACATACAGATAGCGTGCCGTTGGAAGGATGGACTACACCACTTATTTCCACATGGGGTATCACTTGTAGTGCAGCCATCGGACAACACATCAAAAGCATTACGGCAGGTTATGTCAGCTCTATATATGTTCCGTTCATCACCGCATTGATCCAGGCAATTCGACAAAAACTGCCTGATAACGATGGTACGGACGATCAAGCGGAAACCGACTCAGAGTCCCAAAGACTGTATGGCAGCTGTCTTCACCAGCTGTGTGTTGCCACAGCTAAAGATTGTATCTTGACAACAGTAAGTGGGGGTTTTCTTCTATTCTTGATACCATAATGTACAATTATAATGATATTCTATTGTTTTTGTTCAGATCAATCCCGCTATGTCAAGATATGGACTGGCATTACAAAAATATGAAGTAGATATCATGCGTTTTCACTGGTACAATGCACCGTACATTCAGACAAGACGTCCACTTTTACCAGAATCGGTACGTCCTACAAACCTTACTGGCTTGATATTGATTACATCACTTACAAATGATTTTCCCTAACGTTTCTACGACGTTTACTACTACGATAAAACAGCTACTTGCACATATGTCTAATGGCCTTGAACGATTGCATCATATTGAAAATGAGCTTCAAACCCTTGATGATATTTACACACAATTGATCAAGCATGTCCCGCAACTAAAGTCTACGCAGAATACTTGGCAAGCGGCATACCGGAATGAACACAAAAAGGTAGCTTTTGATATAGAGGTGTCTTATTCATTCGCTTTGTTCTGGAGGCTAACTGTGGAAAAACTTAGTGTATCACCATTATGGATATATATACTTCTGTGAACCATTTGGAAAGCTGTCGTGAAGGCTTTACTCAAGCAATGATTATAGGCAAGGAGATCGGTGATAACCTGGAACCATTTATGGTTGGCGAGATTAGGTAAGGTTATCGATGATGATGTTATCTGGCGAATGACAATGCAATATGGTACTTGGTACTCTTAGTAACAGCAAGATAAATTTTTGTATATATAGTGAAGGACCCACAAACAATGTTGATGACAACTCCATCGTAAGTGACGATGCAAACTACCTACTTGCATAATATCGACAAAATCTAAAATCGATGCTTATGTGTAAATTAAATACAAATGTATAGTATGTTTCGCGTGATATTCTTCGTGAAGTCAGAAAGGATATGTACAGCATCTACAAGACGATTGCAGTGATTAAATCTCCAGTAGATGATATTGTATCCTTACTGGAGTCTATTGCCGTGATAGAAGTGGATACCGATAATGATCTAAGTCCGGCTCAGCAAAGTGCAAAGGTACTTTTTTTTCTAATTTTTTTGCATCATCTTTGTTGTTGTCAAAGTGCTAAACTTTATAGCCCATCATTCTAATATGAAAATTGGATAGTCTGTACTAGATGCATTCTCTTCTATTCATGCTATTGTATCCAAACTAAATTCATCCGAAGAAGATTGGAGCTATTCCCGCTTGGTAATTATCATCACTATAGATGTTTTTTTGAAGATACGTGAAGCTGATACATCTTAACATCACTACAGAATGACTCGGTAGAGACTTGCAGCGCCAAGATCCGCGAGCTTTTTGCATCGCTTCATGCTCTGGAAGAATTCGGAGCAGATCGTCAGGATGAATCACGAGAACAACACCCATCGGCTCCAACAACAACAGCAGTAACACTGGATGTTTCGGCAGAGGTTGAAAGTTCTCACGAACAGTCATCACAATTGCAGATTTTGGATGATAGGTTCAGAGAACCTGCTACAACAACAGCGCAAACCAAACTAAATGTCTCGTCATCTTCACAACAAGACAACCAAGGCCAACAAGGTAATCTTCATCATCGAGCAAAATCGTAATAGAGAACATAGCCGATGTAAGAAACAAAGTTCATGATTTATGTTAGGTATCCTACAACAACAACAGCAACGACGAGATACACAGGTTCTTAACATCATGCGAAGAATAAGATCCAAGCTGGAAGGCAAAGATTTTGGCGCACAGCACAAATTGAGTGTATCAGAGCAGGTAAATTGGACACGTTACTTTTCCGTGAAGAATGTAAAGTCGCATTTTCTAAATCTTTATCTCACGTATGCTTGGTATAGGTGACCAAAGCAGTGGAACAATCAGTTTCTGTGGATAATCTGTGTGCCATGTACGAAGGTTGGACAAGTTGGGTTTAGTTTAGCTATGTTACAGCATATACCATCTTCTCTCCGTAGCCTATAGCCAAATTGGAGCCAAAGGAATTAGATCAACAAAGTATGCTTCGGAAGTCACCAATAGCAGTGCCGCCCTTGATCTTGATTCCCAATGCAAGCCATCCGGCAAATTTACATCAGTCATACAGACATGATGCACCGGTTTTATGTTCCAAAATAGAGCAAAGTGAACCGAAACGCAGTTTTACTTTCTTTACCATTGACATGTTACTTTTTCGGGTAAAGAGAATATCAGAAAGTAAGAGACGAGAAAGGGGATAATGGAGAAAATTACAGGGGTGAATGGGGGATATATGTGAGATGTGTGCATGTTAGTAATTTTTGGCTTGCTATAGCTCTATAACCTGCTGAGTCCCGCTCGATAATTTTGTGCTTAGCGTATGTTTTGCGTTAATCCAATTCATCCATTGGATTTACTTGTCGAAAAGCATGCTGCTGTTGCTGCGACCCTTGTTGATTTGTGCGTGGAGTTGTTGCTGATGATGCTGCTGGTCGTGCTGCTGGTCTCTCTCGCAGAGTTGCTGGTGGCATCCGAGGATAACCATGTGGACATACATGCATCATTGGATGATGTGGCAAGCCCCACAAGAGATCCTCGTCTTCATCATCTTCCTCTCCGTCTTCATCTTCATCATAATAAGGGTCGTCATCGTTTTCATCGTCATCGTCATCAAATACATGATCGAGTGCATCAAGGAAGTCATTTTCATCATTATAATTGCCGTCGTATTCATCGTCATCGTCGAAGGGATGATGGTGGCGATGGTGCGAATGGTGATGCGGATAGTGGAGGTTAGGAGGTAATGTACTTGGATCAGCGACCCAGACGCCTACAGTTGTGGTGCCAGCCGGTGATTGGAACGTGTATGTTCGTCCGCCCAGTGGATCACTGTTGGCTGTCTGTTGTTGTTGTTGTTGTTGTTCTGATGGTGGAGGTCGTTCTTCCGGTAATGTTGATCGACTTTGAATATGCAAATATATACACGATATACGAGCTCAATATTCGATAGTAGTATATCGTTTCAGTACGCCAAATAAACATACCACATAGGACAAGTTGTGCTAACTCCCAACCAATGACGGATACACTTGCCGTGATATTCATGTTTGCATGGCATCTTGATAAGCTCAGTTTTAATACCAAATGCATCCTGACAAATGATGCATTCGGTTTCTACATCTAATAGCCAAGCAAAAGATTCATAAGCTCAATGTAAAACTGTGTCTTATCACATGTTGTACGATGGGTCACTGACCTGGATCTCCTTCCTTGAGCTCTCGCTTTTCAAGTTTTTCGATTTCTTCTGATGATGCAGCAACACGCTGAACCGATCTGCAACATCATGAATTTATATACACGCTTAAAACATATTCCAAACCCCTCCCCCAACACACGTACACGCACAGTAATTCAATAAATCACTTACCCATCCTGATTTTGAAGCAAATCATTGAGTATGCTGCTCAATGGATGTTCGGAACCATCACGGTCTGGAGCAACCCCATAAAGCATACTATCATTTCAGATTTAATAATGGTTCTAAATGCGGAATATATCCACGGGACTAACCAAGGAAAATAACTGTTACCTGATCACATGCTCAATCATTGGTACGCCATTTTGATGAAAGTGGCTATGTGCATGATGGTGATGGAGATGAAGACGGTGGTGGTGGTAATTATCGTCCACTTCTTCCAAGTCATGGCGTAGTTCGTCTCGAGCCATCCGACTATTATAGTCATATACTTCGTCATTGAATCGATCGATATCGTAATCGTCCATTTGATTTATTGGCACAGGTCGACGACGTGTCTGCTGCTCTTCTTCTACAGCACGCCTGTAATATCTTCTCCAGGGATGCAAATGCTCATCCTCATCCTCGCTATAATCCGGTTCGTCATAATATCTTTGCCACGGGTGTTCAAAGTCTTCATCCTCTGACATCTCTTCTTCCTCTTCTTCTTCGACGTCTTCATAATCTTCGTCTCCATCGTCGGTTACTGGTTCTTCGCCGTCGCTCGCTGTTTCTGTCGACAATGCTGTTACAATGCGATTAGCTCGCAATCGTTCGTGTTCGCGTTGTTGTTGTTGCCGCTGCCGTTGTCTAAACCCAAGCGTGGAATTCAAAGTTTCGCTCAATCCGTCTGCCCCTTCGGTTGAGCTCGATAAATGCACGTTGGATACATCGTCATGGTTGTTGTACATAAGGTCCATTCGTCTGGCTGCTCCTCGAGATTCTAGATGTCGATGCACGTCAGATTCTTCGTCGCCTCTGTGGTCACTATAGTGAATCTATTGAATTACAAAGCTACCTAGTTGAGCTCCTTTATCTCTGTTCGCGCTTGACAGAGGTAAGTAAGAGAAGATAAGCATACTTCTTCAACAAATTGAGAATGACAAGCACCGCACGCGGGCATGGGGGCTCTAAACACATTTGTGTTGGATCGACATCGGTGACAATAGTATCGTGTGGCACCGACGCTTGTCTGTGACATTGGTTATATTTATAGAATCGGGCAAAGAGCCGTGCGGAGCAGAAGGATGAGGGTTGGTTGTATGAATAACACAAGAAGTTCAGAGAGGAACAAGCATTAACTCAGCGGTAAAACATTCGAAACTTCAACTCCGAAACCTGAAAGATCGATAAGCGGCAGGACCAACCAAACAGTAATACTAGACGCTTCATTTTCCTTCCTGTTCCATAATCGTGGTTGCACTTTAGAATATCGCATTCAAACGATAGTGGAGCATTCGCCAGTATGTATTAGCTCTCTTTGAGATGCAACTGTCACAGTAATATACACGGATTCTGACAAGCTGTATTACTAACCATGGGCAGTAAAAGAGAGGGAGCATGTGACATTCATTGTTTGCTACTATTCCTTTGACTAAGTTAGTCGCCAAAAGAAAAAGAGGCATGGAACCTACTAGCGGAGAAATTTTAATTAATGGCCGATGAAGCGTAAAAGGAGCGAAGTATCATCCTCTAGTATCAACAGCAGCCTGAAGGCCCGGATCAATACTTGTATCAATTATTACGGACACTGTTCACTGCATACACAGTCTAGACCAACTAATATGCCCTTTGTTCTTAGAACATATGTTACCGGAAGACGGTTAGTTATAGAATATAAACGTTTTACACTGCTTTGTTCCTCTCTCGATGCTTAATAGTAATAATGAATGTGATGCAATGGGAAAAAAGAACAAGTTAACTATTAATAGTCAAAGGTATATTCATCATGTCTTGTTTCTAAGTAACAAATCACAAAAGCGTTACTATGTATCTTTTTCTTGCTAAGCAACGACGACTAATTCGAGCAAAACAAAGGTCTGCTATAAGTGCTAACTCAATCTTATGTTAAATTGCTTCCCAGCGAGTACATCGTGGTCGTTTCATATCTTTCTGGATGAAGCAGCATAATAATGATCGACGAATTGCATATCCGACTCTCGACAATGGGCAGCATGAAATTGGTGTAACCTTCCAGGATCCATGCGGGACAAACAATGTGACCCGTCAAGATTCATTGGTTATGGATTCTTATTCTGTTTGACAGGTGATAAGCAGTAGCTTGACATCATTCAATTCACTGATTATATTCCTCATTGTACTTAGCTCACAGGTATATAAAGATCTGTCTTTACTCGTCTAGTTTTTCCTCCTCAATTCTTTTCTTTACTCTCTTCTCCCCAAGTCATACGATCTCTCACTTCAAACAACAATTAAAACACCACAGCGATGAAAAGAGCGGTGACACGCAGAATGTTTGTTTCGCGATATGCTAATGGCGGACACAACACAAGCAACAACCACAACGCACACATGATGAATACACATCAGCACAACCGTCTGGGAATCTTTGAATTGCCTTACGACATTGTTCTACGGATATTCTCGCATTTGGATCAACGCAACCATTTGAAATGCATGGCGGTTTGTCGCTACTGGTACGACGCGGTACCGCAAGTCAAAAGTCAGCAAGCCTGGAAAACAATTCATCTCACAAGACACGATGCTCACGTGCTAAAGTATCGGCGGGATCGATGCCTTGGGCCACATGTCAAAAATGTCACTTTTGACACAATACGAAACGAAGAAGACTTGTATGTCCTGATGCGAAAACTTCCCGATTGGGGGTGTACGCAAATAGTGTCTTTGGGTAAGAAGAATCATATACATACAGTAACCGCAGCTTGGATATTTAAGAAGCTTGTTCTTCTAACCGCCAAAACATTTTATTTTTCCTCATTCTATCCTACTTAGAATTCGAAGATTGTACCACTGACAACCAGGTTGCTTTTTCTGATCTGCTTAGAATGGTTGTGCCTCATGTCAGTCATTTAAAAATGATTCAACATCGCTCAGCGCTATTTTTTCCACACGTCATTGCTGCATGTCCCGATCTCAGTCATTTCGTGTATAAAAATCCCACCCTTCGCGCGTACAAAAACCTCATAAATATGAACGACCAACTCAGCTATATCAGCAGAGTCCCATTACCACCAGGTCTTTTCAACAATATGGTGTACTTGAGTTTGGATGCCACGGTCGATTGCGAACGGTACATAGAGCCCATACTGCAACGCTGTCCCAACCTCCGCTATTTTATCGGTGAAAGTGGGGAAAGCACTTCATTATCATCATCAAGACAGGCTATTTATTCAGAAGCTTACTCGTTACATGATGTGATGGGCCACTCCATTGCCGCTCGACTTGGCCCATTGCTGTCTCGTTGGTGCCCTAAACTCATCCATCTCAAAGACCACTATACTTACTGCGATCGTACCGAAAACGTGCCCGACATCGACGGACACAATAGCAGCGACGACGAAGAGCAACAACAGCAACAGAACGGATTACGTTATTTAAATGTTTTTGAAGGGGTTGGTCAAGAGCATATTGGTCCAGCATTGCTACGTAGCCAGAACACGCTTGAGTACTTCTCCATGGAGATGTATCCAGATGCGTTTTTGGAGAGTGATGATTGGTCACGCTTATTCCACACCCTCAGCTTTTCTCGACTGCGATCATTGAATCTCTACAACGTCGATTTTGACAGCACCTCGATTGTCACGATGCTCAACCAAAGTCCAATGCTGGAAACTCTGACTCTGAAGAACCATATACCTACAATGTCAAATCCACTATCACCACTACAGCAACCTTTGCGACTTCAAACGATGCTGTTCGTACGGACGCTACACTTGGACAACATTCAACCTTTCGATGGTCTATCCCTTACTACGCTTCTCGAAAGCTTCCCAGCGCTAGAGAAACTCGAGCTCATTGACTTACCCTCAACACTGAGCTTACCTCGTATTTTCGGACGCTTTTCGCGCTTAGGACATCTTCACATTGAAAATGTTCCTTGGACCTACTCAGATAACGACTCTCATGTTCCAACCAGCAATGACTATGCCAGCATGCCTTTCGATTGCAACAGCGAAACCATTGCTGCAAGATTTTTTCGACAAATACCTGCATGTGAAATGAAACTCAATGTTTTCCACCTAGAGCAGGACTCAATAATGCCCGTAATTACAACTAGAAGATTCTCCTACGACCCTTTACTACTTGCCCTGGCAAAAATTTCTACGATAAAAGAGTTGCGTATCGACCTAGATCCTGATTCTTATACAGACGAAGGATTGCTTACGTTTCTAAGAGAATTAAGCCTTCGACAACAGCAACAACAACAACAGCAACAGCAACAAATAACAGCAGGAATTGAATCGCTCTTACTCCGAAATGTACGTAGCATGACCAACCTGGCGTTATTTGATGCTTTGGCCGAGCTACCATGTTTGAAGACTTTGGCCGTATTATCAAGAGCTATGCCTACGTGCACAGAAGTCAACCTATCTGGATTGATTTCTATGCTGCAGAAGAGTAAAAGTATGACTCTTGCAATGTTCGAAAACGTGTGGCTGGTTTCTCCTGCAGATTCGTATACACAAGGAGCTTACGACGACTTCGCGCCCCACCTGGACGATGATTTGGAAGTATGGATGCGTCAACAACTATTTCATCGATATAATGTTAGCTTGGATGACTATGATGTTTCTATAACTCTGTAATATAAGAGAAAAACTGACATGAATAGTGTATGATGAAATAAATACTTTTCTTTCAAATATTTATATGCAATTATGTGTTTTACTTTTCCTTTTTTTTGCTACCAAACAGTCTTCGCATCCTTAATACCCGGACTAACATGCATTTAAAGAAAAAGAACGAAAAAGAAGTCCGCTACAAAACGCGTTCCGCAGCGACATCGCGTTTATTTCGTGTCGAGTCAATTTTTTTCTTCTTTTTTCTCCTCTCTACACTCGTTCCCCTTTTTTCAAGTGTTTCCACAAAGAAAATGACGGGCAATTCATTCTCGTTTACTTCTCGATCGCCTACAAGCATGCGCACAAGCAATGGAAAGACACTCAGTTTATCACTGTCCAAAAGACGCAAACTCAGTGCCCCAGAAAGCGATTCACCTACTGCTCTTGCTTCAGGAACGAATGAAATTCAGGTAGATTTTTCTGCTTTCCCACCTCTTCATAAACTTGTTACTGAATCGGTGTTAATACTTGAATATATTTACAGGGATCTTCTGATAGTAGTAGTAGCGTAAGCAATAGCAGCAACACTAACAACAACATTCGTTTCTCAAACAAATCGATCGATTCACGCGCCTCGTCAGCATCTGGGTCATCGTCTGGCAGCTCAAAAAATCTATTACTAAAACCAATCAAGTTTAAAAAGGGAGATGTTGATGACGAGGACGATGAAGTATTAGACGATGGTGCATTCAACGATGACTTTGCAGACAGTCCTGGGTTCTGGGACGAGCTGATTCAGGCGGAAGAGAGTATCACTCAGGGCAAGGGCAAGCAAGTAATCAAGAAAGAGACTATCATTGAAGAACAGATGGAATCTTTATCGGTATCGGTCGTGCCTGCGCCACAACAACAGCAATCGCTATCGCCATCTATCCAAGTATCAACTCCTGTTCCTACGAAGCGCAAGATAGTGGGCGAAAACGTGTTTGTCGAATCATGTGTCAGAGAATGGCAAGGTTCTCGTATCAAAGCATGGGAAGGCCGTTACCTCGTAAGTTCTGGTTGGTTGAAAGTATTGTCATGACGGGTTGGAAGCCAGCGAGGAAGAAAAGAACAAGCAATATTAATGAAGACCCGTTTTTTATAGAATCCTGAAGGTTATTATTATCGTTTTGTGGTTCCTGGCGAAGGTCAGCAAAATGGCGGCTGGTCCAAGCACGAGCATGGGCTGTTTATGGCACGATACAATGAGTGGATGTCGAAAGGCTGGAAAATTGGTGCATCATGGGGGTTATTCAGCAAAGGAATTCCACATCGCGTTGGCTATCAATGTATGAACTACTACCGCAAACTCGTCAGCGAAAACAAGATCAAGGACGATTCGTATGCCATGGTGGGCGGTAAATTGAAACAGATCCACAAGGAACGTGCCCCAGCAGGAGAGATTCCGACGACAGAGTTGGGCTCAGAGTGGCAGGATGAAGAAGTAAAACATGTCGAACAGGATGTGGATCGATGGCTCAAAGAATATCACCGTCGTAGTGGAGTGTAAGTTTTGTTATACAGCTCGCGGGATTTAGCTCAGTGGCAATTCATAACACATGTATTATCCGCTCCTAGGGTACAAACGGCAAAGCCGACTCCAGTACCGAAAAAGTCCGCGCCACGCGTAGCTCGAACAACCTCATCTTCATCCAAAAATCATATCAAGAATCTAGTTAACAAGATGCCGCCACCTCGCCCATTCATTTTCGATGATGACGATGTATTCATGGAAAGCACTGAGCCGGACCGTGTACATTTAAACAACAGTCGCAAATACGACTGGGAAAAGGAATGGCGTGAGCGATTGGATACCTACAAGGAGTTTATGAAACCGTTCCTTCATCCTAGCACTCGACATGCTTATTGGCAATCAAAACAAGAGTGGCGAAGAGGTCTTTTTACAACTGAAATGTATGTTTTGACTCTCTTTTTCTAATATATGATAGGCAGCTGTCTTACTAACAAGTTCTTCAACCATACATTTGCTTTAGGCTACTTATGAAGAAGCCAGCCAAGTCGGCTGCTTTGGAAGAATCCAAATCCACGATAGTATCGACAACCCCACCAGTACGGCAAGCATTCCTTTCGAAATGGTTTGCTGGCGCTAAGAAGCCGAAAACAGATACACCTGAAGAGTTTATTTCCAATGTGCGGATACCCAATGAACTGTACAGCGGCGTACACCAGATCATGCCTTTGGCGATGAAGCCAGTCGTTGATGAAGACCACGTTCACTACTACGAATTGGATGACATGATGGATTGCACTGGTATGCTAGAGGCCGTGCTCGGTGAATCTCAGCCAGGCTTTTCTGCGTTAGAAGGCATTCTGGTGGACCCACCATGGGAGTTCTATATCAAAGATGGGCGCAACGACGGACGATGCACTTGGAACCTAAAGCATGTGGTAAAGAGAATAGTTTTTTCCAAATTATTTAAATCTAAAGTGAAAATAGAAAGCATAGAGCATGACTAAACAGTGTTGTCTGTTCCTAGATGGATTTGCTTAAGAAGATTGTAGACCATATGTCAGCTGGCCTGGTTTTTATGTGGACACATAAGCTTCTACAAGCTGACGTAGTTAGAATGATGGATGCCTTGGGTAAAGATTGAATGGGAGGCAAATTGTTTTAGGGAGGAGAATAACCACGAGAAGAAGGCTTACATCATAGTTAATCAACTTTTAGATTGTAAATACGTTGAGAACCTTGTATGGTTCAAGAAATCAATCAACAACGACATGCTCGACGAGCCAAGCCCATATATCAGCTCGACGAAAGAGATTTTACTCATGTTTAAAAAAGGCGATGGGTTCGAACTACGCCATCAACGCTCCCCGGATGTCATTATCGACTTTGAACTTCCTCCACAGCAGTGGATCAAAGACGAATTTACCGAACCGAAGCCACAGGCCGTGTATGATATGATTGAAACGTTACTGCCTCGTGCCGGATACAACGAAGAGCTTAAACGCGGGCGCTTACTAGAACTGTAAGTAGTGTTTATAGTATTGATCTAAAATTAAAGCACGGAAGAGTCTTTTTTATTACGGATTTAATTCCTTTTATTAAACAAATATGTATATACATCATCCTTTTTCTAGGTGGGCCAAGCGAGCATCACCCCGACGAGATGGATGGATCGCATTCCATCAACGAAAGACTTCAATTGTAAATAGTATACTACACACATAGTCCCACCAACGATGCGGTCATTTTCCGAATCGTTTCTATTATCATTGGCACATTTATACATATTATTAGTCGTTTAGCAAAATTCAATAGCACGGATGTAAATATACTTTTCTATTAAGGAAGACGATACAATAGACATACCTTCCACATCTGCTAAAGATGTATCCTTTTTAGCGGCTATCAAATACATTTCCGTGTAATCGTCTGGACTACGCCGTCTTTCTGTTACAATTTCGTCTTCCTCGTCCTCTGTGGGCGGTTCTTGATGGTCGCTCGTTGAATCTGGATCAGTGCTAGGTTGCTGACGCTGCTGTTTTCGGCCATGCTTATTGTACACACGTCTTGCTGCAATCCAGTAGTTTGCCGTAGAGCGCGTATATACCTCACTTGTGTTTGGAAACCTATAGAGGATAAGCAATAACGATAGACATTCAGCGAAGGAAAAGGCATGATGGTTTATTTCACATTAAATAGGAGAGTTTGTGGAAAGCTTACGTTTCAAAGTCACTGTTGAGATCCAGTAGTTGTAAAAGCATATCGTTGCTAACTGTAAATGAGTCCTTTCGCTGTTCTAGCAAAGTGGAGCGCATATTGAGGGTGGCGTTGTCGTAAAAAAAGCTGCGGAAATGCTTTCCTAATGAAAGGCTGATAAGAAGAAAAAAGATTGATTAGCAGACCAGACAAATGATGTAGATCCAAGTCAAAATGCGGATACTGTTTACCTCTTTTCCTGCTTGGTTTCTTTGTTCTCCTTCACTGTAGCAACAGCAGTATTCAACTCGTGTTTGACAAGAAAACCTTCGAGCTCGGGAAGACTTGTTGTGCTGGTAATAAATTCGTCGGCGCCATCAGCAAACGAGGGTATTAAAAAGCTCCACAGAAGGTTGCTTTCATTATGCTAATACGGTACTCGATATTATTAGTATAAGCCCCCCTTACACACACGCTACGATCCTTCTATTCGCATTTGTGGTTTTTCTTACCTTATAGATGATCAAAAGATACTCTTCAAGAAGCTCCTGTTCTTCCATAGCCAACGCAGACCTGCTGCTAAGATATACCCGTACAATCTCGTGAAATTCACCGTGGATCGGCTCTGTGCGAATTTCCAGGTCTGGGGCAGCTTCTTCTTGTTGTTGCTCTGTCGGTTCTTGCGTATCGGATGAATCTTCTGGTTTGCTTGAGTCTTTGGTATTTGTTGATGAGAAATAGTCAAGGATATGGGTATTTGACAACGTTCGCGTGAATGATTTAAATCCGGATAACTGTTGATTTTTTGCTTGGTTAAAACGTACACTATTCTCTCCTCCAGTCACAAGCATAGCATATGTTACCTTGTCCTTTCTGGTATTGATAGCAGATTGTTCCTGCTGCAGAATATCGTCCTGTTGGTGTTGCTGCATCTGCTGACAGACATACTTACGCAAGGACCGTACATCTACCATACTTAAAGAGTCCGAGCGATAGACCAGCTGATCCTCATCCAAAACCATTATATGAGCCACTTCATATTCGTCCTGCAGTGCTTGATCTAATTTTCGCATCGGTTCTAATTCGTCCTCGTTATACCGGATCGTCGGCACACCGTTGAACACGCCGGAAAATACCATCCGATCAAGCCGATCAAAATCCCACTGCCAAATCCATTCAGAGAAAAACTCCTCAATCCGATGCATCAGGACACGACGATCCAAAATATCCAGTATCGATGTCATAGTTCCGTTCAGCAGCTTGAACTGTTCATAACCGAGCTTGAGCACGCTCTCGATTGCTCGATCATTCAGCTGAGAATCCAAGTATTCGGTTACAAGTTTTTCTTTGCCTTTTTGATCCTTGACTTGTTTGCGCAAAACGGAGAGTTCGATACACATATGCAACCAAAAGCCTGGCTCTGGCTGGAGAAAGACGAGTCGGTTCTTTTGCGAATGGACGTTCTGTGCAGAATGCGACGGTGAAAATGCCCTGCAGAAGCATTACAGTAGTGTTGTTAAGTGTGTGTACTTGAGAACAACTCCTCTTCTTGATAAGGCAAGATGTGAAATGAAACGATGCGTTACGAGCTGAAATTCACCAATGCTTGTGCTAATCCAACCTGTTTCATCTTGACGTCGGCTGGAACCACTTTTTTAGCGGTGTAATAGAGAATTTGATCTTTAGTGTTTTCCTCGGATTGCGCGAGAGACGGATTATAAACACAAAAATAAGATAACGTTGGTGGAGTGCGGCCAAGTTGCGGCATTGCTGATGTTGTCGCCATTGTCGTGGTGGATGAAGCTGTCGTGCTGCTCACGAGGGTTTGCGTGAGTGTGCGTGAGTTTGTTGAACAAGAAAGCTGACACAAAACACGAAAAGGTTGTGTGAGCTGCAGGAAAATTGTGTGGAATTATTCATTCATAGCACCGATCAACAGCTTGTTGTGCTACTGCTTCAACACACATCGAGCATGTGGCACCTTGCTAACCTTTATTAGACCAAGACCGAAGGCCGAGGAAGAGATTTCCATGTAGTATATGTGACGGATGAAGTAAAAGAAGTATAGAAAGATGTATTCGCCTTGCATGATGCTAGCAGAAGAAATTCTTTGGTAATCTTGCTTTCATGACAACTGGGTACAATTGAAAGTAGTAGCTTGATCTTCCTTCCAAGGCTGTTTTTCTTCAAGGCATGTTAATCTCGATAACCCCATACTAGCCAATACTGTTAATAGCCTGGATGGGTGACGGGTCATCTTATATACTTGGCATCGTGTCCAAGCAGAGGCATGGCTTAATAAAAAGGCGTTTTCATCATCCACGCAACTGCTTCTGATTTCTTGAAGGTGCATCAAATATATCATATACTACCTCTTTTTCGCATCATATACTGCTAAAGTTCATCAGCGCTACGTATTTGTATTGAGTAGACTGTAAGCAATTGGTGACTGATGCAAATGTCAAAAGAATATCAAAAGCCCATACTAGCATTATTCTCTGCTAGCATCAAAACTACACCATGAATGCTGAAACTAGCGGGAAACTTGGAAGGTTATCAAAAACATGTTTAAGCAAATTTATTCCGGTGCTATAATGTGCTTCAAGTAGTGGTGGTTATCGTCTAGTCATCTTCTTGACAGTAAATTATTGGTTATTGGTACTAACCAGGCAATTTTGCTTTGCCGCGGCGGGTAAGCGAACCGTTTCTTTGACGAGTTGAAGTACCGTAAAATTAAGGTAGGTATGTATCTTGAGGATTGAAAGTATCGCTAGGTACTAAAGACTGATTAGATAAGTTTGGCTAAAGAAATGCCTGGGTCGGGCAATGTAAATCTGTTACATATGGCTGGGTGTGCAGCATGCTGCTGCTGGGCCGGACCAATAGACGGAATCAAGCGAATTAGGTAACACAGCCTGAACAAACAATTGTTGTATAAGGGAGGTGCGGTCGATCCTTCCCATTTTCTTTTCTTTTCCTTCTTCGCATCACCCATCATATCGCTTGTTGATATGTATCCCTACGGACAGCAACCTCCATATCCCCCTCCTCCACCACAACAGCAACCTCAATACGGTGCTTATCCACAGCCTGGAGGGTATCCCCCGCCACCAGCATCGCAAGCTTACCCTCGACCACCTCCACCTCCAGGAGGCGGTTATCCTCCTCCACCACCAACAGGTCCTTATCCACCACAACAGCAACAAGGAGGTTATCCTCCACCACCTCCACCGCCGGCGGGCTCATACCCGGGCAATGCTGCACAATCGTCGTACCCACCACCGCAAGGGGTAATGACAAACTCGATTCTGATTGGGAAGAAAACGGAAGAGGCAAAGTTTTGACACCTGATCGGGTTTCTTTTCATTATATATAGTACGCACCACCTACTTCGACGCCCCCGAATTACCGACCCTATGCGGGCAACGAACGTATACAACCACCAGCATATCAAGGTAACTTGGCATTATTGTTCGAATGCGAAATGAGACCAATATTGCTGACAATGAGAGGTGGACCTTGCAGGTCAAGATCCTGTGTTCAGACCCCCGAATCAACCCGTGAACTATCCACAACCTCCTCAGTCAAGCCATAATGCCCAACCTAATCCAGGTAAAGTTCGTGTACTCTACAGAGAGACGTATATCTTCGTTTACTGACAGTGTCCTATCATTTAGTGCCTTATGCACAGACCCCAGGCAGTGGCAATATGAATGGCTTTGTGATGCATGTGAATCCTAATATGCAAAACCGACCTCCTCCAAACTTTCAACTTTCCAACTGTAAGTTTATATCATTAGAATTGCAAAACTGCGAGAGGCAGAGGAAAAAAGGAAACTGATCCCCTCTCATATTCCTCTTACAAGGTCAAGGACGCAAGCGAGCATTATTGATTGGTATCAACTACTTCAGATCGCCAAATGAACTCAAAGGTAAACGCACAGAGATATACTGAGATTGAGAATGAAGGGAATGTTTACGAGGATTCAACGTGTTGTTTTCTAACGGCTTGTGTATAAAATAATGCTTCGTAATAGGCTGTATTAACGACGTACACAATTTGAAAGATTTCTTGATGAAGTTGTACAACTTCCGTGAGGTAAAGCATAATCGATTTAAATGTAGGGTTGTGGCAAGCATTTGTTACATGTACTGAACAGAGCCTTTTCTTTTTGCGTGTGCCTTGGCAGGAGGATATGATTATTCTGACAGATGATCAACGGGACCAACGGTTTATTCCAACAAGAGCAAACATGCTTGCCGCCATGGAATGGCTTGTGCGGGATGCACGACCGAACGACTCGTGAGTCTTTTTCTTTGTTTATCTGTCGTTGTTTTTGCATAATTGGATCATGTGAGCTGTTGCTGCGTGCAGTACACTGACTGTTGGCGTTTCTATTTTAGGTTCTTTTTCCACTTCAGTGGACACGGTGGCAGAGTCAAGGATACAAATGGTGATGAAGATGATGGATGGGAGTAAGTTTTGCGGAATTGTACGGCAACAATAATTGTGGATGGATTTGACAAACGGGCCAAAGTACTCAACTGCTATCTATATTGGGTCCTTGACAGTGAGACTATTTATCCTGTGGACCATCAGATGTTTCCCGGAAAATCGGGCCAGATTGTTGACGACGTAAGCCCTTTCCCCTAAAAATACATCAAGGGACGAGGAATGGGTCAATGTGGTTGGTTAGGTGTCGGTATGTTTTATTTAATACTAAAAGTGCTCCATTAGCAAATGCATGATATTATGGTACGCAGATTACCACCTGGTTGCCGTCTCACGGCTATCTTTGACAGTTGCCATTCTGGAACTGCAATGGATCTGCCATATGTTTACTCGACACAAGGCACATTGAAGGAAACAAACGTCTTTAAGGACGCAGGCTCGGGTTTGATGAATGCGGGTATGGCTTATGCTTCTGGAAATATTGGTGGTGCGCTTTCAAGCGTCATGTCCATTGGAAACAAGCTGTTGAACGGCAAGTCGGTGGATGATCGTGTCAAACGGTTCAAGAGCTCAGCAGCCGATGTGGTCATGTTTTCGGGTTGTAAGGATGAACAGACTTCTGCAGATGCCTTTGAAGCGGGTCGATCGACGGGCGCAATGTCTCACGCTTTTACGAGTAAGTATTTATCTCTAAAAGATCGTCTGTTGCTAACGTGGAAATGTGCTGGATAAGAGCTAACGGGACAACTGTATTTCTTTAGGTGCATTGAGGGCCAATCCACGTCAATCGTATCTTCAGCTTCTGAACTCGGTTCGAACAATTCTTCGCGAAAAATACTCTCAACGACCTCAACTCTCAAGCTCACATCCTATCGACGTCAATCTGTTGTTTATCTGCTAAAAGTCTAAAGGAAGAAGTCGAAAATAAGAAAAGAAAAGCTATCCTGCTTCAGTTCGGGCTCGCAGCCTTCAGTATGTTGTTAAAATGTTGTGCTTGCTGATTATGGCATCTACAGTACACAATAGATCATGACAAAGAAACAGCGAGTTGCATAAATAGGATTAGTCCAGCTAGTATGATGTTTAGTAGTACACATCACCGTAACCGTACAAAAAATGCATAAAAGTACCCAAAGTTTGTTAGTGACACAATGACAAATGCTTTTTATAATAGCGCAATTCAAGTCAGCTCCCCATCTTTATTATTAAGTCTAACACTAGTGCATAACCCCACACTGTTCACTAATGGCAACAGAAGCAGACATTGAAACATTCCAAGCATTCCGCGTTTATGATTTCGACAATGACGAAAAGTTTCAGGTAGAAACAGAACGGTTGCCTTCATCAGTGGTTGACACGCAGTCTAATTTGAACGTTTTGACTTTCTAAAGAGTGGCATGGCGAGCATTTTAAAACGTGCCGAAGACGATCCTTCGAGTCAAAATGACGTTGTTGAGCGTGCAAAGTGGTTCTATTATACAAAGTATCTATCACCATTTTCCTTCCTAAATTGGAAGTTCTATAAAACACACATATACATATACATATGTTGACATACTCTGTATATACATAGGTTTATTAAAAGCTTCGATCTGGATGAGTACCGAGGATGGAACTCGAATGATGATACTGGCAGTAGCAGCGACAAGAAGGATGGCATAGCAGCAACAGCAACAGAAACGGAAGAATCCAAGGAAACGAATGATAGTAGGGATAGCGAATCAGAAAAGAAAGAAGACGGCGATAAACCACCACGGTTCACTTTCCAAGAACTTGTGGAAATGATTGAAACGGGGCAAGAAATTCCAGGTAAAGACTATTTTGCATAAACTTGACACATGTGCGCGCTTGTTCTAACATCCAAGTATTTTTCTTGTTTGTTCTATTTTCCCCCTGAAAAAACAAGGCATTCGCCAGATCCCTAATAAGATCAATGAAGGCACGCCGAGTGAGCCGAAACTTTCGGTCCGACGGAAACCTTGGGAGTCAGCAGCAGCAGCAACTCCAGCAGCAGGAGAAGAGGCACAACAACCACAAGTAGCAACTCCAGCAACAGCAGCAGCACCATCTTCTTCATCAGGATAAAAGGAAAAACATAGGAGGGGACTTGTTGCCTGACGATGATGAAAAGACATTAGCATTTCTTTGTCCAAAACAAGGAAAAATTGTCTTCTTTTTTCTTTTTTTGTAAATAATTCTGCATGGCAGCATGGAGAGCCGACATGCTTCTTCTCATTTTTACTTTTCAGAGACTTTCTCTACAATTAAAGGGGGAAAAGCTGCGATTTGATTGAGGAGGAAAAGCAAAAATTTAGTTCATGGATATGATATTACCACAGGAGAAGAAGACAAGAGGTATATAGAAGAAGAAAAGGAGCCTTGCCGAAAAAGTAAAGTTAAAGGGATGGAGCAAGCAAAAGGGGCCAAAAAGCACCATACATGCTTAAATGGCGGATTTAAACTTGGATGCAAGGGCTATCAGGTGCGTCGTTGGCGTAATGTAACGAGAAAAAAAGGAAAAGTAAATAAAAAGGGATCTCATTGCTGGAGTTTGGAGCTCTGCACCCTGCATTTGTACTTGTCATCGTAATACACCAGTCAAGTGCAATCTTATGCGTCCTACAGGAGGAAGTAAAAAATCCATTGAAAGCGCTATCTACAATGTCCTCTGTTCGTACGCCACGGCATAATTTTGCAGTTTGCATATATTCAATAAGCATCTGCTACCGAGGTTATACATATAGTGATTGGATAGTAGACATTAGTAGAATCGTTAAAATATACATATCTTAAACAGAAAATCCGTTTAATAATCGCTTATTTCTGTTTGATTCGTTGGGGTGATGTGAATGCGTACAATGTAGGTACATGTAAACAGGTTACATATGTGGCTGTTGTTTGAATAAGCTCATACAGGACGTTATCAACATCGTAGACGGGCAGCAAGCGCACATGTGCGCGTCGTAATAGCGAGTTGCTATTTGCTATTTCTTGCATGTTGTGTGCATTGTATGTAACAGCATGCTACTATAAAATAAGGACCAACTTTAATGCATATTACCGATTCAAGGGCTACCAATAACTTGGGAAGAAGCTCCTGACATTGATTTGTAGATAAGTTACATCTGGTTTTCGCCTAATAATAGTTCTATATGGTAGCTATCACCTTTCTACATCTACTAACTCATGGAACGTGTTGATGATCTTGTGCATACATTAACAGGACATACATACATAAAATGCAGTGGCAAGTAATGCTAGCAGATATAAGAAAGAGACAGATTGGCCGAACGTAAGTAGACGCACTACCACCAATTCAATTTATTTTAATCACGAGTGTGTGATGTTGGGAAACAAAACAGCTTAAGTTCCATCATGTAATGTTCTTCACTGAACCATTGAACCACTGAGCTGTCATCTCACCAGGCGTCAAATACTAGGTGATGCCACCACTCTATTAATGCTTCTGTTGTGGTACATTGCCCATTGTCCTAAATAGACCAGTCTGTGGAAATGCATAAAAGTTCAGAGTTTGTTGTGGCAAAGCTGCGTGGTGGGACTCTACTGCGCAGTGTAAGAAAGGCTAAAAGAGAAATCGGGCATATATCAGACCTGGATACCTCACTTGACAACAAACTTATATCCGGATTACAGTATATATTAAGAAAAATCTGAGAATCGGGGATGCAAGGAATGGGAGGTTACAGATAAGTTAGCAGCAGGATCTATGACATAATAGACCCAGCAACCAAAATTCAGTGTACCGTGAAGCAACTGATATGTAGCAGTCTGTAAAATAGCCACATAGTATGAAAGAAGAGTTGTTAAAACTGAAGAAAGCTACGTACCACTACCACTACCATTACTGTTACTACCACTCTTCTACTATGTACCAAACTGCATATAATGATATCGGAAGTGTAATGTCGTATCTTTATTATCGTTGTTCGTATATGCACATAGTTATTAGGTACATCGAACTATTGTATATACTATATGTACAGTAAAACGTTGGTCAACAGTTTTATAAATTGACACGTGTGTGCAGAGCATGGGCGGGGTTCGGGAATTTGTGGGGTATGGATGAGCAAAAAGAAAAAAAAAGCGAATGGACAAGCAAATAAACTGGAAAGAATGTATAAGCCGTAATGTAGAAGAGAAGGAGGTTGAAGAAGAAGAAGACTGAGATAATAAGCAAAAAAAAGCAGGAGAGTGATAAGTATGGACTTAGCAGTAGTCACTCAAAATGCGAATTCATGACATCCACGTCGAGTTGGATCGGGAGTGGTTGGGACCGATTTTGAATACATTTTCTTGACGGCTGTTCTATGTGGAGGCGGCGGAATAGGAATGCTGTTGAGCTTCAAAAATGCTTGATCGTCATTAAAACGTTTCTTCTGACGACGGCGTTCACCTCTTCCTAGACGTAGCAGATCCTTGAGCCAAGCGAATAATTGGGTTGTAGAATTGAGCATAATGCCCAATCCGAACTCAGCTGCTAGTAATACAAGCCGAATGGATATAAATGAAGAGGTCAATACGCTGGTGACAACTGCTAATGAACCGAGAATGGATAGCAAAGCTGTCATGATCGGTGCAAGCAATATGTAGCCGATCGTCGAGGTGATAGACGCTGCTGCTGCTTTCGCTCTTGTGGTCACGGTCATTATCGTTGTCTGTTGTTTTTATTGCGGGAATAAAGTGAGATAGTAAAGGCTGCTGTCGTTGTGGAGGAGGCGAAAAGGGGAGGGAAGTAGAAGGAAAAGAAAGAAAAAGCTGGGAAGCGAGCGGTATATAATTTCTTAATTTTTCGGTCTCCACCTTGAGAGGGAGCGGCATCATCATCTGTATCACATGCTTTGCTGAACAGCTCAATCGTCTTGTCCGGGGTAAAAAATGTGTAACTTGACGCTCATGCCTTTTCTGGAACTGACGATTTACGATCACATGGCACTAAATCGATCCAATCTTTTTTTGTGGGGGAGAGATTCACGAAGAAGGGAATTGTTTATCATCAGCATGTTTAATATCCTCGCTCATTCCTTATCTATCACCAAGCGTTGCAGTTACTCATTGGTTCACAGAATCAATCAGAGATGATGAGATCCACGAATAAGAATTTTCTTCTCACGTCCAAATTAATATTGTTGCTCTCCATCTTCATTATGGCAGCATGAGTTTTTGCTGTTTATGTGCTTTCATAGAGATCGTGAGGATCCAGAAAAAAAAGGTTGCTGTCTCATGGTAACACAAAGCATATGCAGGCTGCAGGTAATGCAGCCCATAGAAAGTATAAATAGATTCGCCGTTGCCGAGTGTGTCATTAGGAAAGAAAAAAGGTTGGCTGCGGGGTTGTTGTTCATACATTACTTTTCCCGTATAAAACAACCGTAAATAATGCAAATGATGATATGTGTGCGCGCGTGTGATTTTTGCATCAAAAGTATAGCAGTGGCTATATAAGCATCGGCTTTGTCACTGCTGCTTCCACCAAAGACGTCATCAGGCCATGTCAGGAGTTAGATGAAAGAGGAAAGGACGTCAGTCATTTTTCTGTGTGACCATGAGCTTTTTCAACAATAGTAATCCACGCTGCAAACATGTCATTGGCGTAATCTTGTACTGTGTACAATAGAGTAACGGCTGTAAGAAGTGTACATAACAACGTGCTAATGAAGGGGGGCAACATAATATACGCGTGTAGGGTAGCGGCTATCACTCTTTGTAAGGTCTATATATAACATACTACCAGCATATCATCTTAATAATGTCATTTGCTCCCTGAATTATTCGTGATGCAGGTATCTGCATTGCACTAGAGAAACCTGCACAGCTCTATATATCATTAGTAGCTACTACTCGAGCTCTGACTATGAGCAGCTGCTGTTGTCTCTAAAATATAGGTGGCAGCAGCAGAGCCGTGTCTCAATAGAAAGACACAACCCCGTTTTCTCTTTCTCTCCCCCCTTCCCGAATCGCGTACTTTATTCTTATACACGCTAAGAAAAAAGGTCACAGAAAGATGGTTTTTGTTAATGCAGTGTCATCGGCACAGTATCGGAGATGTATGTACATGGACCTAAAGTACGTAGGTAGCAAACATATGAAGTAGTATAAGAAAGTGACAGGTTAATAGATCAATTATCCCTTCTTGTCCGAATAGGCGTCATTTTTTACGTGAGTTATTTAATCTGTAAATAGTGCTCACTACTATATAAGTTTGATGTGTTCTTGGATCGCGAGAAAATGACCTCTAGATAAGTTATATAGAGATGTTATACGCACGCGATCACAAGAAAGTGTGCATATCCCCTATTGTCAATCTCTGCACTACTTCTTTTATTCAACTAAAAAGTAAGCCATATACAAGGGTTGATGTGGAGCCCGTGCTGCTGGGCGTAAAAATAAGAAAGAGATGTCATAATTCGATGTGTTTATGTTGTACATTATTTAGAGATAACCAACATGGTCCATGTATAAAAAAGATGGGAGTTGTTGTTGTTGTTTTTGGCTTCTGTGTTTGAATGCGTGCGTATAATCTGTGGACGTGCTGTATGGTTGCTCAGTTGTACATGTAGTAGTGCGTGGATAATTATAATAAAGTTTCGGGTCAGTAAAGGGGAGGGAGAGAAGGAGAGAGGGGGAGGAGGTGTATAAAGGGAGGATGCAGTTCGGATAATAGGGTAAATAGCAGCATATCACCGGAATACTACAGTAAAAGGAAAGACGGGGGTTTAGGTAAGAGCAAAAATAAAGAGTTCAACAAGGAGATGATAATGCGAATTAGCAGCAACAGCAGGAGAGAAGAAGAAGAAGAAGAAGAGAGCGAGCAAGAAAAAGAATAAAATATGTGGTTCTAAAAAACGATACATGATGATGGTGGAACTTGCTTTACAAAAAATGTGGTCTGTTAGTATGTGGCATATGATGGTCGGTGTCGTCGGCTGAATTGACAAATTGTCGATCTCCACTTGTATATACACATCATCATGGATCGTTACGCGATATTGCAAAGAACACAATAATAAATTCTTCCCCTAATGACGATTCTTCTATATAGCGACATGAACTCGCTCTATCTGTGGGTGCGTGATACTCGGCAGTCCAAGTCAGTACAAATTTGTTTTCCTGGAAACTTAAAAAAAACGATCATACTCGAGAGACAGGATTACCAAAGTTGGCTTAGAAATTGTATAATAAAGGAAAAAGAAAAGGGGGTTTCGATGCGCCCGTTTGAAGATTTGGCGGCAGGTGCGTGAAAGCTTGATACACACGCTCACGTTCGCAAAGAGAAGGTTAGGACGACGACGACGACGACGTTGCCCCCAAATATGGACTTATATACAGCCAGCATCTTACTCGTTATATACTTTGCACATCGTGAGTGCGAGTGTGTGTAGAGCAGTATATGTATGTGTGTTTAAGAAGCACCCCCACCCCTTAGTGGATGACCTGGCGATATACATCACTTTTTAACGGCTAAACCTGCTGCATTTCCCGCGCGTACCCCTTCGTCTCTCTTCTTTGCCGCAGCTTTTTTTTTTTTCGCCCTCTCCCCCAACAATACCTTCTCCCTTCGTTCTTTCTCTCACTCCCCCTGACAAAAAAATAATTTCAACAGAAAGCTCTTAAGGGATTATAAAAACTCTTGTCTGTTTTTTCTTTTCTTTCATGTGTATTTCCATTTAACATCTTTTTGTATTGTACTAGTAGTTGATCTTTTCCGTTACTCTTCCCATTCGAGGAAACAACAACAAAAAACCTTACCTCTTTTCTTGTTTTCATCTTGTACATTATACTACATCAATACAAAAAATAACAATCATGCCGGGTAAGCATTATTATTCCAGCAACAGCAAACAATGGTGCCATTGTTCAATGTTTACTTACTGGGGTCTTATTAGGCGTCATGGATATTCAACATTTGCTATGCGAACCAACAGCAACTGAGCAGCCGTTGTCGCCAACGTCGTATTCGGCTCCACCACAGCCGCAAGAGCCAGTCATTGATCGCTTTTCTGCATACAGCGCATTCGAAAATGACCACCATTCTCGCGACTACTGGCAACAGCATTATTACCATGACAAAGACGTCCATGGCAACAGCTGCCGCAGCTGCCGTAGCAACAGTATCAGCAGCACAAATAGCAACAGCAGCATGCCCCCTTCACCACCACCAATGCTCGTTCGTAGCCGTACAACAAGCGATGCGTCTTCGCAGGCTTCGGCAAGCCCACGCGAATGGGCGTATCCTGCAACACCTAGAGACGAAGACAGCACGCTATTCCGTTTGGGCTATGAGCCTTACTATCTCGTTCCACAGCAGCAGCAGCAACAACAGACTTTGTCGCCAGTTAGCAATACCACCCAATGCTATAGCAGCAACCACAGCAGTTTGTACCCACTTCACGTTGGTAGTGGTGGGGGAGGCGGTCGTTATCGCGCACCATCGCAAGGTTCTTCGTCATCGTCGGCCTCGTCATCATCGTCGTCACGACGATCGAGATCTACTTCGGCGTCATCAGTCAATGCACCAGTGCAAACGCGTATGGCCTGGACGCCAACAGAAGACGACTTGCTCCAACAAGGGTACGATGAAGGGTTATCGTGGGCCATGATTTCAGCGACATACTTGCCTCATCGTTCACGAGGATGCTGCTGGGGTCGGTTCAAGACGCTTCAGAGCAAGAACTTGGTTGACCCAAAGCGACAAAATGCGCGGTTGTTCCGACGACCTTGGAAAGCAGTCGATGGTGCAAAACGTCATCATCACTAATAAAAACACATTCCCTTCACAACGATTCCCTCCCATCCCCTTCTCTCTCTATATCTCTCTCTCTATCTCTTGTCCCCCCTTATTCTCAACTGACCTCCTCTTTGTATCGGTAAACAAAGGGGCACATATTTTTCATTGCCTTTTCCGTTCTTTTATCCATTTTTGTCCAGACTTATGCAGTATTGACACCGCCAGTCCTTTTACAATCATTTACATTTCCGGACGAAGAACTCTCACTCTCTCATTTTATGCCAGGTGCATCAAGTGTCGTATATATTACATATTACCATTACTACTACCGCTACTTACTACTACTTACTATTGTCCCTCTCCCTTATATGTTATTTCGAATCCTGTACCGTTTTTTCTATTGATACCAAACCATAACCATATGCTTCCCTCTTTTCCTCTTTATAATTGTACAGCAGCAGCAACTAGCAACAGCAACAAATTTTACACCAACAGTATAGGCAGCAGCAGCCTTCTCCTTTCCCCATTCCTTATACATTATACTTCTTATTCATCCCTTTCTATTCTGTATGTGGGCAAATACTTCCTATTGGAGGTCTCCTCTCTCCACCTCCCGTCCACCCACCCCCTGCATGGTTGGTTTTCTTTTCGCCTGCATCACACTTTTCGCCTATTATTCTTCTTTTTTTTTGCCTCGATTTGGCCAATTTTCCATTTTTTGGGCAAAAGGTTTCTTTTTTCTTCCCTAGCATTTCCTTTAATCATTCTTGTGGCCAAGAACTTTAAAAAACAAAATCCAGAGAAGATGCAACAATCTTTCTATATTATTATTATCATCATTTTATTACCATTATTATTATTATTACTTCCTCCAACAATAAAAAACTCCCTCATCTGTGCTTTATATAAAAAACAAGCTTCTTCTTGTTACCAAATGAGTTGTTGTTGTGCAGATGATATATATGCACATCGTGTGCATGTGCATCGGCATGGCTACATGCTGATGATGAGTGCAGCTCAGTTGTGATAGGGCGTATGCACAGCTCACATGTAAATTTCTTAGCATTATAAGACGACTGCACTTAGCAAAATAGGGATGATGATGATGATGTGCTGTAGTAACACTATACAGTAGTGTGAGGAACAGGAGATGTCTCTCCTCTTTTGATTTCCCAGGGGATATAGTATACATTGGAGAGGAGATAAATCACGGAGCCGCGTACATACACACATGCATACATTACATTTACATGAACAAATGACAGCTGATAAGAAAACACCTACTCCAAACCGTGCGTCTCACTATGTTATAGCCGATTGAATATTGAAAGCCTTCGTCTTCCTTACTACTACTTCTCCTTTAATCGTTTCCAATATGGACATTTGCACCAAACGGCTTGCCAGTTTCTAAATCGACATGATCCTTGGGAACAGCAGGTAGATCGCCCAACACAAAATCGATAAACTTTGAAACCATCCATTCATCATCATCGTCATTGGTCGGCGCCTTTTCCATCTTTGCCAATTGTTCGTCTGCATATTCTTTCGGGACAATGCCGGCGTCTCGTCGTAGTGTCAGCAAGATGCGCACTACTTGACGCACAAACTCCGGATGACCCTGTACCGTGATGCATTGGTTATCGTCTGATAGCAATGAATGTATCGGCGTATGCGGTGCAGTCGTGGCCAGACTGTGAAAGCCAGGTGGCAACGTCTTGACATGATCCTGATGCACTTGGTTCATCCGCTATATACGCAATATTAATATTGGATAGGTCTACATATCCCATCCACCCCATCCCCGCGCCCTCCCCCTTTATCTTTCCAGCTTTGGTAATAATTCAAGAATGTAATAGACATCACACGCTGCATATACAGTGTAACGTTTTGTAATGCCACATACCGTGTATGTTTTGTCGGTGCGCAGATAATGTTTACCCATGGGTGTCAAGTACACGGGTATTAAACCAAACTAAGATATGCTAAATGTTAATACTAGAAGCGCGTCCTGTTCTTCTGTCATGATGCGAACACAAAGTAAATATATACCTCCCAACCATTAGGGTTCTTCTCACACGATCCACCGCACGCACGGGCAATAATCTGGTGACCAAAACACACCCCCACCAGTTTGACTTGGGAGCGGAAAGGCTCAGCACGCATCTTATGTACAAACTGCACGAGCTCGAGGATCCATGGCTCGTCGGTATGGGCCGAAGCGGATGAACCGGTTATGACAATGCCGTCAAATGTGCGATTCTCTGCAAGGTCACGCAGATCTGGATACTCTTGCTTGTGTACTGCGTCAAAGAATTGCCACGTAATTTCGACATCGTTGTTTCTGTTAGCTCGCGAAAACACGTCGCTAAACATTCTGGGGTAATCTCCATGCTCTTCACGGACTTCGGGTCTGGGTGTGTCACACACCAGCAATGCTAGCTTCAATTTTCTTGTCATTCTTTTTCTTTGTTATCACAAATATAACGGTGAAACAGAGGAAAAAAGGCCACGCTTTCATTTTGCTGGCGAGCCGGGTGTGAGAACTTTCGTTGACCGACAAGGGCAGTTCATTTAGGCTGCATAAATTTGAAGTTAGCAAATCATGACGGAACGACGAATTGTTTTTGAAGAAAGATTATATTTTAGAAAATAAACTGTTGGTTTTAACTATCTTAATGAGTGCCAATACAGCAGCTCCAGCAAAGTATCCGGCTGCTGTAAATATCTCGTAGCTTAGATAAGGTCTAGCATGAAGGGACTGTTCAAAGGCTGACGACACATTCGGTCCAAACATGGAAATCACCGTAATAAGCAGGAAAAGCGACAGTCCAGATTCGAACCTTTTGGCACCGGTAATAACATACGTAACTGAAGGAGCTAAGAATGACGTGTTACAAGCTTTGGTATTCTTGTGTTATAGAATTATGTGTATTACCCAATAACTTACTTAATGCGATAAATGCCCCACCAAAGAATCCTGCTAGTACACAGAATGCGACGAGTGTTTTGAAGCTATCAGCAGCAATCCATATAACACAACTTAGTGCACATAGTGTACAGTAAAGCATCATTGTGTTAATGTGACCTATATGATCGGCAGTAATACTATGATAGCATATAGAAGCAAAGCTGTCAGCATAATAGAAACACTTGTTGATTTGGGGTATTGTAAAAATCAGTAATTGTATACTTACCCTGACACGAGGTTGCCAACGAAACTCATCCCGGAAACTATGGATATAAGTGCTGAACCCTGCGCTGGAGAAAGTCCGAGATAGGTTGCATGAGCTATGTATGTATATTTTTACAATAAATAAAGCAGTTAAAGAACGTCGAGCTATTATAAGGTCGCAGCAACAGAGTGTCATACCATTCCTTGATACTTACATGGAAGATAGAAATAAGGAACATAGTACGCAGCTTCCATGAAAATGTCTGCAATACACCACAATAGGAAAAGAGGATCTCTTAATACTCAAATTGGAAGATGTCCTTTAATTGTACAGTTTCTCGTTTTCTGCCTTTCTCGAGCGGTTTTACTAAGGCACAAGATATCAGGCCCACGACAAGGACTATAAACCCTTGCACTCGATAGGACCTATAGCATTCAGCATAAACCCCAGCGGTTGAGTTATTACATGACAAAAAACAATTACAGTCTCAAAATGCTTTTTACCATGCACCGCCAAGACAGCTGTTGACTGTTGTCATGATGAATGGCAACGAAAATGCACCGATACATGTTCCTGTAGATGAAATCCCAAGCGCTATTCCTCGTCGTTTGTCGAACCATTGGGGCACAATACTTAGTGCCACCTAATATTCACAAAACAAAGTGTTTCGCTTAGTTTTCTTCTTCTTCTTCGTAATGCCACATATGCAAATATTAGGAACATCTTTGGATAAACATACATAAAACGCAAATGAGGCACCTGCTCCGAATAACACACCTCGGGTCAAATAAAAGTGCCAAATCTCGGTACTAAAACTGGCCGCTTCCAAACCGAGAAAAGACAACGCAACGGCCATGAACATGATATTTTGTAAGCTCGTTACTGCTGACAACAGTCGTGCTACAGGTCCTAAACCATTCAACAAAACGTTGGATATCGTGCCCACAAACGAAACCTGTATCATCGCGTTTGGGAAATCGTGATGCTCGTGATATTCTTGCATAACGCCCCTAATATAAACAATACCCGTTTTAATATTGTTTTAGTGGAAAAATAAGCATTTACCATCCACTCCTTTTTGTCTATACCAACCAAGATTCAGAAATGCCTACAGATATAAACTGCAGCAGGAATCCAACGCACACGATGGCCCATCCATAACCTCCATCCGGCGGGGGTTCAAGTTGGCCGTCTTCGTCTCGATTGCATATTGTGTTACCCCCAGAGGCACCACTTTCCAATAACGGTCGTGTTTCTGGTATTGTTATTTGTCCATTGGTTCATCATTACTACGGACGTGCTAAAACGAATTTGTCCTTTTTTTTTGGTTTGAATCCATAATCCTCCCTTCTTTCTCGCTCTGCAAACAAACCTCCAGCTTCTTCTTCCTCGCTACTTGTTCGATACTCGTATGTAGCATCGTCGGGTACAGAATTAGACGTAGTAGTGTTGAAAGAACAGGTATTCCTTGGATGTGCGATACTAACATTGGGAGTATCGTGACTCCTCTTGTTTTGCTTCGCGACCTGTTGATGATCGTTGTGACCGCCTATTGACGTGCCGGGCATATAGAAGTACTAATGCTTTGCGGGGGTTAAGAGAGGAGGAAGAGTGAGAAAAAAAAACTTGGAGAAGAAAAATTGTAAATGTTTTCGCGCAGATCGAATAAATACAACTCCGAGGGGTCCCCCCCTCTAATAATGTTATCTTGACGTGCACCGTGTATTACGAGTCGATACCATACAGTGATCGAGGAAAGAGCGAACTCAATAAGGAGCTCATTATAAGTTAAGCGGAATGATTAAGACATACGATAATCTTCTGTATTATTCCTCTCGACTTCATGAAATGCGTGAGCATAAAAGTGTATAACAAACCACTCCAGCCTTATTGCATCCGACGAAAGCAATTTGCGGTCGAGCCACCTTCCATCCCTTACTTACCCTTTTTTATCATTGCGCGCTTCATACATATCGCTGCTTATTACCAAAAATTGCTATTTCTATGTGATGAGTGGTATATTAATAGGTGACCACTATCGGTTTCTCATAAGATTGCTATTACTCTTGCTGGTTATATAAATGTGATTATCAATGTCGTAGTGGGCATGATGACCCCGCCGAATGTATGACGAACTCCTGTAAACACTTGATAACCGGAAAACGGTTTCCACGACACACTTCGTGCCAGAGCATCAGCGACAGAAGGAACGAACATGCAAAGCCCAGTCATGACAAGAAACATTGAGAATGCAGAATCAGAGTTGTTCTATGCCCACATTGACAACTGTTACAGCAAATAAAATTCATGTCCAGTACTTCAATGCACCTACTACACTGAAATGAAAGAATAAAAGTGTGAGTTGCCAAAGTGTAAAGAAGGTGCTTACCAATTCGAAAAACGTGCCTCCAAAAACGCCAAAGACAGCCGCGAACGCCATTAAAAGCCCATAACTGCTAACATATGTCCACATAAGAAAGAAGCTAAGTGTTGGGTTAACCCCACAAACAATGGCGGTGCTGACATAATCTGTACTCTTAACTATCAATTAAAAAACATATGAGAGGGTTCTCTTGTTGACTAGTAAAGTAGGATTGGACTGTATAGTGATGCAGCAACAATAAGATACACACTTGAAAAAATTCATGCCACAAGAACCTGATACTAAAGCGGACCTTTGTGATGGCGATAGCTCTGAAGGTGATGTACCATGCGCTAGCTCAGCTAATAGAGTAAGCAATGTCATGACTGTTTATCAAGTAACAAGTTTTATCGGTATTTGCATTTTTCGGGGGAACAAACAAGAGATGTCATACTTGGAAGAAGGTCATAACCAGAGGTCATTACGACAACAACAACAACGACATCATCGTAGATGATCATGCGGCATATAACCCCATTAGGGTAGCTGTAGAGTAGTACGTGTCTACAGATACAAATCAAATTTGGTCAAATAAATGGACTATGAGGTCATACCATTTTATTCTATGTGCATCGCTTTTTACGATAAGATGATAAAGGTACTACTTGAAGAGGGATCGTATAACTTTTATTAGGATCGTTCGTTTTACCTTTTGCTATTGCATGGAAAGCTTGAGGCTCGTGCTCTTGATTTGCAGTGAATTTCTGTTCTTACGTTAGGATAATCCTTTATTCGGTAAGACGAAGTAATCCGATCTCCTTGAACTTTCTAAGTTTACACACACAACACGATGACGATTTGAATTCGTTCGGAATTTCATCTCTTACTATTGAACCTTACGATTCCGAGCCTTTTGCTCTTGCTCTCGTTCCACAACGCTTCCTGCAAGTAGTCCAATTTCGATTTCGACCTGCGCATATCATGATACTGTAATTCCCTTTCCTGTTTAGAAAAAGAGCAATGCTACCTTATGTTGTTGTTAGACACAGATTCGAAAGAAAAAATATAATATAAAAGATGTTGTTACATGTCATCATCAATGTAACGTATTCGTCATATAATACAAATATTTAGGTGTTTTTTATTTATATTTGCTGGTGGTGCTGCCTTTTTTCAAGCAGATTTAATCTTGGTAGCCGCAGAAGTGTCATCACCAAAAACGTCTGTAGCAGGGGAAACGAATTGGCGATATATAAAATACAAAAACAGTAAGATAAAATAGCCACAACTCAGTACGGCATTGACGACAATGTATAGGTCAGGCCAATGGCTTGGTGGCACTACCAAGTATTCAGTAATATGCCAAACCAGTAATGTGGCATAGATCGCCTATAAGAAATTTGGAAGAACAAGATTAGTGTTATCGACATGTTCCTTCAAGACCCTTATCATTAAAACAGGGTTCAAGCATCCAACTTACATATTTGACGAACCGAACAGAGGTTGCTGTGGCTGGTGATGAAAACGACGGACCCATAAGCCAGTTCCAAAAAATGGTTACACCTAAATAGGGAATGACTAGCTCTTCTCGCTTCAGTAGTGGGAACATGCTATCAAATATTAAAATACATGCGTTAGTTCCTTTATCCTCACGATAATACATAGCAAATGTAATTAGCAGCTCCATGACCCTGTTCCCGCTTCATTTAAAATTATAAATACCTAAACATGGCGACATTCATAAAAACCTTGACAGCATCAGGTTCATGATATAACATCAATGAGACAGGTAAAGCTGGCAATAGGATGGATTTCTCATGCACTTGGAAAGAAAATAAAAAGAACGCAAGCGATGTATTGACCAAAGCATAGCCGAAACGTGAACGCGATGGAGATACTCCGAGATGGATATTAATTGGTAGAATGGCAGCCAAAGTAGCGCAAAGGCTTTAAGAAATAAGAGGAAGAGAGATAGTAAAGAGAATTGGTTGTTAGTGTAAAAGAAAGGCTCACAATGAGATTACAAACCAATAAATCTGTTTTGTTCACACAACCTGAGACGTACAGTCGACTGCAGACTTAACACATTGCGTAACTTGATGACCACGTTGATAGCACACCATACATTAGCCACCTTGTCCTCGTATAATCCTCGGGCTACCGGGAATACTCGATGTAAAATTTGTAACAGATCATCCAAGGATGTCAACCACGGGGAAAGTAAGAGACCACATGTTGCAATGACAGTAACACCCAGTTGAATAAAAAGCAAAAGTCTTTAAGGATTTTTTGTTATTACTTGCACATACATACATACACATGAAAAACCGCCCTTATCATAAACATTTACCCTTGTTGTTTTTGTGGTAGCGAGACGCATGTTCCAAGTAAAAAGCTGAAGATCGCAGGAGCGTAATACAAAGCCATCTGTTTAAAACCGAGCGCTAAGCAAAAACACACTGATCCCAACACGTAGTGCTTTGTCAAATATCCATTGATGGCCCACAAAGTGAGTCCTAGCATGACGCTGTTGAATCTGAATTTTTCCCTCCATGAATGAGTGATCCACGTATATACGGCTACACAATAATTTGTATGGATGCCTAACACTTACTGGAAATGACCATGGTCGATGAGAATAAGTGCTGGTTGCATAAGGATAAGGAACACCAGAAGATACTAAAGATAGGAGCCAAGACTAAAGTCAATGTTTTCGATTATCGCTCAAAATGGCATATGTCTTTTTTTTTGCTCCCTATACACTACCTTTTTCTGTTGTTCGGGAAACACGATTCGGCTAAAACACCATACTGCGGGGTAATAGATCAACGCCTCCGAGACCACCACTGTGGCCCGCATGAAAAACTTACTGTTCATGGATTCATAACCACGCGACGTATCCAACGCGAACCATTCTGGATTAATCCATAAACCACTAACAGTAATGATATCAGTTCTTCTCTCTCCTTATTCTGTCGGTGAACAAATACAACTTACACAAAACCACACAACCAACTATGAAATGCGGTCAAAGGCGGATAATCTAAACCCCACCAGTCAAGATCGTAGCGGTACCAATGAGTCGTAGGCAATGCGTTGGTTATTTCCATCCAGTGGCGTTGGGCTTCATAATCGCCGTACTTTGGAGGCGTGTTGAAACCTATAAAGCGGATTGCATTTTCTTTGAGATTAGCATACATAGAATATGCCGGGCGAAAAAAATACCGTTGTGTACCTGAATAAGGATTCAACGCGACAATCCATCGTATGAGTAAGGGAACGAGTATGCAGATGATGGGAATTGCCCATGTCCCTTGCGATGCTGTAAGGAGCTGAAGCCATCGAGATGCTGGACTCGCCTGCTTCATCGTGTAGCCTGCTCTTTTTTTTTTACGTAGTGCTCAATTCGCGCAACGATACTAAATGCTTTGTCGGGGTATGAATGAATCCAAGCAAGTATTCTCTGCATTGAAGCACTTGGACGAACATCATTGGTATATTATGACAGTATATGCATTAAATGTATTGATGGAGAAGAGAAGTATTCAAAATAGCCAATAGCCTATCTGTTTTATGGAAGCTATTTACCCTATCTTCCTTTTGATTTTTTTGCAATTTAGCTTTACAGAGATTTGTATGTATAAAAACTAGCAAGTTATGGTGTAAATTCTCTCAGGACGATTAGGGTAATTGAATTCGATGTTGGTACTACTTCGAGTAGTATCCGAAGTAGTACCAAGCTGGTATTCAATACCACAAGAGGTCTTTATTTCGTTTAACAGAGGAGAAATACCGAATTTTTTACCAAAGGATGCAACATCCTTTGTAACATGCTCGTAAACGCCTGGTTCCTGATACGTAAACAACGGAGACCGAAAAATGCACGTGAATCTTTAATATGTTGAATCAGCCATGGTTCATAATGTTTTTATGCACCTTTTTGTGGCGATTGACATATCCAACCTAATGGGCTACACCACAGCTAATTTAAGATGACATATACACCATCGCAAAAGGTAATCTGCTACTTACATCTATGTTATGGCGTAGACGATAATAAGCCATCATAGCATCCGCCAATTGAGGAGAAGCATTGAATGAGCCAAACTTACGTATAGCGTTCTGATGGATCCTTTGTCCCGCAGCAGCAACGGTAAAGTGGTAATCCATCTCAGTGCGTCACGAAATAGTCTTGAAAAGTCATTTGCTAGACCATGTCCGCGCGGTATTTTTACTTGGTTTAAGAGATATAATGCATCCTTTAGAACTTTTGCAGCCATTTATTCTGGATCGTTTCGTGGATGCTGCGAAAGAGTATGCAGCTCTTGCTCACCGAACACACGACTTTCTTGATCTACTTCAGATACCGTGAGGTCATTTTGATTTTGGTGTACACTATCGGCTCCATGCATGATACTTTCGTTATCGTCGTCATCATCAACAACCGAGCCAGCATCGCTATCATCGTTGCTTGGCTCCAGGGTACAGTCCTCTAGTTCGATTGTACGTTTACTAACACTCTTCTTAAAGAATGACATCCTTAGCACTCTTATTTTCCATGCCATTGGATGTTGTGTGCCCGCCATCTGATTGACACGAATCTCAACAGGCTTAGTATGTTCACAAATCACATATACGAGCTACAGTTTGGAAAGGAACAGCGCCATGGTCCTGCAGTGGTTTTCCTTCTACATCAGGTGCACCAGGAACTAACACTTCCTTGATTGTGATGATTGCTTGATTTTTCTTTAGCTTCATTCCATTTAGATGCTCCTGCTGATGATCGATTTTACCATAAGCCGCAGCTCTAATTTTAGCTCCACCGTGATAAGAAATGTGCACCCCTAAGAGATGTTAATAAATACACTTATCAATTTTACAATTCCTTGTTATGTTTCGACGATACGCGATGTACGAACTTCAATTACAGGTCTGCTTAGTTTTTGACCGAGTAAAACGAAGTTCTTTGCATGATGGTATATTTGAAGACCGGCCCAGGCATCGAATACGGCGTATCGTATGTATCTGCTCAACTGATGGTGTGGACTCATATAGTTACTAGTTCGTAATTTTTATGGCTTCAGTAGTCGGCGTTGAAGTACGATCTCGCAAATATCCGCCAGCTTCATATTAACACTGTCTATCAACCACGCGATTTACAGTAATGTCCAACGTCGTATCCGCCACCCCACACTCGATGTTAAAAATCGCGTGCCATCTTTTTCAATTTCGTTGATGACAGGCCGCCCCATTTTGATCATCAACGCGCTGGAAAGTAATTTTTCCAAGGCAACAGCTGGTTTTGTAAAGTTACTGACTGGGTACTGTATATGTGAATTATGTCCTCCCAGACAATCTGGATGGTAGCAGTTCTTCCTTGGCCGTGCTCAATAGGCCATTTACAATCCAATCCCACCACAATTTGCCGTTGTTCAGCCCGTCCGCCGGCAAGTGGCTGCAGCTTGGATATCTTCCGCGTCAGAGAAGCACTGTGGAACGGTGGTATCCGATATTGTGAGCATTGGATATGTATCAACTTCTTCAGACGTTGTCCTAGGCTCTCGGGGTGTCACACGAGAAACGTTATTATTAAAGGCCGGCCATGCTTTTTCCAACGAGTTTCGATCACCTCGTATCATACTTTGTCAGTAAAAAATCTCTGGCTGTTTATGTCCGTGGAACTATAATGATTGTCGCATTGTGTCAAACGCGTACTTAAGAAGATAAGGACTAGGTTGGAACAAAGAATTGTAATCGCACTTCCTCATATTCGTCGAGTATTGTGTATAGTGCTGTGAATGTTGCTGTGTTGTTGGTTTTGCCCATAAGTTTGATTATCTTGAAGGAATGATCGCCTTTGAGCTCTTGAATATAAACTAGTGTAAATATCCTGATTTACTTGTTGAGAAATTTCTAGCTGCGTATTCGTATCGGTAAGCGCCTGATCGATCGATGGATTCTCGTGACGAAATAGCGCTGCGTTAAGGTATTGAAACGCCAAGCGAGAATGGCGTAAGTGATGTAGCTCTCGTAATATCTTGCAGAAACGCTTTGAGACAATCGACTTTTGCATACATGGCGCAAAAGATACCCCACAGGCTTGGATTAACCACTGCGGTGGGTCATAATATATCCGGAATATTGGCATTGCAGGAACTTAGGCAGCTGGCGGATAATGCTTTCATCGTTGGCAGCGACACTTTATTTTCCAATGCAAGAGCCGTTCGTGCACTCACAGCGCGTTGCCATAATATAAAGACATCTGTGTATGCAATAAGCATCATGATGCACAAGATTCTGGTTCAACTCACTCTGTCATATCTACAAATCCTTTGGACTTGAGGCGAGATTCACAGCTCTGACATTTTGAAGATCCAATGTCCTTAAGCAAGAGATGCGGCATCCAAAGGAATATACGAAGATATCACAGCGCCTCGGGCTCGAGCTTTTTGATTAGAGCAAAGAACGGATCAGGCGACAGCACACAGAACGTTCCCTTTTTTGTATTCTTCAGGGTACTTTGAGCTACAATCCGAGCTTGCAGCTGTTCGAAGTGTTTGTCTAGTATATTATTTCTTGACTTCTCGGCTTTTCTTGGAATGCTATATGCTATTAATGTAATGATGCATGACATCCAGCAAGAGTTATATTATTAGCAATTTCGGTCAATTCCTTGATTACCGTCCGCACATGGTATTAGCGTCTTACCATTTCGCATACCACTGCGATCGCTATTTTCAACTACATCATCGTTGCCTTCGTCATCACTACTGTCTTCAGAGTCTTCCATCTCATCCACAAATTCGTCCATATCTTCAGTAGGCGCAGATGCTATCATAAAGCCATTTCTGTCAAAGAAATTGCTGGATGGATATAACCGCTCGTCATCGTACTGGTGTACTCCGCTGAAGCAGCTTGAGCTTCATGGCTGTCTGCATCAGATACGGCTATGGGTAAAGAGCTTACTGTTTCCATGTTTGCAGCATTGCGAGAGACTGGCGCAGTGCTGCTGGATGAAGTATCGCTATGCTGTTCCCCTTGTCTGCCGAAGGACAGCAGAGACTGACGAGGATCCACGTTTTCTTTCATTTTTGGTCTGCCCGCTTTGTGATTAGGAGGATTTCTGACCTCGACGTCTTTCCATTTCAAATTAGGTTGTACTTTAGCGTGAAATGAGCTGAGAAATAAAGATAAAGGAGAAGATTACGACCGTGTTAAAACGAACAATAAAGGATTGCGTCGTTACAAACGCCAAAGTATTTCATGCGACCCAGACTAAAGTAAGCATTGATTGGCTTTAATACAACCCCACCTTTATTAACTGCGCCAACTCTCTGATCTTCGCAACGAGCAAGATACTTTGAGCAGCATACCCATGTGTCCTACCACAATTACCACTTTCGACTTCCAACAAAGTATATCCATTTAGCCACCCTTTCTCCCCATTGACTAAAAAGCATCGAGTATATACATGTATCATATATTTATTATATTTCTGAGGAAAATGGAGAAGCATATGCTATGTAATCGACTTTACACTGTGATATGTAGTATCAAATATAAAAAAGTCCAATGTCATTGCCCTCACCGGTGATTTGTGCTACAAACAGAATGGATTAGTATAATTTTAACTTCTCTTTTTTTTTGTATTTTTTTTCATTATATGATTCTCTTCTTTTTTTTTCTTTTCTCTTTTTTTCTGTATTTTTTTCTCTTCATGATATATGAGGAAGTGGTATGGTATCGGACGGCACACACGGTTGTATCAAAGGATGACGGTCGTAGGCATGTTGGATGGTAGTTGATTATGTGTACGGAAGCTGCACTGTGAATGATTCAATAATAGCTTGATAACCTTCGTCATCGCCGATGCAAGGAGATACCAATGACCAGCTAGCTTTGTTTTGTTTTTTTGAGTGTGCAGGTAATATATCTTCGCGTAGAGCTCCTGTCAGTGTGAAAAAGTAAACATAATATTAGTGTTAGTGTCACTCGTATGTAAAGCTCTATTTTTACATGCCTGACGGATGACCCATTTTGTTTTTGCTTATTGCGAGCTCGTTTTTATGACTTTACGATTCTTTGCGCCTCTGTGGCAACAGGAACCAACGACTCTATGTGTAGATACAGGTAAACAACGTTAGACATATTTGATTCGATAAAGGCCTGCTGCATGCACAGTAGCAAAGCATGATCTTCTTATCATTACCTGGCATATATGCTTTTTTGGTGAGCTCTTCTGCGCTGTTAGCTTTGATAAGCTAAGCCGACAGCAGGTTGTGATTTAGTTTGGATATCTTGGATGATCTTGTAAGGTCTTGACAGTGTGTTCGTCAGGAGATAGATTCGTCGTGAGAGTATTTTGAAAAATGAAAAGAAGCTTTCGTGCCGATGCATCCCGCGTGTGCCGTCGAGGTGTTGTGTTGATTTACAAACGGGTATTTTTTTCTAAACTACTAAAAACATACACTATTAGTTTTTCCAATCATTTGTTACACTTACCACTCAATGAGGGGACGACTTGGAGCTGAAAAATAGAACATGTGTGATAAAACAACGAAAGAAAGAAAGAAATAGAAATTGGGAAAATATGGATTGTAGGTTCTTGTGACAGAAAGACCAAATGGATGATATTTTCGAAGGCAAAGGTTCTGTCTATTTTGTTAAAGTGTGTTATAGTTAGTATACTCGTCACATAGTAACAGCGCTTCCTTAATCTTAACCTACCACATTATCTGCAGAATTCAAACATTTTTGATCGCGTATAATAGCGGTTTCACACGTCCAACGCACACGGCGGCCATTAGTCTTGTCGGTTTGGGATCCAGAATGAATCGTTTGATAACATCCAGTTCGACAGCTGTGCATGATCGAGCAGTAGCTCTTGAGCACGCATATGCCTCGATCATTGAGCCTCGATCATTAATAAGAGCATGACAGCTTCTTGTCACCGTGTTGACATTGTATGGTTTTTGTGGGTCTTGATAGCGATAGCCTCGGCGCTGATGCTGCTGCTGCTGCTGCTTGGCTTGGGAACTGCTGAAAACCGTGACCATTGCGTGTACCGCTTGACTTAATTATTAAGGATAGCTGGATCGATTGTCCGTGTTGCTGGATTCGATGATGACCGCAATTATTGGATATGCTGCTTGCTTAACAATGTTGGTGTTTGTCCTCGATGGGTTGTCGCCAAAAAACCCAATGACTGTTGAGTTTGTGGATCGTCTCAGCACAAAATAAGTTGGTTTGATACGAGCGATCCCCCTGGCTTGTTGTGTGTGCTGCGTGTCCAACGCTATATCTGTAGGCTTGTCATTTGTTGCCACCAGCCACTAGAAGACCCAAATGACATGTGTTTAAATTTTTCCGTGTGTTGACAGCTGGTATCTTCGGAATCGGGCTAATTGCTTGTATGGCTGTGCGTGCTGCTGCTCCAGCGCTTGGTGGTTACTGCCACTTCTTGCCGCCGCCATCGAGTCGTAGGTGGTAGGTAGTCACGTAGATAAACGTTTCCATGCATTTTGTTGCGGTGTTGATTATTGATGGTGGCTCACCAGGATGGTCGTACCGCGTGTGCTCCTCAATTTTCTTGTTTCTTCATCGCTTGTTGCTTGTGGATGGGCCTTGACATGGTGTAGTCAGTCAGATGGGTTCTTGCTGTATCCAATGTTGAAAAAGGGTGCTCCGTCGCTTATTGTTGACCAACTTGGTACACTTTGGGTCAATCCATTGTTTGTCGCATTCAAACTTGCTCGCTTGCTTGCTCCTGGTAACTGCAGCCTCACATAAGGGCCGCCAAACCCTATGTGCCTCCTCCATGGCCGAGTCCTTCTGCTTTCGCGCTTGAAGATGGATGGTGAAATTGACCATGTCCGTTGACTTGAGTGATAGAAAGAGACTGAAACATGGTCGTCCACGTTGGTTCAAGACTTGTCCGATCTTCAAAAAGATTTGTTATCCAGCTTCTCCTTGACTACCATTTGCCGCCTGAGGTTGAACTTGGTTGTCTGATGACTTGTGAGATATATGGCAATCAGCTTGATAGTTGTCGCACTATTGCCAATCGTGATCGTGGGATTGATGTATCGATAGCCCCCGCAAGAAAGTCTTGTGCTTGGTAGGCGTCGCTGTCTTTTGCTCAAAGCATCGTTGATCATGCCAGTTTGGTCCAGGATTCAAAAGGTCGGTTTGACTTGGATCGATAGGTAGGGACCAAAGCGGATGTTGGATCGACGCCGCTTGCTGAAATTGTCTTGTTTGTCCGAAGAAATTCACGTCCTGAGTATAGCCGACGGTATGCCAAAAACCTGGATGGTGCTACCTTCTTGTGGATTGTCGTAGCATGGTACTTTTTTGTCGGGATGGCACAATGTTGTTTCGCCCGGTTTAACATGGCAGCAGCAGCAGCAGCGATTCACACGAAGATCAACACGATAAATACGCCCTTGGCTTCTTTGAGAGTCACTCGAGAGAGATAGGTTCGGACCGTTTGGATATCAGGCGCAACAAGAGCACCGGATTTTGCCGCCAAGGAACCAGTATCAAACCAAAGACGGGATTCTCCACTCCTCCAAGTGAAAAAGATTCCCTTGAACACCCAGGTTTCGCCTCCAAGAAACCAGGATCAAGCCAAAGACGGGATTCTCCACTCCTCCAAGTGGAAAAGATTCCCTTGAACACCCAGGTTTCGCCTCCAAGAAACCAGCATCAAGCCAAAGACGGGATTCTCCACTTTCCCGTGCGGAAAAAGTTCCCTTGCCACAGGAAAATTTTTCCAAGCCGCCAAAGGCGGGCAGTAACCATCACTGGCACCACCCGCCAAAAGAAGGACAACCCCAGCTTCAGGTATCCAAAAAGCAAAAGTGCAAGGACGGGGTTGGACTTAGATGGCAATGACACCGAACTACTGGTGCCGGTGGGGGCTTCCAGGGTAAGAAGGACGAGGATAACTAGGCAGAGCATTCGGTAGCAGGGATTGAGGGAACGTTGCTCTAGTCACAAGGGCTTACGCAGGAACATCATCGCACATCAGCTGGAACAGACTAAATGACAATCCTTGAGGAAGAGGGATAAAACCAGCGAAACTAGCTCCTATCCGTCTTCTCCATATCACATCCGACCTTTAGAAAAAGGTGCAGATGCGATACGAAGAAGAGGAAAGGCAATAGAAGGATTTAGTTAGTGGAATCTTTTCTTAGATGCAAGAGCTTCCTTAATAAATAAATATGCCACAAGAATTTGTCAAATGGTACATACCGTAATAACCACGAAAGCTTGCAAGCCTTGATTGCCATTTGTTGTCAAGAACCGCTGTGGATGTGCTTCGATGATGTTTCTGCTGCCTATCTAGACCAGAGCGCTGTTCCCCTCCCCACTACACTAGCTGTGCCATCCTCGCTATCCCCATGTGCCCCTCATACCCTTTCCACCCCCGGTGGCTGTAGCCCAGTGTCATATACCAATGCCGCGGTCATTTACCTCTGCTAGTGGGCCATCCACTGGGGTGCCTTCTAAAACCGCCCCGCCAGACGGTCGCCACACACACAGTGCAGCAGGCGGCAGCACGCACACAAAGGCCGCAGCAGCCCATGACCTATCTTTTTATATTTGATTAATAAGAGGCACGCATGCGAGATTCGAGCTAATGATATTACATCCATTTATATTTACCTTCATGTCCTTCCCGAACTAATCTCCAAAGCCGGCCACAGACAAGACGACCAGCCACAAACGAGCACGAAAGAAAAAACAGCCTAGATATGGGGAAAAAAGTAATATGATTAGATGTTGATAATAATTTTGGTTGTTAATTGCCGCACTAAAGATACATACCGTAAACGCTTTCCACACCATCGCGTCAGTTGACGCACCGGAAAACGCCAAAAAGAAGAAAAGCACGCACAGAACGCGACAGCAGCAACGCACAACAGGAACACCAGAACGGAAGAAGAGGAGGATCAGGAGGAGGAGGAGAAGAAAACCGACACAACCACGAAGCACCGAAACGAAAGAAAATACAGCCTAAATACGGGAGATATAAAGGAAAATGATTAGATGTTGATAATAGGTTTGGTTGTTAATTGCCGCACTAAAGATACATACCCTAAACGCTTTCCACACCATCGCGTCAGTTGACGCACTGGAAAACGCCAAAAAAGAAGAAAAGCACGCACAGAACGCAACAGCAGCAACGAACAACAGGAACACCAGGACGGAAGAAGAGGAGGATCAGGAGGAGGAGGAAAGAAACTCGACAGAACCACGAAGCACCGAAACGAAAAAAAAAGAAACTGCCACACCCACATCGCACCAAGCTGCACACAGCAGCGCGCAGGACAACACCTACTGGTCAACTAAAGGAAACAGAAAAAAAATCATTAGAAAACAACCCTTTATTTCGTGTCATCACCAAGTAAAAAACTTACCGATCAAATCGTCGAACCAGCCATCAAGATCTTCTGCCTCAGCGTCGAGCTGAGCATTGAGAGCAGCAAGATCTTCTGCATCAGCGTCGAGCTGAGCACGGAGAGCAGCAAGATCTTCTGCGTCAGCGTCGAGCTGAGCACGGAGAGCAGCAAGATCTTCTGCGTGAGCGTCGAGCTGAGCACGGAAAGCAAGATCTTCCGAACGGAGAGAAGGGAGAGAAGAGACGGAACAACCACTGTCATTTTCCTCGGCCTCGGCGGCAACTTGAGCACGGATGGCATCAAGATCCTCTGACGTGAGGAGCGGGAGAGAAGAGGCGGCGGGTTCTGGGGTGGCGGTGGTGGTTACGGCGTCGGTGGTGATGTCAGATTGGGAGGGGTTGATGAGAGCTAAAAGCTCATCATCGGTCATCGCTATATAGCGTTGGAGGTCAGACCGAGTTGGGGATTCACCCTCAACTTCCATCGGCTGCAAATCGGCAGGAGAGTCCTCGGGAGAGTCCTCGGCTGCGCGATATTCCTCACCATGATCAGGCAGGGACACGCCCAAGGCGGTATGCCACGATCGTTCTTGTCGTGATGGCAGGGACGAACGCACAAAAGTGGTCGTATGCTCATATTGCAGGGACGAACACGCCGAAGCGGTCGTATGCTCGAAAAAGTATGGATTTTCGACAGAAGTATCACCTTCATGCCGCACATCAGAAGCGTCCGCCAACAAAGCCGAAGAAGGCATTAAATTGAAGGCTCCAACATCATACGACACAAAGTCATACGATGGATCCTCCATCTGCACATTTCGATCAGAGAGCGTGTCGTCTGTGTGTTCTGGCAGGGACTGACGCGCCGAAGCGGTAGTGTGCTCTAGCAGGGACTGACGCGCCGAAGCGGTAGTATGCTCTTGCAGGGACGAACACGCCGAAGCGGTCGTTTGCTCTAGCAGGGACGCGCATGCCGAAGCAGCCGTATGCTCTGGAGTTTGCAGGGACACGCATGCCGAAGCAGCGGTTTGCTCAGAAGATGGCAGGGACGAGCACGCCGAAGCGGCCGTATGCGCATCTGGAACAGACAACGAAGGCATCGCGTGGTTGTCGACAAGTTCAAGAACACGGGAGCCATGCATAAGCAGAGGGGCCACAGGCTGATCTATCCTCACTTCAGTAGAGTCAGAATTACAGGAGCCATGCAAAAGCAGAGGGGTCACAGACTGATCCACGTCGACAGGTTCAGGAACACGGGAGCCATGCAAAAGCAGAGGGGCCGCAGACTGCTCCATCATTACCATAACCATGTGCTCATCTTTCACAGTAATTGCATTATCGACTGTTGTTATTGATTGGTGCGGCTGAGAGACATGAGCGGAAGCCGCAGCAGCAGTCGGGAGCAACGCGTGGGGCTCAGGATTCCTCATTGCACCCAGGTGCTCAGCACGTCGCGCGGGCACGTACTCGGTTGTCAGAACACCACGATTAACATCAGAGTCAATCTCCCAGTCAATATCCCAGCAATGATAAATACATACCGGATTAGAAGAACGAGGCTGTCCACCATACTTTACACTTGGCCGACGGATCGCATGCACAGGTTCAGTGGCAGTAGTTGAAGTTGTGGTGGCACGTTGCGTGAACAACGGCGGCGGAGGCGGAGGCAGCGGCGGGAAGTCTAATGGCGGAAATGGCCAAGAGAGGAACAACAACAACTTGAACGGGGCATCAAGAATCCATGTGCGCACATGAGTGCAACACTCGGCACGGACGACAAAAGCCACAAGGGCAACGGAAACAGCGATGACAGGACGGGACAGGGCATATCGGTAGATAGCGGCCACTGTTTCCCCAAAGATACACAGCAAGATACAAAGCAGAACGAGCTTGGCGAAGAGGGCGTCAGATACGGTGATCATTGCGACAGAATGTAGTAAAAAGAAGCTGGTAAAGAAGAAGACCAGTGGGTTGGGCAGGCAACACTTTCTTATCAGTCGCCGTGCGCAGCAGATTGAAGCGCCGACACAATTTTCGCGTGAGGTGTGCCTACAGCACCTTTTCACCTCTCATCGTGACATGGTCTTAAAAAAAGAAAGCGTGATTCTTTCTATGCTGCTGTTTAGTAACCGAGCAAAGGCAGATAACTATGGCGACAATCACTATGAGAACAACGCTGTTTATTGCTATGATACGACGCTACTGGTTTCTCAACGTATATAAAGCGAACGTTGCCACCAAAACGTTTGTTCCTTTTTTTTTTGCTTTGCTGCCAACATTTGATAATAATATATCCTTGCTTTTTCGTAAATGAATAGATGAGTGATACGTGCAATATTTTATCGGTCTGCTAGTACATGAGAAAGTATAGACTGGATTTCTCAGGATCGCATATCAGAAATAAGAAGCAAAAAAGTGGTGGAGGAACTGAATGTAATAGCAGGTGGAGAAGCCATAGGGACTCCCAGTAAGGGCCCGGGTACCATACTTAAGGCCGACAGTACTAACTTTTCCCAAAATGGTCCAAAGCATAACTTTGGGTCATTTTGCCACTTCTTCATAATGTAGTAGTTTTAAGTTCATTAGTGCGATGTTTTGATTGATTTTTCAACGGCTTGTGTAGTTCCGAAATGAACTACTCAATGATACTTTGCTAACTGTTCTGAGGATATCTAGCACGATTCTTTTCGCCACTACATTCGGATGATTTGCACATTTTACAGCGCCGTTTGGAACGCTTTGCCGGAAGACCATCAAGGATGCTTCTTGGTGGTGCTTCTGATGTGCCGGTTCTGTTCCTGGCTCCTGTTGCTGTGATCTTTCTGTATTGATGATTGCTTGTTGCTGTCATTAGTTAGATAACATTGGCAAAATCTAAAAACCAAGACCTTATAGCACTGAGGTTACTGTCGTCTACATGGCACAACAAATAAGAAGGATGTGCATGCATCTAGTTGCATAGCCAACCACCACAAAAGTCGTGCTGTCTCTGCTGGTACGCATAGCAGTTTCTGCGAGCTTGTATGATACATTCCCACCATAATTTTTGTCACCCGCCACTAACACACTCTTTTCTGTTTTCCTTTTCTTTTGTTTTCTTTATACACTGCGGGAGAATTGGGAAGTGAATTAAAAATTGAAAACTTGAATAAAACTTCAATCTCATCCTTTAATCAGCCTTGAAAAAACACTTATGTAGAGGTGAGTAAAGGATAAGAAATTAAAGCCTCACAGACCGGAATTAAAGGATGACAATTAAAGGGCCGATGCCGTGGTGTATGAGCACCCCAGACCCAAATTATTTGCCTATATTCGGACGCCGTACGGGCCTCTACAAGCTCAACGGAACATACCCTGTGGCCTCTGCGGTGTCACGCCGTGCACACCGTAGAAATTATAGTATGCTCAGCCTACCATAGCACCAGCTTTCTCCCGTCCTCCATTTCGACAATGAGCAACCAGGAGCCCCAACCAGAGCATCTTTTTCCGGTAGCATACAGTATTATATATATGTATCTGATTTAAATTATGAGGATTAACGCTCAACGCAGTATTGAGAAAATAAGTAACAGAATAGGTGCTTATTACACACGATAAAAAATCATATTCGCATAACAGGTCTAATAACATACAATGTATAAGTAAGCATAATAAGGATTATAAAAGAGCTCTTGATTTACAACGGCGTATATACATTGCTGGCTCTATAGTGTTTCTTCTGAAAGTACTGCATCTGGCAGAGAAATATCTTCGTCAGGCATAGTATAATCTACTGGCGGCATATACTCGTACATCAGCTCGTCATGTTCCTTCTCAATATCCTCATATGTCTCAGCATGGACAAAGTAAACGTCTTCGTCATATTCATCGTCCGCATCGTCACCGTATTGTTCGTCGTTGTCGATCTGTGAAATTTCACCAACAGTACGCGGTTTGCTGCTTCTGATATTACATTGGAGACGTTCAGCTTATTCCAAAAGATCACCAAGAATAGCTTGCCACCCATCGTCATGCGTCGCCTCTATGGCATCTTGAATGGCGCTATAACGTGCTGCAGCGTATGCTTCCAGATTCTTTTCTTCGTCCTAAGTGGGAAAGTTGAGATCACAGTATGGAGTTTCAATGAAGTACCATAGCATTAACCTCGATCATTATCAGCTCTTCCTCGGCGCGCTTAATGTTCATAATCTCTCTGAGAACGTCGACGTCGTTGCTTTCTGCTACAGTTGACCCCCGTTTTTTGCACCTCTACTTTTTGCAGGTCCTCAGTTTTTGCAGCTTTTTTTGGAGGAATCCCGTTCACCACTTAGTAAAATTGCAGTTTCCTCACTTTTTGCATTTTGCAGCCCAAAATGAAGGACCTGCAATTTTCCGCTTGTAATTTTCATTCTATTAGAGAGCGGCGACGCTGAGAATCGAACCAATGATGTTTCTTCTGGCTTTTCTTGCACAAATCATCGCTGTTAGTCATGACTGCACCTACTAGATTTGTGTAGTGCATTTTTTATAGTGATATAATACTGATAGGCTGCTTCATTAATTCGTCAGTAAGCTTTTCCTATGTTTCTCTTTTTGTCATGATGTATGGTGTGAATAGTGTGTATAAAACAATTGCAAAAAAAATTAGGTCTTTTTATTTGAAGTTGCAATGTAAAAGTAACCTCAATTAAGTACTGATGTTCCTTACTTGGTTCACATAATTGACACTAGGTAGGCCAAGCTATAGTCAGCCTGTGTAACACCCTTATACCCGTCCTCGCTTTTTGCAGTTCCCCGCTTTTTGCAGTTTTTTTCACGAAAAACCGCTACTGCAAAAAACGGGGGTCAACTGTATATGGTGCTGTTCCCAAAATCGTGTCTCCAGATGACAGACATCCTCCAACTGGACTTCAGGCTCCAACAACAGATGGCAAGCAGCATTGTATAGCTTTAATTGCTTTTCAGCTGCAGTGCTTAGTTTCTTGATTGCGCTTCTAACTTTCGTGCTTACTCTTTCGCCTGTTTCATAATTAATTAATTATATCCATCAGCAGCGCTTTCTCATTTTTACACTTCAAAAAACAGATATACAATACCTATTTTGCCCTCTCGATTACGCAGCTGATCATACATCATCTTACGCGAGATTATATGTGATTTTAGTTTATACAGGCTATCTTCCTTTTCTCGCTTTGCTTTTGCTTCTTTTGCGCTTGCGTATTCTGTGCTATTTATCTGCCATCTTCGTTCAGGCATTAGCACCCTTTCAAATTCTGGTAACATTGTCTTTAGCGATCTCGAGCTTTCTTGAGAGCTTTCGAAGCAATCTAAATTTCTCGTCTATTGATGATAGCAATAGCTTAATACGCATAAACGAAAGGGAGTAGAAATCGTTATACATACCTGCTTCCGCCATAGTCATATTGGCACATTTATCTGGATCTTGAAGCTCCCTACATAAAGTAATGCGCTCCGCTCTAATGATGTTTTCCGAATGGTTTAGTTGTCTAAGTATTTTACAGTACTCTACAAAAACACTTTGTAAACTCACTCAACCGCGTAAAAATGTTCTAGTTCTTCATAATACTGTATTTTTACTGATAGAGGTTTGATACCAGTGAATATAGTACGATCTTTCGATTTTTTATGGACGGTATCTTTGTACGTCTTCCATTCTTCTTCGAATCTGAGCTCATCTATCTTCCCGTCCTCGTTCCACCACCAGCATGGCGTACCGCCGGAAGCTACAAGGGTAGCTCTGTGTCGCAAGTATGCAGACGCTTGTTCGATGATTGCCTTTGCCCTTTTCGTCCGTTTTTTAAGCGCGTAACCTATCGGTACTATTATGAGTATCACGCAATCATTTATAACTTCATTTAAAATCATGCATACACATATTGATTGTAGTCTTGGCTTTCGAATGACCAATCGCATGGTGTAAAACGAACAGACGTCTCTTGGCGCTCATTTGTCTAGTCATTGAGACAAATCCTCCAAGGTAGGACCAAAGACGCTCAAGTCCTTCTCCATCTGTCAGTCCAAAGCCGCTTATGAATCGTGGATGATAATCGACCTGGCGAGACATTGAATGGGCGTATGCATGGAAACGTAGACGGCCATCTGTGATCCAGCTTGAGCAAAATTGGGAAATGCTTTCTAATGGTGCATAAGTAATTAAAGATCAGTTTGTTTACCGGATGCGATGATATTCTTAGACACGGCAAAATACCTTAAATGATGGTTCAAAGCGACAACCAAGATCATACAAAATATTGACATCTTTGTATCCCTTAGTGGCAACAGCAAGCACAGATAGAGCATATTTGTACCTATACAAAGCTCAACATGTAGGTGCATATTATACGCTAGGGATTATAGACTGCATGCATGTAAAAAGTATTAAAATTACTTTTCACCAGAAGCAAAGATATTCGTAAACTGAAGTGGAACATTGTGTCTGCCGCATACACAGCCTACTATTCCACTTTCATAGAACTTCTCGACAGCATCAGAAACGGACGTAACAGCTTTGAGCTCACTCTCGCAACGCTTATTGACGGCATTGGTGACTTCATGCTTTTCGTAAACGTCATGCATGTTATCAGCCGAGAAAAACGTCGCTGCTTCAGCTTTTTTTGTATCATTTGCATGTGCTTTGCGTCGTCGCAATTGCATGTTGCCATCGACTGCGACGAACAGTTTTCCTTCCTGTGTAAATTGTATATTGAGTCATTAGCTCATCAAAATATCATGACAGCACTAAATTATAAAACGAGAAGGAGACCTTGGGACAAGCCAGACACGCATCTCGCTCCATTGGAGTATTATTGCTGAGCTCGTTAACCATTTCATCCGTCACTTTTTCTTTCAGCTCCATGTATGCTGTATGTGCATTTCCTAAAGTCTTTCGAATTCTATCAGGATTCTTTATTCCATAAAATTCAAATGTATATACAATACATTAGAATAACTGTTATGATAAGTGATTTCGCTCCATTGTGTTATCATCTGATTATTATATTAGCAGTAACAGTACCTCAAACTTGTGCACATAAGAGCAAGCATTTCCAAAGGCTTGTGCTGCTAAATGACCTTCAGCCAAAAGCGCAGAATAGAAATCAAGCAATGGGAGATGAAATGCTGTCCTCGGCGAGGCGGGAGATGACGGAAACAAGTGATGGTAAAGCAAGGTTGAGGCGTCTGATTTACATTCACAGAATGGTATTTTATAACTTTTAATGCCTGTTTCGTATTGTTTTCGACGGCATTTATAGGAATGTTTTAGCAGTTGTCCATATCACAGTATGTTTGGTAATTATTAATGCAACGTAATGCGTTACCGGTAATGAAAACGCAAAGGATCTCCCGTTCCTTTGTTTTATCGCATGTAGTGCAGCGCGCGTCGAAAAGCGGAGTCGTATCGGCCAGACTATAGTCGCTACTTCCCTTGCACTTTACATAGTCTTTCGGTAGCACCTTAAAAACCTCGGACCAGTTTTCATCAAGAGCTTCCAATTTCCTTTTATGTTCTTCGATGTCATGGTCATTCAGACGAAACACTGTCAAGCCTTCATTAAAAGCGCTACCAGGACCGTCATAGTCGAGATCATCGGTTTCTCCGTGATCTTCGCGTTACAAAGTATATGTTATCATAAGCAAAGATTTAGTGTGCTTATAAGCGAATCAGTTACCTAATTGATCATGCTGTGAATTTTGACGCGTATCTCTTATAGTGGGAGCAGAAGCTACAACTGCATCGTCACCAGCATACACTTTGCGGCTTTTCGTTCTCGTTTTCCCATCGCTCAACATCGTGGATTCCACTAGGTCCATGGCGTCGTCTTCGTTGAACCGATCGTTAAAACTCATGATCTAGTGCTAATAAGATGGTGCGGTCTGTTGTTTGTTACGTTGTAGCTAAGAACCTTCAAAAGATTATTTTTCATTTCAGTTCTCTATATTTATATTGCAACACATATTAAGTTGATCACTTCTGTTTATTGCTCAGTAAACGTGCAAGTTGACAAAAAAGTACCACGCGCTTGAGGAAAGCTTCTTTTCCTGTAGTTTTTTTATGACGATCCCCTAATCCACAATTTATTTTTGTACACAGAAGTACGTTATGTAATAGGGTAAAAATGCTCGGATGCTAGGAACTGTTTCAAATTTCCTTGCTTTCTAAGAGTATTACTGTGGTTATTTCCAAATTGCACGAAGAAATCCTCCTAATAATTTCATCATTCTCGCTCCACCTCTACCCATCTACCACCACACCGTCTAACTCTTTTTGTTCTATGCGGTTTTTTTCAGTTATGGACTCATATTTTTTGTATATGTATAGTATCCTTGTCCATGTTAAGGAACGACCACATGTCCCCTAGCGCAGATCACTCTGTCTTCCACAGTAAAATCATGATCTGTAATTTATTAAATGAACTAACATACCTATTGGATGCTAATATGTCGCTTTTATCAATAGCAACTTTTTAAAATGTGCTAAACCATTTAATTTAAAACTTTTCAAAACTAATTTGGCCATTGATAAGGGCATCATACAGCTCTGACCATCTCTTATACGGCATGTCACTCGGGCACAAAGCAGTATCTGCCTTTTCGCCAAAATCAAAACCGTGAATTCGCACCCCAATGTTTCATTTCTGTAGCGAATTATGCCACCGTCTGACACCCTCTTGAAACCTTTCCACGGAAACTTTGTCGACTTCGTTGTCTACATACATTCCTTAACAAGTATTGATACATTGATAACTGCAATGCAGGCACTGCTTGTAACATACTACAGAGTTCAACCATGAGGTCCTTAACCGTGCTTTTCTTTTTGGTAGGCTTTCTGGTCAAACGAGGGCCTGGCGAAAACGAATAATATACATTAGTAGCTCCTTTTAACAATGCTATGGTGTGTTAGCGATAGTTGCCGCCTGTTGTTCCTATAGTGACAGATTGTTGTTAAGAAAAGCTAATAAATAGATAATCCTTTTTCTCAATAACGTGTTACTATCACAGTGTATGATAGTATTAACCTTGACAATGTCGATGGAAGTTTGGACGCCCTCCCATCTTATTCAATGCGTTCTGAGCTTTCTCTTAATAGTTGGTATTAGAACCTTGAATATGAGCATTTCCAAGAAACAGATTTACTACTTTACATACTAGATGAGACTATAGGTGTAGTAAGCATCCAATCGGTCTCAAACTGTGGGGAGACATGAGCGTGCCGACATTCCATCCTATGGCCACGCTAGCACGGTGGTTAACCGACATGATCTCGCGTCTGAAAGCTCTCCCAAGCTGCTGACGAACATCTAGATCCATAGGAGCCGGTTGCTCCATCATATGGTTTATGCGCTTGACCTTCTCTTCAAGCTTTTTCTGGTGCTCCTCGTTCATGCGAGCATAGATCGCAGCCAGTTGAGCAGTTGTCGTTGTCAACTCTCCATCGTTATACTGTCTGATAATATCTTCCCATTCTATATACTAGATAAGTAAAAATTCTCATTTTACCTATATACAAAATAGCAAACCTTCTCGCTCTTCGTCAGTGCTATCTTGAGAAAGGAAGTGAGTTAACGCGTCCAAGTGGACCACTTTTTGGTTCCCTTAGGGCGGTAATATTTGTCGCTGGAAGCAGTTGACTGCTCTGGTTGGGGTTCCTGGTTGCTCAATGTCGAAATGGAGGACGCAATGTAGTGAGAATTATTCTGAGAAAAAGAAGGTGCTATGGTAGGCTGAGCATACTATAATTTCTACGGTGTGCACGGCGTGACACCGCAGAGGCCACAGGGTATGTTCCGTAGAGCTTGTAAAGGCCCGTACGGCGTCCGAATAGAGGCAAATAATTTGGGTCTGGGGTGTGTATGAGGATGTCTACAAGCTCGCATCCCAATCACAACGCAAAAACATTTTAAAAAGGATAATACGATAGTAATTATACCATAATAATAGCTCACATTGAACATTGTTTATTTCAAATAAAATGAGAAGAGAGACGAAAGACAGAAAAGAAAAAGATAATCAAGAAAGAGAGAAAGAGAAAGGAGATCGACCACACAGAGAGAGACCGAGCACAACCGAGCACAGAGAGAGAAAGATAAGTACTCCTCTCATATCATACAATGCTGCACGTCTTCTTTTGTAAACTCTATTGCCACAGTCAAGGCAATGAAAAAGAAAAAAGATATGAAGAACTATCAGTTAATTCTTGATACTTTAACGTCACCAGCAATAACATATCACTGGTACTGTATATTGCTAGAGAGTATTTACCTCGGACGAGTGTTGTCCTCCTCTTCTTGCTCCTCGTCGTCACCACCGCTGCTGGATGACTCGTGGTCGGTCTTTTCCAGCTAATAATAATAAGTGTGTTGTAATAATGATAAAAGAGTATCATTTTGTATAAAATATAAAGCATAGGAAATGTTGTTTTGTAACTTACACTTATACGTTTGTGGTATTGGTGCTTGTTGCCCCATTTATACTGCAACAGCCATTTCGTTGCCCACGAGTTGACGCATTGGTCAAAGTGACCATCAAATGCTTTGCAATTGACCTCTAGCATCAAAGCATACTTTTTTTGTATGCTAGGGTCAATTAAACTCCATGCCGTTGCAAGAGAAATGCCCTCCTCGGTGATTATCTCTTGGATATTCATGGTCGTTTCGAGCATGATGTTTGTCATGGCGTTGCCACACAGCTCTTCTTCGTCATCGGCAAAGAAGTGTAAGGCAATGAACTGCCTCAGAACGTCTGTGCTCGAATCTTGAGCCTGGCGACGGTTGATCACTACAACGAACGGGCGGACAAGTATTGGTCTTGTGGTAGTGACGTCTCTCTAAAATAGTAAGAACAAACATGTCAACATTGACAGCAATACACTCTATGGCTCTCTTTGTACACGATCTTCCTCCCTCTTTACTGTTTACATAGATACTTTTTCTCTGTATTTCTATGGTGTCCCAACATAAAATCAATAAAACTACCGTCTCCATATCTCTCTCTCTCTCTCTTTGTTTCTTCTTTTCCATTGTTTCCAATCTATTCTTTCATTAACTGACGGCAACACTATTACACCGCCTTCCATAATGTAGAAACCATCTAAACATACTGGTTCTTGTTTAGTAGGCTCCTGCCTATCTCCTTGCTGAAGGTGTTCAAGGATTCGATCCACTGTTACTTGGATCGTGTCGACTTTCTCTTGCAGCTGGATGGCGACTGTCTTCAGCTCTTGCAAATTAGCGTCGACCTCCTTGTTTATTTCATCGATTCTTGTCATGAAACTCTTCACTAAGGAGATTTCAGCAAATAATGCTTTTGTTGTTATAGCTTTTCCTGTTTGCTTTACGGTAGTATTATTAATTGCTAAAGTGAAAGGTACCAAGGCAAAAAAAACGCGAGGGAGAAAGGAGGGAAAAAACGAGATACAAAACAAATATTTTTTTTTACTATCTTTAAATCAGTGATGCTGCTACCATCTTTTATTATGGTGCATCCCGTTTGTAATCGCCAATGTTTCAATTTTTTGATGTTTTACAAGGCCGCCTTTATATTGCTACGCCTATGCGCCTATGCGACTTCATTTTTTTAGAAGAGAACTTGTAGACCTCTTTATCTGTTTCTTCTCCAGACATATTGCGGCTGTACGTCTCAATGTACACTATCTGCTCTACTGGTCACTTAGGTCACAGAATGCACAGAGTCATGGGCTAAACACAGAAAAATACCTGTGTACGCAAAGACATTAAATACGGCACGCAATTCTATTAGCTGAGAACGATCCTGGCTTCGAATCCGGCATAAAGTTCAGTACCTTAGCCAAAAACCGGCAAAAGCGGCCAAATTTGATGGCTGATATGATAACTTTTTTGTTTACAAACAAATAGGTAAACCCGGGTTCAATAACTATTCTAAAGATGCTAAAGAATGATATTTAAATAACAAATAAGCAAATCATCAACTTATTGAACTTTTATTAGAGTTCACTTTTTGGCAATCATAAAGGGGATGCACCATAATCATAATCGCGTTCTCATTTTTCATGATCCAGCACACAACACGCTGTAATGTCTCAGTATTATTAGTATTATTATTTCCACTCTGGTCAACGGATTTTCCACGATTTGCTGTCATTATTGTTTATTTAAAAGAAATTTGCGACTCGGTACACTTCAACATTATGAAAAATCAGCTGGCAGAACATTCAAAAACATCAGGACAAGTGAAAGCGAAAGCAGCACACCAAGTAAAATCTGTGGCTGGTGTAAAAAGCCTATCATTATGTCGGTTTATTCAGCGCACCGCATCATTTGTCGTCGAAAATACTGAAAGGAAAAGGGCAACATCCCAAAGCTGTCACTGGATCGTCGTCCTCATCGGCTGATGTGTTGTGTGTAGAATTTATATTGTTACTACATATGGTACTTGCGCAATATCACATGTGTTAATAAGCCTGATACCTTGTAATAGAGATGAACAGCCACCTCAACCTCTATACCTTCACTACCGAACGAATCATCATCAGATTTGGTGCCATCGAGTGCAGACGATAGCATGTACATATCTGTTGTATCACAAAATAACTCGATATCTCCAAGTGCAACTCGTAATAGCACATCGCCGCCATCATCCACTTCACAGGAACAAAGAAATGACGGAACAAATATGGGTGACGATGTTAATCTAGACGATTTCGATTATGGTGATGGTAAAAAATAAGAAGATTCCGTTTTCCTATACAATTTAAAAGAGACTTGCTAATTACTTGTTGTTTCACTGTAATAGTCAACATACCTATTAGTACTACAAGATCGGGTGGCCCAAAAGTTTACGCATTCCCTACGGATGATTACAGCCAAGATCAATTGATGATGTGGAGTGTAATGTTGCAACGTATTGTGAATAACAACAATATCACGAGACGAGGCCACGGCGAAATACTCGGTTTTTGTAACCGCTTGATATCTCGTTTCGATTAAGGTAAAAAGTTCAAAGATCATACACGCCAACCCTCCTCCTTTTATATATCATACATGATAGACACTTACCTTACTCCCTCTTTTAAGACCGCGAGCACTTATTCACTCCATATAAATCGAAAAAAGGAGCGGAAAAGTTCTATCCCGTGAAAACACAACTATTTGATGTTTGTATCAATGGGTGCAAGATGTACGACACTGATGACACGGCTACATATTGCTCCCATTGGAACGAAGTAAGATACGTTGGTGATAACAAGAAAGCACGTGCTAGAATGGAAATGCTTCCAATTGGTGAACAACTAGCGTACATGATTCACGATGAAGAGACACGAGAAAGTTACTGTACAGGAGCCGTTTCCGACATAGGCATGGTGTATACAATGATATATTCGACGGTGGACTGTATCAAGAGCTCGTAATGGGACGAAATCTTTTTCAAGGTGAATTGGATGTCGCTCTTGCATTATATGTGGGTGGCTTCCAACCGTATACCAACATAAAACATACAATGACCATTGTACATGTGGTTGTGTTGAAATTCGATCCTAATACTCGGTAAGCAGCCATACTACAAAATCTGAGCAGGACTAAGATTGATTGTTCTATTATGCCTATATTATCCTTAACATCGTCCATGTAGGCATACAAACAAATCCATGCTTCAAATATGCTTGATCCTGGGTCCATTGGCTCCAAGAGATATGACGAGTTTTCTTCAGCCTATAATAAGAGAGCTATAGCACTTGGAAAAATACGGGATGGAAGTCAAGGTCGGAAACACCAGTCTGCACGCAAAGGTGCATTTGCTGCTTGCCACTGGTGATATGCAGGCAGTTAAAGTATTAGCATGCCATATGGGACCTACTGCAACATATGGCTGTCGCATATGTCTTGTTGAAGGGGTACACCCGGTTGAAGGAGGAAAAGGCGTGTATTTTCCTGATTTCAGCAACACTGTCAAAAGATGGAGGAAAGCTGATGATTTCAAGAGGGAGGAAAAAGGTATACTTTCTTTTTGATTATGATGTGTGCTCGTTATCAATCCACGTAAATCATACCCGTGTGCTATAATTAATGTACGCACTTCCATACTTTTGCTACTATAGAAAGGACTAGATGGTCCGAGTCCTTTCACTGTGTTCCAAACTTTCCTCTCTCCAGATTTTTTTGGTCTTGAAGAGCTTCATCTTCTGCCGCATGGCATAGCGCACCAGTTCTTCGATTTGCTGCAAGAAAATACAATCATGCATCAGCTACAAGACGGAGCCCTTTTGTTATCGATCTTGACGCTGTAATGAAACAAAAGGAAAGCTCTCGTATGGATATCCCGACGGCGTTCGACAGCACATGGCATAGTTTGACCGACAAAGGGAGGGTCAAAGCCGTCGACTGGTTATAGTTCCTTTTGTACGTTGTCCCCACGCTGGTTGTGCCGCAAACCGATGATAGTGTTGCCAAAGACGCTACAATGTGCCCTCGTGAGAGCATGTCAGAGAACTCTGCAGTTTTCTCACACAAGTGACGATATCGCTAATATAGAAAGGTAATTATCCGTACAAAAACAAAACGAAAGATAAATGAATAAAGAATACAATAAGACTAATCAAGGTGGTTTACATGTGTAGTGATATCGAGTTCTGGCTTGACTATTTACGCAGTCAACTCAGCACAAAACAAATAAATCTCGAACGTTGTCGCGACAGCGACGACGAAAGTAGTGTCAATAGCATTAGCAACAGTAGCAGCATCAGTGACGATAATGAGTAAATAGTACTATGCGTTCGTGTATTCACTGCAAATCAGCATTACCTCGCACACGTTCCTGATATGCTACGAAGGCTGGCATCATTGCGTTACTGTTCATCCCGGTCGTTGGAAAGAATGATTGCTGTATACTCAAAGAATAATTACCACGTACTCGGTCCCTGGTCAGCAAGCTGCGAACATAATGAAAAAATGGCAAAATAAAAGTTAACTTGACGCGGCAATGATAGCAGCGTTGATACAGAAGAAAAAAAAAGGTGCACGACAGTCGACGAAATGGGCTATATTTCACGCCTAATCCAGCTGACCCCTTTTCTCTGGAAATCTGGGGAAAGTTACATAATGCCAGTTTCAGGTCATTAAAAACACTTGCAGGACTCAGTTATACTAAAGTCAGAGACGCGCTTGTTGCCTATGTGAATCGCAAAGGGATAAGGTACAGCATTTTGAACGAAGATTCAAGTACACGACGGGTCGGCTCTGGAGAGACCAGAAAACTTTTGGTAGCGTACTTACCCACCATGACCGATTGCGTGTTATGTATAATGTGAGAATAAAGCTTGATGATATTGACATGTAAGAAAAACCTACTTACCTTATAGAAAGGAATGATGACTCGTGCTTTTTGTGTTAACCCATCCGTTACCCTTTTCAAAAAAGCATCAGCAGGTCGTGGCTCGGTTTTTGCTCGCTGTTCCCACTTTTACTTCGGGAAGGTGTACTTCTATTTTGTGCATAATCAAGGCAACGAAGACCGCATATTGGCAGTTGTTGGGCGCTTCAACCCCACGATCGATAGTGACAACGGGTTTGTTTACTTGACGCCATCAGCAATGGCCGCTGAACAGCTGTTCGTTGTCGATGCTGACGAGATCTGCAACTACGCAGGTCTTTTGACGGGAACGTTTGGCAGGTCCAAACGCCACTACTGGATTTGACCGGGTATGGTTTCTATATCAAAGAGAAAAGTGATTTTGAACATGGAACGTTGAAGAACAATTTTTAGTCTTATAAGTCATGCTACCCTTTCCTTACCCTTTATATTCATGTGATTATGCTTTATTCGCGTTTGCATGCTCATAAACAAGAATCAAAAAATTTTCGGCCTTGATTTCAAGGATCAACCTTTTCTTTCACCTTTACTCAACCCTTAACTAATGACTATCCCTTGACTTAACCTTTGGAGTCTTTGCTTAGTCTTTGTCGGCCTTTCCGCAGTGATAGAAGCTTCTGCTTTTCTTTGTTGTCCGTGCCTTGTTTTCTTTGTCTCTCTCTTTCTCTCCATTTCCAATTTGATTGGACTCTACCGACTTCCCTTTGCATTTTGGCCCTAGCAGAACAGGCTCGCCATAGTCTCTGCAGCATTGTTATCATCAAACTTGGAGGCCCTTTACTGTTCCCTTGCCATATATGGTAATGTTGACTCTAGTGAGCCAGCATGACATTTCATGTCACCACTCTTATTTTTCTCTGATAAACAAAGCGAATTTGTCATGTGAAACAGCTCTTAACAAGCGAATACATTGATTTGTGTCATATCCTAGGCACGGTACACTGCCAACTCAAGGCTTTGCGCGAGTGCAAACGGTTGTTGCTAATGTAGCAGGCCAACCGCCGCGACAAGCCAGGAACCTTTGTCGTTAAATTGCATGGAACTACGTGCCATGCCACATGTATATCGGTTCTACTCCTTCTTAGCAGCAACAGCAGCAACATCGAGCCAGTCGCTGCTTTGGTAACAGATTATCACATTAATTAGCATTCTTCTGGTTTATAAATGACGCGTATCAATAATGGAAAGCACATTACGGCTAACGTACAGGAGAGTACCAAGTGATGGCGACCGGCGTGTTCATTCTCTTTGTCAGGGTAGTTGAGCAACAGATCTATGTAAAGACTATTTAGCGGGTTATTTACCATCTTTGAGAGAAGTTACTCTGATACAAACTCGAAGCATCTAAAATCTTAAACTGCCATTTCGGCCTTTTGAAGCAGTGCAGGGGCTTAGAAGGTCATTTCGGGCGTCTGAAAGGCTGCAAACGACAACGAACAGCCACCTCACTGAAAGGGTTCCAAAAGCGATCACGCGCTCAGATGATTGACTTCGCTGATTCAGCAAGGTTGCTTCAAGTTGACAAGCGTAATAAAAAGGAGGTGCGAGAACGTAAGTCTATTATATTTCTTTACATACTGTAAATTACAATTAGGAGTTTTCTGGGAAAAGAAAAAGAACTCGCCCGTTTTTCTAATGGATTGTCTGATAGAGCAAAACGAGCAGTATCAAGCTCAGAACCGAGAGCGACGTTCGTCGGAAATGCTTTGGAGCACTTTAAAATGCTTTTAAAGCCTTCGAAAAGCGTCAGATTACAATCTCAAACGACCGCTGCGACCTGCTCCGGGCGCCTCAAGCTTATACATGTCATACCGAAAAGGCTCACAGGAGCACAATATTGGACAGAAGGCGAACCACAACCTGCGTATACTATTGACCATCAAAATGCGTTTTTCAACCAAGAACAACAGCCATTACCGCCGATGTATTTATGATAATAATAACAACGCTATTTGCTTCTTAAAGATGATTGGGAAGAAATTAGGCTGGCATGCATATGCGTAAAAACCATGTAATAATCATGCCGCTGCCAAGTAGCATATTGACAATGAAACCTTCGCTTGCGTAAATTCTTTAGTTCAACCCGTCTGCTTGCGAATAGCGCTCCATATCATGCTTATACTCTCCCGCCCTCACCGCTCAGCAGCCCACTTGAGCACAATAAAACATTCTTTAGCAGTCCTAGCACAAGAAGTTACTGTAATTCCTTGAAGGTTCTATAACATCTGTCATTAAATTGGGGTTCGTATTTGCTATTGAACAAGTACTAGACTTTGAGGCACATTAGTGTCCTACATACTTGAAGGAGATTTGTATTATAGTCCAGTAGGTAGCAAAAAAATATGTATATAGTTGTCGAAAATGATGTGTACACGAAAAAGAGAATTAATATGATTTTCTAAAATTATTACATGGTGAAGGGTGGGATGGGGGGGGGGGAAATAGCCTATACTATTCACTTATTCTGTTGTTGTTGTTGTTGTTCGATGCGACGAGTCTTGACACCCATCATATTAATGCCACACGCATGCTCCTCCACCGGTTTCCTTCTTCCCTTGCCGCCGTTGAAAAGCACATCCGGATCATAATCACAACGGTGCTCAGAATTACCAGCGCGGATACCACATATTATGGTATATTGACACTCTTCGTCGCATTCAGGCACATACGGTGAAGACTTGACACGATGATTCCAGTATTTGTCAAACATTACTCCAGATTCTTCTTCCATCGAAACAGATACATTGTGCCACCACGCGGGAGTTAGTGGGGTTCTTGTGTCGTGCAATGGCGCTGTGGATGAGTTGTATGCTTCTCTTGCAGAGTATTCAACGTGCCAATTCTAGTAGGAAGATTTGCATGTTCAGTTATTTTGAATGTCTTGCCCAAAATTCCTCTCTTTCTCCAACTCCTGCTTTTTGCGTGAAAAAAATTAAATATGATATTTACAGGTCCATTGAGCCAGTTAGGCGCTTGATCCAAATCGGCAACGTATGTAATAGAGTCAACGACTTCAAACGTTTCCGCATCCACTTGGTACATTCGGAAACCAGGGTTGATCTCGTCAAATGGCGTGATAGACGGTGCCACATATGCCATCGATATCGCGTTTTCAGCTGTTTGATTCTCGCCCCTACGGTAAAAGACTTGATATTCGTCCCTGTGATAGAATTTTGTTTGTGTAGCTACATTTAGTAACACATTTCTTATTTTTCCCATATACATAAATGGACACAAGACTCTACTCCCGACTTACTTGTGGGTATGACCGTAAAACTGACCAGTAATCACATGTGGTGAATAGCGCTCAACGATTTGCTGGAAATAATTCGAGTAGTCATGGAAGCAAGTGATATCTCCAGGAGCAATATGGCCAATGATCCACGCACGCTCGCCCTTGTCCTCAGACTCTTGCAGCTGTTCAATCAACCATTCCAAGATACCGTTTGGATCCTAATCGTACAAGTACCAGAAACTTGTTAGTAGCTAGAAATTATTGTTTGGTACGTAAAACACTCAAAATTAACCTTCTCCATAGGATGTTCATAGAGCCACCAGTTCATGGTATAGCAGAAATTCGTGTTCAGGCTGATTAACTTAAGACCAGCCACAGGCCGTGCGACATAGCTGGCACTATCTTGTTCGATATGCGATATCGTGTGATGCGACAACCATCCTCGCCAGCTTTGTGCCAAACTGTGATACAGCCAATGCAGTCGCAAATACTGCCGCTCGTTCTCAATTGGGATCTTTGATGTCTTAACAGGAAACATGTTCGTTGGGGCTGCCTCATGATTGCCCACTGCGGGATAGAGCATCGTATTTACCAATTCAGGTGAGTCAAAGTGCTGATGCAGCAAGCTGTAGGAATGGTCCTGGATTAGCTGGGTCTTGGTGGTTGGCAATGTGGACCAGACTTCGTGGGGTGGAACATCGCCCGTCAGAATGCCAAAGGCGATATTGGGAGCTACGGTAGGAATAAACTCCAACATGGATTCAAGCATACTGATAGGTGTATCGCAGCTGTATTCACCCCACAGAGATGCCGGTTGTGTGATGTTAGTATAGTCTGTGTACGCAGGGCGACAGCAGATGGGTTTGTCACAGAATGCTTCGGAACCAGGCTCGTATTCAGGGTCCACGTGCCAGTCGCTGAGCTGCAATACATTAAATGTCCTGCCAGAAGATGGTTTATGCTCGGGGAGCTGTTCTGGTTTGGGCTTTGGAAACGTAACGTTCCAAGGCTCGACTTCTGGGTATGGACAACTGTTCATTACCGCTGCGCACAACAAGTGTCCGTCACGGCCTGAAACGGTCATAGTCTATATTCCATTTTTAAAAAACGAGCATTCAGTGTTCCTCCTCTCGAAATGAACCTCTGTCAACTTTTCTGTAACACCTCAACTACTTTCACAATCACATTTATGGTCAGTTCCCAAAATAAACTACCTTTAGAACTTTACGAACGATCGGTGCTTGTTCTTTGACCACACCAATGCACTAAAAGCCAGCAGCATTGCTCGTTAGCATAAACACACAGAAATATATCACCGATAAGGGTGGAGGATATACGTACGACGTCTGTATCCACTTTCTGTGTCCGTCGACATACGCTCACCAAGGTGGCAATAAGAAGACTCTCGGACATGTAAGAAAGATTTTTGACCATTTGCAAGAGAGAAATGCACTTTGCGCATGACATTGCCTGTGTGTCTGCTTGGAGCCAATCTTGTGTGGCCGTATACAGCTCGTCCTCAACAAGCGCTTTTGGCTGTCGAAACGGTATCTGTATCTCAATCGACCTTGCAAGACCAAACAGACATGATACAGAGACAAGCGCCAAGGATGATAAACGCATGAAAATATTCAAAAAAGAAAGAAAAGGGAAAGAAGACAAGAGCGACAAAAGAAAATGCAGCAACCGGTGGGTTGGGATTTAAAAGAAATCATTGCCCCTGGAGTCAGATGGTCATATGGTTTTGTTTTGCCTTCCTTTTTATTATTATTATATTTTAGCAGTAGCAAGTTCAGGTAGTTCTATGATCTTTGTACAGTTTTTGACACCCTTCTTCAGGCGCAACCAGCGCCCTGACTTCAGCTCCTGGCCAACACCCACGGCAATGACGGTGCGGTTGGATGGAAACACCGTCTTAATTTCGATGCTGTTGACAACACCCGCAACGGCCACCTGACCGACTTGGCTGAAACTCTTATTGTCCGGTGCAATTTTCCAGAGCCGCACAAATCCATCCCACGAACCAGAAACAAACAAGTCGGAATACCGCAGCGATGCGATCGCCGTGATCCAATAAGCTGTATCGATTTCTCCTTCGCTCTCGCTCACTGTTGTGTTTACGCCATGCGCAGGTGAGATGGAGTACACTGGCTTTTTCCGTCCAATATCCCACAATGAAATGACGCTACATAAGAAGAAGAAAGTCACGGGGTTTCGAGATTAATATGCATCGAATAAGGGAACATGACCTCATCAGTCCATAACAGTTATAATAGACATACCCGCCATCACCGCCTGTTACAAACATCTTTTCGTCGATCTGTGCAATGCAGTCCAACGAACCCTCGGCAAACTTGGGGGCACCATTCTCTTTTTTCTCCTTGCTGGATATACCACCGCGATACACCAGCTGTGATTGATCCACAATCTTCCACATTCGTGCCGTCTTATCACGGCCGCCAACAGAGACGCATCGCTCGCGGCCAAGGGTATCGATATCGCCAATCTGGTCTTGATGGCCAAATAAGGTTTCCATGTATGCACGTTCATCCACGTTCCACAGCTTGATCGTTCGGTCCCATGATGCAGAGTACAATTGATGATGTCCTTTACGGAACGCCAGGCCCTTCACACATCGTTTAGTTTTACTTTCTTTCGATCCCCCCCCTTCCTTCTTGTCAACCATAAAATCAGTGTTTACCGAAATTGTGTCTTTGTGTTGCTTGAATGCAATGATATGCTTATCTTCCTGCACAGACCAAACATTAATGATGCGATCGCGCCCGCCGGTGGCAAGATATTCACCGTCAGAGCTCATCGCCATGCACAAAATGTGGTCTGTGTGTCCTACATACTCCTTGACGCCCTTTCGTCCTCCTGGGAATGTGTGCAGCTTTTTGAATGTTTTCATATCCCCTATATAACGTAAGATGAGTATACGCACGAATTAGACATATGCGAGTTGCCAACTGATCTCCTTTCACCTTACATTTAACGATAGAACCGTCTTTAGATGCGGTATAGAGAATAGAGCCGCTTTCAGAAAATACCACCGAAGTAACCGCAAGCTGATGACCTTTTTTGCTTTGTATGCTGTTTTCGTCAATGGCTGCATAATCAAACTATATAAAATAGTTAAGTGGGTTAAGACATAATCTGTAATTTTTCTCTTTTCCTGTCTCAAAAAAAAACATAAACTTACAGTATCTGCTACTCGTCGATGAAGTCTGCCTTCCAATTCGTCCTATACATGATAAAATCAATATCGCAGTGTCTGGTGCCGTTATATTCCATGAATGTAAGCTATATATACCTCGTCCTTCTTTAATCGTTCTGCAATTAAATCACGATCTAAATCGGCAGCATCAAAACCACCGAGATCCTCTATTAAAAAAGCAAAGATCAGTTAATCGCGATCATGAACTCTATATATTAATGTGCGAGATCCGTATCGAGTTCTTACCGTCAAGACCTTCTTGAATCTTTCCCAAATAAGCCTTCGCTAATCGAACACGTTTCTCGGCAGCTGTTTCTTCAATCTCTTCTTCCGACGATTCAGAATCGCCACCAGATAGATTCATTGTGTCAATGCCTCCTTCATCGTCGTCACCGTTTTCTTCAACGTCACTATCGTGTTTCTTTCTGCCATTCCGTTGTTGTTGTTGTTGTTGTCGTGAACGTTTCGGTGCTGCTGTATTCGTTTTGTTTTGTGATCTACTTGCTGCTCCAATACGTTTTCGCTTTCGTGTAGTTGTGGGGGCACTGAAGAAAGGATCTTGCATGGTTGTGTATATTAGATAACTGCAAAGAAAAAGTTGTCAAAAAGAAGGAATATAAAAAAATTTAGGTTTTTGGCGGGCCTACAAGGTCCATTCAGCCACCGCTACCTTGGCAACAATCGGTAACCACAGCAACCATATCATTCCGCAACAACTTGTTGTATAGCACTACTTGTTATTTATTTTTAAATTGCAGGAAAGAAGAGTAGAGGGGCAAAGAAAGAAAGCTCGCTTTTCTTGGCAAGCTTACAGTTCATCCAATATACAAAGGAGGGTAAAATAATGGAAAATTATAAAGGTTGATGCCTCTTATGCTCTTTCGTTTTAACTATTTTACAACAACGCATATTGGTGTCCAAGGTATTATGTATACTTGGGGTGGAGAAAAAAGTGGAGAGTAAACTTTGCTCAAGCCCATCAAAACCAATCCTTCGAACCGTAACGCTAGAAAAGAGAAGAAGAGAGTCGTATTTTCTGCTCTCTTTCTTTCATTCTCTTTAATACTGAGTATATGCCTGGCTGGCTTGGCTGCGCAAATCGAAATCTTGACTCAGCATCGTTGATATGTCTTGCGATTTGTAGTCGTCATAGTGGTATCCAACTGTATCCTGGCTCATGAGATGATGATGATTGTTGTTGCTATTGTTGCTGTTGTTGCTTGTGGTGCCGCCCTGGCTTGCTAGTTCCGTCATCATGCGAAGACGATCGCTTTGAGAAAGGGCCAACCCGATCGAAGTTTGGCTACTGTAAAAGTTTTGCGACGCCGACGAACCACCTACTCCAGTGCCAGCAGAAGACCAACCCAATGCGTGGCCTGCAAACGTCGAAGAACCTGGTACATAGCGTGATGAGTTACTGATCTCGTTGCCGTGCTGCTTGACGTTCTTGCGATTAAACACGCTGGACTGTGAAAGGTCTTGTGTGAATGGGCCGCTAGCAGATGGGATAAATGGAATACTGAACTGTGACGACGGGAGCGAGCCGAGTTCGGATGGAATATAACCAACAGGATCGTGAGTTTGCATGAAATCTTGACCAAAGGCACGGTTACCACGACGATCTAGATTCCAGTTGTTGCTTTTAGCAAGACATATACCTCTTTTCACTCTTTTACTCGGATACGATACTTACTGTCGCTGGCTATCGGAGCCTTGGCAAAGGCCTCGCGGGCATCAATCTGGTGAGCCAGACCCTGACGGAACTTGTCATCCTTGCGATAAGATTTTCGAGGACGGCTGAATTGGATCATGGATACGCGCAGATTGTTCAAAGCACCATCCACGAGACAGGCCTTTTCCTTGTAATGAACAAGCAAATGATGCCACAAAGGATGCTAAATAAAAGCCAAAAGAAAATGTTTTTAGTAATTCGCAAATCATTAATGTATGCATCCTACGATTAAATTTACCTTGCTAAGGATCTTTGGATTACCAAGAATAACAACACCATACTTTGCACGCGTCAGCGCCACGTTGAGACGACGAGGATCGCTCAAGAAACCAATGCCCTGATGTTCGTTGCTACGGACACAGCTGAGAATGATATAATCTTTCTCACGGCCCTGGAAAGCATCCACACTGGCAACTTCGATTTCTTTGTACAAATCCTTGCGCAAGGAGCCATTGAACTGCATGTACTGGACAATGTACGACCGTTGGCCTTCGTAAGGTGTAACAACACCAATCTGGGATGGCAAGATACCGGCCTTCATAAACCGGGTCACAATCTTTTCGCAGTTGGACGCTTCGGTACGATTCAAATACGATGTGCCAGACGTAGAAATTTCTTCGTTGCCCAAATTGACATAGAACATCATCGGTGTTTCAGGAACAGGCCATGGGAAATCGACGTTTTTTCGCAAACGCTCTTGGGTGGTGATACCATTCTGGAGTGTACCCTCGTAAAACATGTTGCTGGGGAATTCAGACAAGCACGGATGCATACGATATTGAACCTGCAGACGGATGGGGCGGATACCGAGAATGACCAGACGTTCAAACAAGGATTGGCACAAACCAGCACGCGCGGCCTTTTTGTTCATGATGACAGGGCCAAGCTGCTGATGATCACCAACAAGCACGGCTTGCTTGCTTCCAAGAATAAGTGGGATCATGCATTCAGGTTCCGAAGCTTGGGTAGCTTCGTCGATAAGTACAGTGCGGAAACGCAGTTTAGCAACACGAGGATCACCAGCACCAACACAAGTACAGCAAATGACATCGGCATTCTACGGTACCAATAATATGATTAACACACCCATCTAGAACATCCGTCATACATAACAACCATGCTTACCTGCAATATTTCTCGTTCACATGATCTCTTCAACGACTTGTACTTCTTTTCATCCGAAGCACTCAATTCACCTTGTTCGCGCTTGAGTTGGATAAGCTTCTGCAACTCGACATTAGTATCATTATTGCGGACTTGCTCGTGCAATGTCAAGAACGAAACAGGAGAATCCAGTTCTTCACGAGACTTGGCTGTCAGGCGAACAACCTTCAGACCGGTCTGGTGGATTTTCTCGGCGAGTTGGTCGACAGCAACATTGGATGGCGCACAGACCAGGACTTGACCGGGATTCATCTTGGCCAAATGGTACACGATCGATGCGGAAGTCACGGTTTTACCAGTACCGGGAGGACCTTGGATCAAACTAAGCGGCTTTTGAAGGACGGATTTGACAGCATAGACTTGCGAATGATTTAGTTCCGGAAGATTAGGAGCTGAGAATCTAAAAAACACACACACATACATTGTTGCTAGTAAGTATATACGGCTTGTCAATATACTAAAAAACCCTTCCACATGTATAAAGCTTACCTTTTTGGCATCTGTGTCTTGAGCACCTGGGGTTCAACATCATGACCAAGAAGTCGGTGATAAATGTAACCACTGACACTCGTCTCGTCCACAGCAAACGTCTTCATAGCAAGTTGCATACGATCGAAGCTGGTTGATTTCCAGACAAAGTCGACCGAAAAGTTATGTGTGCATTCCACAGGGACCTTGTCCGTACGACGTAGTTCCAAAGCAACTTCATCACTGACATCTATTGTTTAAAGGGGGGTTGGGTTGGTCATTTGTTGTTTTGAAAGGCGAAACCAGCCTTTTATGATTGTACTTACTGTTGGGGATCTTGATAACATGACCGGCAGCTTCCCATGCTTCATGGAGCTCGCCACGATATCTCAAACGTAACTCATCACCCACGGCCAGTTTGACTTCACCCATTTCCAGCTTGGGAAAGTAGAACCATGCAATATTTTTTTGGTTCAAACCAACATCCCATCGTACAATGATATCGTCACATGTCTATTGTAAAAAGACAGCATAATAACGTCAGCACATGCATTTTTTGTGGCTCTGATTTCTCTTTCTCGCCGTGTCATACCTGAGATTCCTTTAACTTTTTGTCATAGTCGGCTTCCATCTTGACCAATGGTCCCAGAATGTTCTGGTACTGATAAGCATCTTCATATCTATATAGCCAAAGATATATACATAAGTGATCGCTGCAGAGACCCATTTCCTTCCTTTCCTCACATGGAAATTAGCAATATTCTTTTACCTCAACAAGACAGGATGGGGCTCATCATCCACACCGGGTTTCTCCAGATCCTCCAATGTCGCTTCACTGTTTTCTTTCCACAGCTCTTCCAACTTGTTGATCTGCTGAGACGTGATCTGACGTGCACGAAGCTGTTCTTGCTCCGATGGAATCTTGACGAGCCAAGTAAGGAAGCAACGATCATCGATCAAGGGCATCCACTGAGACGTATCCCAGTTCATATCTTTGGAAGAAGGCACTGCTGCACATGGTTGTCTAAAAATAATAAAAAGTTTTGAATCAGACACTTTCTTTTTGTAATATACGGGGGAAAATGACTGTCTTCCCACTGCTCTTTTTTTTACCTGCAAAGAAGAACAACGACTGTATCACTTTTCGCTGGAATAAATCCAAGCAAGAATACATTGCGACAGCCACAGTTGTAACACTCCAACACGGTCTCTCCCAAAGGCGATTCAGGATGCAGCATGACTTCTTTGTGTTTAGCACGGACCAAGTGATTGATGATGTGCGATCCAGAGGTATTGCCACGCGAGTTACAGAACCAACGACTGCAAGCAACACACTTTACCACAGAAGCAGGCGAATGGATACCGCAATAATTACAAGCATGTTCTGGAAGATCGCGCTCGTCGGGTTCACCCGTAACATTATCAAAGTTGTCGAAATCGTCTGTTTCTTCGAACTGGAAATCGTTCACAAATGACGTTCCATTGGATCGAGTGACGGCAGCAGTTTTGTCTGTTGTAGCCGCAGAAGCTGCCGCCGCCGATATCTTTGGAGTTGTAGCACTAATGCTAGTTATCGTCGATTGAGTAGCTCCGTTATTGTTGTTGTGGTCACCTAAAGACAAGGAAGCAAGTGAAAGGTCCGGATCATGATGATCGTTGCTTGGCTGCGTAAAATCGTTATAATCGTATTGCGAGGATTGTGTATCAGCTGAATACTCCAAGTACGTGAAATCGTCCTGAGAATTGACGTCGAATTGATCCATTTGCAAAGGACAAAGCCGTTTCTTTCCTGCCAACAATCCCAATCTTCGTCAAGTCACAGCTCCGGTTGAACTATTTTACCGGACCGCAGCACCACCAGCATCGGTGGACCCTGATATAAACTAAACATGTTTCACAACATTGCTTTTTAAGTAACAAGAAAAACAGGTGTATGTGCTGCGAATGCAGTACACTCTTATGTGTATGCGCTGTGATGCCCACACTATGCATAGCCTTTCTTTGAATTGCCAACAGCACCATCAGGTTTGTCAGAAACAATCCGACGTCGTTGAACGAGTACAGCAATAACTTCAACGACATGTGGGCGACCGACACGATTTATTAAAAGAGCCCCCCCCCCACAATGATTCTTTGGCTGATCAGCTTGGCGAACAAACAAAGAAAAGAGTAATCTTGAAAACGCAGAAATATCGTCAAGGATGCAATAGAGCACAAGAAGGAAAAGGCAGACACACCGATCATGTATACTATCCAACAACTGCGGTCGAAGCGTCGGTACGAGTGCCGGCAAATAGCCAAACATCTGCAACTTGGTAGCCAATCACCAAAACAAGCAAGAGAAGTTGACTGTCGAGCCCGATCATGCATACATCGCTTGCACAAGAACGAGATACAGATAAAGGAGAAGATATATCCTTGCTTTGAAGTGGTTGTACATAAAAAGGTATTATCAGTAGATGTATGCTAATTTCATCATTATATTGCTTCACAGAATCCACTGTTATGAAGGGTGACCAAGGCAGCCTTGCTCCTGGGGATGAGGTAGAACTTGCTTCCTATCTTGAACACTCTGCTCAAGACCTCTTCACGCTTTTCCGAATTTATATGTTAGAGGTTCTAATCTTAGACACATACGTTTATCGGAATGATAATCTAATTGATGACTAAGATCTAGTGACAGTGTCACTACTAGTGACGACGAGATAGAACTTGGGGAGGTTAGAATTTCTCTCTGTTGCCATTTAATTCTTTAATGAAATCAGCAGCGCGTTGATCTGAGGTATATGACTTCTAATATAGCGCTCATCGCCTGTCGTTTATAAAGTGGAACCACCGAACTGGGAATTCTGGTGACTATAATGGCTGATCATAAAGCTGCCAATGAAGAGGAGGCGTAAGAAGAGGAACTAGCGCAGCAAGAAACACAAGGAGATGTGATTCTCTCCAGAGTACAGCCATGATTATCGCTGCTGTTACCCAATCTTTTTCTCCTATCAAATCACCACTTCCCCTCTTCGACCCTACCAACCCAACAGCAACAGCAACACATTTCACAATTTGTGCACTTGATGCTTCCATAGTTTTCCTGGACATGTTTTTTGCGCGCTCCCCCGCCCTTCTTCCCGAAACATCGCATGAGCGCCAAAATTTCGGATTCTCGACCGTTGAAACTTCAAATCAATGCATGCTTGTGGTTACTGTTGTCGCTGCTAGAAACGAGTGTCAGCTAATGTATAGCGAAATATGCTCTACATATATAACTAAACCCATGTACTGCAAAATCAATAACTGGAGAAACAGTACATCTCATATAAACTTTCTCAAATAAAGCCCACCAATGAAAAAAGTCCTGGAATGATGTATGCCAAGAAACCTTCACTCGCAAGTTTATTAAGAAAATTATGCGCAGTTCTTTATATATAGCAGAATGTTGATACAAAGTACTTTCCGAGGCTGTTCTGTTTGTCGTATGCAGCCTGTATTGCTACAACGAATCAATGTACGGGGAGTGCGGATATAGTACCTTTGGGTATTTAGTATTCTTTTACTGGGCATAAGAACACGAAATTATTTAGCAGAAGTTTATAAAGCATCATAATGCCTACATAGCTTTCGTCATTTTCAAACATTATGCTTCTTTTTTGTGCAGCAAAGGCTGCTAGCGTAGAGAAATGCTTAATTTCGCGTGAGCTCATTATTAGGTTGTGAGTGGTGTTGTCTACGAATGCGAAAAATTCTATCCTGTTTCACACCCGTTTTTAGGACCATATATCATTTTTTTACCTCTCACTTTGTGATATTCTGAGACATGACCAAAGAAACAAAGTTTACAGGATATAAAAAGAAAAAATCTGTCCACTGGGTCGACTCTTTATCCTGTTCGTCTCAACACATGAAGTTCTTCTTGCTCGCCATCAAGATCAACGACGATCTCCGAACTCGAATTTGTGCTGCGATCAAAAAAGAAGGCCATCTTGCGATTGAATGTTGCGACGATGCTGACTATATTGTGACATCGTTGAGGAGTCCTGAACGGATTGCACGTCATGTCAAGGTACATGGCGTTGGGTTGTTGGGAAAGGAGAGCGAAAGAGCTTGGCACTAACTGTTTTGTTTGTTTTATATTTAAATTGCTTGTAGCACACAATCCCGGTTGTACACATGGATTGGATTTTAAAAGAAACAATGCAGCAAAATGAATTGGCGAAGCACATTATCAATATCCATATCAAAAAGCGTAAAATCAAAGAAGAAGAAGAAGACGGCCAAGACGATAAGATCAGGGCACAGAAAGAACAAAAACAGGAACAGCCGCCCAACAAGAAGCATTCAGATACTATCGAGTTATCATCGTCTGAAGACGAAGAAGAAGGACAACCAGCGTCGACTACATCGGCAGAAACCATTCCTCGACAAGTCAGATCGTGGGATATGCTGCAAGATACCTACTCCAAACACGGATGCAAAATCACTCCACGTATGGTCGTTACAGGACATCGACCTCCTCCTAAGCTGATGTAAGCATTATACAAAACTTTAACGTATCATTACCGTCGTCTTCTTTTGTGATCGAATTAATCGATGATATAAAATTCGTAGTAAAGGAGAAAGTTACCAGACAACCACGACGAATGCATCCACCTCGCAAGAGAATTGGTCTGACTTCAATTTCACAACCGACGGAGATACCACAGATGGTGAAGACGATAATGACGGTGACAACAGCAATAGCAGTGTATCGGTAGTTGCCGATGATGATTACGCCGAAAAGCTTGGTGTGTATGCCTGCCAACGGCCATGTGATTGGAATCCTTTCAATAAAGGTATTGTTGAGATACTCGAGTTCTTGGAATATGCTCGAGAATTACAAGGTAATATAAAAGTTTCTATTCTTTTGCACGCATCGACATATGACGATGTGTCTGAAAGCTCAACATCTTGAATTTTTGTGTAGGTGACAAGATGAATAGTCGCAGTTATCGGATTGCAGCTAGTGTGAGCTTTTTTCTTTGTTCGCTCTTGTCATGTTAAAAAAATATTAATGGTTCTTTGTAGTCCTAATCAACCCCAATTCTGTTTTTAAATAGGTAATCCGGGTATGTGATTATACTTCCATTACAAAGAGAATACAGGTATTAGAATAGTGGAGCTCATGTACTGAGCATGTTTTTGAATAGGCACATCCTAAAAAGATCAAGTCTGCAAAGCAAGCAAAAAAGTTACCTGGAATTGGCGAGAAAACGGGCCGAATAGTAAGTCCATATTACTCGCCTTGTTATTGTATGCAAATAAATCGCCGCATCAAATTCTCACCAGCATACGCATAATAGATTAGCGATTTTTTACGTAACGGATCTGTGCAGGATGTCGGTAAGGCACAAATGTTCAGTAAAAAAATTATATGGATGCCGGTGGGTTTTTTTAACGAGCTCTTCTTGTTTTATAATTGTAATAGAGCTGTTGAAAGCAGATCCTGAATTCCAAGTTCTTGAAACTTTTTATAACGTTCATGGTAATATACAAAACTCAGTAGAAGCTGTACAAAAGTGAGCAAGAGCTTTGTAGCAATGTACACACCTTATTTTAACAGTTATTTTATCCAAAAGGTGCTGGATCGTATACTGCGCGTGAATGGTATCGAAAAGGTCATCGGACGCTAAGTGATGTGCTGGCACATGAAAAGCTATCGCGGGACCAAGAGATTGGTATCAGATACTATCACGATTTCAAGAAGAAGTAAGTTATACCGAATCGAATGTGCTATGATGATTACTTTACTCAAGATATGCAATTGATCACCCTGTTTTAGAATCCCACGTGCAGAGGTTGAAAAAATTGCACGAACAATATCCGAGATTCTCAAAGAACATTTTTATGGTGCGACATTGACTGTGTGCGGAAGCTACCGGTATGTGTTTCTGACAGGATATACATTTTATTTTTTGTTTTACGTTAAATAGTCGCTCCCTCTAAATGGTTGTTGCATCAAAATATGTTACTATAGGCGCGGCAAACCTGAGTCCGGCGATGTGGATATCATCATGACGCACAAAGAAAACCCAGTGTCGTCAATGCTACTAGTTGGTCTATTGGAAATATTGAAGTCGAAGAGTAGGTTCTTTGTCTTACATGTTTTTGTCTACAAATATATTCTCCACTCTTACCCTGTGATATTACAGATTTGCTGGTGGAAATAATCAGCATGGGATCTGACTGTCAGCTCCGTGACGGTGACGACGAACATTTACGATCTGATCAAGCGCTATGCATCTGGCGACAACCGGGAAGCTCCATCTGTCGTCGTGTCGACTTTGTTGTCTCCCCTTACGAAAACTATCCTGTTGCAGTGTTGGCCTGGACGGGCTCCAGTCATTTCGAGCGAAGCATTCGGCTTTATGCCAAGAAAGTCATGGATATTAAGGTGACATCGCATGGATTGTATTCGCGTGCTACGGAAAAACGATTGTCAGTGGAAAGCGAACAGCATGCGTTTGAAATACTCAATTTGAAATGGCTCGAGCCAACTCAACGCAATTGTTGAAAGCAACCAGCAGAAACCTCCTCCCCCCTTTCAGACCCTAAGCGCTCTGTTTATACAGAAAGCTCTAATTGCTTGTATACCCTTCTTTCTTTCCCCATTTCCTCAAACATATTTGTACTATTGCTACTTCTCCATCGGCTGCTCTCGCCGATCTAATTTTCCCTTATTCAAATAGCTTTAATTTTCTATACACACTTTTCGCGATCACTCATGAAATGATTACTAAGCAATTTTTTCTGCCACTCCTCTAACTTACGCTAGTCAATTTTTGCGTGGTCATTATTGCATACAGCAGAAAGTTTATATTTGTTTAATGATATGCCAAACGTCTTGGTATATCACTGTAAAGGATCGTAACATCGTTCGGATTTATTTCAAGGGAACAAGAAGTATCCTTTAACTTCTGCTCGTCTGCTCTTTGCCTAAAACAGATACATTCTTGCATTGTAAATTGTTTACAAGATGCTGCAGGTGCAGGAGAAACAGCGTATGGCAAAGGTATCATATAGAAGCATTGTACATAGATGGCAAATGATTACAAATTTCACTCCATTTTTTATGAGATTCAGTGCAAAAGTGAGGGCGTGTGACATGCAAGTATCATAATTGAATTCGTCTATGTGCACACAGTAATGATAAAGATGACAGCTATTTTATTACTGATTTTGCTCCCGAAAAAGCTGATCGCGCCAGTCGTACGATTGTCGTGGCTGCAGGCGTGTAATCATAATATCCCCTTGATTTTTCACACACTAATGATGAAATGATTGCTCTGTACTTGTTGTCGCGCCTGTGATAGTTCAGAAACACGAAAGTGTACTGGTTTAAACGTAAGCTATTACTGTATGTGAATTCAAGCACATATTTCTGAGCAGAGGTGTCTACCTTGCTGATAGCATGCCACTATGAGTTTGTATATGAGAACTCACTTTTTTCGTTTCTGCATGGTCAGCTTACTCGACCCCGGAAGAAGAAACTCTCACAGACAGAGTTTGGACAGATGAGACGACACAATTGAGCCTTATGTCACAAAAAAGAGAGGAATGATAAAAAAGAAACAGTGTGAGAGTAAAAATGAAAAGAGGACGGATGCATCTAAATACTATTTCCATTCGTTCCTCGTTTCTCTTTCTCCACTTTGTGTAAATGCGAAAAAAATGTGGACTCGATTTTATACGTTTGATTCACTGTATTACTATATAACAGGACGAGCTGTTTGGATACGTTCCGCGACAGGAGTATATACTGCGAATAATCCTTCAAGAAGAATGGAAGCAACAACAACAATATTATTGTTCAAAGGAAACTACATTCTTTTGTCTTCTTATTTACGCGTTGCCTCTATATTTCAAACCGTTTTTGAGTACCTTTCGTTTTGCTTTTTGTGCTACTTGAAATTGGTCCACGTACCTCTTGTGCGTGCATCGCAGATACAGTAGCGATGTTTCCTTGCTTTTGTTAGTGTTCTACGAGTAGTAAAGAGATCATCGTCTTCATAAGGATGAAGTTCTTCCTTCCTATTCCTTCATCATCAATCCTCTAGAGGACCTTCTTTCTGTGTATCACATCTGTCGACTTCTAATAGTCGTGCAGGAGCGGAAAAAACGAGGGCTTCTTCTCCAGAATAGCATAAACTTATGGGTTATTAGGTAAATCAAGCAGTATATCGCAAATAATGTTTGTAGCAACTATCGATGTATGCTGCGGCTCTGCTGTGAATCAATCAATAAGTGTGGTTGCAGTTTAATACCAAGTGACAGCAACCAATGTCGGAGGTACCGCAGTTATTCAAAAATTGGAAAAAAAGACATATCTTTCGACTTCTGATTTTTTATTTCTTAGCGAACAATTTAATGGATTTAAACACATGGGTATCCGACAATGCCATGAAGGTAACGATTCTTACAAAAACATTAAGTGTCCTGCTGCTATAAAAAAAGGAATGGTATCTAACAGGCTTGCGTTGCACATTATATAGCTATTTGGCATGTCCGAGCGAACGATGGTTGATTTCATAATCGCCACAGGTATACCTTTTGAATAGGAACATATAGATCGATTTGTTGTATTCATCGCACTAGATCTTATGAAAGGTAGACTAACAAGTTATGTCTATATCTCATAGCTCGAAAATCTTCTTCACCCGACGCACTGTACAGCTCGTTACAAGCTGCCGGAGCACCTTCCGATGATTCAGCACGACGATTCGCATTGGAACTGTACGGACGAGTACCACACAAGCAATCGACGTCAGTTGCAGCTGCTGCTGCGGTAGCAGCCAAAGCACAACGTAAAAAAGAGGAAAAAGAAGCTGCGAAATTACGAAAAGCAAATGCATCGTTCCAGACGTTATTGGAAGAGCCAACACATACTCGTGACGACGACCAAGACGACGACCAACGGCGTTTACGTAAAATGGAGAAAAAATTGCGAAAGAAACAAAAGCGAGAAAAAGAAGAATCAAATGCTTTGATGAGTGATGACGACACAGAGATCAAAACTACGGCACGCGACCGTAAACGGAAAAAAGGTAATTTACTGTGAGCTTCTTTTTTACGGGTGAACTTACAACATGGAGAAATGGGCAAATAAGAAGGGCTGTCATTAAAGATACTGAGCTGTTATTTGCACTATATAGAAGAAACCGAAGAGCAGGAAGACTTGGACGAAAAAGAAAAAGAAGAAGAGCGATTACGGGATATTGCTGAACGTGATGCACTTGCCAACCGTATTAAGGAAAAAGATAAGGAAAAGACGAAGCAGATGGTTGAAGATCGTTCGTCTAAAGAAGGCAGCGAAGCACGCAAACGAAGGAATTTGGGTGATGACAAAGATGCACGGAAATCAGTATTACCATCCATCCGTGAACGTTCTCGGCAAGAGTATCTCAAACTGCGTGAACAGCAACGATTGGAACTTTTGCGCAAACAGATTGAAGATGAAGAGTTTTTGTTCAGAGATCAAAAGTTGACCAAGCGCGAAATCCAGGAACACGAGTACAACAAACAGGTGCTGGCACTTGCGGAAGCTCGACTCCAAATTGACACAAAGGAAGATGCCTACATGATGCCGGAAGGTAAGAAGGGAAAAACTTTTGTATCGTTAATAATAAGCAAAGTCGACACACCAAATAACCTCTCTTATTGTAAACCATTATAGATTATATCACGGAAAAGGGCAAAATCGACAAGAAGAAAAAAGAAAGCGCCTTGTACAAACGATATGAGGATGATGAGCAGTTTATTTCGGAACAAGATCAATGGGAGCAATTGCAAATACAAAAATCAGCACGACGACCTGAACGTGAAGGAGAAGACGATTATGAACTTGTGTTCGATGATGATCAGAAGATTGACTTTGTCATGGCAGCCAAACTCAACGAGCCCGAGGGTGAGGATGCCGAGTTGATGGATCGGATAGACGAAGCCGAACGTAGAGCCAAGTCTATCGAAGAAACACGAAAATCTCTCCCTATTTATCAATACCGTGACGAATTGATCCAGGCCATTAACGATTTTCAGGTGCTTATTATTGTCGGTGAAACTGGTAGTGGAAAGACAACGCAGTTACCGCAGTATCTGTACGAGGCTGGCTATACAAAGGACGGATTGAAGATTGGATGTACACAGCCGCGTCGTGTGGCCGCCATGAGCGTAGCAGCACGTGTGGCAGAGGAAATGGGTGTTCATCTTGGCAGCGAAGTCGGCTACAGTATTCGTTTTGAGGACTGCACGACGGATAAAACGACAGTAAAATACATGACTGATGGTATGCTTCTTCGCGAGTTCATGACGGAACCCGATCTGGCTTCATACAGCTGTATGATCATTGATGAGGCCCACGAACGTACATTGTCGACCGATATTCTGTTTGGACTTATTAAGGTACAATGCATACTATCGGAATTTAGAAACGAGAACTAGTACGCTTATACTAATTGACATGTATTATAGGATATTGCCAGATTTCGACCCGATCTCAAGTTATTGATTTCTAGCGCTACCATGAACGCACAAAAGTTTTCTGAGTTCTTTGATGATGCACCCATCTTTAATATTCCCGGTCGGCCGTACCCAGTGGAGATCTATTATACAAAGGCACCCGAAGCAAACTATTTACGTGCTGCTATCACACAAGTTCTGACGATCCATGTTACTCAAGGTCGAGGCGATATTCTTGTTTTTTTAACAGTAAGTCTCTTCGTCTTTGCTCTAGTGTATATTTGAAATCGTATCTTTAACTGATGGTTGGTTGATATTAGGGTCAAGATGAAATTGAAGCCGCGCACGAGGGTCTCAATCAAGCATGTAAAGCTCTGGGCAGCAAGATCGCCGAGCTTATTATCTGTCCGATCTATGCCAACCTTCCATCCGACATGCAGTCCAGGATCTTCGAGCCTACACCAGAAGGTGCACGAAAAGTCATTTTAGCCACCAATATCGCAGAAACATCCATCACTGTGGACGGTGTATCGTTTGTCATTGATCCAGGATACGGCAAGCAAAAATCATTCAACCCTCGAACGGGTATGGAGGCATTAACGGTGACACCGTGCTCCCGCGCTTCTGCGACACAACGTGCTGGTCGTGCTGGAAGAACAGGTCCTGGCAAGTGCTTCCGTCTTTATACCCAATGGGCATTTTACAACGAAATGGATGAAAATACCCAACCGGAAATTCAGCGTGTCAACCTTTCCAACGTCATTTTGTTGCTAAAGGTAGATCTTTAAGGGATAGTATAGATTCATACGAGGTATACTTATACTAATATCAACCTTGTATTACAGAGTCTGGGTGTGAACGATCTATTGAACTTTGACTTTTTGGATCCTCCTCAAGAAGATACTGTGATTCGCGCATGTAGTCAACTTTATGCACTCGGTGCATTCAACGATCAAGGACAGCTGACCAAGCTAGGTCGACGTATGGCCGAATTTCCTATGGATCCTACCTTATCCAAAGCCATTGTTGCTTCCGAAAAGTATGGCTGTACTGAAGAGGTCGTTTCAATCTGTGCTATGCTTTCTGAACAGAGCTCATTATTGTATCGACCCAAGGACAAGAAGCTGCTGGCTGACACAGCACACCAGAACCTAGTGGCACTTGGTGGCGATCATCTAACTTTACTCAACATTTGGACCCAGTGGGTTGAGACCGATTATTCTATACAATGGTGTTACGAGAACTTTATTCAGCATCGAACACTAGAACGAGTCCGTAATGTCCGTGATCAGCTTGTCCAGCTGCTCGACCGTGTCGAGGTCCCACTCATTAGCAACCCGAATCCAGCAGATATTACACCGATACAAAAAGCTGTCACCTCCGGCTTTTTCTTTAACGGTGCCCGCCTGAACCGTTCTGGCGAATCATATCGTACCATTAAGCAGAATCAAACTGTACACGTCCACCCGAGTAGCAGTATGCTCGAAAAGAAACCAAGATGGGTTGTTTATTATGAATTGGTGTTGACAAGCAAAGAGTATATGCGTCAAGTGATGGAGATCCAACCAAACTGGTTATTAGAAGGTAAAGTATTGTATGAATCTTTTTTTTTGTGAAAGTGTGCTGGGAGCTGGTTTTTTTCTACCTGTATACTCATTTGAATGCATATCCTATTAGTTGCACCTCACTACTATACCCAGACAGATTTGGATAATTTGGATGACAAGAAGAAAATGCCAAAGAATCATAAGCAATAAATTAATTCACAAAAGCCAATAAATCTTGTACATTTTCAACACGAATAACATAATAGGAATAGATTTATTCAATTGTTGAGTTCTGCTCTCAGGATTAAGTCAATACGGGTCTTTTTCTGTGTTGATATGGTTGATCACAAGTATGTTGTATCATGCATACACGTCAGGGATATAAGGATAGAAAGACACAATAGAAATCAGTCAGTCCATATCTGGCTTAAGTCGACGCTGTTTTTTCTCCAATAAAGGTATATAGTGAACATGACTTAAACGGCAAGTTCATCCCAGTTTCGATTACAAGACATGACCGAAAAGCCCGTTTACGTTGAGAGTCAACGATGTGCTTAGAGGAAGGCAACCAGTCCATCTTTGAAAAACCATAATGTTTTAAGACAGCATGTCGTTTCGCTTCTAGATATTGGTTTCATCCGAGCTATTCTCTCATAATGATCGTTGACCCAGCTGTTGAACTGGCATTTACTTGTATGTCCTTTATCCGTACAGTTGGTGTCTTCAAATCATCAATCCCGAGCGCTTGTAAAGTAATTCTCAAAAGTGGTGATAAGTTCGGACGACTTTCTTTGATGATCAAAAAGCACACTTCATGTTGCTGGTTCCTGATGCTGTATGCAATTAAAAACGTGCATATATCATAATCATCATTCATGCTGACATAGTTTCTAAAGAAAATCCCAATCCCACGGCGACGGATAATATGTAACGTTCTTTACTCGATGCCACAGGCCGTTACTGCTCAGATCCTCCCCGTTAACAGGTGAAACTGAGGAAGCAATTCAAAGCAGCTGTAAACAGGGGGGGGAAGGCCACCTGATAAGCACCGTCCAGACACACACCGCCTTATTATGTCAGCTCTGCTTTATGCTGATGATGTTGCCGTGCTGGGATCACCAGACGATAGTGATGCAGCTGCTTCATGTTGCCGAGCAACATTCACTTGACCTCGGATACCGTTGGCACCCTGAAAATGGTGCCATAATCGAGCGTCCGTCAACAACAACAATACCAACAGCACCAAAATCCTCCCAGCTTTACAACACGGCGATACCAAAAGTACAGCAATATCAATATCTAGGGATACCCTTCAATTATGTTGGTACTGTATCAATGCTGATCTCCTAATAAACCAGCGCACCGCAAAAGCGACAGGCAACATGGTATATTACGGCACTTAGGCATCCACCAGTATGGCATCGGTCTCTGGATAGCGTTGCGCGCATACCGTACCTTTATCCGCCCAGTGCTGGAGTACGGCCTTGGCATTACAACATTGTCGTCCAAGCAGATGGAGGAGTTACACAATGCGCAGAAAGGTTGCATAAAAATGGCACTAAACCGTAGTATCAAGACACAGTTTCAGACGATCGTCCCTTTGGTCCTGGCCGATATACATACCATCAGTGCAACTGCGCACACGTGTACTCGAACTCAAGTTTGCAAGCCGACTTTGCGAGCTCCCGGTCACGACTATGGTCCGCGCAGTTGAACTGACGCTCTTATGTAACAAAGACCGCGACAAGCAATGGAAAAAATCTGACCTCGCACAATACAAGAATCTCGACTATTAAATAAGCTAAAATATGGAAGCGGTTCCATAAGCGACCCTATTAAGCAGACGACCAAGGAAAAGCGAGACGATTAAATACAAAATGATCAGCTGCATGCGATACACACGCATAGTTAAGCCCATCCTCTATCTGGCTGCTTACTCTCGGGATGGCCACCGCCTTGTCAAGTGACGTATGCATTGGCTTCCATCATATCCACTTAAAGATTGTCGCTGTGGGGTAACGGAAGCCAAATGTGAACACTTTGCTAGCTGCCCTCTGCTACAACTTAAACTGAGGGAGCTCACTGAAGCATTCGGCATGATACCAGCGCTACCTATCAACAGCCTGACGATAGATCACATCATGGATAGTCTCCCTCGTTTTGACACAGGATATCTTGTGGCATAGCCTGGCCTGCGCTAATTCATGCCCTCAGGGAGATAGACCGGTTACGTCCTCCTGGAAACACCTATGACGACGATGACGTACCAGCTCCAGAAGCTGCATTAAAACCTCCTCCACTGGCTGCTTACACCAAGAGCACAAAGACAGTAACTCTCATATTTGTACTTCACGTCTATCGTGTGTTGTATAACTCTCTTCTCTTCTTTTATCTCCCCCGTCCACCACACATACTATTCTCTTTTCACTAGCATAACCTTTTGCGCCCAATGGTTTTTTCAGTTATAGCACCCCATCATATTACAGACATATTTCACATCATCCTGTACCGCAAGGAAGCGACCACATGCCCAATTGGCGCCGGTGCATTCAGTCTTCCACAATAGAAACTGGTGTTTTTAGGTTACCTTGGTCCGGTGACCTGCCTGTTGCTTTTTCACGTTATCCTTAGTTTGGTACATTTTTGTCAATTGCTCAATTCTACAAAGAACTACTAAGTTTAAACTAGGCGTCCTTTCAATCATTGCCACATCAGTTGCTGTTATATATGCGAACTCATCTTCTGACTCATATATTACTATCACTCTTATTGCTTATTTCGTTGATATTCATTACACGACACGTTACTTATAAATGGTATTTCGACGTCTAAAAATATTAAAAAAGACATGTACCAAAAAGAGATTACCCTCTATATCCAACTTTCACTCTAGGAGCAAAATTCTTTTTGAAACCATTCCAAAGTGGATTGGAATGGCAGAGCGTAGGTCACAAATTTCTTTGTTGTTGTCGAGCTCCACTACAGTCAACCCCCATTAACGTCAACCCGATAACGTCAACCCCCAATAGCACCACCCGATTCACTGGTACCCTTTCAAAATTTAGCAGTTAAAGATTTTGCCAATTTTCTACCCCCAGTGGTCGTCAACCTTTGATATGGTCAACACTTTTGCTGGTACCCTGAGGGTTGACATTAACGGGGGTCGACTGTACTTGCTATGTAGCCCACAGGTAAAAAAAAACTAGTATAAAAATGTCGCAGTACTATGAAAACAATAAATAAATAAAGCACGTATCATCGCATCGTTCACGATAAATGCTTGGATAGTTATACACCACAATAGAGTTGTTTTCTTTACGCGTCACGCATCAAGCAGCAGTAAGATAAAATGAGCTTTACCTCACTTTTCTTCTTTTGAGTTGGGGAATCGTAGTCCCTGAGGTGTTGTTTATGTTTACAATTGACACCCTGTCTCTCTTTACACGTGAAGGTGAAGAAGGCTCGTAAATTAATAATAACACTCTATGTGTAACAGTAAGCGAAGTCGATGGTATGGTTTCACCATATAACAGTAAATGATGTCGGCTGCATAACTTGACATGTAATTTAAATGAGTTATATCTTATTGGATCAGAAACCAAAGTTCACCTTGGGACGCGGCTTTTCATGGTGATAAGTGACCCTCCTCTTGCTGCACCCATAGTAACGCTCTCTATTCAATGACGGTGCTTATTGCGAAGCAACAAGCTTTGTGGTGAGCATCTTCTTTCTTTTCTCCACCAACTACACATATATTAGTAGCCGAGCCTTTTCATTCTTCACGACTACTAACTAAGGCAGTGACAATGAGTTACAACGCCATCACCTTTAAGTGGTAATTGTTTTTCGAGCCTTTTTTTCCTTTGCATATTAGTAGAAAGTATCATTACTTACTTTAGCTTGGCGCTTCTTTTCTCGCAACCAAATGAATAGGGATTGTCACGAATGGTTACAAGATAACTTTACAGCAGACAACAGCCTTCCTGAACTCCTTTTGAGGGGCCAATACTCACATGAATATAGGTCTATTGCCGAAACTGAATACAAGCAAGCATTGATTATAGCCTCTACATCAAGCAATAGTCTTTTTTCAAGATGGGCAAATGGAGTTATAAGCAAAGGATTTAGTGTAAGCAAATACAATGATTGATATTGTATGCACAAGGTATAAACTTGATGCTTATCCCACCTGTTCTATATATCAAATTATAATATTTAACCGTCCAATTTTCTATGTTAATCGTTCATGATTATCTCACACATGAAGAAGATGATAACCGATCTACGAGACAATATCAATGAGAACAAGGCATATTTACTACTCCCTCGACTCCTGTCGTTAACATGTCGTATTTACCCAATGCTTTGGCTACTCATGACAACACGGGAATGCAGTCGAGTTGTCCGATGGCACATCAGATTCCGTTCTGGAAGACGAGTTCTTTGCTGGTGTCAGCATAATGGCACTCGCACCACCACGACCCACCTTATGCATTGGTTTGATGTTCATCGTGTACTCGAAGTATGTACCAACCTCAATCACTATCGACCTCATCTTTTGTATTAAACAAACTACCAAAGAAACCTCCAAAACAACACCGTCACCAGCATATTGGACTCGCATATGGCCCAAACTATGCGAGATTCTATACAATATTGATTACTGCTGCCATTTCATACCCTCATCATTGGCACGATAATAGCCATCATCATCTTACTCATGACGCACCCCTTCAATTTTACATTTTTACTATCAAAGTATAATTTATAAAATACTTTTTTTTAATTTAAATATAACATCGACAAGCTGACAAGTCAATCGCAAAAGATTGTCCTGCTTCATATATAATAATGGTTATAGTGAAAAAAAAATGATTGGCAAGTTCCTTGATGTGGCTAATCAAAATACAGTGGTTGAAAGCTGGCATTTACTGAAAATTGAACACACTACGGTCTTATACATAGTATAGATCGGTATGCGCAAGAGTATTTTGACGTTGTGTTTCATGTGGGTCATATTCATATTTATTAAGATTAGCTTAAATTCATTTGACATAGCTCAATATCACTAAGGTGACCCAATTTTGATCCAAATTCATATGATGGCTTACTTTCAAAGCCATGCCTCCACTTTCATTGCGGGTGGCCAAATTCTACTTCTAACACTCTAATACACGATTCCACAAACAACAACCACTCGCCCCTCCTCCTTATCATTTGACAAGCAATGTTACCGCCTACGACACCCGGTACTACTACCAGCAGTACCACCACTCATACCATAATGCATTCTACATCAGCAACGACAACTCCATCTCAGGTTAATCCGTCTCATCCTCCATTATCAGTCAACACCACGTGCAATAATAACTCTTTTCCAGCATCATCAACCCCTTCGTCATCATCATCAGCACCAACCACTGTCCAAATTCTCGTGGAACCTTCACCGCTACTATTGACCTCGTCCTCTTCTAATAACAACTCTGCATCTCATCATCTCGATCGCTCTACTATTCCACGCAATCGTCACCGTCACTACAACCATAACAACAGCAACAACCCAACAGCATACCCACTGTCCGACGCAGTAACGCCTCCCAGTCTTAGACCCTATAGAGTATATAGCACACGAGCCATCGGTCGAATGGATAAGGTAATTGAAGCCATGATACAACTGAAACGAGGGCGGGAAAAGATGATCGTGGTGTTGGATATGAGGAGGAACCATGTGAGGAAAACAAACATGCAACCAAAAAAGAAAAAGGGCAAAGATCCACAAAAGTTTCTTCTAGTCCTGAACGATGGAGCGGTTTATTTTCTATTGCTTAATAGCATCAGCATCATGAGTATCTTCTAGCCAACAAGCGACGCGGATCCGTTTCGAGTAACAGCGCATCATCTTCTACGTCTTCATCATCAAATGCTATTTATAACAAAAAACGAGCACGGCTTGAAACGTTCTTACCACCAAATCACACCATTTCTACAGCAACAACAACGAGACAAGGACAATCTGAAGCATACATTGATAAGTACGCCATACCATCACCGTCTTATCCAGTAAATTTAAATGACGATGACGATGCAGTCATCGGCACAGCAACAACGGCAGCAACAGGATCTTCATCCACTGCAACACCTACATTAGCATTAGCATTATCATCATTATCATCAGCTGCATCAGCTGCTGCAGCAGCGGCAGCAGTAGCGGCCGTACCAGCGACAGCAGCAACAGCAACATCGATATCTTTAGAAGATTATGACATTGACCTTGATTCCAACATTGCCGACACATTGCATCAATTACCGAGTATGGTCCACGCATATGGCACGCTTCCACCTGACCTACAATCATACATGTTGTTCCAGCTTCTCAAACGCTCGTCCACCAACACACTGCAGTTTGTCAATTCCATTATTGTTCCCGCGCTTAAGCGAGATTTCCTTGCATCGCTTCCGCTTGAATTGGCGCTTCACGTGATAAGTTACTTGGATGTTGTATCACTCTGTCGTGCTGCATGTGTCAGTCACAAATGGCGGTCGATCATTGATTCGGATATGGGGACTTGGAAGTGGTTATTGGACAAGGAAAGCGCCGAGTATAATGACCCTTGGCAGGATGACAATGAAGAAGATCAAGATACCCTGGGTGATGAAAACGAGGAGGAAGAAGAAGATGAAGAAACTGTTTCGGCTACGCTATCCACTGCGTCAATGTTGGAACATTCGGATATGGATACGGCAGAAGATGGCGAGGGAGAAGAAGAAGAGGATGATGATGATGATATTGATAAAGAGCTAGTAGCTGATTGTGTACCTCATCTCCATCAAGGTGGTGTTCAGTGGCGACAAGCTTGGTATGGTGCTGGTATCAATCAGTACAGTACCAACGCTATAAATGGCAGCGATAATAACAATAATAGCAATTCCAGTAACTACGATATGCATCGTCAGCATCATGGTACTGGCCACAGCAACAACAGCGGCAGCAGAAGCAGCAGCAGCAGAAGCACCAGTAGTAGCACGAGCAGGATGGATATCGACGGCGGTATCAACGAAACTTTTAATCGAAAGGGCAAGTTAAAGGCACCGAATCACCCTTACAAGGATATATACCGTCGGCGTTTCACCATACGCCAGAACTGGAAGCATGGACGCGCAGAACGAATAAGTTTCGAGGGTCATCCGGGCCACGTAGTCACGTGTCTGGAAATTGTCGATGGCGACAAGATTATTTCAGGTGCAGACGATTGTCTGATCAATATCTATGACATTGCTACAGGACAGCGGTACCATTCACTACAAGGTCACGAAGGCGGTGTGTGGGCACTGCAGTATTACCGGAATACGCTGGTTAGCGGTTCCACAGATCGTAGTGTACGCGTATGGGATATCCGGCAAGGCGTGTGCACGCATGTCTTTCTCGGCCATACATCCACCGTTCGATGTCTGCAAATCATCATACCCACACTCGTCAACGGCAGGATGGAGCCCAGCGTCCCATTAATCGTAACTGGCTCACGCGACTCAACCTTACGTGTATGGCGACTACCAAACCTCGATCGTGACGAGCCATTCAATGGCGTGGGTGTTAATCCATGGTTTATGCATACGCTTGCGGGCCACCATCATTCGGTACGCGCGCTAGCAGCACACGGAAACCGGCTTGTAAGCGGTAGTTACGACTGTTCGGTGTGCGTATGGAACGTAGAGGAAGGTGTGTTACTCCATCGGATGGCAGGCCATGGTCAGAAAGTATACACCGTCGTCATTGATCCAGAGCGCCAGCGATGCATGAGTGGAAGTATGGACAGCACAGTACGGATATGGGACATGGAGCATGGCCACTGTCTCAAGGTGCTCGAGGGCCATTCAATCTTGGTCGGCTTACTCGGCTTGACACCTAGCTATCTCGTATCAGCAGCGGCAGATTCATCACTACGGGTGTGGTCACCGGATAATGGTGGGTGCCAGCATGTGCTCAGTGGACATCGGGGAGCGATTACATGTTTCCATCATGACGAGACGAAGGTCATCTCTGGCTCTGAAGGTGGATTGAAAATGTGGGATATCAAGACTGGAAGACATGTCCGGGATCTCATCACAGGGGTGAATGGAGTGTGGCGTGTGGCGTTTGATCGTCGTCGGTGCGTCGCAGCAGTACACAGGTAGAATTCTCTTTTACTATCAGTGACAAGAAAGACTGTACAAATGAGAAACTAAATGTGTTGGTCTTCCTAGGGATAATATCACTTCATTTGAAGTGCTGGACTATGGCGTGTGTGGATTGGAAAAAGAAGGAGACCTTGTGTAGCAGACTTACAAACACCTTCAAGACTTGCACTTCTTCCTCGTTGTCCCCCAATCTTCTTTATAGTAAATATAAACGCGATCCTATTTCCTTTACACTGCCTCAACACATACAGAAATACACATACCCTTAGTCCGTGGTATCAATGTTCCGATACAATTAATATGTGTTGTCGTCACATACATACACACAGCACAATTGTTTATTTAAGATTACGATGCTGTGCGTACATGTGTACAAGTTCTTCTCGTCATGGTCGTACAATCGATTCTTTTCCGGAAAACAATGCCAGTTGGTTCCACCCACTCACCCACTCACCACCTGAGCAGAGGTGAAGTAGAAAGAGTGTAGTTAAAGAAACCCATTCTGGTGTTTTTATTTTCTTCTCCTTTGTTCTTTTTCTTCTTTTTCTTTTCTTTATATAACTCGTTTCCCTCTTCCTCTCTCTCTCTCTTTCTCTTAATCTCTTGTAACACACACACACACACGGAAACCCCTGAGAGAGGTTCTCTGCCCGTTTCGACTCAATCGTTTTTCCACTCGATCAGTAGAAGAGCAGTAAAACGGAAAGAAGTGTGAGAAGGGAAAGACGAAGAAGAAGTTACACCATGTCACTCGAGGGCTGGCACCAAGATGAGTTAACTACTACCACTACCACCACTACAAGCCATCAACCATTCCCTCAATTGTACCTCCAGATCACTACTGTCGATTACAATCGCACAGATCCGGTCTTTTGGATACAGGCTCTTGTAAGTGATTTCCACCCCCACTCAAAAGTCATTAAAAAAGAGAGTATTTCCTTATGTTTTCAAAAGACAACGCTTGTCAAGTATAGACATAAACAACGACGTATTCCTCGATATTACAGCGAACTCGAGAAACTTTACGGCCACCTGACTGCAACACTTGACGACGTGTATATACCCGTTCTTCCCATCTGCCCGAGAGCAAAGTATGACAAACAAAAACGGATGCTTAGTCGGCATTGGTGGGTCGAACTTGTCAGTGGCAACGAAAATAACAACAACTACGACGACGACGAGGACGATGATCATGATCATGATGGGCGGCGACAGAATGGATTACCTAATCCCGATATCAAAATACAACATTGGCTCGATCGAATAGCAAGCCATGAAAGGATCCAGCAAAGTGAAGGATTACGTGAGTTTGTCGAGAGTGATGTCGGGGTAGGTAAGCTTCTCCTATCTTTCTCTGTCTCTCAACACAAGTGGTGGTGGTGGTGGTGGTAACTACGAGAAATGTGTTCTTCCTAGGGCTCCGCTGAAGCCCATGATCATACTCGATTCAGGCCAAGCGCGAAGTCCAAGAGTTTAAAAAACAGGGTTTTGTTGTTATTGTTGTACTAAACTATAAAGTACCTCACATGAAAAAAAAAAGTTCCGACCACAGTTGAACAAGAAAAAGACATCAAAATCCAAACGACGACATAGTGCTACGATACGCAACGAGGATCTTGAACCCGAATTTTGGCTACTCAGTGAACAGATCGATGCATTTCGCCTTTACCTTGGTCACTTGCAGCCTTGTTTATCTCGAGTAGCCCGTGAGCAAAAAGGTTAGAAAAAAATGGAATCTCAGACCGAGAGACTAGAAGGATGATGGAAGCTGTTGTGGTTGTTGTTGCTGAACCTGGAAAATGCAAGGAAGAAAGAGTGAGAAAGGGTGTTTAAACTTTTTTTTCCCTGTACTACTCTAGGCAGCGCACAAGCATGGATGGAATTGGCTTCAATGTGGATAACATATGGTGGTATGGAGCGACATCCAGAACTCTTTGTGTATGTACTCGACGTTGCTTTGCTGCATACAGTTATCGCGTCTATATCTGTTCTAACCCGCCTCTTTTGTTAAACTCTGCACGTAGCATTTATAAGTATATCGTCAAAGCCTGTCAACAGGTACACAGCATTGAGCTATTGCAGGTAAATTTAAAGTTTCTACCTATTTTGTGTGTTTATGTCAATAGATGGGGATCTGTGACCGATGACACTTTCTTTTCTGCCCTTTCGGTTTTACTAGGAAATTTCGTTGAATGAAACATTAGGGGAAGAAGTAGACTATCAAATCAAAAACGCAATGAACGCACAAGGGATCATGACGCGACGGTTGTCGGCACTCTCGGACTATTTTGCAAGTCGGAAGCGGACAGAGTCAAGTCTGCGCAACGTCGAACGGCTCAAATCTTCGTCCAACATAGATCGTGATCAAGCAAATGACGCTATTGCTGAGCTGGAATACGTAAGTAGCACTATTCTTCCATTTGAGGGTTGGAGGCCGAGGGGGCAGGGGAATATCTGTACAGGTGAAAGATGTGTCCAGCTGGTAACTCATCTTATTTGTTTTGCGTATGGTAGGCTCGACTCGTTGAGCATGACGCATTGCAGCGCTACGAGCGTGTTGATAGTCACTATGACGAAGATCTTGAAAAACGTTATAAGCCCCAAACTGCGAATGACATGATAACTTCCATCCGCGACTACGCCAAAAGCCAACTGATTCTTGAAAGACAAAAGCTAGCTGCTTGGCAAAGCATGCTCACCCGTATAAAGCATCCATCATCATAATAAAAAACCTATTTGTATAGTTGTTAAAATACTACGTAATGATACTAATAAAAAGAACTTTTCCTCTCTCCGCTAAACTAGTGCATTAAAGCCCGTTCTCCTTTTTGTATCAAGTAGGTATGAAGAGACGCTTATGTAGAGTGTGTGTTTTTTATTTGTGGTGTACAATTGTTGTTTACACAGTCGCTAACGATCGATAGAATTCTGCGACACGGTCATGAGCTTGCACTTTGGCTTCATTAAAGTTCAAGATCTGAAGAGAGTTGAGTGAAGTGGCTCGGGATAATGCGACGTATGCTTGGCCCTTTTCAAAAACCTTGCCCAAATCCACACGAACACTGTCCAGTGTTTGGCCCTGAGACTTGTGAATACTCATGGCCCATGCCAGCATGAGAGGCACTTGAGTTCTCGAAGCAACTATCTCACCACCTAAATTTTTTTTGTAATCAGTATATCCGAAAGCCCACATGATTTTACACAAGTAGTTGTATCTTTGTTACCTGGTAGCTCGATGCTCCAAGTTTCACTTTCAATCAAAACTTCTCGTCCATCCGTGAACTGGACAATAGGATATTGATTCTTCATTATAAGATCTATATCAATCTCATTTTCAGCTCCTCCTTGGAACCGCGAAGGAGCCATGCGCGATCTGATTTCACTTGCGTTGGAGTAACCCTTATCGCCCGCAAATCCGACCACAATACCCAGCGATCCATTCACGAGGTTCTGATCCATGTTCTTGAGCAGCATGACCTGTGCATTCACCTTGAGTTGGACCTGCACAGGAGCAATGCAGCCTTCCACCTTGGCTTTATCGCCAGTGTCATGCGCGTTGTATGTGTTCAACTTTCCGGGCAAACTGTCGAGTCGTGCATTGTTGGATTTGTCGACTTGATCGCGGAGAGGAAATCTACATGCATAAATACAGATTGTGAATATTACAAGCACATCAATCATGTTGAAGTTGAGTACGAGGCGAATGGAAACGTACAGCTCAGTTGGTTCAATCATGCTATGTGTTTCCGGAACCCGCGAAAGTGACTTGAACTTTTGGATAGCTTTAGCGGATAAGCGACCCAAACGCATTTCGTTCAATATCTCGACAAATTCTGCAAGTTATACATATATTGTCAGTAAGCTCTAATTTTTTACATGTCACTTTTGCATTAATATCAAACATACCCGAGTCTTTTTGACGGAACACTTGTTTCAGCATGAAGTTCTTCTTGATGACAGTTGACCAGGCCTTAGAATCAAATGCAAATCGTTGGATACCAAATCTATTCACAGGCGGCAATTGGAAAAAGTCACCGGTAACGATAAGCTACATAGCAACAACATTAGTTAGATCAGAACGCATTCTTTTCAATCCGTAAACAGAAACTTTGTAGATGATATATGTTACCTGTATACCACCAAAAGGCTTATTGATCCCCTTGAGAAAACGAGCAATCATTTCAATTTTATCAAACAACTCGGCATCGACCATGGAAACTATATACAATGGTTAAGGCCTGGTTTCCTTGAACTGCTACAAAAAGCCTAAAAAGAGGAAGAGTCACTTACTTTCGTCAATGATCAAAACTTTGGTTCTTTTCCACCGATCATTGGCTTTGCTGTTGTGCTTCACTTTTTCAATCAATTTTCCAACCGGATCTTGACCAAGACCAATTCCTGCGAAGCTATGGATCGTACTACCACTGATATTGCATGCTGCAATACCCGTAGGGGCCGTGATAGCAACACCGTCCGGGTGCTTGTCTTTCAGTGCGTCAATGATGGCTACAAAAATGCATATGTTACTTTGATTAACAAATAGAAAAAACAGATGCCATTTATATGGTTATTACCTCTCAATAATACAGATTTGCCAGTGCCAGCTGAACCCGTGAAAAAGATACTGTGGCGTTCTTGTACGACAATGTCAAAGATTTTTTGTTGTTCTGAAGAGAGTGGCGGTCGATACGAATTATTCTTCTTCATATTACCGCTGCCGCCACCAAATGATGAAGATCCTCCTCGGAATGATTTGTTGCCGTTGTTATTGCCAAAGCTTTTCCGTGATGTAGATATCGATTTGAATCCTTTCGTGATGCCTGCACGTGACGGGGTTCCGCTGAGTGATGACAAAGCAGCAGATGATGAGGTAAAGTACGTTGTTGGGAGTTGGCGTTTGTTGGCAGCAAAGGTCGATGAAGACGATGATGATGATGACGATGATGAGATAGAAGGATAATTGTTATTGGAGGAGGAGAAAGAATCAGATGCCGATGCAATAGTAGAGCTATAAGAGCGTTTCATGGATGATGATGTGGTAGATGTTGATGATGGCGGGGTATAACTGGTCGCGTATGATGGTTGGTTTGTGCTAACCGTCTGTTTCCAACGCGATGCCAAAGGTCTTTGAGCAGATACCATACCAGCTCCTTGTAACGTATATGATGAGGTTGTCGTGGGTCGATCCGTTAAGGACATTCCGGACGGTGTCACTATCTTGCGTTCTACAGGAACAACACGTTGCTTTGTCACTGGATGGAATTCCTCTGCTGCTGCTGCTGTTGTTGCTTGTTGAGAATCAAGGCTCGAGAATACAGGTTTTCGTTGCTGTTCATAGTTGTATGTTGGCGTATTTTTGTATTTAGAATTACTGGACAATTCTTGCGTCTGTATGCCCTGACTACCAAAACCACTCGCACTTGTTGTAGTTGAATCAGCAACACGAATGCCCCGATCGAATGTTTTGGTTTCATTTTCGATAATTAGTAAATCGTCTTCATCGCTTTCTGTTAAATCAATAGCTGTCGAGGCTGTTGTTGCTGACGATGGTTGATTATTGTAGGTTCCAGGTCGAACTGGAGCAGGGAATCGCGAAGATGTTGTTATAGGTGTTGGTTGTGCTTGTGGAGTTGATGGTGTTTGTTGTTGTTGCGCCAATGTCGATTGCATAGGTTTTCGATTAAAGTAGCTAAAAATCTTTTGATCTTTTGCAGAGTTTGTATTTGAGCGCGACATGTGATTGTGACTCATTTTTTATTATTTATGAGCTTTTGTGTACTGGATGGAAGTGAGGGAGGAGTGAAAGAGGAAGAAAATATACAGGCGACGCGTCTCGAACGCGTTGAAAGTGGGGAGGGGGGGGATTAGATTTTTTACAAAGTCAGCAGTTGCTGTAATTGTTCGTCCGTGACATCTGCACCAATTTCAACATAAGTACCCAAAGGAGGGGCAAAGTTGGGTGCTGTTGATGTTGACGACGATGCTGCTGCTGTTTCCGCATGATGGACTCGTGGTTGGGTATCTTTTTGTTGCAGTTGTTTCTTAATATCACTGATTTTGAAAGTCGGCATGGAGTCTTCCAGTTCGCCATCGTCCGCGTCTTCATCATCATCGTCTGGGTCGTCGTCGTCGTCGTCGTCGTCATCTTCTTCTTCTTCATCATCATCATCGTCGTCGTCGTCGTCATCTTCATCCGAGTCAATAGTATAGGATGCGATGCGTATATCCGCAAACATATCCTTGCGATGCAGATCTATCAATGTTTCTGGTATAGGATCCAACATGGATTGTTCCACTAGTCGATGCGTGTTCCGTACAGCGATCTCACAAATGTAGTCATAAGCCACCCATGGGAAACTGAACAATGCGCGAGTTTCTGTCGATTGGAACCGTAATCTTTCCTTCGGATGATATGTCACATAATACCACGCTGCCGCCTTGAGTTCAAGGGCATCTTTGGACAGCGGCTCATCCTTTTTGTCGATATTCGTCAGAAACTCCTTGCGATACGACTTTTGCATCAACTTGACCGCCCGAACAACCTGCGTAGTCTGTTCAAACATGCTCTTACGTGTACTTGTCCGCTTCTTCCATTCCATCACGTAGCCTGATACCAGCTCAGCTTCTGTGTACACGCCATATTGGTTCATGAGCGCGCAAATATCACGATTGTAACGCGTCTGCGTGTCACGCGCTTCAATGATGTACTCTTCACTGCCCGCCAGCCATACGCGTGGATCATAGGTCGAGTCTTCCAATAGCTTTTCGCGGTAATGCTCGTAATCGCTGCTTTCAATGTATCGGTATATTCTGCCAAGCACCTTATCAGATTGGTAGCTCCTCTTGTCTTGTTTCTGCATGAAATCGGGAAACATCCTCGCTCGCAGATCGTCGTCGAATCTTGCAGGTCGTCCTGTCTTTGGGAAGTCTATATTATAAAGTATTTATGGTCAATGTCAAGGGATGTGAGTAAAAAACGGAAAACTTACCAACAGCTAAAGAATGCAGCTGTGCTAAACGAACACAGCGACCATCCATCGCACCCATCGGCGACTTGTCAGAGATAGCAAGATGAGAGTTGGCAATCTGACCGAGGTTGTCGTTGTTGATGTAATTGACAAAGAACTTTTGGATATGGCCGATCTTGACTTGATCCACTTGAATTGGATCCTCACTCTTGTAACTGAACGGGGAATAGTTGGCTTTGGGTGGCAGCAGAGTCTCGTCCCATATAACGCTGTGAAGAAAGAAAGAACGGGTCGTTATTATCAGCAACTTCTAATAAAGTGATATCAATGGGAGCTTACGTATAGTCATCACCATCCAGATCGCCTCCTGACAACATGCTAGGTAGATCACGGAACCCCTTGGCCGAAAACACGACAACATCATACAAATGTCTGAGTTTAGGGCAGTCAACAGCTATCACAGTGCGCACATCACCAGGATGGAAACACGGGTTCCGGAAAATGACGCATGGACCAACGATCGGTGGTCTGCGACGCGATGTCGCGTCATTCGCAGTATCCGCCACCCGGACATAAATCTCGCCTTCTTCCAACGAATCTGTCTCATCCAACATCCCCAGCAAGAACGCGCCCTTGGCCACATGAATCCGAGCCCTTTCCTTGAGATCCTTGAGCTTGCTCACTCGAAAAACATTGAGCATATTGCTGATGTACGGATCGCGTCGTTCCAGAAATCCTGAACTAATGATACGGGCCATGGTACTGGCATTACCATGCTCGTCCATGTTTTGGCAGATCAGTTTGGTCGCATTGGTCGGATTACTAAGCATGTTGTTCATCGAGTTGACCATCTTTTGTGTCATTTGCATAAAGACCTGGTCCTTGATGCCCAGGCAAGAAAGCAACGTAATGGCCTGTCGGTTGAGATAGGCCGGTAGATAGTTGGATGTACGGATCACTTCAAGCATCGTGTGAGTGGAGTCGAACTTGATCTGGCTTGGCCGCAGCTGGATCCGGCGACCGTTCATATAGTTGGATAATGAGAGAACGCCTTTGGCTCCACCGAGACGGAATTGGAAGCAGCTGGGTGTGGCCTCTAGTTGCAAGTGTTGCGCTACGTCGCGCGCTAATCCCGGAGAAATCTTACCAACGCCATCGGAAAAGGTGTATCCGTTGCGTTCAATGTCGTCAATCACCTCAACTTGGTTTTCATTCAGTTGGATCGTAGGAGTTGTCGTTGAGAAGCACTAAATTGATGCCTTTTTTAGAAAAACCGAAGATCATCGTGGAGCTATTCCCCTCTCATCACACCAACAGCATTGTGCCAACTTCTCCGTATCGAAGCTACTGTTTTTTTTACCTGACCCATGCGCACTGCATTTTTGGCAATGGTCTTGACGTGTGAGAAGGTGCCCATCCACGCTCGGATCATACCAGGAGTAAGTTCCTTTGTAGGCGCGAAAAACCAGCAACCATGATTTCGAAGCTGTGAACTTGAAAACGCCAAAAAATCATACCGACGTGCACCAATCTGGATCCCATTCTGTAGGGTTTTATAAATCCGTGCATAGATAGCGTCGCTGCTCTCCCCACCAAACGTGGCAGCAATACGCGTCATGCCTTCATCCATGAACTGGACGCGCAAGAACCGATCCGCATGTTCTGAGAAATGACGAACGACTCTGTTGCTAACTTCAAGAGTTGGCGTTTGAAGATACAACGTTGTAGGCGTGACAATGACTTTACGGATTTGGACACAATGATTAGGTACGGCCAGATCCGCAGCGATCTTGAGTCCGTTTTGGCTGAATATCTTGTAAATTGCATCATAGGGTTTCCATATGCGCGAAGATTCTTGAAGTAACGCCAACAGAATACCTCGAGGGTATTTGGCACCTGCGTGGCCGACTTCATTCAGCGTCTCGTACAAGGTGTCGTCAAGACTGACTTGGTCGATCAGTCCTTGTGTCACTGCACATTCCAGGTAGTACAACACGTCAAAATCGTTGATCTGCGATGCGCGTCGTGAGTGCGTGTGCACTGGTTCAGATAGTTGGGATGCTGGCAAAACACGTAGCGGTAATTGACGCCGCACGTTAAATTTTTGTGGAATCAAGTTGAACTGGGCCGCGTATTGTAGCATCGTTTCAAACTCGTTTAGCATCCAGTCTTCGGTCGTTTCGAATTTGAGGCGGTATGTGCGCCATGCTGCCAAGTTGATTCGATGGGCTGGGTGTTCTGGACTAATTGGGATGCGTTTGCCATTGGGTTCTTGATTAATCAGTTGCTGTGCCTGAGCATCAAGTGGTATCTCCATAATACGTTCCCAGATTCGAGTCACATCCTTTTTCGTTGCTCTGACTTCGGGTCGGCCGGGCGGTGCTGACCTATTATTGTTGTAGTTGTTGCTGCTCATACCACAATTGTTGTATCCGTGATTATTGCTGCTGTTGCGGCTATATCTGTTTCCACCCGGTTGTTGATATTGCCTCTGGCGTAGTTGCTGCTGCTGTGGTAATGGTGGTTGTTGTAGAGATGGTTGCTCTTGGATGTACCTTTCTCGAAATGTCCGTGCCGGGCATCGCAGAGTAAACGTGAAATGCGTCGTATTTTCTTCGCGCTCCAACTTTATTTCGCCATCGATGTTGTTGAAGGGGAACTCCATACGATACGTGTGACTCAAATGCTGAAACCGTACAGACATGAGACGCGCGGCGAAATCCATGATCACACTGACATCGCGCTCGCAGGACCACATATTAACAAAGGTCTTGGGGGCCAGCATGGTACCGAGTGAGAATGCTTTTGCAATGACCCATGTTCGATCCGATTTTCTCGACGTATCACGCCATGGATGGGTTGCTGCAAAGCCTTTGGGTGCAAACTCTATTTGGACCGCTTTGCCATCGATTCTCAAGTTTGATAAAATGATGTTGTAGTCCGTCAGTGGATGGCTATTACATCCACGGTTGTCATAGTTGTCAGTTCTCCTTTCTTTCTTTTTTTCTTCATTATACACAAGCATATAAGAAAGGGCAGAGGAAGAAAAGTAAAACTCACGCGAAAAGAATGATTGCAGAACATTTGGATCGGTTTCGGTCGTCAAGATCAATCTCTACACGATCTACTTCGCCCACTTTGTTGAAATAGTCATTCAAAGTTTCGGCAATCGTCTCCCGGTTAAGATTCGAAAGTAAAAGACAATGTGGGTCGAGGTGTGCCGGCAGCTCATCGAGTCTTTTGATCGCCATTGTTATCAAGGCTGTTATTTGCTAGCTTGTATCGATTGTCGGTGGAAATGAGACAGCAAATATAAAGGAAAAGGAAAAAAGGGGAGGATCACTGTAGTAGTGTGTGTAATGTGAATTGCAACAATGATTAGAGAGGAGAGAACGGAAAACAGAAGGTCCGGGAAATGACACGATCTCACTCACATACGCGCAAAACGCGCAAAAATAAAAGTGGTTGTGCTCGTTTTGCAACAAGTGATATGACAACTGCAACAATCAAAATAAGCAGCATTTGTCTGAAACACAATTTCATTGAGAGATGCCGTGCTGTCCGTGTGCATTGCATGCAGGTTCTCTCTCCTTACTTTTTTCCCCACCAACAAAGTTAATCATGCATCACTACTGTATCCAAGGAAGGAGAAAGCGTAGAGAATATTCTATCAAATATGTTTTTTTTTGGCTATTTGGTGATTCGTTATGACGATACCATAGCAACAATTTTGCTGCTATGGGGATTTTGCTGTTACATTAGCCGTCTGTTAAAGTACATCATCGTCAAGGAACCATAGCTTGTCGATATCGTTACGATGCTACTATCATGACTGACAAACACCAATAAAGTAGGTGGAAAAGATGTCTACATCAGCCTAGAACTTTTGTATACTTCTCCCTCGTACTGTTTTGTGTGATTAATAGTTTTTCGATGACAGAGATTGATTAAATATCTGCACTTTGCCAACATATTATAGTGGCAACGTCAATGATTGTACGGCCATATAACGACGCGTGGATTAACAATTTACGGCAAGTGTATAATTAAACTGGTGTATCAAACCAAGTAGCTTTAAATGAATTGTGTGGCATGAAAACGTCAAATGCGCGTAGTTCATGCTTCTCTACTGCGTGTTGTCATTACTTTCACTATATTTTTTACCGTTGTTCTTTAAGTACTATTCCTAAAACACAATGGTGGAAAGTCAACAACAATGACCTCCGTGATCCTTTAATGTGCTTATGTGCAATACGTTTCGCTCACAGTCATCCAGTATGCAATCATTCTCAAAATAGAAGAGTACAATTACTGATCTAAAATTGTCAGAGATATACTGTACAGTAAAGTCGCTTTAAGAAAACAGGGCTTAAACTTGCGCAGGTTAAGTACGGATTCCACAGCCGAGTTGTTATTGCCACAGGAACTTCATATCACTACTTTGACTTATCACTTATACGCGACATATGAACGCTTCGGCTGCTGTTGTGGTGCTGTTGTCAGGATATATGCTCTAATGTGTATGTAATTAACCAGACATCCCTTGTACTAGGGAAGAGTTAGACTGAAAGCGTTCGCTTTTTCATATCAGCCTGATGTTAGTAGGCTACGAAAGAACCAGTCCGACGAGAAAGCTTTCTTTTTTGAGCCGCAACATGCATTATAAGTATGCTCTACTTTCATCGAAACGCGATAATAATGGGTTTGCTACTCTACTAGCCTAAGCCAGAACGTGAAAGTCTTGCTGACAAGTTCGAAGAGAGCGACGGATATCACAAGTGCGTTGGTCCGGTATGCCGCTGCAATGAAGCGCCTATTTCTGCCACTGCTCAATCTAAGGGCGGAAGTTGATGTTATGCGCATAAGCCCAGCTGCTTGGTTTTCTTCCTCCTAGTAAAGCTGCAGCATTACAGAGAGAGAGGCTCCGAATAAATTAAGGCACCAATTTCTCACTGTTCTAAGAGTAACTAAACCTTCTCGCACACCACCACAACTCTTACAAAAAAGAGCTTGTTCTTTCTACTATCCAATTAACCAAAAAGAAAAATAACGATCTGTAACAATGTAAAATGACCCTGGTCTTTTTTCCACTGTACACGTCAAAAACGATTGAAGAAAAAGCGGGCTGACAAAGTCGTTTCTGATGAACTAGATCATCACTTTCTCTCGCTTTTTTTTGGCCGTTGTTACGTCTGACGAGCAAAATAGATAACTTTAATTGAGAATGTCGTTCATCGCACGGTCAAGAGCCAACAGCGAGATGTCATCGTCCAGTAGCAGTCTGAGACTCGGGTAAAAAAGATCCTTTTTCGTTTTTTGGTTGTGAGCGATCGAGGGAGGTTTACACATACACTGGCGGCAGCAACGGCAGCACCGGATCTGATCATCTCACCACTACCCAATCCTTGCTTTTGCTCTTTTTTCTTTTCCTGCATCAAACACACACACATATTTCTTTACCCCAATAACTCTTTTTCATCGTGTTGCGCATGTTTAGAGCTTGGGTGGACGATCTATTTCATCGCTATACATTTCCCGCACATACATGGAGTGATGGGGCACTAGACAACAACAGCTCTCATCGAGTCGAGATTCATTATCTTGGTGCGTCGTATATGCAGAGCGGACCATACAGTGTTTCAAGTGCAGCCTTTTATGAAATTACGGAAACAACGGACAAGGATATTTGTAACGAAGACAACACGATAGTGGAGCAACAGCAATACGTTCTATCGTCATCTGTATCATCACCGCCAATTTCGATGATCGGTGGTGGTGGTAATAGTTCATCTGCTGCTGCTTCTACTGCTTCTGAGAACAGTGGCAGTAGCAATCCAGTAAATATGCTTCCCCCGAAGAAAAGACGACGGCATAAAGTCATACGGAACAAGGTCGTTTTCTGTGTCGACCCTCCGCCTGCGTCAGAGCTGCATACTCCTTCTCCTCATCTTGACTACTACTTGTTTCCTCACGATGCCGTCGCAGGAGCCGTCAATGATGCTCCTCCGTTTGAGGTATTGACTTTTGGGAGTTAGTTAAGCAGATGAAATCAGACCAACAGTTATCTCTCTCTTGTATGTTATAGCTTGTATTCTCTTTTCATGTGCCACCACCTTCCTCGTCGTCATCACCATCGTCATCAATGGATGGGCCTCATTTTGAGGAAAGAAGGCCAACCAAGCTGGAAGAGTTTGCTGCTGTATGCAGCAGTGCCAATCGAATGCACCCGCGTTGTCGCTCGACAGATCCAGGTACAGGCGATAGCAGTAGTAGTCATGTGATGGCAGCAACAACCTTATTGTCAGCGGCAGCAGCCGCTCCTCTTCCTCCGATGCCATTTGATGATCCTCGTTGCAAAGTCGTAAATATGCGGATATCCGGTGTGTCGAGACGGCTCTTTGTTGCTATCAAGCAGACGGTGTCTGATTTTGAAACAGTGTGCGAAAGAATGGTGCAGTTGGTAAAGTATTTTATCGGAAGGATGGGTAAACGACGGATACAGAAGAATGGCGGCTTTCTGTTATTCACCCACATATTGGAAACCCCATCTTTAGATGAAGTATCATACGCAACAAATGGCTGGTCAAAAGGGTTCTATATCCAATGCACCACGGCCCTTGCTGACGCCAGTACCGCCATCACCCATTATTACCTCTGCGCATGACGCCGAGTGGGAAGAGTTGCTAAATAGCAAAGACCAGCATCAATATCACCATCATCGTAAATCTGACGCGTGCAGCAGTGATGATACCAGCTTCGACAAAGGTAAAAAAAGACAAGATCAAGTCAGAATTTTCAATATGCAGGATTGAGCGACCCTCTCTAACAGTAAATATTTCTATCCAGTTGATATGCTTGTCGACCCTATACCTAAAAACAGCCATTCTAATGGCAGCAGTAGCCACACTAGTGCTTCACGAGCGCCCATTTCACCACGCTCCGCATCTACGACATTGAGCAGCAATAGTACTAGTAATCATAACAGCAATAACAACAACAATATTACTACTGCTACCACTGCGACCACCAGCACATCCAAAACCCGAAATAACAGTTCCGGTGGGGCCGTAAAGAAATGTTTATACTGTGGGTCCAAAAGTACACCCATGTGGCGCCGAGGACCTCAGGGTGCAGGCACACTGTGTAATGCATGTGGTGTGAAATGGAAGCATGGCAAAATTCTGTCGGGAAGCACAAGCACTGATATGCTAGGTTCATCTTCCAACATGGATCGACCTCCAGCAGCACCCAAGGAACGACGTGGATCGAGTAAGAGTGACAAAAAACGCAAGAAATCAACAAGTGGTGGAGGAGGTGGTGGGAGAGCGGATCGACGTGGCGGTCAACGATCTGCTTCTGCAACACCTGTTATGGAGACGACGCACGCTGCTGGTGCTGTTACTGCACCACCATCGTCTTCCTCTTCAGCATTTAAATCGTTGCGACAACAACAGACCCATAGCAACAGCTTCGACAATAACAATAATAGTGATGATGACGATATGGAACGCAACATTAACGCTGCACGAAATCTGAGTATACGTGAAGATGAGGATGAGTACCATCCACAACAACAACAGCCTCCCAGCATCCGCAGTAATGCAACATTTGCTGTGCCATGGCTACCGCGCGATAGCAATAGCAATAATTCATTTGCTTCGGAATACCACTTTCAGCAACACCAACATCACCACAATCACCGTCAGACAATGACAACAGCAACCGCAGCTATAGATGCACCCAGCTTGTCTTCGTCATCCCTTTCAATATCAGGCTCTTATAGTCCTATTGAGTCTTCGCCCAACTCATCACCGCGGCTATCATCGGCGGCGCCATCGGTTGTCAGCATGCACCACAGTAGACGACACACCATGGATGTGGCAATGGCGAGCAAGTTCGGGTACAGTGAAGCGTCATATCCAATGTCGGCCGGCGTGGATGCTGTAGAAGCAGCAGCTCTGTTAACTTTGCTCAAACGGTCCTAGTCTTTATTCTATTCTGTTCTCTGTAAACATATATACTTCTTCTGCTATGTTGCGCTCTACATGTTTTTGTTCTTTTCATTATATATTTCCTCGCTCTTTCTCTCTCTTTTTTTTCCACAAGTCACGATCCTCTTCTTCTTCTTCTTTCTCTGTATTTCACCCTCATTACACACGCCCAACACATACAAGCACCACCAAACTCATTCTCTCCATATTTCAGTATGTACATAGTGTTCGATGTTGTTATATTAAATTTTTACCAACTTTTATGCGAGTGTGGTGTGGTGCTACAACGATGTCGAGAGTTTACCCTTAAAAGTAGAAACTCAGCGAAAAGAAGAGGCAGCAACAAGCAACTTGGAAATAAACATTACTGTGTTGTGAGGCTTCTCACTGTTCACCAATGAAGTCTTCCGGAACCCGGGCAGGTGCAGGAGCGAAGCAAGCAAATTCATGTACAAGAGATGTTCTTGTTTGATTCTTTTTTTACGGTGGAAAGGGGCAGGGTAATGGGCGGCTCGAAAGGAAAAAGCATGACGTGACTCTAGGACCAATGTTGAAAGCACAGCACCCACGGTATCTCAATTCTCTGTGGCATATTTACGGTCAGGGCAGTGAGAAAGTGTACAGTTCGCCTCTCGTATACGTCCATCGTCGAGCGAATACATATTGCGCATCCATCGGTTCGAAACAGTGGGGGCGCGTTGGACCGGAGCTGTATTCATTGACGACATCGAGTACACTTTTTCCACGGTCGTTGCAAAGAGCCAATGAAAAGTGTGGCGGTTGGCGCTGGCTAGTTTTCCGTATAGCTTCTTCTCCCGGGCATCTCCCTTGTTTGTTGTCCTTTTCTTTTCTTTTTACTCGCCGAACTGTCAACCTTGTACTTTCAATCTCTTTTTGCGTTTCTTCCTACTCTTTTTGTGAAGCGTTGTAAAAGTCCCGGCAGCGGCCACAGGTTTCGCGCGACTCAATTTCTCGACAGGCGTGACATTGTCTTCGAGCCAATTCTGCAAGGACCACATAATGGTTGGCAACTCCTTAACCTGCTTCCCGACTACGGTGAAGGTCGTAATGATGCCGCGGTCGCCACCTAGAGCAATATCGCTCGAGATCGAGCTCAGATCAATCGAGCTTTGCTGTTAGATCATGTTAAGCTATACATTATCCAAAGGACATGATAAGAGTTAGCAGGATTTCCATAACAAGCAATCACGATCACCTTAAAACCGCTAACATACCTCGGGAACCATATTTTGCCCTGCTGTCTCCTTGTCTGGAAAGTATTTAAGGCTTTTGCTTCGATTCAGAAAGGAACTTTGCAAGCGGCACAGGCATTCTTGACAGAGATATATGCCTAATATCTAATGACGGCGCATTCCTCGCCATCATCCCATTTTTATATCAGCTTTCTGGCCCTTGTCTGTTGTGGATTGTTTGGTGGTTTTGCTTTAGAGTGTTGTTGTACTTCGGCTGGATGCTGGCGATATGCCGCATTAAGTGCTCGGCCTCGGCAGTCTTGACCGCTTTTTGAATGTAGTTCTGCAAGCTTTTTTTGGCTTTGGACCACCTACAGTGACCATGATGATCGTTTTATGCTTTATCCTAACGACTCGTACCGTCGGTGCATTCACGTACATTAGAGTCCAATTCGACTGAAGACCTCGGCTGCCGAATATGTGCCGTATCTTGTTCATAAAAAACATGCCCGCAAACATGGCTTCCTTATAGCCAACCGCGGTTTACGTTGATGTTACACTGTATATGCTATGTCATAATAAAGAGGTGGTTAAAATACTTTATTGCCGTCGACTGTGAAGAGTTGGTTCGGTACTTATGTTGTCCAAGAATGTCAGCGAGCAAGCATATCAAAAAGATAATGAGGTTCACCTGTGCCTTATAGGAATGATCAACGCTAAGAAGTGTGCTAATCAAAGTCCTCCTTGCGTCGAGAAATTCTTCATGAAGCTCTAACATATATGTAACTCGTACTTGATACCTTGTCATAGACCTTTCTTGAGCTGCGTGTTTTGGTAATCCTCTCTTGTCAAAACGAAGGTGTTTCCCAACATACCATGCTTTTTGTCGTGCAACTCGAAAAGCATGTTAATGAATGGGCTAGAGCCTACTTTTTTGTATACTAAGAGCGCACCACATTCATCATCGTATAGATAGATATACCGGTACGATGGTCTGCAAGCGTTTCTTCGCGCTTGCCTGTAACAGCTTCTTAGCTGAGACATTTGTAGCGATAGGATATGATATAAAAGTTGTCGGTTGAGCCAGTAACTCTCTGTTCTTTAGGGCCAGTAGCCCATCCCTGGGCTTGTAGCGAGTTGGTACAATCCTGAGCAGTGTAAGGGTTTCGGCGATCGGATAGCAACAAATGCGGATACACGCGGCATATGTAGTTTCGAAGGGCCCGGTCTCGGTGTTGAATCCTGCTTGAGGAGACCATGCAGTGTAAAAAATGATGGGATTGAATCCAGAAGGACTTGTGGCGCTAACATTAAGGTAGGCCCTAACACGCGCCTCATCTGCATCAAATCTTCTTCGAAGCAACTCAAAATAACTGAAAGGAAGAAGGCGGTGTCGCCTTTCTCGGTGCCATTGTCCCCTTGGGCGTGCTCTGCCACTAGTGAAGAGATACTGCTACCGTCTAAGCAGCATATCCAAAAGTCAGCTGCATGAATCATGTATAAATACAGGGACCCTTAAGAACTATAACCATCAAGTATGATAGTAGCCTTCAGTGGTAGATTGTTTTGAAAGGAAGAGTAATTTGACTGGTAGGGGGAATTGATATTTGGGACGTGTAGACAAAAAAATACAACGAGAGATTTTGTACATGTCTATGGCGATTTTCGCGTCACAGAAAAACCTGTTTTGTAGATGGCGTTGTTTGCTTGTTCAGGCGTATGTGCTATCAACGAAGAACATGCCGCGCCAGTGGTCAACCCTTCCTCATGCCGCACCTTAACTTAGGCCTATGAGCCTGCGGTGTGCGTGTGTCGGAGCCAAATGGTGATTGGGATTAGTTAGGCGTGCGTCGTCACGCTTCAGTTAACCTCTTTTTCAATTCTCCCTCTCCCTCTCTCTCTCTCTTTCTTTTGCTCCATACTTACACAACCTTGACGAAAACCAGATCGAAACACGACAACGCACTACATACCTATTTCTCTTTGGAAAATAAACGGGTTTTAAATGCACGCCAACGATTCAAAATACATTAAAGAAGTATGGGCAGAAAACTTGGAGGAGGAAATGGCATACCTCCGCGACTTAGTAGAAGAGTATCCATATCTTGCCATGGTAAAGTGTTTTCCCTTTTCTATTACCAATTGAGCTCATTTGTATCATCGCCATTATTATTTGTTATCTCATTGTTTCTCTTCTAATTCTTAATATAACAAAAATACACAAACGAAAACGAACAATACAACAGGACACGGAATTTCCAGGCGTAGTAGCAAGACCTATTGGCACGTTTAAAACGTCTTCAGATTATCATTATCAAACGTTACGATGCAATGTAGACCTCTTAAAAATCATTCAACTGGGTGTAACCTTTGCGGATGAACATGGCAATCTGCCACGTAATGTGTGCACTTGGCAGTTCAATTTCAGGTTTAACCTATCGTACGTTTCTTTTCTATTGGTTTATAACATATCGATTGGAGAAACAGCAGACAGGGAGAGAGAAGAAAGATCTGGGGATTATTCTATACTAAGGTTGCCCGTTATCCTCTAACGCTTATCATGATCTCACTTTTCATACAGTGATGATATGTACGCACAAGACTCGATCGAACTACTCACCAAATCCGGCATTGATTTTAAAAGGCACGAAGAATACGGGATTGATGTGGAACATTTTGGCGAGCTGTTGATCAGCTCAGGCTTTGTGCTTTTGGACGATGTAAAATGGATATCATTTCATAGGTAAGTAAGGTGGTTTTGTATGCTGCTGCTTCTGCTAGATGGCATGATCTGAGTCGCATAGAATGAAGGAGGGGGTACTTTGGCTGCTATTGCTAACTTGATTTTTCATTATTCTTTAAAGTGGGTATGACTTTGGTTATCTGCTCAAACTCCTCACGTGCTCAGCAATGCCGGCGGATGAATCCGAGTTCTTTGATATCCTACGAATCTATTTTCCATGTATATACGACATCAAGTATTTAATGAGGAGCTGTAAGAATCTGAAGGGAGGGTTGCAAGATATTGCGGATGATTTACAGGTAAAGTGCTTTATTGGACGATGCAGAGTATAAGTTTAGTTATTATCCTATGCGTGTTAACAAAGACTTATTTCTTGCTTTTCGTTTGCCCCCCTCTGCATGCCCCCTTCGCCTTCCAACAAAACCCCTTTATTATTACGATAAAAGGTGACACGGATCGGGCCACAGCATCAGGCGGGTAGCGATAGTCTACTGACTTGCACAACGTTTTTCAAAATGCGACAAATGTTCTTTGATGATCGAATCGATGACCAAAAGTACCTGTAAGTGTTAATTTGAAAGGATGGATAGAGAGCAAGGGAAAAAAAAGACATGTGACACTCACGGTAGAATGGGTTAGTGGATACCTGTATGGTTTGCGAAGCAGCCCAACGGTGGTCCAATCGCTCGTTAATGCAACGAGCAATATGTCGTTAAACTCCACACCGTCGGATGCAGCAAGTGTAGTGAACGGGAAAGCAGTGTTAAATGGTGCCACCAAAACCGCATAACCGTTCATCTCTGCTACTTTCTCCCATTCTATTTTCCATTACACATCTTTTTACCTCTTGCCATCCGTCGTTCATATCCACAAGCTACCCAAACCCTTCCGTTACGTTTTTCTTTCGTGTTCTATAACTTCTTTTTCTTTCAGACATTACATATACAAACGCACGCACACTCTCACCTAAACATCATTTACCCTCTCCTCTCGCTCTCTTCTCACATAAGCACGCGCAAACTTCCCTTACTGTGCTCCTTCTCTCCTCTCTCCACACGCACACATACGCACACTGCCACATGCGTACTCACACATTAAATAAAATGTTATTTTCCTGTTTTTAACTTCTTTTATTGTTTTTTACTTAATACCAATACTTATAAAGAAAAAAATGGTTCTCTTGTTGTGTATACGTGCTTTTCTCTACAACTTGGAGTCGGCAACAAAGTTGGTTCCCTTGGCAATGTTGCCCTTCAATTCAGCAGTTGCCTTGGTGAACAACGACTGCTCATAGGCAGACAAGGAACCGATGGGCAAGATAGACTCGACACCGTTAGGGCCCAATTCGACAGGCACCGAGAAATAATCAATACCATTACCAATGACACGCTTGGTATCCTGAGCACCCTGCTTATCAGCATCCAACTGAACATACGTGCATTCGACAATCGACTTGCCAAAGAAAGCGGCCTCAATAATGCTCAGAGCGAACCGAGCACCAGCATAAGCCATGGACAAGGTAGCACTGCCAGCTCCGTTCTTGGCCTTGACGACCTCATCGCCACCAAACTGGATGCGGTTGGTGACCTTTTCAATCTGTTCTTGGGACAACGTGTCGCTGCCAGGGACCTGGGACAACAAGGGCAAAATGGTAAGGCCACTGTGGCCACCAACGATTTTGCAGCGGACATCCTTGGGGTCCTTGCCGATCAATTCGCCAACAAATGTCGAAGCGCGGACAATGTCAAGTGTGGTGACACCGAAAATTCTATTTGAATTGCGTGTTTGTCAGCATGAATTTTATTTTTTTGATATAACAAGAAAGAACGTGGGGTAACCCGCTCCACCTTCCCCACTTTTTTGTAGGCACATAGAGTATATATCATGTTGATCGCTGAAAGAAATACTCTACCTGCGGGGATCATAGACACCGTGCTTTTTGAAAACCTCGGCAACAATGGGGACTGTCGAGTTGACAGGGTTGGAAATAATGCACATGAAAGCCTTTGGGGCATATTTGGCAGCAGCCGTGGCAAGGTCACGGACAATACCAGCATTAATCTTGAACAAGTCGTCACGAGTCATACCTGTAATGAGCATCGTCCTTGGTTAATGAAACCAAAAAAAATGCAGATCCCATATGTACTTTAATTACTTTGTGAAGTTTGGAATTCTTACCAGGCTTGCGCGGTACGCCAGCTGGAATCACGACAACGTCCGAGCCCTCAATAGCTTCCTTGAGCTGTTCATTGCCAACATGGCCAGTAACCTTAGACTTGGTGTTAATGTGGCTGGTAGATTCATCATAGCACGATTGTCGGCCATTAGTACCCTTATTTAATGTGTTTACGACACCCTTCCCCTTGTCTCGGACGAAAGCTTCGCTTCTGTCCGACGGTTTCGTTATTCCAGCGTATATTTTACCTCAAATCGGCGGCAACACCCGGGGTATTGACAATATCATAGAGCGACAAGTGAGTGATTCTAGGGGACTCCTTCAAAAGCAAAGAGAGCGGCTGACCGATACCGCCAGCGGCACCACATACAGTAACTTTAACCATTTTATATAAAGAGAGAGAAAAGGCAGAAAGAAAGGCTGTATAATTTAGTCTCACTGCTGGCGGTTTAAAAGAATGATGTTCATATGTCTTTCCTTCCGCTCCGAGGGCAGGCCTAACCCCGAAATTGGTAAATGACACAGTGTGGGTGGATAAAATGGGTGAGAAAGTGAGCCCTCTTTTTTTCACATGTGATATATAAACACGGGTATATATTGAAGGAACAGAGGATATACACGCCATTATTTTGCCTTGAGGGCAAAGATTCTGTTTTCTCGCTCTTTGGGCCGTGAATACATGATATTGTGGGGATAGTAGGCTACTACATTTACTGCTGTCGTAATCATACTATTACCTCATACAAACACCACAATATGCACAGTTATTTTGTATGCATCCAGCGAGCTATACCGCTGTATGACGGGGAAGTTTATCGCTGTACATGTACGGGTATTTACAATCCAACGCTTACTATTATAGAGCAGTAGTGCTACAAGTCTACTAGGACCATGTAGTAGAATGAACATGTTCTTTCTCAGAACCTTTTTATAAAACAGTTCCAGTGTACATTGCTCTTCTTTTGGGGTCTACACTACAAGCATAATGGATGGTGATCGCTTTGTTTTAAAGGTATATACATGATGAATAAATGAGGTTTGAGAAATGCTGAGGGGTGCACATTCACGATCGGGTTCCTTGATGATTATCATCATAATGTATCGCTATAGTACGAAAACCGTCCCTTTCTTACCGCATTGTGCTGTACATTGATCTCTAGATACCACCAATTCATTGATATATGGGAGCGTTCAGTGTACAATATTCAAATACAGTGGGTCCCCGCGTTTTGCAACCGTGGTATTTCTGAAGATAAGTTGCAAAAGATGAAGGTTTGCAACGAACGGTGGACGTTCAGCTGTAGAAACAGAGAGCAACTATATGTCTAACGTCGCTTCTTTACGCATCGGCTGTGTAACATCTCCTCGCACTATGGCGTATCTTGCTGCGAATATTGCGCACCTGTCTAAACCTTGCTGTAGTCGAGCTCTTTGTCAAACTACTCTTTATTGATTGAAATTTACACAGAAGAGTTGCGTGGCTGTGCAAGGAGTCTCAAGAAAAGAACGCGACGCTGAAACTGCGCCTTGTCGACTGCGTTGGAAAGAACCCCCTCGGATACAGTCCCATTCCCACCTTATCTCTGAAGAACATCTGCAACGACGACAGAAAGCTGCGATCAGAACATTTTACTTACCAATTCAGGCACGATATCGTCGCTCACAGTTGCGCGCTCGTTTCCGACAGTTGACCATTGATCCTCGATGTTCATTATCTCCTCATCATGTTGTTTGAACTAAAAAGTTGTTGCTCACGTACATTTTAATAGGGTCGCATCGATGGTATTATCTTTATCATTATCTTTATCATTATCTTCACTATTGCTGTTATTGTTCTATAGCTGTCGCAGGATTGAAAACGATGAGAAGAATACGGTGATTGTGCAGTAGCAGCACCAGCAGCTGGTGTCATCTCCATAACAAGTGGTGCAGAAGAAGATCATTGACCGCCACGGCGATACGCTCTCCCACCTTTCCCTCCACTACTTGTTGATTTCTTGAATTTTTGTCCTCTTACTCGCTGGCGGTCGATCCATGTTGGAAGATGAACCAAGCATAACAGTGCTTGTACTTCCCGACGAAATTTTGCCATGTTTCCATTTCACACCACATGTATTGCACAGTGTGCCTTCATCCTGAGGTCTTCAGCGCCATATGGGTGTACTTTTGAGCTCACAATTACAACCCCACCGGAACTGTTACTTTGGGTTTTGGATGTGCTGGTGGTCGCAGTGGTAGCAGTAGTGATATTGTTGTTGTTATTGGTGTTATGATTACTAGTACTATTGCTGCGCAATGTTGTAGATGCGGAGCGTGATTAGATGGGCACTCGTGAAGCACTAGTGTGGCTACTGCTGCCATTAGAATAGCTGTTTTCCGGTATAGGGTCGACAAACATATCATCTGGATTAGAATAATTGCCGTAGAGAGGGTCGCTCGATCTTACATTTAGTAGATCTGACTCATTCTTGTATTTCTATACTCTGTAGCAGTTCACTGCAGCACGAGTTAGATCTCAAATGATAATATTGTTGCTAATCTCTGCTTTATCAACTCTTCCCACTCGATACATATCTTGCGCGGAGGGAATAATATGGGTGATGGAGGCGGTACCGGCGTCAGCAAAGGCCGTGGTGCATTAGATTTAGAATACTTTTGACCAGCCATTTGCTCCGTATGATACTAAATCTATATATAGGGCTTCTAATCGTGAATGGATTACATAAAGCCGCCATTATTTTCTTACTTATCCTTCCCGCAAGGTATTTTACCAGCTGCGCCATTCTTTCGCACACTGTTTGAAAAACCAGACACCGACTGCTTGATGCCACCCGGATTGATATCGCCAATTTAGCTCTCGGTCGAGCGGACATACCTGGAATATAATTAGATGAATACACACGAGCCACTGGTGCTACAACATGCCTACAAATGGTTGTGAACAGGGTGCCATGTTAACATGTGTGGACGATCCGAACATCTTTGTGAAACAAGTTTATCTTTATAAATAATCATTCATGGAAAATCTGTAGTGTTAGTTGTAGATTGCATCTAATGTGGGGGGGGGGAAAGAGAGCTCCTCGATCATGGTAAGTGACGTTAATAAGCTCCTATGTGGAAGAAATATTACATTTGTAAGCACATCAAGAGGAAGACGAGGCATTTGATGTGGTTGTTTAGAATATTCAAAAAGCGGAATCGGAACCTACGACTATTTAACAACTAAATAAAGGTTGCATTACGAAGCACATTACTTATGGCGTCCCGCTGTCCTTCTTCTTTTTTGTATTGATGATAAGAAACCACTGGGAGGCTCAATCCTCAACGCAAACAAAGCAATTGAAAAATCAGTTGTTGTTCGTTTGGGCGCACGTGCAAAAGGTTTTTCCTCGTCATCAACCGACACTCACGGCAGACACAATTTCATTTTTTTAAGGAGGTCGTTGTAAGATGTGGAACAACTTGCATGTCCGACAAAGGGAAACGGAGCCAATCTATATCTCTTTTCCGCTTTTTGGCCGTTTCTGTCCACTTCCTTGCTTGGTTGAAACTTGTTCAATGTTTGGATCGTCGTAGTCGTTGCTGTTGTTCATGACAGCGTGTTGCTATGGTTACTAATTTGTTGCTACGATGGATACCTAACTTTTGTTTCGTGTGTTGTGCATGACTCATAATTGCTATCGTTATAGTGTTAAAAATATTGTCATGTATGGGAGCAAAACATGAGTGTATATGATTCATTTAATTGCATTTGATTGGTTGATCGGACCACATGTCGTAAACAACTAGAACCTCTTGGCACAAAAAGGAATACACGAGCCATTATTTAGATCTACTATTACTACTTGATCACGAGTGCAAAAGAAGAACGAGCAAATTGTGCTGCTTCAAGAGAAAAAAAAGAGCAGTATCCATCATGAAAGAAGAGAGAGGGGGGGAACGTTATCATTTTGACATACAGTGCCTTTATTGCGACTGAAGTGTTTCAAATTAACTTCATCCCTCAATTAACACCGAGTTGATCTCACTTGGAGACTAGGTCCTTCTCTTATTTTCACATACACCGCATAACTACGTCAATGGCTTGAAAAACTATTCGCTTGATTCGATGTGGTATGTGAGCTGTTGGGTTGTCGAGGATGATGACGAAACCAGAAGTAAGGTAAATTATAGTAGATCAAAAAAATAAAGCTCCGCAGTTTTGAAAAAAAAAAAGCCCAAAAAAAGTTTTATTTTTCCTCTTTTGGGTAGTGTTGTGTAACCCTCTTCTCTCACCGTTTAGCTAGCAGCAGTGGGTGTCCACGCATGCGCCCTAACAAAACTTTTCTTATACATGTTTCTATGATCCATAGACTGTATATCCAGAGAAAGAAAGAGAAGCACATGTGCCAGAGCAAGTCGATGCTGGCCGATCGAAAGAGCAGCTCTCCTCATGTTTACATACAAGCAAACGTATCACGTGATGACCTCTGAAAGTATTATAGAAACTGGACCTTTTCGTCGCAAGCACAGAGAGAGAGAACACACTTTTGGCTCTGAGTTTAATGGACTGGGTCTCTCTCTCTCTCTCTCGCTCTCTTCTCTTCACTTTCTCTCTTGGCTTTCCCACTTTCCCTTTTCCTTTTTTTCTTACTCTTTTTTTTAACCTTTTGGGTGTTGGGCGAATCCGGGATCTACAATCATGTCAAGTGGTGAGACAGCCGACGAGGCAGCGAAGAGACAGCGAGTTAGCCGCGCGTGGTGAGTCCTTTTTATTTCTTTCTATGCCCCAGCTTTTTTTTTCTCTTTTAATGGAACCAGCGTGGGACTAATTGTGCCTTTATTTTTTCAAGTGATCTTTGTCGTCGCAAAAAGATAAAATGCGACGGACTCAGTCCCGTTTGTAGCAATTGTCAAGCATTCACTCTGGAATGCAGCTACAATGACACTACCAAAAAGGTAGCTTTTCTTTGGGCGGTCTCTACAGTATCTTGAAATATGACTAATACATTGATTCTAACCAGCGCGGACCACCCAAAGGCTACATTGAAGCCATTGAAAATCGATTGCACAAGCTCGAGCAGATATTGAGCGATCTGGCCGAGAATACTGAGGATCCAAGGTCGCAAGCAGTGCTAGCAGAGCTCCATCAGCCGCTCGAGACGGCCACAGGCGAACACATCAGCACTCGACCTGTACGTCGCGGACGTGGCAGTAACAAAAACAGGGCGTTCTTTTGGCAAAGCAACACGGCCGGCAGTGGCAGCAGCAACAAAAAGTCCAAGAAACGCACTCACACTTCTCCACCTGGCTCACCCGCTTCATCGCCTCAACTCATGGAGAGTCCGACGCTCGGTCATGCAGAGCTTTCGCCAAACAGCCATACTGGATCCGTAGCAGCAGCAACCACGACCGGAGCAGCAGACGACAGCAATGGACAATTGTCAATGGACGAAACCGGCCAAGTGCGGTATCTGGGCAAATCGTCCGGGTTCTATCTCCTTCAAAACAGTCGCACGTATCAAAACGGCGCATTCCACCTGACCAATTGCGGCCATACCAAGACGGCTTTCAACAGCAAGCGCTCGACGCCGTTGGACAAGTTCGAGTTGCCACCGAGGGACTTGTCCATGCACTTGATTCGTACCTATTTCACGCATTACTATCCCGTGCTGCCACTCTTTTACAAACGCCTGCTGCACTCGTCCGTAGATCCACCGTCAGACAACATTTCTCCGCTGCTGCTCAATGCCATATATGCTGTTGCTTCTCGGATATCCCCAGATGTGCGTGTGCGTTCTGACCCCAATTCACCCGACACGGCCGGCGACATCTACTTTGAGCGTGCGAAATGTCTTCTCGACGATTATTACGATACGCCAAAGATATCGACGGTGCAGGCTTTGTTATTGATGGCGATGCATCAGCATGGTGCCATGAACTCTCCTCGAGCGTGGCTTTATAGTGGTCTCGTAAGCAATGATCAGAGAATCAAGAAAGAAAAGGCCCAAGAGTATACTGAAGCTTCTTTTTTCCCTCTTTTCCGTGCTTTTAATACAGGCTTTCCGAATGGCGCAAGATTTGGGCTTACATCGCAACTGCGATCATTGGAACATTCCTCCAGACGAACGAGAACGACGGAAACGTGTATTCTGGTGCTGCTTTATTGTTGATCGACTGTTCAGCGCACTGTTTGGCCGTGCATCGGTTTTTGAGGAGCGAGATTGTGACGTGCCTTTTCCGAGCGTAGACGATGACCAAGAGATCGAGGCAAACATCAGCAGCAACAGCAGCAACATAGGGCGACCACCCGTGCGACTTTTGGAATCGTTTATACAGCTGATCAAGATTTGCGACATCCTTGGCCACGTGCTCAAAAATATTTATTATGCAAAGGCGCGGCATCATGCAGGAACGCAGCATATCGACCATGTTTTGTCCGCGCTTAACCAGCAACTGACCAACTGGTTCAACAGCATGCCGCCATCACTGCAATACGACATGCCAATTGGCAACGGCGAAGGATGCTTTGATCCGCCGTCACCAGTGTCACAGCTGCATCTTATATACTACTCGACCGTCATTCTGCTGCATCGGCCATTTATTCCGGGTGGGCCTTCTCAACCACCTTCATCGTCCTCATCATCGTCTTCTTCATTGCCTTCGTACAACATTTGCATGTCAGCCGCTAACTCGATCCTGGACATTGTCAGTATCATGCTTTCCGAAAACAACCTCAAGTATGTTTCGAACTTTACGGTCTACTACATCTTTACCGCCGGCATCATCTTTATGAAATCTGCAACGGCAGCTGCGGACTCGGAAAAGTCTTTTGAGTCCAAGGTCAAGATTAACAAGATCATGCGTGCTCTCGATGAGATTGAATTGACTTGGAACACCGCGTCTCGAAGCTGTAACATCCTTGGAGAACTTGCTGGTCTTCGTGACATTAATCTCGAGTGTGATAGACGAGAAAATGCATCTGTTCCACAACAACAACTACAACAACAACAACCAGTGCCACCGAGCAACAGCGACAGGATGCAGGCGTCACCACTGTCAATGGCATTTTCTTCACCGAATGCTCCAAACAAGGAGAGGCTGGAAGCATCGTTGCAACAGCAACAGCAACAGTCGATGGGTAGTAGTAGTAACAACAGCGGATGGATGAACAACAATCGGCTACCACCCACACCGCTGTCTCGTCCACCAGAACTTCTCGGCAACAACAACAACAGCAGCGGCAACAACAATGCATATTCATTTTCGACACCATGGCTGAATGTATCCAACACATACGAATCAACTGCACCGACAGTCGATCCGTTTGCTGCACCAGGGACCATTCCCGGCCCAGCACAACAACAATTTGATCCATTAGGAGCGGCATTCTGGGGTGTTCCACCGTCGATGGACATGAATGAATGGAACAATTATCTGGGGGCAGCACAAATGAACAGTACAGATTATAACAACAACAACAACAACAACACTGCGTTTCCTCAACCTGTGGCGAATACGACGACGACTGAAGGACAACAACCATTGATACCATCGCACGAATTCGCACCTGTGCAACCACAAGCGCGCCTTCCTTCTTCCTTGCAATCACAACAACAACAACAACAACAACAACCGCAGCAACAGCAACAACAGAGTCCGATGCAGGAAAGACTCAGTATCAACAAACACCTGATTCACACAGATGATACGGTTGATGTCTTATCAGGAGTGTCGAACCTGACGCCACCACCTAGAGAGCTTGCTCTACTCAACTACTTGGGAGCAACACCAGACCCTGCGGGACCTAATGGATATAGCATGGGCTTGGCAGGTACAGGCCACACTACTGCTACAAGCAGTACCACGAGTAGCTCGAGCAGTCGGCAACAACAACAACAACAACAACAACAAAACGGTGATTCCGGTAGTAGCAGTAGCAGAGATCCCTCTGGGCTCATGTATTGGTAAAAAAAATCGTGTTGTCATCATTATTTTTTCATTATAATTTATATTGCATTTTTGTTTCATTCTTCTTTTTTCCCTTGTAAATCTTCTATTGTTCTTTTACTACTTTTGCTATACTAGTTGTTACTCTTTCTTTTTGTTAAACACTACTTCTTCTTCTTCCTTCTTGCATACATACCCGAAACTTGTAGAGACCATCCTTTTTTCTTATTTCATTTTTGGATTAATAATAGTAACAATATGATGGTGATGACCATTGATTTTTCTTTCGCCATCTTAAGGTATTTAACATGAATGACACCACAATGAGCCTACTTATGGTCGTTTAGGGGTGCGGGGAAGGGGTTTAATTAGAGATCTCGGACCGAGGAAAGGCCCCGTGAGTATTATGACTGTGCATATCGGTGATACATTGCATGTACGAATACGTAAGGCACATCTTCATTCGAACACGTCCATCATCGCGTAAAAAGCTTGTAAGCAGCAGGTTTTTCTCCAAAGCTTGTTGAAAGGCTATGAGCATATTAGTAACACGGCATAGTAACAAATCATACTATCTCGTCGATTGATACAACAGAAACCAACATTCTCAGTAAGCTTGCTTCCCTTCTACACATTAGAGCATAATTAACTGTAAACATTGCTTATTATTCCCTTTCCCGTCCCACGTTCATTCAGGAGTTATAAATTATGATAGCTTACTTAAAGCCCTAATCCTCCGCTTGATGTATAATATACCACTCACTAATCGCTGGTGCAGAGCCACATTTAACTTCAGCGGAGGAGAAAAGAAAAGAGGAACAACCAGTAACTCAAAATTGTTGTTTGTTTGTTGTAACCGCTGAAGATCTAAAAGAATTAAAACACTGAACCAATCGATCCAAATAATACGAGAAAAACAATGCAAGTGACTGTCACAAACCACGGCCAGTAATTACAAAGGTTGACTTTATAGAGCAGACTGCTGTCATTTTCGCAAACTATGTCGCTACAGTAATCTAATAACTCCTCTAGTAATTCGAAAACCACAACCGTCGTCCATCTACTTGCTACACCCAACGCGGAAATCACGACAAACTGTGTTTTATCTTGAGAATCTTTTGTATCGTAACATTTTTATCCATTGTTGTCACATATCATATCACTATGATCTTATTAGTCACTGTGTAAAACATAGTAATATATACAAAAGCAATCCTTGCATAAACTGTGTAACGTCACCAAATATTTATCAAACTATCACCAGAACGCGCATGACTATAGTGGCAGCGAGATTTATCTATGTAAAAAAAAACCTGATCCGATGAGCGACATTGGAATAATATAATAAATTTTCAACAGTATTGTTTCTTCTTAATAAAGTCACAGATATACATGAACCCAACGCATCATTGGTATATCGTTGCTAAAAGTACTTATAGTGGTGAGAACGAGTATGTTGAATATCATAGAGAATATCGATCGGTGATAGAAGTGTGCATATGATAGGCATAATGCTTAGTCCACGTTTAACATATTTCTGATAGATAATATTTTTAAGACTTTATTGCCTATGCGGCAGCAATATGACCATCGCTTTAAGACAACTACAAAGTATGTTGATTATGCATGATGTAAGGCTGAAGCAAATTTGTGAGGCAATTTCCATCTTGGGGTCACACATGCTCTTTAGATCAAAGAATCTACTAGTGAGAACAATGGCTAAAGTGAGACTACTCGATGGTATTATGAAAAGGGCACCACATCAGCGAAGGTGTGTACACACAAGAAATCACGCTCATTGGCAATCCGGTGGTAACAGAGGTGGCGTGTTTTATCCACAATGGCGGCAATTGAAACGTCAACAAAGAAAAAAGCGTTCATTGCACTATTCTGGTAAGGAGCAGTTGATGAGATGTTTAATGATGCTTTTTATAAACATACATTGCTCATCGTTACTTTACTGTATCTACTATTATCAATTAGAACAGCTTTTCATAAAGAATCCAGCTTATTTTATGATTGTTTCTCAAACAAACCTCCTTTTCTCACAAAGTTTTGGGTAAGTTATTATCTGGGTAATAATGGCTCAAAAAAAGTCAAGCAAAAATACAAAGGATCAAAGACAAAAAAGAAGAGCAGGAAAGTATTTAATTAGAAGATATAGATAGCAGTGAACAACATAAGATGCAGGAGAAAGCAGAAGACACGGAATACTTAATACCAGTCGTACCATCTTAACAGTTTGGAACGAGACCATTGGTCAACGTCGCATGAAAAGCTAGTAAAAAATGTATGATTGATGTATACAGGATCACCTTCAAAACTTTAGGCCGAGAATCAGCATTATGCAAATCGAATCATGTAAAAGCAAGAGTAAGTACAAACGAAACCGGTAAATCGTGGTCATGGTTTAAGACTGATCGTCAATATTCAACATCAGAAGAAGTTCGACGCTTGATAATCTTGATAGGTTAAAGACGCTATCAGCACCAACAGATGCCAACGTCACAAAGCGCACAATTGAATTGTTTCAGTATGCGTCAAAATCATGTACAGCCTTCTACATCATATACATCTACTGTGAATCCAGCATTGGGAAATCCTGCGGACACTGTTAGAGTGAGTAGCTACGATGATGTTACGTTGCCATTTCGCAGCGTCTATATCATGTATATATGAGTGTATATACTCTAACACACTTAGGTAATAAGTATAATCAGCAAAGCTGATACTGATAGAGATATTCGTTGGATTGCAGACATTTGTAACACTTACAGCAGCTCTTTTTAAGCCTTACATATAGATGGAAAAAAAAAGAAACAAAACTAATCTATTGTCGGCTTTTGCTATTACTAGAATGTCGCACGGTTGAAAATTTCTAAGACAAATTCAGTTACCATTCAGCAAATTTATGACCGTCACCCATTCATTTGAAAATGTGTGTGTCATTCGATGCTCAATCGAGTTGTCACCTGTTCACGCAACCTATTAAAAATTACCATCACTGTCAAAGAATCGCTCCAGCCGTGTCAGTGCGATGCATCCTCTTGATTGCCCAGCGGCGGTGACTATATATCCTCCCGTTTGCTTTTGGATCCAATGTATCCGCTTTCCACTGGCTATTAGTGCCTGCCATGCCGCGCACCCTCGCAGACATGGTCGTATTTTGCACAGATATGTCGCATATGCGCCTCATCCACGTATCCACATCCAACTGCTGCTCATGCACGATTTCCTTTCAACGTTGTATTATCAAGCGCCCGGATTATTCCAAGTGTTGCATCACTAGACCCATGTCAAGCCCGACAGACGAATAGGTCATGGATGCTTATCGGATGGAGCTTGCCAGCCCGCAAAGTACCACAGATGCGTGTGGATTGCCATCGCATTCAGCAGCAGGAGAAGAGCAAGAAGGGTAAAAGAGTCTTGGGAACAAAAGATATGATTGTCCTGCATTACATTAATCCCCATACTTTTCCTATTCCCTTACTACACATACACACACGCTACTACTTCCAAACACGATCTACCCGCGCGCCCTATTCAAGAGCAGCAACGTCAGAAATGAAACGGGATTCACCGGACGGTGTCCACGCCTAGCTATCCAAACAATACAATTGACCTAGCTGGCAATCTTAACGAGTCGCCCAAGAAATCGACTGCTGCGCTATGACCAGTGCTATCAGTCAGCCAAACTGGGAATCCTCTTTTCATTGCTGTACATTCCCAAGGACGACCTGTCGTATTTGAAGCCTACTATGCAAAGCACGAGTCCTGCTAGACCTTGACGAAGGGATGATTATTGGGGAGTAGAATGATGAGCACTGCGGCATGTGATGACAGCATATCATGGAATTGATTAGGACAATGTCAACACTGACATCTTCTCTCCCAAAACTGCGGTAAAGTAAATTTTTTGTCATTGCAATACCGTTATTATATCGCGTTGGTTGGGCTGAAAGCGGCCTCTTCTTTCTACATATCGCACACAGACAAAACAGCAGTTACTAATTCACATCCATCTTGTATGCACGGTAGTTCTTTGCTCGGTCCACACAAGACATGGAGGACTAGATGCAAACCTATTCAGCTCGTTTATACTAGATGGTATTGTTACGACGACAAGCTCAACGTGGACATTGAAAACGTGTCTGTTGCGCTCAGTCCTTAGGCGGATCTTCTCAGTGCTAGTAAGTAGAGAAAACAAACCCACTTTGAGTACGGAAGCACTCTTTCAATTGTAGCTTACGAACATGTATTTTCTTTACTGAAGCAGTAGTAGACTTTACCAATTGCAGAAATTAGTGAAAGAGCTAGATTTGAGGTCTGTAGTAGGTGTTTCCATATACTGAGTAAGTTTGTTGTTGTGTGACATGTGTTTATGCTATAGCCACCCATCATCACTAAGTCATCAGCATACAGTAATAGTATTGTTGAGTTGGCACGACAACAATAGCACCGTGACTTAGATACTTCGCGTGACAACATGATGAAGGGAAAGAACAGAAGGGATGATCATGTTATACGTTCGCACTTTTTCGTTTCTATTTACATCATAAAGCTGATGACAACATCAAATCATCATGACAGTAGATGTAGAAAAAAGAGTGCTGCTAAGAACACAATGGATTTTCATCCCTAACACAAAAGAAGGAAAACAAAGATTTGCTATGCATTCTATACAAATGCAACAATAATCTGAATTCCGCTTTTGGACTTGATAACTATACAGTCTGTTCTTCATGTGTAAAATATTCTATATAAAAACAATTAAATTGGAAACATAACATCCGCAGTAGTACTTATATAATGTGAAACAAGTCTGTGAATTATAAGGGACATACATAGCTACAGCCACAAAATAGAGAATGGATTGGCATGTTAATTAAGCACAGTTGAGCAACCCAGGGGCAGGGTTCGGTTCATCTTGGTATGCTGTCCTTCAAGGACACAGGCAGTGCAAGCGATAGTCAAAACAGGCACTAAAGATAGACAAATACATAAAGCAGCTCTGTAAAAGTCTATTAAAGGGAAAAAATAGACTTCCCAAAACGAGGTCCAAGTGAAAAAAAAAACGCTGTGGTTTGCTGTGTGGTAATAACTCACACGAATCAAGTGGTGGTCGGTAACCTGCCAATCCGTTGTCTCTCGAAATACTGTTTTTTATAGTGGTGCTTAACAATTCACTCTTATTAGTTCATTAGCGTACAGTGAGCATCAGATGGAGTACATTGAAATGTTTGAACAGTCGGGTCAAGTGCCACGCTTCTTCCGGTATGTAAGGCAGACAAGCTGTATACATTTATTAACGGAAGTTGAAACTTGCAATAAAATGTGCTCTCTTTTTTTCTGCTCCAAGAAAAACTTCGCCGCTTGAAGCGCATAAGTTACCTGTTTTTTTTCGCGATTCAGCTGAATGCAACGCACAAGGCAATAATTTGCAATTTAACAATGTTTTATTACGGAAATGCAAACTCCAACAATGATCATCACGACAATAAACCAATCCCGACCAATCATCATCACCACCACCACCACCACCATAGCAACAGGGACCAACATCATTTAGACTCTGCGTCCTTTTCCGCTGGTGACTCATTCCCACTTTATTTAGAACAACAGCAGCAGCAACAACAGCAGGATCCCTCGTCTGCAACAACAGCTCAAAACATTCCATTGCAACAACAGCAGCAGCATTCAACAACGGTCAATGACAGCTCACTTTATTTTGACCCAACAACACTACAGCCATTCGATTCTTCTTCATTCCTGAACAATCCACTTTTGTCACTTGCCGGTCAAGAATACGATATGCCAAGAGGTCTAGACGACTTACAGCTACAACATCAAGATGGCTTTGATACACATGGAGACTTGTCCGCCTATATTGACGCAGGCAGCTGGAACCAGCAGTCTCACCATAATAACAACAGCTACAACAGCAACAACAATGAAAATATGATGATGGCGTTTTCTCAGCAACAACAGCAGGCACAACCACAGCACCAGCAGCAGCACTTGTCTTCTTCGTCTCTGGCGCCAGACAATAACAGGCAACATGGAGCAGAAAATGCTATACTAAATGCGTTTACGGCACTCGGTCAGCAGGACGAACAAGCGATCCTCTTTTCCGACCCGAATTTTGTACGACAACAGCAACTTTTGCAGGAACAGCAGCGGATGATGCATATGCGACAAGGGCAAGAAGAAGATACTGGCATGGTGGAAGGTGCGATGGATACGAACGATGGTGGTGGTACTACTAGTGGCGGGTCGATGATGATGCGATCTAATCTGTCGGCGATGCTTGATGAAACTTCATCATCGGATGACAAAGCCGACGACATAGATCCTAGGGTGACCTGCTCACTCCAAGCTCCGTCACTTGACAGTTCCTGTGCTGCTGCTGCCACTACTGGCACAACAACAGCTGATCGAAATGCTCGACTTTTGTTTTCCCCAGCAACGCCAGCTCCAGAATTCAAACAGCAACAACAACAACAGCAGCAGCCATGGGAACATATCGCCACGTTGTCCAAGAAACAGCAACAACAGCAGCAGCAGAGGCGGACAAACAACAACAGCAACAATGCACGGGCATCAAAGCGGACCAGCAGCCCTATTCCCATTAAAGGCATCGCTTCATCGTGCAATAGGCCAATATCATCCTCAGTGCCTTCGGAAGTCGATCATCAACGAAGGCAGAACGAACTGCAGGCTAGATTCAGGATTACCTACGCGCGGAAACCACAACAGCAGCAACAGCAACAACAACAGCAGATGCAGCAGATGCAAAAAGTCGGTAGTCGATCTTCTGCTGCTATGGTAACTCCATCGTCATTTTCGGGTAGTTCGGCAGCGCACGTACAGCAGCCGTCACCCACACTTGGCACGTCAGTCCCAAATTTTCCGTCCAGCAACATGAAAGACTTTGATATGGATTCGGTCATGTCAAGTCCGCAAATAGCATTGACCCCTGACCCTTTGCTGCTACAGGGTTCTTCTTCGCCGTTAGGAAACTACCAGGATACCAAGGGATCGTCAGGAGCAGAAGTAGGAGCTAGCAGTGGTACTATCATGGATGCAGGACAACTGCCAACAGCATCACCGTCATCTTCAGCAACAGCAATACCAGGAGCAGGAAGTAACAATACCGCCAGAGCAGCATCCAAGAGTCCTTCAGTACAACACCAGGCCGTCAATTTCCCTTCTCGGACAATGCCAATCCAAATCCAGCGAGTGCAACGTGCATCTGTTCCGCAACCATTAGATGCTGAGCAGCATCAACGCAAACTCGATGATCAGCTAGAAAAGGTGAACTTTGACGACATTACCGTCTCCGAACTCAAGGACATGCTTCGCCAGCGAGGCAAACCTGCGACAGGCAAAAAGGCAGTGCTGGTCCAAAGGCTTATGGAGGAACGGGATTTCATTCGGGCTGTCAAGAGCGGAAAGGCACAGCGTCATTCACAACCGCCACTGCCGTCATCATCATCCAACAACAAGCTGGGCGAATCTGGTAGACCCAGATCGTACCAGGGCACAATGTCATCTCCCTTAACAGCACATGCAACAAGTATTGCGTCTTTGCCACAATCTCCGTTACTCGTTGCTGGAAGTAGCCCCTCATCCATGCCGAATTCGTTCCTTCCTCCCGGTTCGCCAGGCTCTGTCACCTATTCCCTCAACAGATCTATTGCCAACATGCATATTGGATCACCACCACCACCGCAGCATACACGCCGATACTCCCCTTATGCAACTCCTGGATCACCACGCATGAGCTCGGCATCGCCCAAACTTCAGCCCCAAAAGCAACAGCAACACCATCAACAGCAGCAAGCAAACTATTCGTCGTCCATGCCCACTACAAACGCCATGATGTCATCTTCACCTAGCAGTCTCACTTATGGCTCGCCATTATCATCTTCCTTTACATCACGTGCACGTCCAATCAACGCATATGTCTCAAACGGCAGGCCACCAAAGACATATGCACCCTTCACATCATCCGCGCTTGCCACACCGGATCGAGATGATGACCGTGATCCGTTTGACGACTTTGCAATGGAGGAACAAGGTTACATAAAGCGCGAGGAGGAGGAAGTAGAGGACTATATCAAGCAAGAGAATAATCCTAATGATTACCCAACGTCTTCGTCTCTACATAATACTACCGCTGAGCCCATCAAAATGGAAGGCCTGAATAATGTTGATCCAGCATCTGACTCTTTTCTGAAAAATGGTAAGGGCTTTTTCTTCTTCACCACTATTATCAACTGGACTGAAAAACTGACTATTATCATTAGCAAATATACCAGAAAGCGCATTCGATTATCTTTCAGAAGGATTTACACGAGAGGATCTCTTAGCAGTACTTGCAGGTCAGGGCCTGGGAGACCCCAGCATGGGCTTACAAGCAGCCAACTCCATCATGGAAGGCTATATATCAAACGACACTACGAGTGCTCCAACGAACAACATGATGCTTTTTGACCATCTCGATAATTTGAACCGATACCAACATGAAGGCCAGCAGGAAAATGGCCCAAGATGAAAAAGATAATGTTGCTTCCCCTTTGTCCTATTCTTCCCCCGCTCCTTCCCAGCCCTTCTTTTCACTGTACAATATTTCTTTTTTTATTCATTTTATATATATACATATATATATTTCTCTTTCCGAAAGCTTTGTTCAATATGGCTCAAGGGTAGTGATAGGTTGGGGTCGCTCTTTTCGCCTTAGAAACGAATCTGGCAGAAATAGACCATCATCATGTGTGACATCAGCCCCCGCATTTGGATTATTTGGTAGGCATTGATCAATATGCTATTGCTTTGCAAGTCATTTCTTTAGTACAAAGAATTACATACACCTTCTTTAGCTGAAGATGATTGCTCAACAAGAGAGATCTGGTACTGGGAAGAAGTGTATTATGATGATGATGAGGAGGAGGAGGGGGGGAGGATAAAAAAAAAGAAGACAAGCTTTCTCTTGAAAAGACACAAGTCAAAGTCTCGTGATTATATGTAAGCTAATCGTAGATTCTTGTCATTCTCAATTGAAACACGTTGCACGACGATTTACTGAATACAATACATAACTTGTATACCCAAGTAGATCCTTTGGTTTCCCCCGTAAAGTTGTGCCGATGATGACGCATTACAGTGGGTAATAATACTGCCCATAAAGTACATCGACTCGGAAGAAGTAGTAGTGTATACACCTATTATGCTATTACTACACCAAATACTTGGGTAATAATCGGAGGTCCATGTCCTACTATGAGCTATCTTAAACTTGACTTGTTAACATATCCTTGCACATCCTGCACAAACAGCTGTTTTGAAATATTACATATACAAAAGGCATAGCAATAAGCATGGAATATAACTCGTGTGAGCGGATATACCTCACCCACTGTTTTCCCCGGTACCTGGCTTTGTGTGGCGCTGTCGTGGTCTATGTGCCTTGTGTGAGAATTGGTATCTACCATAACGTGCATTTTTCTCGGATGACAAGACAAAAAGAAATACGGAGATTAGGACATTGACAATGGTTTTAAAAACGGGGACCTTTTTAGTGGCCCTTATATTTTACGCGGAAGAGGGATGTTTTTACCCCGCGCAATCTCTGATGACTACTTGCATGAAGCGCCAGCTGAAAAGAAGAAGAAAAACTTGATCCATACGCTTTTCACATGCACAAGCACAACATCGGCTAAGCAGAAGAAAATACGCCTATTTTTCACGGACATTAGGGATAAATGGATGGGTCTTGGTAGAAATTCACCAAAGCTAGGCTGATTCCACGCATCCGGGTAATAGCTTTATAAAGAAACTTTGATTTGGTAAAATGGTAACTTTCAAATGTGTTACCGAGACGTGAGAAAATACGCACACACATACAACGCTTTACACAGATGTCAAATAAGGCTTAAATCTGTTAATTATATAAAAAGAGTGCCTTCTTTGACGCGGACAAATCGTCTTTATTACAACAACAACAACAACAACAACAACAACAAATGAAAATACTCTCTGCATTCTCTGCTGTCCTGGCGACGACAACTCTCCTGCTTGCTGGCCAAGCCGTTAGCGCGGCACCTAACCGCAAATGTCAAGTAAAGCACAACGGACTGGATGACTCAAAGGCTATCATGGATGCTTTTGAAAAGTGCAAGAATGGAGGCCGGGTCGTGTTCTCAAAGAACAAGACATACTTGTTGGGTGATGTCATTGTGACGCCAGAGCTCAGCGATGTTGAAATCGTCTTTGATGGTAGCTTGACCTACCCCTTCAACATGTAAGTTCAATTGTTTTATTACTGTATGATTGAGAATGAAGAAATATGCTCTATAAGCACGAGAAAGAAACTAATGCATTTGTATACAGGATGTATAACGACACGACACCACCTGTTCCTGGTGCTGTGCAAGATGTCAGCGCCTTCTTTACGGTTCAAGGAAAGAATGTCAAGGTTACTGGTAATGGTGGTGAGATTTACGGCTCTGGCGAAGAATGGTGGCACTTGGATCCATTGCCTAGCAACAGACCTGTCATGATGGCATTCATGGTTGATGGTCTCGATGTCCGTGGCATGAAAATGATAAACTCGCCCAACTGGAACTTTTACGTCCATCGCTCCAAGAATGTGGTGTTCGAGGATATTTTCATCGAAGATATCGACAACAAGTATGGTGAAAAGGTAATACCAATAGCTGATGTTTATATATAAAGTCAAAACAAAATATGCAAAAGAACTTTTGGGTTAACTGACATTTCTTGTTACGTTACAAAATCTTTGTAATAGCCACACAATACCGATGGTTGGGATACTAGCGAAGTCGATGGAATCACCATTATTAACTCACACATCAACAATTCTGATGACTGTGTTGCTATCAAGACTAGTAAGATGGAAAACGTTTGGCGGGACAGAGATGCAAGGACTTGGCAAAGTGCTACTGTACCGTATTGCGGAAAAGGAGGTGATACTTAACTATGTTTATACATATAAATAGACACTACCAACATCCATATCGAAAACTTGTACTGCAATGGCTCCCACGGTATCTCGGTCGTAAGTTCGTCAACCACCTATGTTATTTAGAGCGCTATCGATATAAACTGAGTTCCTCATCATGCATCACCGTTTTTAGGGCTCTCTTGGAAACATTCCCGAGTTGCCGGACTATGTCTCCAACATGTATGTGAAAAATGTAACGTGCGAAAACTGCCAGAACGGAGCCCGTATTAAGACGGTAAGTAATCATATATATACAGATTATTTGGTGTGTGTGTCACTATCAAAACTAATCTACAATTATCAATTTAATCGATACCTGAATTATTTAGTGGCCACGATCCTCTCTCGGATATGTCCAAAATGTTTCCTATGTTGACTTCCGTGTCACCAACTCTGGTAAAGACCTTTTCCATTCCTCTTTGGGTTCTTGCTACCCTATTACTTTGATCCACTTTACGTCAGTCTGATCACCATCTATATGATATAGACAACCCTATCCAGATTGATCAATGCTATTTCAATATTGAGGAAGAAGAATGCCTTGCTGATCCCGCCCACCTGCAAATCTCCAACATTCTTTTTCAAAACATCACTGGTGGTGGCAGCGAGAAGGCTGGGCAAGTGATGGCTTACCTTGTTTGCTCCGCTGACGCACCATGCCAAGAATTCAAATTTGATGGCATCGACCTGCAGCCTTACGACCCTTCGTTGAAGCCTGTGTACCTTTGCCAAAACCTTGCCAACAATGCCACTGCCGGTATTGATTGCACTCCCGCCCACGACTGGGAAGGTTAATTTTTTCGTTTTAAACCTTTTTAGGACAAGTGATATGTAGCCTTCTTTTTTTCTCTACAAAACAAAAATTTTTCCAATAAATATTCTACTATTTTCTATATGCGAAAAAAATGTTACTAGTATTCTCTAAAAAATACAAAGAATTATGGCTGACAGTGATATACACAATTCAACATAGCATATTTAGCACATTCGAATCCAGTAGGCCCTACTTATTGCATCTTCTGTTCTATGTTGTTTTATTTGATAGTACGAATAATGTACATTCATTGAAATAAAAATGTTTATACGTACGTATATTAGAGAGCAAATTAAGACGGTTCGCAGAAGGTGCATTCATTTACTTGCCTTTATTAGAGCTAGTGAGTTAAAAACAACATGTTCAACGTATGTACAATTAGCACTATTTCTTTTACATATTAGTAGCACATGAAAATTTGGCATTGATTGATGCATATTATGGAGCGGCATCATAAGATAACTTAGTCAGTCCTAATAGCCGAGGAAGAGAAGCTTTAAACAGCAATCCATCCATCGTAAATTTGCCGCTTTTGTAATACGTATATTGCCGGTGATCAACAGCGTTTCGCACAATTTATCGTAGAAACGGAGGTACAAGTACAAAAAAAAAGGCTTGCGCATATTATGTGCTGAAATGGCACCGCTAATACCAACCATCGTACCACATAAGCCAAATATATTGGCCAAATATGGAGACTTACTGGTAACATAGAAATATCGCGTAGCAAGTCGTCATAATTTTCTCTCTCTACCACTCGGATTTTACTGAATCCAGCTTTTCACATGCTCAATAGGAGAATTTTGGACATAGAACATCTGAATGTATGTCAGGTACACAAAATCTGCTTCATCACATGATCATTATCACTGATCTTCTTGTCGACAGGATATGGCAAGTTCGGCCACACACATACGCGCGCATAAGCAAACATTTTGTGCTGTCAGCAAAAACATAATGTTCCTTTTCTCTTCGATTCTATGGGCAGAATATAGCACCGAGTGGTAAAATGATATATTTGCTTATAGAGTGCACCATAATGAAGTAGTTGGCAACCATGATTTGGTTGGCAAAATAAGGAATAAACGGGGACCTGTTGTACACTATGTGCTGTTGTACCACGCATCTAATAATTCCCATGTGCGGGAACTGTAATCATTTGTGGTGGGCTATTGCTTCTTGATTATTTCATATGGGAATTCTTTTGGTGAGTGGCCTTACATACACTGCTAAGAACCAGCGTAATAATATCGATCCAGCAGCGTGCATTTTCACGGACTTCACGCCGTAATAACATAATTAAACGTAAAGTGAACTCCCCTATAGTCCGAAGCCTCATACTACTATTACAAAGAAGTCTCCTTCACTTTTCCCTAAACATCGGCCATACCGAAAGTGGGAAAGGCTGTTTATTTGCAATAGTAAATTACTGTGGTATATCTTGTCACTATTTTATTGTGTAATCATGTAAAAGCATATTTAAACACGAAACAGTTCTGCTGTTTCCTACATACTTGACAACTCAAAAAAAAACTGTTCCTTACAAGAAGCAGCATGTTGAAGAACTTCAAAACATTATCAATGGCTGCGTTAGCAGCGCTTGTCATGATGGTACAAGTGGCTAACGCTGAAGACTGTACTTTGGGCGAACCAACCGGTGGGGATGATACACCACAGCTTCTTGAAGCATTGCAGAAATGCGGTACGGGTGGCATGGTGACGATTCCTTCAGGAGAATACCAGGTAAATAGAAGCGTGTGCGCGTATCACCTTATAAATCTGCCTATCAAACATGGCATGCTCAATCATTATTAAACATGTCGCAAATGTAAAAAAAAATTGTAGTTGCTGACACCACTTGAGGTGGATGGTCTGGACAATGTTATCATCAACTTGGTCGGAAACTTGGCTCTCCCTAAATCGATGGATGATCAAAAAGCCGCTGGTACGGACAACTGGATCTGGCTCGAAGGAAAAGGCGTTACGCTGAAGGGTGATGCCGACGGCGATGGAGGCCACATACTTGGTAACGGTCAAGAGTGGTACGACGCCAAACAATTGGACGATCGCTTTGCTTTGTTGGGTATCCGCTTAGAAGACTCGGTAATCACCAACATTAAACTGGATGAGCCGTGCAATAACTTTTTCAATGTTCGGTACGTATGCGACTAGCTATCCATAGACCCCTGTGGTTAAACGCCCAGTTTCATGTGCTGATATGTAATGCTTTGAAACACATAAATTAACACATATTCGATTTTCGGCTGGATGATAATTTAGCAACTGTGTAAATGTCAACTTTACCGATTTGACCCTCACCGCCGAAAGTGCAACTGAAAATCCGCCCAAAAACACCGACGGTTTCGACTTGCACGACAGCACGCAATTGCATTTTAGCCATGTTGATATCTATAACCAGGATGACTGCATTGCCTTCAAAAATGGTACGATGAGTTCACTGGTTGTGAGAAGAATCGGCGGAATTTCTGAAACTAACCTTTACATTTTAATGTAATTATCAGGCACTACTTTTGTCACCGCTGAAGATGTATATTGCAAGGGCGGTCATGGTTTCTCGGTTGGCAGTCTTGGCAAAGGTGCTGACTACAATGTGGTTTCTGACATTTCAATGACACGCATGACTTGTGAAGACTGTTGGGCAGTCGCTCAAATCAAGGTATGAAAAGTACATCTTTTTTTTCGGTGACACGAGAGCACGTAATAATTCGTCGCTTTATGCTCACATTTTGCCAAACTCCACAGTTCTATCCTGCTGGATCGTCAGGCTATGTCAAAAACTTTTTTGCAACAGACTTTACGGGTAAGAGCATCAGTGCACACTTTTTCCCCCCGCGTTTCTTTGTATGGCTCGTGGTGTGATTTAATGGACGTGTAGTTTTTCTCACTCTTTTAGCTGTGTGTTAACAATCATGTACAGTCACGAACGTGAAATTGCCCATATGGATCCATTCGCACTATCCTTGCAACCCAGAAGAGTACACTGAAGATGGTGGCTGCGACGGTTATCCAGGTCCTTCTCTTATTGAGGTTAGCAACATGCGCTTTAGCGGATTCACTGGCTCCACCACAGGTTCCTACGATAACAATGTCGTTATCTTTGATTGCCCCTATGGCACACCTTGCTCCGAAATCTACGTTGAAGATATGGATGTATCTCCACCAGAAGGCAATGCTACCTACGTCTGCAACAACATCAACGACTCAAATGATATTGGTATCGACTGTGAAATCACTTCTGGTCCATTGGTGTCTTGGTAAAACAATAAACCACCCCTCATTATCAATAAATTTTTAGTCAACTATTACAGAAACAGATTGCCTAAGTCTATAAAACATATGCCTTCACAACCATAAAGCATACATTAGAGTAAACTGCTTGAGCAGTATCTTTATCGCTTGATATCTGCATAACGTATACATATCTTAGACGCATGTTCCATCTTGAAACTTAAAAGGCATCCACTCGCATTGCTGTGCATTTTTCTCATCATCAAGGGACTTAGTTGCGCCATACTGTTCCCATGAGTACAGAAGGACCGCGGATTGAGCAAATATTGGCTAGACAACATTATTATAACTATGGAGTATTTCTTAATGCCATAACACTTTTTTTCTTGCGCCTTACTGGCCCTTATTACGCAATTCTTGATAATCAGGCGAGATAATTCTCTTAAGGCAGTAATAGTGTCCAGTGACGCATCAATGCTCTATCTGCTGGCCGCTCGCAGTTATTGCCTTGATTGCGCGGGTGCATGTGTGAGAGAGTCAACCCAAGGATTGCGCCATAAGTGACCAAGTTTTCGAATGATCGCGACCAGTTACGCTTTCTTGCGTACATATGTGTATATATAAGCTTTTTTGAGCGAACGCTTTTCTTTTTTCAACTGTCTCACCATCTTCACACTACTTCAGTTGTTTGAGTGTATCAAACAACTTCTTTCAATAACCCAATATGGCCCCTCCAAACGCTGAATCCCTTGCCCAAGGAAAACTCGATCTGAAACAACTCGCTCGTGAAAAGGGTCGTTATCTCGTTTATCCGGAGACCAAGGTTTGTATTCTTACCCTTTATTCTACATGAAATATGGTCAACAGCAATGTTTTAAGATCATGAATACAACTCTTAAATTGATACTCTCAGTGCTGTCTTTTGCTATCTACTACTAGTATCCTGAGCTCGCTGAATTCGAACACGTCGATCCTGGCCACCGAGCTGATCCCAAGAAGGCTTCTTTGTACGATAACGCCGAGATAATCTTTGACTTGACTCCTCAGATTGGCACGGAAATCCACGGCTTGCAGCTTAACAGGCTTACTGATCGACAAAAGGATGACTTGGCACTTTTGGTTGCTGAGCGCGGTGTCGTTTTCTTCCGCAAGCAGGACATCAACGTGCATGAAGCAATCGAGTTGGGAAAACACTATGGACCTTTGTAGGTTTCTATTATACACTTGAGATTCATATAGCAAAACTGCTGCTGCTACTGATACTTGACGTATGATGCTAAGACCGTAGTATGTTCTTTTATGTTTCTGTAACAGGCACATCCACAACACTTTCGGACACCCCAAGGGTTTGCCAGAAATACATGTTGTGTACTTTGATACCAAGACACCTAAACAGTTTTTTAACTACCGCAGTGCCGGTAATGGTATGTTTCTCTATACGACTTTCTTTACCGTTTGCAAGCAACAGTAGCAGTACCCAAGAAATGAGGAACTTTGACTGACTTTACATAAAATTCTAGGCTGGCATAGTGATGTTTCTTACGAAAAGCAACCTCCAGGATTGACCGTGCTTAAGATTGACTTGCTTCCAGCGGGTAAGACTTAGAAAACATATATGAATATGTGAGCGATATTATGTATGATAAACTATTGCGTCTAATATAATATGCCATTTTATCTTTTTCTTTCTATATAGTGGGTGGAGATACAATGTGGAACTCACAATACACGGCATACGACCGCCTCTCCCCTCAAATGAAGAAGTTTGTTGAAGGCTTGGAAGCCGTCCACACTGGTCAGATGCAAGTTGACGAGGCAAACAAGGCCGGACACGCTGTACGTCGCGAAACACACGAGACCGTGCATCCAGTTGTGCGTACCCATCCTGTTACAAAGTGGAAAGCGTTATACGTGCAACCTGGCTTCACCAAGCGCATTGTTGGTTTCACTCGCCGTGAATCAGACGCAATCCTCAACTTCCTTTACAAGTATGTTCTAAATTTTCTCCTTTATCTAAATCACATCGATCAAATAATAGTCGTGAAACTAAATGTGTTAATTTTTTAATATAGTCACATTGAATCTGGTCATGACTTTCAAGTTCGCTTCAAATGGGAAGAAGACAGCGTTGCTGTGTGGGGTAAGACTCCACAATACCCACCATTACCGTTAGAATCAAATTACAAAATTTCTGACGACCAAACCATTTTGCACTTATAACTATATATAGATAACCGGGTTACCTCTCACAATGCTATCTTTGATTATCTCGACGTTGGTAGTCGACATGGCTTCCGCGTTACTCCTCAAGCAGAGAAACCATATTTCGATGCCAACAGCAAATCCAAACACGAAGACGATCTTGAAAAGGCTCAGCAAGGAAAGTAAATTGTCAATGACGACAAGGCGACGAGAACAGCGGAACTGTATATTTTTATTCCACTAATACTTTGAGCGTTAGTAACCTCCATAGTTCCCTTTTATAAATTAAATAAAAAGATACGTGGTGTACTATATAAATATATAAATTAAGGCACTATATCCTCCTTCATTGACCTGTTATATGCTACATGCCATGCACAAAGAATTGCACTTCTTAGGCAGCATATTAAACTAATCGATTATCTTTATCTTTACAGTGCTTAATATGTTGGTATTTGGAGTGGTGGACTTCTACTCTATAGATGTACCAAGCGCGTTGTGGTGTTGCGCACAAGGCCTAGAACCCCAATGTCAGATGCGATATCTTGAAGCGTTGCCGAAGAGTTGCGACGTGTAAGGGGTTTTTTACTCGGTAATTATACTTGGCTATATGTCAAGCGTCACTTCAATATATTACAGACGACCTCGATGTTTCAGCTGGCGTCAGAAATTAAGTGAGACACCGATGTTCGTTACAGTTATAACAAGTTTAGCAGCATCATTGTATTCTCTTTTCCAATGAACAGGGCACTGCAAAAATGGTTGCTTCCTTGTATTGATGCGTGTGCACCGCCTTTTATTAACACCACTACTGATGAGTGCAATCATAATATGTATCATTTTTTGATTCTACCGTTAGAGGAACTATAATTTCTTCTGTTACTGTTCATGATGTTTGTCAGCTTAACTGGTCGATAGCCCGGAACCGCATGGTATGAGATAACTGTGCATGCATGATTTGAAACAATTAAGAAGAGCCTGTCGAAATTAAAGTTCAAGCAACTGTATGTGCATGCTGTCGCCAACGTGTCTTTATTAGCAATAGGACATATTTGTGGATGCACGCTGTTTCGACAATAGCTGCATATTCTCTCTTGGAGTGCAAGCAAAATCAGTGTAGTGAGTCGCAGAACTGTCTGCATAACTGCTCTTCTTATTGTGCTATACGAGTGAAGTTTTGTAGTACAGAGCTATTCTTGTACGCACATTAATCATGCGCAATCATTATTAATTTGGAAGCTCGGGAACCAAAAGAAGCAATAATACCCGTTTTGGAATGAAAAAGGGAGCTTTAACCCTGTTTCCCTCGAATATTCCAAAGTTACATAACCCCATAACGCCATATACCCCTTCCACCGTATGTATAATAATAGATTGCTCAGCATTGCACTTGCTGCTAGTTCAACACTGGAGGTATTCTTGGCGGCAGAAATCTTGTAAGGGATGATCGCCATAGAGATCGACTATGCATTTAGCATACCATTGCATTACGTATAATAACATCCTGAAACATAAGCAACCGGGTTTTCCCTTACAACTTTGCATAAGTGAGCATGAGGGAATGTCGTTTAGCGGTACTAAGCTGATACTGCCGATTTTTTCTTATCGATACTAGTCTATATTTACGCCTACTGTCTCTTTGTTACCCATCGCATCAATATCTAAGGTATTTTGGCGTATACTTATTACTATACTGGCAGTGGTCCCGTGCACCAAAACAAAAAACGCCATAATTTACACACAGAAAACTTTGGTAACAGTTTATTCATTTTCAAATAAATAATGGAAAAGAAGCTGGTGATTAGAATTCTGATGAGCCCTCGACAGCGTCTTTGCGATTGATGTTGATACGAAGAGCTAAATCAGATCTCAAAAAACCAAGTGGATGCTTTTCAAGGAGCAATTAGCCGTTTTGGGCCTATAAAAATCTAGGATTGTGCGGTGAAGAGAGTCATCGGGATCAGAATATGCATGTTGCACGTGGCGGAACTTTTTTTCATAGATCAAGAGAGAGGGCCCTCAAACATTAGCCAGGATATGGATAGATGGTTGCTTATACAAACAAATAAAAAGCATGGGCATATGTTCGTACTGTTGCTGTCTTTTATGGGGGGGGCGGGTGGTTTATTGCTATCCGAGTAACTGAAATCGTGTCGATGATGTTTCAGACGTATCCTCACAACAGTCACTGACCGAAAAAGAAAGAGAGAGAGTGTTCCCATCGTTACTTGAATTAGTCGGGCACGGCGAAGCATCATTTTATTCCAGCCATGGTTTTAGCTATTCTCTCCAAGTGATTCTGGCATTACTTCATTCCCTTCTTTTTCTTTATAATTCCCCTTTTTTCCTCTTTCCTCTACTGATCCAGTATTTTTTGAAATGCCAGATCCCGAGGACGAGCCGAAATCTCCACCTGCAGAAAGGGGTGGTGGGGGCAGTCATAATCCACATTTACAACCACCTTCACCTCAACCTGTACCGCAGATCACTTTAACCGAGGCAAACGATAATCTTTCCCCGCCTTCAATAAACATACAACAACAGCAGCAGCAACAACAACAGTACCAGCATCGTCGTCAGCCGTCATCGCCAACGATTGCATTAGCGTCACCAACGACGACAACACAAGCGGCAGGACCACCCTTCGAACAATCGCCAAACTCATTATCACCAACTTTTAATCGACCTTCTCCCACCATTCCAGCATCACCCCCTCCTTTACCGCTTACTCGCGACTTATTACGGCGAAAAAACAAACTCGACAAGCTTTTACATGATGGAAAGAAAAGACGGTCAAGTCATTCTCAATCGCCGCCTATAATGACATTTGGTGCAGATAGCAGCATTGCTCTTGATGAAAGGGTTACTGCTGGTCTAGGCATATCAACACCGCCTTCTACACAGCAGCAACAACAACCATCGTCAGCAACCACGGGAATCGATGTCTCTGATCCGCTCCACAATAATAATAACAACAACACCAGTCTTCGCTATCGGAGGCATCATCATCGACCTTCACTCATGACAAGCGCAGCCGCAATAATGGATGGTGATACTAACGATAGTAACAGGGCAAATCGGAAATCTCCTCCTCCATCACCACAAGAGTTTTACAAGTGGAATTACGACTTTGATTTCAAGAATCTATCATCGCTTAACAACAGCAATTCGGTGCGAGAGCCCATGATGCTTTACTCGGGCGTCTCGTCAGGCGCAACATCGCATACAGCATCCTCCGTGTACAACAGCCCATCCAAGAAGATCACTCCTCCTCACGACCATTATAACGAAAAGCATCATCATCAACATAAGCATCATTATCCCTCTCCACCATCCACACTTCCTCCACCATACAGCCAACACAGCACATATGTTAACGCAAACGATTTCATTTATCAACGACATACAAGCCGCAAAATTTTAAAGCATATATTCGACGCTGCAGCTCAAGTAGTTAATTTACGCGGATGCGAGCAGATAGATCCATTGTTAGAGGACACCACAGCGCTAGGACGGTCAAAAAATACATCAACATCATCATCGCATAATCCTCAATATCGAAACCAACGAACGTCAACCATTTACAGCAAAAACGACAACAATGACGGCGATTACCAACATCAATCAAAGCAAAACGATACCATGTCAGCCCACTACCAGCAAAGCTATCGACCTTCAGAAGTTTCTACGCCTATTGAAAAACAATCAACACATAGTCGGACTGGATCAGTCTTTGCTGAATCGATTTCACGGTTTGACAAAAGATCATTGTTCTCCGATTTACCGTCGGCTACAAGGCATGACTCACGCCATACTGCTCCTGAAACATTTGATCAACATCCATTGCCACAAGAACAACAACGACAACGACCCAATATACCACTGTTTCCTAGCAGTAATAACTGCAGTAATCATAGTCCGCTAGGTGGCAATAGTTTGTACGTTTTGCCGCCGGAAAATCACATCCGATTTAGTGTTTGGAAAAACTTGATATGCTCAAGGTAAAAAGGAAAAGAGGAAAAGAGGTTGGAATTAAACACCCGGACAGAATTAAGCTTCTTTGTTGCTACATTGAAATTGGAATTTTCTTTGGGGGCTGATCATAATGATGTGCTACAATATGTAGATATATGGAAACATTTCTTATGTTTATCATCATTTTGCATTACTTTGTTCTTGTTTGTGTACCCATCTACGAGAATGCGGATAAAACGGTATTTGGCGGCCAATGGACTCACTATGTTGTCCTGTGTATACAGTGCATCTATACGTACGTATTGGATCAAAGGAAAAACGAAGTTTGGGTTCTATTTCTCGAGAGAGAGAGAGAGACAGAGATGTTCTAACGTATATGAATGTATATAGCCTGGAAACAATTTGCAAAATCATTGTATATGGATTTTGGATTCCACCAGATCCGGAACAGCAGCAGAAAAGTCGACTTTATCGCTTAGCTGATACGCTTTCGCACCGTGTATTTGGACGCTCAGTATCTGTAACATCGTCGAAGAAAGCAAGAAATGACGACGACGATGACGCGAAAGAGAGCGAAAAACCAACAAGAAGATTCCACCATCGTGCCTATTATCACGGCTTCGCGAACACTATTGACTTTATATCGATTATGTCGTATTGGATCGATTTCGGACTCATGATTCATCATTACCCATACTGCTCGATTTTCAAAGCATTGAGTGCGATGCGACCATTACGGCTGTTGTCAATATTCCGCGGAACAGCTGTAAGTATCTTTCAACACTCACGATGTATTTACATACTGGGTTATCTATGTTGGATATCATTCTGACACATATGTTAAATGTAGACGATTCTGAGATCACTCCTTGTCAGCTGGGATATGCTTAAAGATGTGATTGGATTCGTGCTCTTCTTCACGCTATTGTTTGCTCTTATTGGCCTGATATCCTTTAAAGGCGTGTTTTCAAGACGTTGCTATGCTGTAGATCCCAGTGGAGAACGTAAGTTCAATATAAATGAATGATTATTTAATCATTACCGATGTGTATACTTATGCTTATTCCCTTTTTAAATTGATATATTATAGAAACCATCGTGGATCCACCGCTATACTGTTCCGGATATTACAACGAATCAACGGTCATGGGTGCATACAATGTAGAGACGGGCGTCCATAGTTATCCTGGTTTTAATGGCTACTTATGTCGAAGCGGCCAAATCTGTGTTGAAGACCAAGACAACAATCCGAATTTTGGATTTGTCAACTATGACACCATTTACTTTGCGCTTCTGTCGGTATACACAACCATGTCGCTGGAGCTGTGGACCGAATTGATGTATCAAAATCAAGATGCCGATTCCAATGTTTCAGTCTTGTTCTATTGCTTGGTCGTCTATGTGATTAGCTTCCTTTTGATCTTTTTGATTTTTGGTAAGCTTGGCGTCATTGGAAAGCCTACAGATTCTCACAGGCGAACGCATCAAGGGTAGTGAAATGGTATTTTGTTACTGATATTAATGAATTTATGTGTAGCTGTGATCACATCTGGATTCTCACGCGTACGCGCTGCCAATCGCGTGAGTGCGTTCACTGGAAAGCGAAAAAGTACCCGGATGTTACGATCAGTACAAGTAGACGATGAACAAGACGAGCTGGTTTGGCAATATGAAGACTTTGAGAATTCAGATCAGCGCAACAGTGGCACACGAATGCGGCTCAAAAGATTGATCGTCAAAATAGTTAAAAGCCCAAAATTTTTCTATTTTGGTGGTTTACTTGTACTGTTGGACACTGCATTCATGTGTGTACGCTCTGTGCATGCGACTGACCATATTTTGGAAATGCTTGGTAAATTTCACCTCTTTTAACTGTTGATTTTGAGTAGCTGGTATCGTTCACCACTGACATGGGTTTTCACTTTTTTCTTCTTTGGGTGTGGGTTTAATTAGATAATGCGGAAACGGCTTTTACCTTTTTTTTTGCGTTCGAGATTGTTCTGCGCATGATCGGATCCCCTGGATGGATGCAGTTCTGGACCTCTGGAAGAAATAAGGTTGATCTATTCCTGGTGATCGTTACATGTGTCATCCAGCTGCCAATGATCCAAGATTCGAACGCTTACAAGTATTTGACCATCTTCCAATGCATGCGACAATATCGACTGTTTATCTGTATACCTCGAGTCCGGAGACTTTTGGTAAGGCATACTCTCTATCTACCAACTGAAATAGAGATACAAGTCTTTGAAAGCAATTACGAATAACTCCTGTGCTGGTTTCTATATTTTAGTCAGCTGCACTTGGAACAGGGGAAAGTGTAATCTATGTCGTTGCATTCTTGCTTTTGTGCACTGCATTATGTTCTCCGATTTTCATGCAAGTCTTTGGTGGCGATTTTGGATTCATCGACCAAGATGAGAGCGAGCTTCGCTGCGACACGTTCTGGGAATCGTATTTGACGTTGATTATGGTAAATGAACAAACTATTCCGTTAATGCCCAAACTTCAGCAGCTGATATTAAGTCTTTTCTTTAAATCTCTAGTTGTACACAAGTGAAACATGGACGGTATGTCTTACTGAATAGATAAAGAAAGCTTCGTATAAGAAAAAAAAACATTTTACTCATTTTTTCTACTTTGCGAATAGGACTTTTTGTACAATGCAATGCAGAGCCAACCGCATTTTTCTGCTACTTATGCGGCTCTGATTACGTCAATCTATTTTGCTTTTGGCCGTTGTAAGTAGTGCATTAGCAAATCTGTGCCCATATCAGTTTATATTTAACCCATTCGTTCGATCGCTCACTCATCGACTCAAAACAGATGTGATGGCCGGTTTATATATTGCTGTGATTCTCGAAAACTTCGAGCTGGACGATGAAGAAATCAAGCAATATCAAATCCGACAGTTTATACAAAGACGCGTTTCCAATGGTGACGATCGTCTGCAAGACTTTATCAACAAGTAAGGAGAAGTTCAGTGTTATACTCTCTCTATTGAGCCAGCATAGTGAAGTCTTTCCGTAATTGATTGGTCTCTCGTGCATATTTCTGTTAGAACACTCGGCTCTCTTTATGTCAAATCAGACAAGAGCATGGTGCAAATACCAAGGCTTCCAACAAGCTTAACTGCTTCGATGGACAGAAGCTCACTTATTGATCTGTTGGTCGGCTATCAAGACTCTATATACCGCAGTCAAGAGAATGGTGCTAATTCCAAACCAAAGAAAGCTCCTGGATTCTTTAAAAGAATAATCAGAAAATGGAAGAAGAAGTCAAAGCAAGAAGTGACTGAAAATCAAAGGTATATTTGCATGTGTCAAGATTCATCTTGCAAATCCAAATTTTTGCCCTCTCAGCATATTAACTACGTATCATTTTTTTGTCTAGTGGGAACAAGCCGACTGATTCCCTACTTGACGACGACGATAATGTTTACGACTATGAATGGATGGTCGAAGAAGAAAATCGCCGAGCAAAACAAGCCGACATGCCAACCTTGAAATCCTTATTGGTCTTTTCTTCACACAGCAACCTGCGACGTTGGTGCAAATCCCTTGCGGGCTCGACAACAGATGGCCGCACCGAACGACGCAATCTTTTCAACTGGTTTATAATGGCATGTGTTGTTGTCAGTATATTGCTGGTGATCATGGACGAGCCTTCGGCGCGTCAATTGCGACAAGACACCTATCGCGAGTCAGCAGCGCATGCAGTCGATATTGGACTCAGCATTGTCTTTGTCATTGAGATCATCATCCGTATAATTGCCGACGGGTTTATACTGCCTCCAAACGCGTATTTGCGCAACTCTTGGAATCGCTTAGATTTTGTCGTCGTGGCACTTAACTTTGGAGCCATCTTTGCAGGCAATAGCGATTTCGCACGCGCACTAAGTACTGTACGAAGCTTGCGTGTATTGCGCCTTATTCGCTATTTCAGTGGCGTACGGGACGTTTTTGTTGACCTGTTCCACGCGTTTCCTTTCATGATGGATGCTTTGTTGCTGGTTTTCCTGGTCATGATATTCTTCTCTATCTATGGCGTCAACATCCTGGGTGGTCGCATGGTGGCGTGCAACGATGATGGAGTTTCGGGACGCGCCGAATGTGTGGGTGAATTCATTAACGATGTGGGCAGTGATGGACCGATCAATATCTTGCAACCTCGAGTATGGGCGATTCCTGAAGGAGGGCTGTACAGCTACGACGATTTTCCGGTTGCGCTTGCTCAGCTGTTCAGTCTCTCGTCGACTGAAGGATGGGTAAGATGTTGCTGCTGTTGCACTAAATTCGGTTGATGATTTTAACAACTAAATTTGGTATTATATAGGTCGACTCGCTATTCTTTGCCATGAGTGCACCCGCTGATGCCGATATCCAGCCACACTTTGACTGGACCTCATCATCTGTATATCATTCTATCTACTATGTCGTGTTCATGGTGATTTCCCACGGTACCTTGCAGCTGTTCGTTGGTGTAAGTAGATCATTGATACTTCTCTAATTGTTCCCTACATTACCATTTCGTTGTTCTGACACTTTTACATTTCCCGGTCTATAGGTCATTATTGAGAAATTCAAACAACGCACTGGCATTACAACCATGACGACAGGTCAGCGACAGTACGCAGATTTGAAGCGACAGCTCGCTGAGATCAAGCCAACACCCAAAGCACAACGTCCAAAATCCAAGATTCGGTCTTTTTGCTATGATCTCGTCGCAAACAAGCGTGGTCCATTTAATAAGTTGATCATGACAATTGTTATCTTGAATATCTGTGAGTGAGAAACTGTATTCTTCATGTATGATTCCCGGGAAAACCAGCGTACTTATCAGTTGTATGTATGTGTGTGACTATAAAAGGTGTCATTGCTACTGAATTTCAAAATGAACCAGCTTGGCTTACAGAACTACAAGGTAATTTACAAGGAAAAGGCAAAAATGTTTCGAGGCTTACCTAACTCTTTGAGTAACAAATGTTTAGACTATATGTATATCGCATTCTGTGCTGTGTACACAGTCGAAGTAATCATCAAGTATCTAGGACTAGGATGGGCCAAGGTAATGTAAAAAAAACCATGAGCATAGATTTTTTCGACTGAGTATAGCTAATCTTGTACGAATCATGGATTGTAGTGGAGCAAGAGTAAGTGGAATTGGTACGACGCATTCATTGCCCTGAGCGCCCTTGTGTTGACCGTGGCAAGATTTGCCTCGCCTCATGTAAGTTATAATTCTTATTTTATTCCATCTTATGCTATTAAGAAAAGTATATGCTAACGCTTTGAATTTAGCTTTGGACTCTTCGCGTCGAGCGCTATGTTCTGGTACTAGCTGCCTTCAGACTTGGCGAAGGCATCGATTCGCTTCAAACATTATATCACACAGTCCGGTGAGTAAAAGACCATAACTGATAAAAAAATTCATGCAAGGCTTACCGCGGAAGTATCTGTACAAAAATTTGCTTTGATAGACTCTCAATGCCAACGATCGTACGCGTTACTGCGGTGTTCATTCTCGTTATGTGTCTGTTCGCCATGGTGTTTATGGAGCTTTTCGGTCTTACCAAGTATGGCATAGAAACCGGACGACATAGTAACTTCCGTGACTATGGTAATGCGCTACTTTTACTGGTGAGAATTACCACTGGTGAAGCCTGGAACGTTATCATGATGGATTATACTGTACAACCGCCAAACTGTGTTTATTCGGATGACTACCTCTACACTGACTGCGGTTCCCCAGGGTGGGCTTACTTTCTGTTTAATATCTACTATCTGATCTGTACACATATCTTCTTAAATTTGTTCACGGCGGTACGTATACATTGACATCAAGCAGCTTAGCATAGAACAACTCCTATATCCTCTCTTCTGACTCGCTAATTGTTTCTTTTTCTGATTTATAGACGGTTATTAGTAACTTTGAATATGCTTACGAAACAAGATCCCGATTCACTCGTCTGACAAAGGATGATCTGCGCAGGTATGTGTTGTTGGTGCTAGTAGTACAAAATTTACAGTTTTGTGCATGTGTATTTTAAAAACTAATCCATGACAATTTGTGAATACGGAATTATAGTTTTAAATACGCATGGTCTGTTGTTGACCCGGCCGGTACGGGATACATTCAAAAACAAGATGTAGCCAAGTTTTTACGGGTACAGTATATTTAAACTTTTATAAGTTATAATGTGGGGTGAATGTATTGAAACTGACAACTGTTCTCTGTATAGTTATTGAACGGAAGATTGAAAATAACCATGTATGATGATATACACGATATCCGACATTTGCAAACAGTTAGCAAGAAGGGGATGCCGCCCCCGCCGTCTCCAAGTGCCGAAAAGTCAGTAGAAAAAACGAGTGGTTATACGACTGGTACCGACATTGCAGCGAAAATTGGGTTCAATGTCCAAGCGGTCAACAAGTGTCTGTCCAAGCTAAATCCTGAGCTTTTGCGACAGCGGCGCCGCGAGTATAATATCTACTATCTTGTTAGTGTGACCTTAAGCTCCCATATTGTAATACATTGTTATTACAGAAAAAGAAAGCTAATTGATAAACAATAACTAGGAAATCCTTGATACCGCAACATCCAAAGGAATATCGTTTGAAGATGTGCGCACTATCATGTCGTACCGTTTTGTAGATATTGAGGACGCATTGACGTAAGTTTTGTTCTCACATATCAAGATAGTGCCACTATTTGAAATAGCAAAAAAAATAATCGACATAAATTTCCCCCGTACACGCATAATTTTTACTGTAGTATCGACCCTCTCATCAAACGCCTCGAAAAATTGGACCAACTGAACAAAGCGTATGCGACAGAAAAGGCACGCGGCGTGTTTCTAATGATGGCTCAGCGAAAACGGTACTTGCATGAATTATGGCAGAAAAAGAACGAAGACGAGATGCGCAAGTTGGGCATCAATACACGAAGTGGTCTTCAACTGGACACATCCGCAGCCACGCTTTCACCAAAGAGTCCGCTTTCATCAGCAACGGAAAAATGGAGACAACGATCGCCTCTGCCGACCATCATCATCCAGGACGCGCCACCTTCTCCTCGCCCGAACTCGGATTGCATCCCATCTCCAGCTTCACTCACGGTCCCTGTGTCACCCATGTCTAACTATTCGTACGAGACACAATACGGATCCCCAATTATGGCAAGTGGTGGAGGCATCAGTAGCGGTGGAGCTGACTCGTTGAACGTTGCAATTGGTACAGTTAGTCCACAAGAATCTCCATACCCAGGCAATGAACTGGAGGAAAGCAGCAGTATCCTGCTCAATGGTGCGCTTTCTCCCAATTCACCCTATAGTCCGACGTTAGTGCGTCAAAATTGGCGTGTGATTGATGGAAATTCAAGCATGTCACCTGAGTTAGCAGAGTCGTTGATGGACTCATTACAACGGAGCCATTGGTCTGGTAAGTTCTGCAATTACCAATCTTCTACCTCGGGCGAGGCCGTGGTATACTTTTTTCCGCTTATAAAGTTAGCTGACCAAAACATGCTCTCTTTTTCTATCTACAGATATGCTTTCAGACGCGAAATAATGCATGTCATCTTTTTGTAATATAGTTTTCACGTTATTTTTTTTTTGTTCTTGTTTCTTTTTCTTTTTTATGTTACTACCACTATTAGGAACGCTACCTGTTGTATAAATACCCTCTGATCCACTCACAAACACACACACGCACATTACCACATATCTTTGTATTCTTTTGCTGGGATTATTCCCTTTTACTGCATGTATAAAACAAGTCATTTGTACGCTTAACTCATAAAGGATATTCCGTGACACGCTACGAAAAGCCGGAAAACGCGGATCTGAAGCTTCTCATACGTCTGTCACTCATCCCACATTATATTCCTCCTTGTTTGTGTCCGAGAACATGGACCTGCGAAAAAGAAAATTATCAGTAGTTGGTAATGAGACATGATTTGTGCGTTCAAAATAGACATACAGTATCAATATTGGATCTATCGTGTATTTAACAGCCATTTCCATCTATCGAATCTATCGGAGGTCTCGAGGAATATTTTACTGTTTAAAGCTTTAATCAATAAAGATTTTCTTATAACATAAAATATTGATACGGATAAAGCAAAAAGCAAACACGCGCGCACTTTATTATTAATTTTTTCTCAGAACGCGGGGAAAGGAGATCACACGCTGTCTGTTTGGTTGCTTTAAAGATCTGTGATACGATATTTTGGTCCTTTACCCTTTATACCGGTACTCCCACGGGCTTTGTTCTTTCTTTTGGGGTGGGAATGTATGGATAAGTGATGGTAGTGAGAATCTGGTGGCATCTATGACGACAACAATGCACGCTTGGCTGTAAGATTTATGAACAAAACCTTGGATCAAGATATTTTGGCTCTGTGTCACCATGCAGTCAGTCATTTTATTTCCACGATTCAATAGGCACATGGGAAACACAGAAACTGCCAACGACGACGTTTGTTTTGGCAGGCGAAGTAATACATTCAGAAGACTTTGCGATATCCAAGTTGTGTTAGATGCACCGTGGGTTTTTTTCATCGTACTCGCCATGCATGGTTTATATAATTGACATGCTGCTCTTAGATTTGTTTCTCTCTTTCTCACTCTTTCTCTGCGCAACTTCTTTTCTCTTCTGTCTTTTTATCCCTCTGCGGAAGTTGAGTGTCGCTGAAATAGATAATCATGAAGTTTCTAACAATGTTGACGGTTACCACCGCCTGTATGGGTGGTCTCCTAATGGGCTATGATGTTGGTGTCATTTCTGGTGAGTAAGCATCACCTTGATGCTGTTTACAAGATATTAATTACAACGTTTGTTTGTATGTACAAATCATACTACGTAGGCGTCTTGGTTATGCCAACCTTTGCACCCCATTTTGGCATAGAGGGAGACGCCAATTATGAAGCACAAGTTAAAGGAAATATTGTCTCGATGTTACAAGCAGGCTGTTGTATTGGTGGTCTCTTGATTAACCTTTTCGCCGGTAAGTACCATTGTGTCCCATGAACTGTGCGTTTTCTACTAGATATCGTCCACTGTGCGTACGTTTATGCTGACTATATTGCCTTTGCAAATTTTGAACATCAAGATCCATTTGGGCGTAAAGCTGGTATCATGTTGGCCGCAGTAGTATTCATCGTTGGAAGTGTTGTTCAAGTTGTTGCACCAACCGTGGGTGCGATGATGGCTGGAAGATTCATTGGTGGAAGTTAGTATACATACAGTGTTAAAACAGGGAGAAGGAAAAGAAGGTGTCACTATATTTCAGCATATTGATAAGGGAAATACCTTTTTTATACTGATTACAACTGCTAGTGGGTGTGGGCGGATGCTCTAACATTGTGCCTGTGTACATTGCCGAGATTGCACCCAAACATTTAAGGTTTGTTCCTCCCTTGCTCGCCGCTTACTACTAGCTCCTTTATTTCTTGCTGTAATCGTAGTTTTTTTATGTATGTTTTAATGACTAAAATGGGGCTCTCTATCTAGAGGAAGAATGGCAAATCTTTGGCAGTTCATGGTGGTACTCGGTATTATGGTATCCTACTGGTATGATTGCCGATAGCGATGATTTCTAATCGATATATCGAATCTGGCCGAGGTATTATGCTTGACTCTAACAACCCATCATTTTCATTGAAAACAGGGTTGACTACGCGTGTCTCAAGCATATGGACGTGAGTGACAAGCAATGGAAAACACCACTTGGATTACAAATCGTGCCAGGCGGTATATTACTTATCGGCATGGGATTCCTTCCAGAATCTCTACGCTGGCTTGCGAGCAGGTATGGCTTTTTTTTAACTGTGTACACGCTATATTAGAATACTGAAAAGAGGAGAAACACGGGCGACGACTCATCACCATGTCCTATAATTGTCCAGGGATCGTATTGAAAAGACAAAACATAATCTGTGCCGTTTGCGTGGTTTACCTGAGGATGACGAGCGCATCATACAAGAAGTTACCGAAATCCATGAATCCATTTTGGAGGAACGTGCTAGCAAGTCCAGCAAGTGGGCAGAATTACTTCAACCATCAAACGTTCGGCGCCTCATTATCGGTATCATGATTGGCGTTTGTCAGCAATGGACAGGCACAAATGCAATCGTAAGTCAATATTGTATACCAAACGTCGTGAACTACAGAAGATGGAAGTGTCAATAAAAATCTCACTGCTATGATGCATCTTTCCCATTTGCTATAGAACTATTATGCACCACAAATGTTTCAACAAATCGGTATTACAGGCGAAACGGTGGATATCCTTGCAACTGGCATCTATGGTACAATATCTTCTTTTTTCTTTTGTTGCTATCTGTGGTAATGATAGTAGTACCATCTGTGTTGATGCTCATAACAATTGACCTGTTTCGGTTATTTTTTCTTAAATAGGCGTTGTAAAAGTGGTGTTTGTCTTTGTATTCTTCTTTATGGTGGATCATCCATTCTTTGGTCGACGAAACTCGCTTATTATTGGCTCAATCATCATGTTTGTGTCATTCTATATTTTGGGCGGTCTACTCAAGCATATTGAAGAAGATCAACTCGCATTGCCACCTGGTGTCGAACCTCCGGTTGGAGCAAAAGGCTATGTCGCAATGGTTATGCTTTTCATTTTCGCTATAGGGTAATGTGTAAAAATAGCATTAATAAACCAGACAAAACTTACTTGCTGGATAAGCTAACATATGCCTTAAATTAGATACGAGATATCCTGGGGTAAAGAAAGAAGGGCCGATATAAGAAGAAGCATCTCTAGAACTGCGGACAACATTAACTGATAGAAGACAAACATTCCTGATTTTATATAGGTCCACTCGTGTTCGTTATTTGCGCTGAGATCTATCCGACACGTATCCGTGCCATCTGCATGTCAATAACTATTGGTAAGAAGACATTTGCTATGATAAAGTTACCGTTGAATTAACCAGAATGACAACCTCTCTTACTTTTATCATAGCCATTTTCTGGGTAAAGCTACAAGACATCTAATCGCCCCATATCATTCCTTTAAGTTGTTACTAACAGGCCTTTCTCTACGTCAACATGATAGGCCATGAACACAGTCATTGCCAAAGTGACTCCTTTAATGATCACAAACTTGACCTATGGCACCTACTTTTTCTTTGGAAGCACCGTCTTTGCAATGACGGTATTTACGTGGCTATGTATCCCAGAAACTCGTGGAAGATCATTGGAAGATATGGAACCGGTAGGCAATTTTGCAATATGTTCAAAGCAAAGAAAGGATTAGTCGGTATGATACTGATTATTTTCAATATAAACAGATTTTCACCGGCCCAGTGATTGTTTTGAAAAACAAAGACGCTACACGTGCCAAACGTGGAAAGAAGGACGACAAAGTTACGATGCCGGACGATTCCAACAGCAGCAGCAATGGCAGTAGTGGGAATCAGGAAGCTATGGCTGAGCGTGGCCAAAGAGTGGACAAGGATGCAGTAGTGACACATGAAGAGCGCGTTGCTCCTGGACAAAAGTGAACCAACAGATAGCATAGTACTTTTACATGTCTTGTGTACATATAATAAATAGTTGTTTACAGCAATATAAAGAGGCGCTCCCACGACTCTTCGAGAAATAGTTTAGCCGTAAAGTAATTGCAGAGAGAACGCGCGTTCTTTTTTTTATTTTTTATTTTTTTTTATCATTTTCTTATTTAATTGGGAAGCGGGGAGCCAGTCAGCGAACCGACCGTCTCCCCAAAGCAAAAATTGTAGCCTCGAGACACCCCGAAGGGCGTTCGCAGAAGAGTCAGCCTCCGGAAGTGCAATGGAAGCCGTCTCTCCTGTGTACCCAGCGTCCTTGATCACCAAGTACACGGCTCAGGTAAGTATGAGTTGCATCGAGTGGAATCGCACCTGTATTTATACCTTTTTTTTGCGACGGAGTTTTTGAAGCGGAGCAGCTCAAAAATGCAGTCCTGGTGCGCGGGTCCGGGTCCCCTCACAGCATGACGTGTCCCCTGGAACCTTTTGCGGCAGCAAGCCCCGGAGAGAGATCTCTCTTTTGATACACCGATTTAAACCAAAAAAAGGTAGCCATACAAGCGATGTCTTCAAGCAACTGGTAATAATACGATAAAAGGGCCAACAGCCGTCAACTTGGTCGGTCAAGCGTTTCATCTCGTACAAGCGACACTCGCAAGAAAAGGGCAGCAGACCGATATTGCACTTGCTTTTTCTGACTTCTTTAGTAAAAACGCCATTCGTATTTTGACTGAGGGAAAGGCGAGCGCAACCAAGCTTATATGCGATCGCGTTTCCCATAGTCAAGCAGTCCGCGACGTTGTTCCACCACTTGCACACCACTTTAGATTGTCTGCTTACTACTATTATTACCGCTAGAACACCTGTTGTGCTGGACAGCAGTTTGAGCCTTTTCCCAACAACAGCTTCCTGGGTCGTCATTATGAAACGAACTTTTAAACAAAAGGGTCGATTTGAACACTTGCAGATACTGGCACACATGTGTATGCTGGTACTACATCAAGAACACTGAAAATATCACGAGCTCAAGAAGGTTTGGAGCCATACGTTGAACAGCAAACGCTGCCTACTACGGCTCGCTTGTAGTGGACATACAAGCTCGCATGGACACGTATGGGCTAAAAGATATACTGTATATCGTAGCAAATTGATGGTCAAAGACTCTCATCATTAAAGAATGCTCAAGAAAACACAAATATTCACAACAAAAAAACATGTCCATTCTTCAACATTTTGTCTTTTTTTATTAGCCTTCTTGGTCCTGCCCTTGTACTTATTGCTTACGGTTAATGGTCTTCTTGCTTTCTTCTTTTGCCGTCTGCTGTTTATACCCATGCTCTTTATCAACATAATAATCTCGGCTTGAGCAAGAGCTTGAGGCTTTGTTCTGGGCACAACAAGTCGAAAAGTCATCCCACTTGTTCTTGCCGTTGAGATTGCATTTGCCTTGGTCGTCACCAGGATCGGCGAGGTCTCCTTGGACAGTGTTACAGCATTGAGCCGTGATATCTCCATGGCCGTCGCATTGACAGGTGTGTTCGTGTAATTCTACGGTTGAACGGCTGAATAATAAGCGACCTGGGCTGCGGTGAGTCACCGTTCCTGATGCTGGTTGTGCGTTGCTGCAGCAACAGCACCATAGCAGGATGAAAAGCGTTGCGGCAAGCAATGTCGTTGTAGTGGATGATTTCATATGAGTGAGAGAGAGAGAGAATAACTTGTAAAATACGATGGGTGCTCGTTTTTAACTCGCTTATCCTCCTTCTCAGTTCTACAACAGCCCATTTATATAATCCTTCGTCTACACTATCTCGCTCTTGCTCGTATTCATTATCATAATATATACACCCCCCTCTCTCTCTCTCTGTTCCCCTGCGCTATGTTATGCACGACTCAAGAATTTCTTCTCCTAAAATACCGTCATCATCAGAGCAAAAATGTCAAATTTCTTTGTTTTCCTCATCATCGATCCGTGGCGTGTGCTCCAACCCACTCATCAAATATCGATTTCAAACAAACTTGTTGCCACTACTAGAATACGGTCCCCACTATGTAACGTGTATGGGTCTAATATCTCTATAATAACATTATTAAGCAAAACATGTGAGGAAAAAGGCTCCCTTTCCGTAGCCAAGTATTACTACTGGCACTATATGAAACTCAACATACTACTTTCTTTATTAATTAAGGGTCACCTGTTGCTTATGTACGTCCAAAACATGTAAGGCAAAAGCATAATGAATAGAAAAGCTGCAGTGCATCTATCATTTTGTGAAATCCAGCAGAAGACGATGATAAAATCATGCAGCAAGAAGGAGGAGGTCAATACAAAATTTACCAGTAAAGGATAAATATCGTTTTATATATATGCATCCGCTTACATACCTTATTGCTCTCTAATGCTGCTGCTGCTGCTGCTCCCACCAACCATCGCTTTTTCTAACTCATACTATGAACCATGTGGTAAGCAATTTAACTTTAACAGAAAAGAAACTTGAAAGAATACGTCAGTCGTTTCCTTGCGACTGCAGTCATTGACTGACTCGTAGCGCGCAGCGAAGGGTGTCAGTCAGTTTAGCATAGCGAAACGAGCCGCCTGGTGCTTCAATAAAACCTAAAGTCAGAGAAAATCATGGCCGAGGAGTTGAACGTGTCCATTAAAAACCTTTGAGAGCTACCATCAATAGACGTATATTTCACGACTATTGCAGAACGATTACAGAATACGTCTTGTTATGTACTTTCTCACTACTTGGCCACTAAAGTGGAGATCACGATGATGCAAAGTATGATCTACCAAACTTTCACTGAGAGAAAGGGGAACCGGAAACGTATTCACAGCAGGACAAAATTGCACTACAGTTTGGGTGGCATGGAATGATCGCTTATATGTTCCGTACTCTCAAGACAAGCAGCGTGGTAATCCGTGGAAAACACATCTTTCTTAGTAGCTTCATATACACGGTATAATACACATCGCCTAATTTGTAAAAGTACTTTTTTTAGCTTTTCTCTTTTCCCAATTTTTCAATAAACTGATCCGTTTGATTCATACACTGTCGATATGGAAGATGATGTCTTTGACAACTTATAACGTGATCAACAGCAAAAGCATCTACTACCACGACGAGCCTTTAATGAGTTGTTGGTGGAGCCAGCCGCATTCTCCGGTTCTGACATGATTTGATCAGACGATTCACTTGCTCTACTTTTTCAAGTACAGTTTTGTTGCCATTGTTTTGTTGTGTTTAAACAGCGCACTGCTCAAGCTACACATTCTACCGTAAGAAAGTACATTCGAGTCTTCTTATTGAGAGCCTTTTTGTTATGAAAAAAATAAAATTTGGAGGACAGCAGATAGACAAGTCGTTCATCTTATCTGTAAGCAATGGCAGACATATTCTATCCACAAAATATGCAAAAAAGAAGGCAAGTCGAGACACGTACACTCATTGTATCTAATCGACTTCTAACTACACCACTAACAACCATACTACTTTTTCCTGAAATTCTATCACGATCTTAGTACTGTACATTTCTAGAAAAGTGTATCATCTATCCCAGAATTTACACTCACATCTGTCGATAAATTATAGCAGCTTCACGAATAATTTTTAGTATCCATTATAGATCGTCGTGAACGACGAGGGATAGGTTTGCAATATCAACCTTTTTCTGCTTTTTTTGGGGCCACGTGAACTGCCAAAATATGACCATTTTCAGGGCTTCTTCAGGAGCACGAATTGACTCTCTTTCCTCGATTAACTAAGGTACCGCTATGTATATGGCTCTCGAAGCGTATCGCTTTGCCATTCTTAATTCTACTTTTTCGTGTTGGATCTTGGGAATTCTTTGGACGGGGTGTCAGAATAGTGATGGTAATAATAGTAGTAGCAGCACTAAGTTACGGACGGACCATGGCAGTGGCTCGGTTATCGACTTTAAGCAATGAAGCTATTAAGCTACCAAAAGCGCTGCTTTGACCATCTGGCATGTAGTATGTGCTTTAACCATTGTGCAACTTGTATAAGGCCATCAATCATATGGCGCTGCTGACTCTCAATGCTTGACAATTACAAAGCAGGCCGCCCTCTGATTAATGTGGATTACGAGAGCCAATCCACTCGAGGTGCTCCGATCAACCTGGTTACAAACAAGCTTCCGACAGTTTCCCACGCGCATTACTAACTGTTCCTTTCGATTTTTGGCACCCTTCCTTCCCCTCCCCCTCCCCCCTGTTTTCAAAGTAAAAAATGTTCCATACTGCAATTCGCTCACCCGCCGTCATGTCACTGCGTGCCGCGTCTCAGGTACGACTCTTAAAATTTCACTCGAGAAATTACACATATCAACACACTTGGTATAACTGACCCCCCGGGGATCGTTTAGATTCCAAAACGCTTCATGAGCGCACCAGCAGCAGTAAGTTAAATACATTTATGAGCCAGACAGACAAAAGAGAGACCTTCCCCAAAAGTGGCAAACAGTTATTCATTCTCTCGAGAAACAATTGTGTAGAGAAACATTGATCACATTAAGCGTATTGGTGTAATTGGCTCGGGTCAAATGGGTTTGGGCATTGCCTATGTTGCTGCCAACGTCTCGCGGTTGCCGGTTGTTTTGATGGATATCAACAAGGAACAAACTGACAAGGGCCTTGCATTCATGAGTAAGGCTTACTTTTTTTTTTTTTTTGAAAAGGATCGGCGGGGGCGAGGTGTTATGGCGTGTCCCCCACTGTTAATGCGGATCTATTAATCAAAAACGCTCAACACTCTAGACAAGCTCCTCGAAAAGGATGTGGCAAAGGAAAAAATCACTGCCGAACATGCCAAGGGCACGCGTGAACTTGTTTCAACCACCAACGCATTGTCCACTTTGAGTGATGTTGACGTTGTGATTGAGGCCGCTTCCGAAAACTTGAACATCAAGAGCGCTATCTTCCGTGATCTCGATGCTATTTGCAAGTCGGATGCTATCCTTGCCACCAACACGAGCAGTATCAGCATCACAAAGATTGCAGCTGCTACCAAGAAGGCCGAAAAGGTATCTAATAGGGCTCTGTATATGTTGACAGAGGACTGCAGCCACAATTATCGGGCAAAGGGGAAGAAAAAAAAAAGGGGGGGGGTTAATTAGCCGTTCTCTCTTTATAACGAACCATTTTCTAAAACCGGGGCTACTGTGTCTTTTTCTGTGTATTAACATTAATATTTCTGTTATTACTATGATAACAGGTTATTGGCATGCATTTCATGAACCCTGTGCCCGTCATGAAGCTGGTCGAAGTGATTCCAGGCCTTGCTACCGAAGACGCCGTTCTTCAGGACACGCTTGCGCTTGCACAATCCATGGGCAAGACGACCACCGTTGCCCAGGATATCCCTGGCTTTGTTGCTAACCGTTTGTTGATGCCATACATCAACGAAGCCGTCATGCTTCTGGAGGGTGTAAGTAATTTAAAGAAAAAAGAAGGGGGGGCGAATGGGGGTGTGTTTTGAACAGAGAAAGGGGGTTTGTAATTAGTAATATACACACCATTAAATTCATATCCAAAATGCATTAATTATAGGGCGTTGCCAGTGCAAAGGATATTGACACCACCATGAAGCTGGGCACCAACATGCCCATGGGTCCCTTGACATTGGCTGACTTCATTGGTCTTGACACCTGTCTGGCTATCCAAAAGGTGCTGCATGAAAACACTGGCGACTCCAAGTACCGCCCAAGTGTTCTTTTGCAAAAGTATGTTGACGCTGGCTGGTACGGCAAGAAGAGTGGACGTGGCTTCTACTCGTACAACAAATAGAGTTTCTGTTATTATTGCTAGCAGCAGCAGCAGTAGCAGTAGTAGCAGTAGTAGTAAGAGATAGAGAATAAAAATTGAGGAATATAGTGTTGCATGCAACATGATCATAGAAGCTTCTTTTTGTTGCTCCACATCAAGTGATCTCTAACACTCATAGACCATGGACAGTAGATAGCGTAGCCGTACATATACTATATATACTACAATCACACTATCACAGTAGTAGCAGCTATCATCTGTAATAGAGAAAGTGGTGGTAATAAGTAATATGCAGTAAACACAGCTACAGTGTATCTGTAAGAAGGTGGTGTCACATGATGTGATTGATCGTCCGCCAGGCAAAAAGGGGTGTGGGTTCTCTCTCTCTCTCTTGGTCTGTCGTACCTTTTAGAACCTACCGTACCGACCGTACCAACCCCCCTCCCCTTTTTTTTAGTCTTCCCCCCCCCCTACCCTCTCGCGCTCTCTCCTTCTTTACGCTCCCCTATATTACGAACTTTTTCTTTTTTTTTTTCTTAATAACTCTTTTCCTCTTGCTTGTATACACACAACACACACCTTTTTATTTCTCTTTTTCTTCGCATCGCTTTTATTTCTTCCTTCCTAGACGCTGCACAACAACGCAACACAACTGATGAAGGAAGCTAATTCTATGCGACAGGCATACGCCACATCAAGGCAAGCATTTCCCTTTTTCTTTTGGGAAAAGACAAACGTATATTCTGGAAAAACTGCAATCCTCCCATCTAACCTGCCAACCTAAAACATCGTACTTGTAGAGACCTGGATGTTGTACTAGAAGAAAATGAAGGCAACGTGTCCATGTCGCAACCAGCAGGCATGAGCTACCTAGACCAGGTTCTAGACCCAGCACTCCCCAGCTCGCTTAGTTTCTTACGAAGTAGTGCAGCACACACAAAGGCAACAACCACTTCGTCAACAGCTGCTTACCACCATCACCACCAGCATCATACCACAGATATTCCTACTACGTCCTCCACCACCTCCTCCACCACCATGGACAGCAACAGTATGAGTAATAGTCGACCTCCTTTACCGATGCGACGTGCGCGTGCAGGAACTATGCCATCGCTAGTCCATATGCCCGAAGAACGATCCCACCGATCTCCGCTTCTACGTCCATCAGCAGCAGCTGCTGCAGCTGCTGCTGCCAGCGTCACCGTCGATACACGACACCGCTCTGGGTCCTTGAACTTACCCGTGCCACCACCAATGCAATTATCGTTCGACGGTTCCGTATTTGGGTCATCATGGGCATCCATGGATAGAGATGGTAATTCGAGCCAACAACAGCAGCAACAACAAAACCGTTCGTCACTACCGTCACCGTCGACGGAGCAACTGTTGCGTGGCGACAATGATTTCAGTATTGCGCGAACACTGCGGTCGCTAGGTTTGGAGGATGATAGAGCCATGGGTGGCAGTGGCGAGAGTGGTAATGTAACTCCTACCAGTAATGGCTTATATCACCATCATCATCATCATCATCATCAACAAGATCAAATGCAACAGCAACAATCAGCCGAGATCCATGTACCCGCACAGCGATCGCTCTTGTCTGGAAGTCGAAGCCGTTCTTATTCAGTGAATGCAGCTGCTAGATACCAAGATCCCGTTGTGACATCATCTCCTTCTCCTTCCATGCATATTCCTACTACTACTACAGCTGCAACAGCAACAACAACTAGAACACGCGCAAGCACCATCTCTCGTACTTTTGCTAGTCCATTGGACAACCTGACAGTGGTGCAGCACCACCAAAATAGGCCTCGTGCATCGAGTATGGGCCGAATGGACTATGGACGATCGGCCAATCCACCACCGGTACCTTCGTCTCTATGGCAAATGCAGCGTGCTCCTTTAGAAACGTTAGCGGACGAAGGCAGCGATTTCCCTTATGGTGACTCTCTCAAGCCGCCGCCACAACCTGCTGCAACCTCTACCACAGAGAATGCATTATCACTGGGTGACTCTGAACTTTTGGCCAATATGTTGCATAAGCAGCAACAGAATTATTCGGATCCTTTGGTATCTACAAGCGACCACCACCATCATCAACAACACCAGCATCATCATCATCAGCAGCAGCAGCAGCAGCATCAAGAGACAAATGCATACACAAATGGCAGTGGACCTGCAGAGGTATATAAATATCTGGCGGCGGCGGCGCTTTTGTGGTGACTACGGAGAGAGGAGAGAAGGGAGGGCTAAAATTTATTTGTTTTATGTGTAGCCTTATTTGCATTTCAGTCAGTCAACACCGACGTTCCGCAACCATCAAGCGCAAATGACACCTTCCACCAGCACACCTACTCAAGCAGCCACACGGTCGCTGTGGATCGGCAATATAGATGCAACCGTCAGCGTCGACAACCTGACACAGCTTTTCTCGTCGTTTGGCCACATTGAGAGCGTCCGCTTGCTGTTGGAAAAGGAATGCGCCTTTGTCAACTTTTTCCAAGTCGAGGATGCGGTGCGAGCCAAAGAAGAAGTGCTAGGCCGACTCGGGGGTCGTGTAGGCAATTGCATTGTGCGCATTGGATATGGACGAGCCGATGCGGCTGTGCCAGACACGACAGCTCTTCAACCTACACGTGCTCTTTGTGAGTAACGAATCAAGGCACAAAAAAAAAAAGAAGGGGGGGTTGGGGAGTGGAATGAAAGGTTTTATTAATAATTTGCCTTTTTTGTAGGGTTGGGTAATATCCCTCCAGGAACAGCACCTTCTACCTTGCTTCATATATTCTCATCTTTTGGTACCATCGAGTCTGTGCGTGTGCTCTCGCACAAAAATTGCGGGTTTGTCAACTTTGAACTCGTCGACAGTGCGGCCAAGGCCCGGGAGGCACTGTTACAGAATGAAATTGGCGTGCAAGGTTTTACCGGTGTCCGTGTTGGATTTGCCAAGGTTCCACCTGCCAAATCGAACTCATCTGCTGCTGAAGGAGCGGCGCTGGGTGGTGGTGGTAGCACCACAAGCAACAGCAGCAGCAGCAACAATGGCTCTACTACGACTGCTACTATTATTACTGCTGCTGCTGCTGCTGCTGGTGCCGGTAGTACCAAATTACAAGCCAGTAATGACCGTGCGACAGTCAGCGACGGCGAGTCGTGGCTTGCCGATCTTTGGGACATTATGAAGCAGTTTGGTGCTGACGAGCCATCCATGAGTCTTGTTCAAGGTAAACAAGAAAAAGGAAAAAAAGGGACATCTTAGGAGGAGAAGGAGGAAGGCTTTACTAAGGAGCTTTTTTTTTGCTAATTCTGGGAGAGAGAGAGAGAGAGAGAGGGGGGGCTAATCAATTCATCATGATGCTGATATGTCGTGCACACAATCTTATAATAGCACTGGAAGCAACATCTAATTATTACGACGCTATACCGCCGGTGCCTGAATTGGGCGTGAACCGTAAATTCGATGCCAGCCGATTACGCGAAATTAGAAAGAAGCTCGATAATGCCCAGCGTGGAGGAAAAGAAGTGGAGACGATCGCATATGATTGCATGGATGAGATTGCCGAGCTCAGCAGTGGTAAGCTTGTGTCCATCATAACTACTTTGCTCCCGAGTGCCGCTACAGGTGATAGTGAAGGTGCTGATTTCTGATTTCTTGAACACAACCAGATTATATTGGAAACACTGTCGTGCAGCGACTGTTTGAGAAATGCTCAGAAGAAACAAAGACAGCAATGTTAGAGCACATTGCGCCTCATTTGGCAGCCATTGGCATACACAAGAACGGTACCTGGGCTGCTCAGAAGATCATTGACACCGTCAAAGCTCCTGAACAGGTATGCATAATGTATAGAGTGTGTGTGTGCATGCATGCACCAGTGTGCTAAATATGCCTTTCTTTTTTTTTTTTTCTCCATAAAGATCCGCCTTGTCTGTACACACCTCAAACCCTTTGTCCCGCCACTACTCCTCGACCAGTTCGGCAATTACGCAGTGCAGTGCTGCTTGCGACTCGGTGACGGAAACAACCAGTTTATTTTTGATGCCATGGTAGAAAAGCTGCTCAACGTGGCACAAGGCCGTTTCGGTGCTCGAGCCATGCGGGGCACATTAGAAAACCAGCATGTCACTGCGACCCAACAGGTTTGTATTGTCGCTGAACGAGGGTGTGTGTGTGTGTGTGTGTGTATCACGACCTCTTTTTTCTAAAACTTGGGAAATCTATAGAAATTTGTTGCCGCAGCCCTCACACAAAATGCAGTGTCACTCGCCATGAACGCCAACGGCGCCCTTTTGCTATCATGGCTGATTGACTCGTCCAACGTAGAGAACCGATACAGTGTGCTGGCCAGCCGTCTTGTTCCACAACTGACACAGATTGCAACACACAAGTTGGGGTCACAAATGATTCTTAAGTTATTCAACCAAAACAACGACACCAAAGCACGACAGACGATCTTGGCCGGATTGACGAACGAAAAGACGCTGCACGAGGTTTTGGCGGATCAAGTGCGCGGCGTGTCGCTGATCCAAAAGATTCTGGCCAGCTCGTTTATTTCGACGGAGGAGCGAGACCATTTGGTTGGAAAGTTAGGACCGTTATTATTGCAGCTGTTGGAGAATGCGTCGGACAGTAACAATCAGGGCGCTGGTCACAAGAAGCTATTGGATGAATTGCTCGCTCTGGAGAATAACACCAAGGACGTCGAACACGATCATGGCGTGGGTCATGAAGACAAGGATAGCAACAACGACAGAGAAGGCGATGAGGACGATAATAACCATAGTAGCAGCAGCAGTAGCGATGGCAACGACAACAAGCCAAGTGGAGATGACCAGTAAAAAAATAAGAAATATTACGTATACCCCACTAAATATTCTTCATACAACAACAAACAAGCAAGCACTCAGACAACAATCACACACCACATCCTTTTCTCTGCTCTCTCTTTCTTTCTCTCTCTCTCTACCTCATCTTACTTACAAGAAGATCGACACACACACTCACGCACACACACATTCGGCCTGTATAAGTAAAACACAACAAAAAGAGAGGGAGGGAGAGAGAGAGAGAGAGAGAGAGAGAAAAAAAAAAGTTCTTTTTTTTTTTGGAGGATGTCTTTATTCACCAAACATTTTCTTTTACTTTTCTTCGTTCTTTTTTCTATTGTACATTCGTCTTCAGGTAGTTATCGACAGCACCTAATGACATACATAATATATTTGACATATTCTGCCCTACATTCTGTCCTTCTTTTTGTGATGCTCTGTGTTCATCCCATCATGATGTCCTTTTATTATATAACAAAGAATGCTTACACATTTTTTACAGAACGGATAACATCGATGAGCACTTCACTCGTCACGATCCGCTACTACTGATTCCTCGGGCGCTGGTGATTCGAGACGTACAGGCGCATTGTCATCACCATCGACTCGATTTGCATCCACTGATCCTCCCCCTCCTCCGTCTACTTTTGTTTCTTTCGGCCGCTCTTCTTCATCATCGTTCTTTTCTTTCTTTTTTTCTTCTTCGTCACGACGCTTGACTGCTGCCTCAACTGCCAACTTATCCTCTGCTTCTTCCTCCTTTTCGCGCTCTGCTTTGCGAGCTTCATATGCCGTACGTTCTTGCCTTGCGCTCGATATTTGCTCTTCGATTTGCTTTGCTAGATCGTCCGTCAATTTCTTTGGACGATAGTATAATGCAGGATGTGCTTTGGTTTTCACATAGTTGGCTAGGTATTCTTTTTGCTTCACACACGTCGAGTCCTAGATTAAAAGATCTTTTTGAGTTAAAAACCAACATCTTCTCTTATTAAAGCCGCATTATGAAAAGAGAACATACACGCTTTTCTTCCACCAGTCGCTCCTCTCGTTTTCTTAACAATGCCGCTTCTCGTTCTCGACGTTGTTTATCTGCTTCCAGCTTTTCTGCTAGTTCCTTTTTCTCGTTGGCCAGTTTCTCGTGTGTTTTTGACTCAATTTCTTGTCGTTTTTTCTCCTATACATGCAATGTTCAAAAGAGCTGTTATATGGGCCATTTTTTTTTATCAACAATGATCGTTTCAAAAAAGGAAAACCTACTGCTTCGCTCGTGTTCTTGCTATCATCCTTGAATTTGTTCAGTGTGCCTAGTAATACGCCAAACATACGTTGTCCTCGTCGTCTACTGTCGGCATTCATGGCCAATCGAGGTTTTTTACTCTAGAAATTCCAAAACAAAATAACATATGCCTTAGTCCCTTCATTCGCAACAGCCAAAAAAAAAATATAAAGAGTTGGAATGTAATCAAATATAAACCTCTTGAGCATCAACAACTTGGTCAGAACTGCTACTAATGCCGACGCTGTCATTAATTGTATCACTAGTAGCATCTTGTTGATCTATAGATCGCTTGCGTGTCGACGAGGAGCTTGTGGTTTGAGTAGGTACGACAATGCTAGATTTGACCATGGCGTAAGAACAACGTTATGTAATTTCTTCTTTTTTTAATCAGGGCGAAAACAAAGAAAAATGATATGAAATGAGAGAAATTGGTTTCCAATCGTAATAATACAGTAGAATAGGGTAGAGAAATAGAGAGAGAGGAGTGTAGAAAATAAAAAGGCTGCTGCTGCCTGCCTCAATTTTCACGACCTACTTACACGTGACACGTGTAATATATGCATCTTTTCCTTACTTCCTTCTGTTTTTTATTTGAATGACCACTACTGCTGATCAACAGCTACGACAGCGCAATACAGCTCAATCTACCAAGCAAAATGACTGTGGCAGCAGCAGCAACACCCACAAGCATGCAAAAGTAACACAATCTGCCGCCATGGCTACCAACGATCACGAACGATCAACGACCGGTTCACGCTTTTTCGTGTTTGCCCTGTGCCTCGTCTTTCGACTGATAAACGCCTATTTTACACGTACTTATGATAACCCTGATGAATACTGGCAGTCGCAAGAAGTAGCGCATCATATGGTGTTTGGATATCCTTTTTTTTTCGATATTTGGTGAGAAAAAGGCGAGAGAGATATGTAGACCCAAAAAAAATAGCCCCATTATTCCTTGACCATCCATGTGTACATACGGGTATCTTACTTGGGAATGGATAGCTCAAATTCGTAGTTATGCACATCCGCTTATGTTTGCTCTGATCTATAAGCTACTTGCTTGGATGCAGCTGGATCAAACGAATTTATTAGTAAGTCATGGACCCTCTTTTTCTCTTGTCCAAAGTTATATATCTCTGGGAAGAGAGAGAGAGAGAGAGAGAGAACCTCCTGACGCTCACTGGATCGAGAAAAAAAAAAGATTCTAGTACCCAAACTTTTCCAAGCATGCATGGCAGCATTGACGGATTATGCAACCTACTCTTTAGCAAAACGCGTTGTTGGCAATAACATTGCACCCTATATAGTACGTTTCTATCAAAGTAATTAATAGTTTTAGGGGAAAAAATGAAAATAACTGATAATGATATCCTAGCTGTTTATAACGCTTTCTTCATGGTACAATTTCTTTATGGCGGCACGCACATTATCGAATGCCGTTGAGACGACTTTTACTGTTGTTGCTCTGAACTATTGGCCATTACCATCCACCATAACTGATGAGTATAAGTCAAATAGCAGCAGTTGGGCCAGGTATTACACATTTCACTTATTCGCAAACAGGGACATCAAGTCTTACCGATGCTTCTTTAGAAACTATCGTATATCCCTCGTATGGGCGTCACTTGCATGCGTCATGCGGCCAACAAATGCTCTGATTTGGCTGTTCGCTGGACTTTGGCTGGTGTTCAAGTCTCCAGGCCGTCATCGAATTACAGTATTAGTCAATGCAGCTACTATTGTGTAAGTCTGTTTTTGTTGTTCGAGTTGTGGCCTGTACTCTGTATTATTAGTAGTAGGTGGTAGCTAATACATACACATACTCTAATATTCTCAGCACAATTATTCTGGCGGCCGATGTCGCTCTTGATACCTACATTTATGCAGGAGGACAATCCATCACCATTCCTCAAGCAGTAGTATGGACACCTATCAACTTTCTCAGGATCAATGTTCTCCAATCAATATCGTTGATCTATGGTGTGCACCCCTGGCACTGGTATATCTCTCAAGGCGTCCCTGTCATCCTAACTACCTTGTTGCCGCTCGCATTCTATGGGTACCATCATTGTAGCGTTGATGGTGGCAGTGGATCTGAAAAAGACGACAATGACATTCGCTTTCTGGGCCAACTTATTACATGGGTGCTCAGTGTATACAGTCTCTTATCCCACAAGGAGTTTCGATTCATATTCCCTATTGTGCCTTTAATGCTGATCTTTGTGGCAGTCGGCCTATCCCACGTCCCCTTACGATGGCGGAAATGGATTGCCCTTGCCTTGGTAGCCACCCAAATTCCCATGGCGCTATATCTATGTCTTTGGCACCAACGGGGTGTGACCGATGTCATGCTATGGATTCGTGAGCAACAATACGCTGCTCCAAAGAACACATCCATGTCTGTTGGCGTATTGATGCCTTGTCACTCAACACCTTGGCAATCCATCGTGCATCGTCCGGATGTTGCCATGTGGTTCCTGACGTGCGAACCGCCTTTCAACGAGTCAGACGACGGATACGTGGATGAAGCGGATCGATTTTATGCTGATCCGGTTTTGTTTTTAAACCAAGAAATCGGACAACGTGAACGGCAGTGGCCAACCCATCTGGTCTTTTTTGAAAACTTGCTTGAAATGGACGATGGCAAAAATGCAAAACAAGTATTGGTGGATAGTGGTTATTATGAATGTGCTCGTTTCTTCAATAGCCATTTCCATGACGACTGGAGACGCCGTGGCGACGTTCTTGTTTACTGTCGTACATGAGTAAATACCCTATAGTAGACACACAACCTATCGTATACACCCAATGGTTTGCTTTCAAATATTAAATGCATGAGCTTTTCTTTGTGTCAATAATTAGAATAAATAAAAATATGGGGAAGAAGTTATGTACATAAGCATCGGAGTGTATGTAAGAGGGGAGTGTATATGTTGCTAATAGACTTCGCCTTTTGTTGTTGTTGTTGTTAAGTTAGGGGTCCATTCGGTATTTCAAGGTGGAAAGGTCACCACGCATCCTTGATAGTTTAATTATGTTCCAGCATGTCTGGCTGCATGTGCGGTATAAAAAGGGGATCTTCGTCATCGTCGATTGCTCAAAAATAAACTTGTCAAAATAAATCAAGCAAAGGCCACCATGAAATATGACGTTCTGGCAAATCGTACAAAGCAATGCACAACCTGGATCAATAGAGAGTTGCTCGAGCATTATCTGTGTCAAACACGAGTCCTGCAGTGCTGTCAATTGGTCCGGATCATCCAGGATAGCCTGTCCGATTATTTGTATGCACGTGGATCGCAACGACATGATTTCGTCAAATGATGATGATGATGGCGATGATGGCATCATATACAACCCCGCAGCTAGCTGTTTCCATGACACTGGAGGCTGCTCTTCTTTTATCAACACTTTATTCTTGTCGATCCACAAATTGATCAGCTTCATCCGTAATACCTCGGCAGGAAGCCACCTTAATCGATTGGACGTCAAATCTAATACCCGCAAAACTGTCAACCGTCCTAATTGACTCGGCACCTCTTGGATGGCATTATCGTAGGCATACAATTCGCGCAAATTGACAAGATATCCAATATCGTCCGGGATATGCGTGATCTGGTTTTTTCCAATGTTGAGTTCTTGAAGACCTGTTAATTGCCACAGCTCGGGAGGTAAGGTCGTGAGCCGGTTGTTTTGTAGATTCAGTGTCGACAAATAAGACAGACGATTCACGGCAGGTTGTGTAATTTTCTTTTCAAATAAAAAAAAAAAAGAAACATGTATAACGCAGATGTAAATTCTAATTGTTTTCCTCCCAAAAAAAAAAATAATACTTGGCCCGAACTCTTTTCTGTTGGATGAAATGCTTTACCAGTATGTTGATTTGCTTATAAGACAGATTCGGGTAAGGTAGGTTGAGCGTTTCGAGAGGTCGTTTACGGTCATCGTTTTCGTTCGATTGCTGGTAGAATGAAACCATGCAACCATTCAAATACCATAGTACTGCCGTGATTATGGTATCATTACGACAACTCATCGCGTCATTGCTAAAAAAAAAGAACTAACAAGCAAAAAGAAGGAAGAGGGGTGTGTCGTTATTTCAAAACGGGCGCCGTTTAGGGGGGGATAACTTCTTGAAATGGCTAGGTTCCCTCTTCTGCGAGTGAAGACAGAGTCTAAATGCGTGAACTGAAGATGCAGTGTACCGCTTGCTTTCTCATATTGATACCAGATAACAGTGTTGGTAAGTGATGTTGATGCTATTGAACAATAAGCTGTATCTTTGGTTGGATGTACGGGGAGAATCGAACAATAGTATGGGAGGGACTCAGAAGTGGATAGTTAAGTTTAAGAGCAATAGTCTGGTTGTTGCTCAAAGTAGATTCAGCAGCACCTAAAAAGAAAAAGCAAATTGATGTAGAATAGATCGAGTAGTATTTAGCATAGGAGGATCTGACTCGGATCACGTCATTGGCTTTGAAAGTGGGCTGCTAAATGATACCAAGTTGAACTTGCTTGAGCAGAAATCGGTCTTCAGGCTCAAGTACACACAATGGCTGGTCTGGGTTATTCTCGATCGTGATTCATGTTTGAGGGATTTGATATGGTGCTGCTTATGTTTTATCTATATTGGTTCGTGTGTGTCGTGTTTCCCTCTACTGCATTATAACAGTTACGAAGACGGCAGAGTGGGTTGAGTTGTCCGAATTAATCTCAAAGTAGTGTGGTTTATCACACTCAAGTACGTGTTCTTTAAGGTATGTTGAGCTGGTGTTTGATCCTGCTTACAAAGACAATCCAAATCGCTTGTTAAAGCTTTTGCTACATAATGTCTTCAAAGTTTTGCGAGCAGTACACTTGCAGTTAGTATGTTAGTTTTGTTGTAGATAGGCTACTGTTTATGTAGCAATATAGTATAAATACCACCTCCCCCGACAGATTAAAGATGTGTTTCTTTGAAAGAACTTTTTTGTAAATCTAAAATTATATATATTAACAACACTGAATAAAGGCTTGACAAAGTTGAATATGGCGGTCATCTGTGTGTGAGTTTCACAATTCGTCATATCGAATCGCAGACCAACTCCCTAAGCAAAGTTGCTCAGCGGCTGAAATTCCTAGAGAAAGCGAACTTTTATACAAACTGGTCGTTATGCTGATCTGCCTGCTTTTGAAAAAGGTCCTTGACTTAAACCATTTTAAAAGCTTTACGCATACAAACGCATCCTTCTTACAATTGTCAACAGCGTCAAATATCTACCGGTGCTTTGCAAGTTTACAAAGGAAGAACGGTAAGAATACACAGACGACAAAACGTTTGATGTAGAAGTCTGACTCCTGACTAATTGAATGCGATGTCACAACAACCAGTATGCATCATTGACAGAGCAGGAGGCTTGAAACATATGCATACTTATTGTGCATATGTAAATATATTGGGATGACCTTCTACTAACTTATATGGTGAATAGAGGCTTAGCCCACGACGAAGTTGGTTATCGCGCCTTGCCCCCCCCCCAATTGCGATGGTTCGAGTTCGATCCCACTATAATATAAGTGCTCGTACAAGGAGAGCACTAAATATGAGACACTACCTTTGACCAATAATGGTGAATTTGTCTTTGTATTTCTGCAAAAGGAAGATGGGTATATGGGAAAGTTGAGTGCTAAAATAATCAGCATGATAATAATACGCATCACTAATGTGCATTGATTAAAAATAATTGTAATCAAATGGAAAAATTTAAAATGTTGTAGAACTCATCTTTTTGTTATGAGTTCCAATGCCTTCTAACAGAATCGAACTGTTGACCTTCTGCTTACTAGGCAGACGCTCTGCCAACTGAGCCAAGAAGGCAATTTGTTGAAATCATAGTTTGCGCATCTCACATATAGCAACAGCGCACAAAATATATAATATATAAACAACAATAATAATAATAAAAAATAAATAAAAAATAATGTTTAACTCTTTTTTCTCTAAATTACATATAACGATATATGCAAAGAACATAGTACAATTCAGTGGTCACAATCTGACCCACAGGTCAAAACCAACCTATGGGTTGAGGACAGGTCAATAGGTTGAGTTGATGCTTTTCTGACCTGTAGGTCACACTAGAACTTGTCTACTAACCCTAGACCTGACCCATTAACCCGTTGTAACCTGTGTATACACATAATATTTTGTGATGGCACAAAACCCTTTACCTTTGTAATATCCAATAAACCAAAAGAGACAGAATAAGTCAACGAGACCCGACAGGAATTGAAACTGGTTTATTATGATAACAAAAGTTCTCACTATTTATAAGAAATGGCTTATCCTTGGCAACTACCACAGCGTGTGCATTGAACGGATGAATTGATGTTACAAATCAATTATATAGGATTAAGTAATGTATGATGCGTGAGTAAAAGGTACATCCGGGTAAATGCCTCAGATAGTAGCTAATGTGAATTACGTGATCCGAATAATGACAACTTCTTCCTGAGCATAGCTGATCGGTGTTTCACCAAGATGTGTATGAATAAGGAAATGTCCGCACAAGTGAGGTTATGAGGGAAATAACAGCAATCGTTCATGACAGATTAAAGAATAAGTGTTATTGAACATGTTGGATACAACAACCTTTAAGAATAATCACACAAAACGTAGATGCTGCCAGTACTGGAAGGAATTTACATGCCATTATCTTATTAGAGAGTTGTATATAGGGATCCATTTCAGAACTGTAGAAGGGAGTTAATTTATATTTATTAATTAAATGATAAATCATTTAATTTAATAATATTCATTAACTGTCAAGTGTTCTAATAAAAAATCTAACTTCGTTGATTTTTTTATTGAACTGAGCTGTGTCGATACCTCCTTGCTAGAGGAGGGAATGCTCATTACCATTCTGCGGGCTTAAGAAACATTCTTAAACATAAGATTTATAATATAACTTAAAAAAAATAAATATTCTTAAGAATTGTTAAAATCTTAAGATTAAGAATCACACCCTGAACCGGAACCGAACTGAGCCGAAACTGAGAAAATACAGTTCGGTTCCTACCAAGAACCGAACTGGAACTGAACCAGTTCTGTATACGTAGGACCAAAGAACTAAGAGGCAGAGATTGCATTTAGCGATTTTGGTAATTAGTATAGAATAGGCTATAATGGAATTTACAAACGATGTTATTCTAAAAAGATCAAGAAGTAGTGTTGTATTTGCAAGCCATACTTCATTTAAAAACTTAACAAAACCTGCAAAAGCAGAAGGGAGGGAAAAATAGTAAAGAAGAGAATAAAAAAACACTTCTTCTGACAGCAGCTTGCTTTCTCTGCCCATGACGCACATCATTACTTGTTCCTCTACTTTGCTACCTACAATGCATTTTCTTTATGACGTACTACTTTACTAGATTTAGCATGGCTTCTCGATCAGTTTTATCAAGTTTGTGCATTCTGTCTGAGATTGTGCATCCTAGAGCCCATAACAGAATTATATTACCCGTTCACCCTTTGCCTTTTATGAGACACTATACATGCGTAGAGACACAGTAGCTGTGTGTACTGCCGGTTGTGGTTTGATTCCTCCAACGTTACGATAACATAATGTACTAGTAATACTACGTTGCTCTAAGTATTGTAAAAACTGTGCTCTAATCTTTTAACCTTGCAATGACCCACATCATATAAAAAATGTTTACATTCTGTTTCTCTTATTCATTTTGAGATCGCTGTTCAATGTACAATAATAAACTATTCTTTTTTACTGCAGTATTCAAGTATACCGTGATATTTGAACACACACATCAGCTTTCATTCAAAGATATCGAATTTCGCCTTTTTTATATACATGATGGGTTCGGTTCTTCGGTTCGATTCTCGGTTCTACGGTTCTCGTTGGTTCTAGTCGGTTCGGTTCGATTCCCTTCAAGAACCGAATCGAACCGAACCATGCGGATCCCTAGGGCTGAGGTACACGTCAGCTTATTGCTAGGTGGGTCGAGGTGCCCTTCAACTTATTCAAGGTGAGCTGAGGTGCCCTTCAGCTTATTGCTAGGCGAGTCGAGGTGCCCTTCATCTCATTTAAGGTGAGCTGAGGTACACGTCAGCTTATTGCTAGGTGAGTCGAGGTGCGCTTCAGCTCATTTAAATAGCCAATCCGATAGCCCTCTTAAACATATGAGTTTTTTTCCAAAGGAGCTGGATACCTGGACAGCATATGTATGAGTTTTTGTCTACCTATCAGCCGTCCCTTCTTAGATGGCCTTACTTGTCAAAATAACTAGCTATTATCACACTTTTTAACGTAAAACTGCTCGATAACGCTGTTCTTTCCTAGATCTTACATGATGATTCTTTTCTCTGCCACGATAATGGCATACATAAGTTTTGTAATTGCTTCTTTTATTTCAAGTTTTTGGCCCTTTCCCAATATTACATGATGTCAGTTAATCAAGCAATTTTTTTGCTTACGTAGAGGAGTTTTTTACAGAGTCTACAAAGGTAACAATCACTTTAAAAGAACTCGTATGCATAAGTAGATAGCTGTCAAAACTTCTTCTCCCAGCTAGTTATGTTCTACTTGAAATTAATATAAAAAAACTTGTATGCTTAAGCATTCAGCTATCAGAACTTGTTACAGTTAGTTATGATCCACATAAACCAGGATGAAAAAACTCGTGATTCCCCAAGTTATTGAATGCTTGCTTGAGCATTACAGAGACAAATAGCGACAAACCCTCGTCGTTTAAATGTTTTTAATTTTCACCACACAATCCACTTTCAAAGGACTGTCATTCTTTAGGTCTGAGTAAAGCAAAAAAAGGGATAGTCCGTAAAAAGTGTTGTTCCGTCCTTGTCAAGCTTAATCATGGCAAGAGCAAATTCTAAGCCTTCAGCATAGCTGTTGCTCGCGTCAAACGCTATAGCTTCTTCTTGTACAGTTTGGTAAGCTTCGTACAGTGGAAGAAAAGAAAGAAAGAAAGAAAGAAGGAAGCGTGTGTGACCCAAAGGTTAAGTGATTATGTGTATATTAATGCAAGTTTGAATTAAAATATATAATTTATCCTAAGGTATCAATGTAAATACCAGTGCCGCTTCATAGCACAGTACTGCCCTATAGGAACTGACCGGAGCTGTGATGGCTGTCATATTAGATGTTTACTATAGTAATATCGTCAAAAAATTAGTGAACAAAGCATCAAAACGCGCTTTCTTCATACTTCTACATGTTTCCCTTGTGAGCTGTCCATAAACGACAGATCATCACTGGTGGTTTCCTGAATCCCAATACAGGCAGTAATAATAAGCTTCGTGCTTCCGTAATTGTCCGTCATGTGAATCGCACTGTCTTATGTGAAGAGGTTTGAAACCTTGTCAAGGAGTGTACGGTAATGTGCAAACGACACTCAGCTACGAATTCAGCATGCTGACAACCGCCCGCCTTTTGCGACCGGGAGTCAATAGTCGCTTGTTTACATGTGCGTCTTTATGGCTTGGCGTCGTCAAAGTGTGCATTATTTGCCTGAGATTCATTAGCCGTTTCTCTTTGTTGCCGTTGCACTGCTCGGGACTTGCGCTACGCGTTTCGCTGTTGCTATTGCTGCCACATAACACTACTAGCAAGAGCAAGAGACTATTGTTAAACTCACAGGGAAGAAATTATTATCGAGCTTCGATGTTGTGACGCCTTTGTCTTTTCTGTATGTGTGAGAGTGGGGGTATAAAAGTGTGTGTTGTGATACAACTTGGAATATGTGTGGTTTTTATACTTTCGAGCGAATGCTAACGAAGCATGATAAGTGTACTGACAGTTCAACATTTATTTTTGATTTGTTCTTGTTTCAAGATGAAATGGTAGATGGAACTGATGTTTGTACACAAAATAAATAAAACAGGCTCAGTTTTTACAGCTTCTCCTTGATGCGGTTTAAGGTACCCTTGAGCTTATCTTGAGAAGCTTCCTTCATGGGCCAGCCAACGATCAAACCTTCCTCCTTTCTAGGTTTGGGAATGATATGGAAATGAACGTGGGGAACGACCTAAAGCAAAAACGTATAACAATATGAGCAAACAGCTTACAAGCATACATATCGGTCTTGAGTGGGTAGATGCCATACCTGGTGAGCCATGGGACCATTGTTCTAAAGTAGTATGAAGGAGCAATATTCAGTATTATAAAATTTTTGTGATGAGCCGGAAGAAATAACTTCGACAAAAGAAAGATATTAAGTATATAGTACCTGAAGCAAGTTGTATTGCGCTTCATCAAGACCGCTGGCAAGTGCGACCTTTCGGGCAAGAGGCAAAATGTCGGCAAGATAGTCGTCAGGAATTTGATGGAAAAACTCGCCGTGGTCTAATACAGTGAAATGTATCGGTAAGGAAGACGTTCAATTAAAAGTGTCTTATTTGCTTACACTTGGGAATCACCAACTATAAAAAACACATTATTAATTACTCCCTCTTTCAATTGATACGTTTGCTTTTTCTTAAAATATTAACAGCCACAATAAACTTACGCAATGACCCTCGCTGATCGGATTGATATCCAGGAACGCGCAACTACACCATAGAAATAGGGAAACCGTCTTTATATTAATAAACCAGCATTTTCTCCAACTGGTTTAAAGTAGCCTAAAAAAAGAGAAAACTTACGCCTTATCGGTCTCGGCAATCTTGTGCGAAGGGATTTCGCCACTGTAATCATATAAAGAGGGTCGTGTGAGTTTGACCAATTGTTGTTGGCAGGTATAATTCATCCATTTCGGCAAGCAAGGTCAATGAGCGAGTATATTGAGTTAAGCAAGCATACCGAATAATTTTGCAGAAAATGCAGTCGTCAATCAAGTTGTTGTTTGTCATAATGGTGATGGGAAATGACTAAAGCGAGAACAAGGATTGAGGTTCTTCTCGTTTACAACGCGTGGTACTGTGGATTCTCGACTTGTGTAACCATAGACGGTGACGGAGGGGGTCGTCAACTTTATAGCCGTTCACACGCTCGTGCACGGCTGTTGCACTGCACCTTCACCCCTTTATTTGCTCAATAAGCCCTCAGTGGCTCCCGTGACTATTAATTCTAAACGTGAGCGTGCATAGTAAATGTACTTATTCAATGACAACCATGGTATCCATTGGACAAGTCCCTTTCCCAGTAATATGTCGTCACCGGAATTACGTTGCTATATATAGGCACCGGGTATGCATGAATTTCGATACATAGTCAGAGAATCAGTCGTATACAAGTATAGCCTTCATCAAGTATAGACTTCATAATAGGCTCTAATATATATATATATATATATATATATACAGTGTGGCTAGTAATTACAACAGTTAAACTACAATTTAAGAGAATCTATTATACGGAAGAAGATAAAGAATTAGTATAAACAAATATATCTTTTATATTTTACCAAGCAAAAACATCATGCTCACCCAATGGTGGACAAGGCAGTCGGACAGAGTTTCTGATGACTGCGGAAATTGGAAACCCAATAATACGAACAGTGGGTGTCAGCGAATAATTGACTACAAGATCCTTCTTTTCGCCACCCGTTAAACCGCATTTCTGAGATATGTCTAGCAGCATCTTCTGCTCCTCGTCTTTAGATGTGTCAAATTTTACTTTGAATGGAAACGTAAAGTTCGTCGTTGCATGAGAATTGATAGCAAGATTCGATAGCTCTCCTCCTCCAATCGATTTTGTAGGTGCTGTTGGATAATATGCCTTGTTTGTAGTAAATTAGTGAAAAGGAATGACAAAATCAATCATCGATCGACGGCAATAATAAGAAAAAGCGCTTGTTTCTTCCTTCTGATACTGTTTAATCACGATATATACCGTTGCCATAATTTTTTCAAATGTGACGCTTGCCATGTTTGGATTTACAACACCAATATTTAAGCCAATATTAATATCAAACGCATTGGTGCTCGTCTTGATGAAACGTGGCAGACCTGATGGATGATCCGTGAGGCCATAAAATTTGACCTGAGGAACCTTGAATTGCGTCGCAACAAAGGTGGTGGCGAATCCAGCAGCTGCAAAGAGTAGAAGAAAAAAGAAACAGCAAATACAACGCATCCAGTATGGAAAACACATACAACATGGACAGCATAGATGTCGTGTACATGATCTTCGCTTTGTGGGTACGATTTCAGCTGTTTCCGTGGGTTTCTTCTCACGAGGGTAGGGTATATCATTATAGTAAGCGTATCCTCCTGTGATTTAGACGATCATTATAGCAATGGTATTGTGCCGCCGTTACCGTTGATATGATATATAGGGAATGACAATGGTAAGTATTTACCTATGGACATTGTCTTTCGGAAGATAGAGGCACCACCATTTTTACCTGGCATATCACTCGCAGGATATGTTAAAGGGTTATGTGTGTACATTTTATTAGACTGTATACAAAAAACATATAAAGCAGAGAAAGAGCTGATGAAGTTTGCGATAGCGAATTATTATACCTGATAAAATAGCATTCCATTATCGTGCGTACGTGGTTGGATCGTTTTACCCTTTCTCTTCAGCCTGTTGCCTACCTCCTTAGTTGCATTGCTAACTTTTTTCGTTCTCTTATTTTTCCGTAAAGCTCTTGGTAATAATTTCAATTTACGATGATAGAGTTTCTCAAGGATAAAATAAACAAATGTGTCTAGCATACCGTAAGGCTTGTCCTTTGCAGTAATTCATCTACTAGAAAATAGTGCTACCTTAAAAAGTAACAGCAGGGAAATAATATGCCTTTATCGGACCACCAATTTAATAAAACGTCAAAAGATGATGATGTTGGATATGTCTTTAGATACCCCATCAGTATTAGTATCTTATTTTTTGATGAATCAGTAGAGAAAATAGATTCCGGGATCTGACACTCACTATATAGAAGAAGAGCCAAATCATGTGCCTGCTTTTGCTTGTAGGCGCGGTTGTTGGTGTGGGATTAATAAAACGGGTAACAGCAGTCCTAGTAAGTGAAATGGCAAAAGCGGTCCCATCACGTGACCCACAAATTCCTATAACTCTTGAATTTTTGAACGTCTCCCCGACGGTCCCTCTTTGCTGCCAAAACCGATTTCCATTAAATATTTACTCTGTGTGTGTAAAAAAAGCAGCCTTTTTCTTTGTTGTGTGTCAACTCCTCATTTCGCCACCACCACCACCACCACAACCACGACCACGACCACGTAAACGAGAACCTTGCCTTCTCTCTCACTCTCTCACCCTCTCTTCCTGCCCTCCGAATAACACCTACTACGATCGAACAAAGTTACTAGCCAGTTTTCTTACGCACTCACACGCACACGAACGACAGAAATGACAACAACACTTGAAGTATACGCGCACCGTCTGGGTGACCCCAAATTAGGTACAAAACAAAAAGCATGGCGAATAAAAGGCTAGGCCATCGTCCCATACTAATGGTATTTATTGAACGTGCCCTATTCAATCGTGTTATATAGCTGTCAGTCTAAAAGTTACGATCGCGAACGAACTACGAGATCAAGTTGAAATATTCCAAACCTTGGAGTACCCGAGGTTCTTACAGACTTTAATACCTGTATTCATTGACATACTGCAAAATGGCTCTCCGGTTTTCATCAGCAACGCACCCGAGCAGGTACAACGGATATCAATGAATATCATAATGCGTCTAGTAAAACAATGATAGAGTCGATTCTAACCATTCTTTTACTTCTTGTAATACAAACGTTTCTCCCCCTATTAGAAATTGCGAAATATCATACTGGAAATCATCTACCGACTGCCACAAACCGAACCGCTAAAAGAACATGCAACTGAGCTGTGCAAGACGTTGATGCACCTTTTACGAGTCGAGAACGAAGAAAACGCCGTCGTATGCGTCAAGATCATCATTGACTTGCATCGATCATTTCGCCATGTACTCGAAGATCAAGTCCAGCCATTCTTGGATATCGTCCAGGAAATATACCAAAACATGGAACAGACAGTCAAGGATGCATTCGACGCGCCTACAACTCCAGCTGGTGCAGTAACGGTAAGAACATTTCCAGTGCATTGTGTTATGATGTGATACGTCAGAGTTGTTGTTACTTGAAATGATGCTGAAAGCTTCGTTTTATGTATTAGCCTGGACCACACCCTCTTTTGGCAGCTTCACCACGGCCAATGTCTCCGGCGGCAGATACGCCCGAAACACCTTCCAAAGTTCTGCCCAAAGGTCTTTTCAGTTTTAAAGTACTCACTGAATGTCCCATCATCGTTGTACTCCTTTTCCAATCACATCGTAAATACGCAGGCGAAAACATCATGAAGTTCGTTCCACTTATTTTCCAGGTCAGTCCTTCTAGCAACCATATTCATGCTTCTTAGCGTTGCTACGTGTCTATATTAATCTCTCGTCTATCTTGACTCTCAACAGACCCTGAAGCTTGAAGCTCGACCACAACAAGAGGCTTCTGCTCAGGCACGGGCACGTGGTGAAGTGTTTGTGGGTGTTAGTCCAGAAATCCGAAACCGGTCCGTGTACAACGACTTTCTAGTTGCTCAAGTCAAGGTATGTTCTCCTTTCTTTTGTTGCATAGCACTTGCAATGCTGCTGTCATACAGCAATAGTACCAACGGTGGGTAAACTGAACTGAGTGTTATCTGCTAGACCATGTCATTTTTGGCTTACATCCTGCGAAGCTATAACCAAGTCCTCCGACCCTACCAAAATCAAATCCCTGAATTCGTACTTCGCCTTTTGCGAGAATGCCCTCCAGAATCATCCGCCACCCGAAAAGTAAGAAACAAGTCTAAAGAGCTCTTTACTCGTTGTGATGCTAATCGTATACTTTTTGTATCTTAGGAACTGCTTGTTGCCACACGACACATCTTATCCACCGACTTCCGCCAATCCTTCGTTTCTAAAATCGACTTGCTACTAAACGAAAAAGTCTTGATTGGAACAGGAGTAACATCACACGACACCTTACGGTATGTTTGTTTATATCTGAGTGGGAGGGATCCATATAGAACGGTGGTGCCGGATGTGATATTGGATCTCTAACAGTTGATGGATTGTATAAATTTATTATTACACAGACCGTTAGCCTACAGTATGCTTGCTGATTTGGTCCATCATATTCGATCAGACTTGAGCCCTCAACAACTTTTACGAACCGTATGCATCTATTCACGCAACCTCCACGACGCGACACTGGCACCAAGCATCCAAACAATGTGCGGCAAATTGCTTCTCAATTTGATCGACTGTATCATCAAAATACCGAACAAAGAAGACGGTAATTTCAGACGAAAAAAAGACCTCCAAACAGTTGAGGGTTTTAAAATCTTGTAAATACTGACAACAATATTATTCGCACCATCTATTAGGTCGCGAATTGTTAATGCGAATATTGGACGCCTTTGCAAGCAAGTTTGCCGCCCTCAACATCCAATTCAAGTCTTGCTTACGGCATTACAAAAAGAAAAAGCGAGCCGACACTGCTACTGAGTCCGATATGGACACGACAAGCAACGAGCTAGAAGATTTCGACTTTGATAAGAAAAGATCCATTCATACTGCCACATTTATTCCAGACTCGTCTCATGATGGCATCAAGGGTTAGTACCTTTCTTACTTATCACGACCTCTCAGGTTAAATAGCGTATGTTCTGACAACAATGAGAAAACTCAAATGGTGTAGATGGACGATTCTTGTTCAGAAACTTGGCTCTTGGTTTGAAGCCGTTGTTCATCGGCTTGCGACATTGTAATCCTCAACCGCCAGCAGGCTTTGAAGCCAACCCCCAAGCATACGGTCAATTTGCTCGCCGATTCTCACAAGACGACGTCGAGACCTTTTTACGCCTATTCCGAGAAGGATTGGTATGCTTCGAATACTACAATGTCGACAACTATGGCGCAGACTGCTCGCCGCCAAATCATGGTCGCAACGAACCCGAAAAGAGCGAAACATCCATCGGATCAAACGAACTGTCATTGAAACTCGGCACTCAAGCTTCGGGTGAAAAAGAGATCCTCGACATGTTTTCGATCGTGTTTACGCTGATTGATCCAGCCGTTTTCCAAGAAATCTTTGCATCACAAATCGAATTCTTTTTTGAACGGATGCTCGTCAACCCAATGCTAATTCATATCGCGCAGTACTTCTTGGTGACCGAGGTGTCGTCCCAAGGATTTGCTGGCATCTTGTTCCGCTTCTTGATCGATCGCATTGAACGGCTTGGTGACGACGACATGCATTATTCGGCCGTCATGCTGCATCTTTTCCGACTGGCATTTATGGCTGTCAACCTGTTCCCAGATGCAAACGAGTCGATCTTGCAACCTTATCTCGCCAACCTTGTCATGTCGTGTTTTAAGCTGTCAGCCAGAGCCAAAGAACCGGCCAACTACTTTTTGCTCTTACGCGCGCTTTTCAAGAGCATTGGTGGCGGTCGTTTCGAATTGCTGTACAAAGAAGTGTCCCCGTTGCTGCAAATACTATTGGAAAACCTCAACTCGCTCCTTACGCTCGCTCACAAGCCTGAAATGCGGAACTTGTTTGTTGAGCTTTGCTTGGCTGTGCCTGTTCGGCTGAGCACATTGTTGCCGTATCTTCCCTATTTGATGCGTCCTCTGGTGATTGCTCTGCAAGCAGATCAAGAATTGGTGTCTCAAGGTTTGCGTACAATGGAGCTGTGTAACGACAATCTCAACCCCGAGTTTCTTGATCATATCATGGCGCCTGTCATGAAGGAATTGATGGATGCCTTGTGGAGTCACTTGAAGCCGCTACCGTACAACCAGCAACACAGCCATGCCGCTATGCGCATCCTTGGCAAACTCGGTGGCCGTAATCGACGCATGCTCAAAAGTCCACCTAAGCTCGAATATAATTCTCGCATCGAAAGCGGCGTTTCTGTCGAGGTGACATTTGATCCGAACACGACACCATACACGCTACCTCTCGATAAATCGATGCAAGTGGCTGCCCGAACCTTGGAGCGGTCTGATGTCAGCCCATTTTACAAGAAATACGCATACGACTTCTTGAAGGCCAATTTAATTCTAATGCTCGAGCTGGATGAGGGAACAGAGGAATTACCGAAAGCACTGTATCAGCGCGTCAAGATGCAATTGCTTGATGATTCGGATGAAGAAGATGCAGATAATACGGCAGGATCTGGCTCTGGATCAAATGACGAGAACAACGAGGAGCAAGGCGACAAGTCAACACCGGCAGAAGGAGAAAGCACAGTCGTTGGTAATGCGCTCTTCGAGAATGGAATGAAACCGAAGCGCCTGTCTGGCAATGGATATACCAAGTACCTCTCGAAACGACTTGCTCAAGAAGATGCACTACGAACCATATTTGTCTCCATCATGAAAGCATCCACCATTCCGTCTCTGAGCGAAGAGGCCTGGGAATTCTTCCAGAGTGTTTGCCGTCATTTTACACTGCTGCATATTGGTGAGGCCATGGACGCACTCGAAGGTGGAAAAAAGCCATTGTCGGATATGATGGAAGAACGTTTGGCGGTACAAAATCTCAACACGACTGTACTCGTTGAAGCCGTGGTCGAAGTCATCTCTTCCGAGGATGGCAACTTACGTAAGCGTGCTGAACAAGTTTTGCAGCTTTGCTTCGACACTGCTGTCACTGTGCTGGGTGGCAAGGAAGCCGTGTCACGTCTTCCCATCTTCCGCGTGTTTGCATCACAGTTCTGCTCGTGCTGCTACAAGCAAGAATGGTATAAAAAACGCGGTGGCTGTCTGGGCATCAACATTATGAGCCACCAACTCGACATGGGAACCAAGTGGATGCGCGAACACGAGCTCGACTTTATTCGATCGCTGCTCTTTGTCCTCAAGGACGCGTCTCCCGAAATGGCCAACATCAACACCGCTGAAGCAACGCATACCTTATCGCACGTTCTCAAGGTGTGCAACCGGCCCGATGAAGAGGATTCGCAGGAAGCCCAACAGAAGTTTCATCATTTGATCTCGTTGCTCCTGAGCGAATTGTCCAACTCCAACAGCGCTGTCCGGGAAACCATTCAGTCGTCATTCCAGCTGCTCGCTGATCTTACTGGTAACGAGGTTACCGAGCTGCTGGCACCTGTGCGAGAACGCCTTGTTGCACCCATCTTTGCCAAACCTTTGCGCGCCTTGCCGTTTGCAATGCAGATCGGTCACATTGATGCCATCACTTACTGCTTGACGCTGCGTCCTCCGTTCCTAGATTTCAATGAAGAGTTGATCCGGTTGTTACACGAAGCATTGGCACTTGCAGATGCCGAGGATCAAGCACTTGTCAGTCGTAGCTCGCAATACAAGAATGCTACTTCGTTGATGAATTTACGCATCGTTTGCATCAAGTTGTTGTCTGCAGCCATGGCCTGCTCTGATTTCTCGAGTCAGCGACAAACACATACTCGGGCCCGTATAATTCAAGTCTTTTTCAAGTCGTTGTACTCTAAATCACCCGAAGTCGTCGAAGCCGCTCATCGTGGCTTAAAACAAGTGCTTGCCCAGCAGCACAAGTTGCCCAAGGAGCTGTTGCAACAAGGCCTTCGACCGATATTGACCACCTTGTCAAATCACAAGACGCTCAGTGTGGCTGGTTTAGAAGGTCTCGCTCGTCTTTTGGAGCTACTTACGAACTACTTTAAGGTCGAAATCGGTAAAAAGCTGTTGGACCACTTGAAGCAATGGGCTGATCCCAAGGTATTGCAAGAAGCTGCAGGCAAATCCTTGAACGAGAACCACGAAGTCAAAATCATTGTCGCCATTCTCAATATTTTCCACCTGCTTCCGGCGGCCGCACACATCTTTTTGAACGATCTTGTCACGGTCGTCATTGATATGGAAAAGGACATTCGTCGCACCGTGTCGAGTCCGTTCCGACCCAATTTGATCAAGTATCTAAACCGGTATCCTACCGAGACTGTGGCGTACTTTTACGAACGATTGGATCAGCCACAGCATAGCCGCTTGTTTGTCGATATCCTTGGTACCGAAAATGCTACGCCGTTGCGTGACGAAGTTGCCAAATCGCCCACCGAACTCGTCAACAAGACATTCAACGTCACAGATAATGCCACGATGCATTACCAGGGTGTGCTCATTGTACGCCAGATGATCAAATATGAGCCGGATTGGTTGGCTAGCCAGAAAGAAGTCTTGAGCTGCCTGCTCACATTGTGGCGCACACCGGCCCGTTTTGAGGATATGAAGAAAGAGGATCAGCAAGGTATCCAGGCTACACGCGAATCTTTCTACTTGGCGCAGATCTTTATCGCCTATCTTCGTTCTTCCCAGGACGACATCGAGGTTGTGTTTGACCTCGTTTCCTTGTTTGCGCATGAAACCGTGATGGACTTGTCGTTCTTGCGGGCATTCTTTTTGGAGGACGTGGCCATGAAGTTCACGACCGCTCGCAAGCGCAAGATGATGGATAAATTTTTGCAACTGTTCTCGGATTCGTCGTACTCAAACGCGCTCAAGATGATGGCACTGCGACATGTCATCAACCCTGCTTTGCTCGTCTCCTTTGTCAGCAGCGATAGTAGAGGATACACCGAGATTTTCGATGTCAAGATGATGGAGCAGCTCGATTTCAAGCTCTGGGGTCAACTCACCAAGGAATCGCTCGATGATAATCGATACGCAAAAGACTCCCTGCGTATCGAGCTGTTGCAACTCACGGCCATGATCGTCCAGTATGCGCCGCAGCTTTTGGCCGACCTGCGCAAAGAAGTCATCAAGTTTGGCTGGAACTATCTGCGACTCGAAGACGCCACAAGCAAGCAGTCTGCCTATGTTCTGATTGCGCGTTTCATTGCCGCCTACGAAACGCCAAGCAAGATTGCTATTCAGATCTATCAAGCTTTGCTCCGTGCCCATTTGTCAGAAGCTCGTGGTCTTGTCAAGCAAGGCCTGGATATCCTTGCGCCGGTGCTGCCTAAACGAGTGCCATTAAACAACGGCGAGCGAGTACCTACATGGGTGCGTTTGACGCGTAAGGTGGTGGTCGAAGATACTCACAGTATCTCACAAATGGTGAACGTGTACCAGCTCCTTGTCCGCCAGCCAGACCTGTTTTACGACTACCGCGAGCATTTCTTGCCTCAGATTGTTAATACTTTACCCAAGCTTGGACTGTTCCAGAATGCGACGCCCGAACACAAGCTGCTCACTGTGGAACTGTCTGAACTAATTATCAAGTGGGAAAGAACTCGTATGGAAGCACAGCCTAAGAAGGATGCAGACGGGGATACGCCCATGTCACCCAAGAGAAAGGCAACAGAAGCGGATACGACAGCAGCATCGCGCAAGAAGCTTCGTTCAGAATCCGGAGCAACAGCTACTACACCAGCAGCAGCTTCGTCGGCAACAACGCCAGGAGCATCAACATCATCGCCTGCGACCAGCAACGCTGAAGCAGGATCAGCCACTCCCACTACCACAGCTGCCACAGCAGCAAACAGTAGCAACGACAAAGAGTATGCACCCAACCTGGCATTACGCGAAAACCTCATCGGCTACCTGGTGCGATTGGCATGCACGATCTATAATCCTCAAGATATGATCCAGCGTCGATTGGTCCAACGGGTCTTGGAATTGATGAAGGAGTTTTTGAACGAGTCCATGTGGTCAGACGTGCATGTCAAGTTCTCTCATTTGGAACGCACGTTGACAGTCAAGGATATGAGCGAGATTCTGATCCCCAGCGTCTGCAGCGCACTTGAAGTGCTCAATATCGATATTGCGCACAAGCCATCCGAGTGGTTTATTGTCAACATGAACCAACTTTACCGATTGTTGGAAACTAGTGTGAAATCCGACCATGTCCGCATTCAAAACGTCCTCCATCCCGTGCTTGTACGCATCTTCCAAGCGATTCATGGCACGACACCCGCAGAGAACGCAGAGCAGGAACAGCAACATCCTGACGTGGCTGCATTTGTCTCGCTTGTCAACTCTACGATCACGGATGGCATGGGCAGCAATAGCAACAACGGTATCTATGCCGTTTTGAAATTACTTCAAGCTGCCAGCAGCAGTCGCAGCGAACACTTGGATCAATTTATTCCTGGTATCATCAAGCTCTTGCAGAAACTGACCAAGGAACACATGATGCCGCCGTCGCATGCCGGTTCATCGGGTGTAGGACAAGATTCTTCTGGAAACTTGCTGATTTTGGTCTTAATGTTGCTCAAGAAACGTATTTCCCATTTGGGCGATCAGCGTCGTTGGTTCCTGACCTACTCGATCCAGCTCATTGAAAAATCTTCGGATATCAATCTGTTGCGCACCATGTTGGAAATGTTGAGCGAATGGACGTTGGACAAGACAGAAACGTTCCCGACCATTAAGGAAAAAGCAGGCATGCTTGTCAAGATGATGACCGTCGAGCATCGCAACGATCAGAAATTGACGGAGGAATACCTGGATTTGGTGCTCAAAATCTACAGCAACCCATCGTTTGCTCGATCGGAGCTCACTGTGCGGTTGGAGAATGCCTTTTTGCTTGGCACGCGCAGCGATAATCCGCAAATCCGTACACAGTTCATGCGTGTATTTGATCGCAGCATTGCCCGCACTCTGTATGGACGCTTGAGCTATATCATTGGCGTGCAGAACTGGGAATTCCTTGCTCAGTCCTTCTGGTTACACCAAGCGTTGGATCTACTGCTCGGTGTGGTCAAGACCAATCCATCCGTTACTTTGCCACATACACTAAAGATTAAAGCAATCAGTATCGTCGGCGGCCAACAACAGGATGACCCTATGGACGTGGATGTGCCAGATCAGGTCCAAAAACTAGTCTCTCAACACCAAAAGTTTTTGAAGGAACTGCAAGGATATGATGTCAACAATGCTGTTTCGGCAGTGCGACAGCTACAATACCTGGATGACGAGCTGACACGCGAAATTTGGATTGATTTGTTCCCTATGTGCTGGACAAACTTGAGCGGCACCGAGCGCCACGATATGACCAAGCTGCTGATCAATTTGCTCACCAAGGACTATCACAGCAAGCAGGCAGAACGACGGCCTAATGTGATCCAGGCATTGCTTGCCGGTATTGCCAAAACGCCTTCAACCATGAAGTTCCCGCCACACTTGATCAAGTTCTTGGGCAAGACCCACGACGCATGGCACACCGCTATGGAGATTTTGCAACAGCCAGGTGTGATTGGCCGTGTCACCGATGCTTCCAAAGACGATCAAAACAATCGTGAGCGAACACTAGATGCATTGGCAGAACTTTATTCGGATCTCAACGAAGAGGACATGTTTGATGGATTATGGCGACGTCGCAGCACCTATAGCGAGACCAACGTGGCTGTATCATGCGAGCAAAGCGGTATGTGGATGCAGGCGCAAAACATGTATGAGAACGCACAGATCAAGGCGCGTAGCGGGGTATTGCCCTTTACCGAGTCCGAGTACATGCTCTGGGAAGACCATTGGATCGCTTGCACACAAAAGCTGCAGCAATGGGATATCTTGACCGATCTGGCCAAACACGACGGCAACATGAACCTCTTGCTCGAATGCTCGTGGCGTCTGTCGGAATGGACCGCTGAACGCGAATTGCTTGAACAATCATTGCAGCAGGTTGCTGATACGCCCACACCGCGCCACAAGGTGTTTGAAGCCTTTTTGTCACTGATCAAATCACAGTCCAACGATGACAGACTGTCTGAATTCACACGTATCTGTGAAGAAGGCGTCCAACTGTCGCTTCGCAAATGGCACGCGCTCCCACGCATCGTGGCTCAAAGCCATATTCCGCTCTTGCAAAACTTTCAACAGTTCCTCGAGCTGCAAGAGGCTAGCCAGATCTTTAGCAGTCTGATGACTACAACTGCACAGAATCTCGACCAACGATCGCAGGATCTCCGCAGTCTGTTGGGCACTTGGAGAGAACGGCTGCCAAACATGTGGGACGATATCAATGTATGGAGTGATCTTGTTGCCTGGCGACGACATATCTTTAGCGCCATCAACCGTACCTATCTGCCTCTGATCCCCTTGTTGCAACCACAGCAAGGTCCACCGAACGCTGGTACCGGCAACTCATTTGCTTATCGCGGCTATCACGAAACGGCCTGGATCATTAACCGCTTTGCTCATGTCGCTCGCAAGCACCAACTCTATGATGTATGCATCAACTACTTGACCAAGATCTACACACTGCCAAACATCGAGATTCAAGAAGCTTTCTTGAAGCTGCGCGAGCAAGCTAAATGCTACTATCAAAACCCAAATGAACTGACCGCCGGTCTCGACGTGATCAACAATACCAACTTGATGTACTTCACACACCAGCAAAAGGCCGAGTTCTTTACGCTCAAGGGCATGTTCCTTGCTCGATTGGATCATTTCAACGAAGCCAATGAATCGTTTGTTAACGCCGTCCAGATCGACTTGTCAATGCCACGCGCTTGGGCCGAATGGGGTCGATACAATGATCGTCGCTTCAAGGAAAATCCCAAAGATTTGAGCTGGGCAAACAATGCCGTGAGCTGCTATCTACAAGCAGCAGGTATCTACAAGAATGTAAAGGCACGCAAGTATCTTTTGCGCGTCTTGTGGCTCTTGAGTCTTGATGACCAAAGTGGTACGATCTCTATGGCGTTCGATGGATACAAGGGCGAATGGCCGGTCTGGTACTGGATTACGTTTATCCCACAGTTGTTGACAGCGCTGCAGCATCGTGAAGCAAGACACGCTCGCGCCATTCTTATCCGTATTGCCAAACAGTTTCCTCAAGTAAGTAGCGATTATATCGGGGTTTAGAAAAGTGAAAGATAAAGTGGTTTTGCATGAAATTGAAACCTTTTTTTTTGTGTTTAGGCCTTGCATTTCCAATTACGTACAGCCAAGGAAGAATTAATGAAACGTGTGCCATCTGCACAGTCGATGGATTCGATGCAAGGCTCCATGCAATCATCCGGCGAGGGTCTATCAATCAACACCAATACTGGTGCTAACAACAAGCTCAAGGAAGAGCCAATGACACCTTCTGCGACAGTGGCGGACGCCAAAGCAATGGCCGCACTCAAGACAGCAGCAGCCAATGCATCTTCTTCTTCTTCTGCGACCACCACCACAGCAAATGAAGGCGGCGATGTTTCCTCCTCCTCTTCTGCGGCTAACCAAGATCAAAACGCTGACTCAAGTAATGGTGGTGACAAGGGAGATGCCATGGACGAAGATAAAAAAGAGTCAGACGAAAAGAAGGATGGCGCAGCTACGCTTGTGAAGCAAGAGGATTCGAATGGAGATGAAACTGCACCTAGCGGAAGTAGTGCAGCTAATAAGGCTGCTGAAGGTGATCAGTCTGTGCCCCAACAACAAGACGCTAATGCTACTCCTGGTAATGGTGCTGACCAGACGCCTACAGCAGGAGCAGCCACGCCGAATAACAAGATTACGGATGACAAGGGTCAGCAATCGAACACACCTGCAGCAGCAGCAGCGGCGGCGGCGGCGGCAACGACAGCGGCAACAGTAGCAGCAAATGGTGGTCGTCCTAACAATATACAGCCATCCATGGGGGCAGGAACACCTGCTGCTATGCCCGGTCTAACCCCCAGTAGCGGCCATCCACTTGACGAGATTATGGCCATGTTAAAGACTGGCTATCCCTTGCTGGCTTTGTCGATGGAAACCATGGTGGATCAAATCCAACTCAAATTCAAGCCTCTTGCTGATGAGGATATGTACCGACTTGTTGTAGCACTGTATAATGAAGGCGCTCAGGTATATTTGCCTAGACACTTATCCCCCGCTCCTTTGACAATGGAAAAACTAATAATTACATTTTTCTTTTTTAAGCAACTGTTGTCCAGACTAACGAACCCAGGCGATACATTACAACTGACCCAGTCGACCGTCAACAACATTGCCCGTTTCGCAGAAAGCTTGTACCCTGGCCATATGAAGACGGCCTTTTACAACGATTTTGCTAAAGCCAAGCTCAATCTCGAAGAATATGTTGCCAAACTTCGATTGTGGCGGGACAAATTTGAAGCCATGTTGGATGCTCGTCCACGCAAGCAAAAGTTGGAAGCCTTGTCGTGTTATCTGGCCGAGTTCCACCATGCTCGTTTCGATGATGTTGAGATCCCAGGACAATATCTTTTGGTAAGAATACATATACCGTGTTGGGATTGATTAGTTGTCTGTCTATTTTTAGTAGTACAAGCTAGCCTAAGGCTAATATCTTTTTCTGTCTTTAGCTCAAGGATAATGCCAACGACTTTTTACGCATCGACCGGTTCATGCCTGAGGTGGAATTCATTCGTTGGGTGGGAACATGTTCTCGACGTCTTACGATCCGTGGTCACGACGGTAGTCTTCATCCGTTCCTGATCCAGAACCCAGCACCTCGACAGTTCCGTCGTGAAGAGCGTTTGATGCAACTGTTCCGTTTGCTGAATGGTGTTTTGGAACGTCGCAAGGAGAGCCGCATGCGCAACTTGTCGTTCCATCTGCCAGTGATTGTTCCCTTGGCGCCCAATGTTCGTATCGTTCAAGACGATCCATCCTACTATACCCTGCATGATATTTATGAAGATTATTGCGACGACGTCAACATGCACAAGGATGATCCGTTGGCTTTCTATGCTGAGAAGCTCAAGAACAACATTAGTACTATCAACAGCAACAGTAACAATAATGCAAATAATAGCACTACTACGCCCAACAAGGATGTTGTCGCCCAAAAGACAGAGTTGCTCAACTTGCGCATGGAAATCAACGACGAGATCAGCAATAGCATGGTGCCGTCTAACATTCTTAGCAAGGTAAAAATAAAAGGAAAGGAATGTGGAGTAACTCTTGGAACTAGTATGTAACTGACAGCTTTTTTTGGGGGGCTTATCACAGTACATGCTTCGCACCATGGGATCATACACCGACTATTACATGTTACGAAAGCAGTTCACTGCTCAATATGCAACAGCCACATTCATGACCTACATCTTCAGTGTGGGCCAACGTATGCCGTATCGCATCGCCATCTCTCGTAGCACGGGCGATGTGTGGATGATTGAATTTGTGCCGAGTAAGTGTACTATATTAGCTTTAAACCGGGTGTGTGCACGAAAAAGAAGTTTCTAGTGTAGCTGTATTGAGTTCATCTATTCTCATTTCACAATAACAGGCTTCAATCAAACAAACGCGACATTCAGTAACGGTGAACCTGTGCCCTTCCGCTTTACCCCGAACATCCAAGAGTTTATCACGCCTGTTGGTATCGAAGGACCTTTCACCAGCTGTCTTGTGGCCACGGCTCGCTGTCTTACCGAACCCGAACTCGAGTTGGATCAATATCTGGGACCGTTTGTACGTGACGAACTCATGACGTGGCACACAGCCAACAATCGCAGTGTCACAGATGCCCAGTTTAAGGAACGTGTCAATTCGAATGTGATGCAGATCGTCGCCAAGGCGCAGTTCTTGTCGTGTAAGGCTGACCGTGAAAAGACCATTAATGCCAACAAGCCCACCAACCAAAATGTGATTGATCTTATCTCACAAGCAAGCAACCCGCAAAAGATGGCACAAGTCGATTGTACATGGATGCCATGGCTGTAAAAACTAGCATAACATTCTTGTAATTTCTTTTTATTACACTTATATATATATACATACATACATACACATACATATACATACATCTTCCATATACATTTCTTTCAGCAATTGATTTCTTGGGTACAGCGATAAACAAAGTGGAATACTGCTAAAGAACGGGTGATTGGGATACTACTTTGATTACTCCACCACAGAATCGCCCATCTTGCGGATATTGCGACCATGATGCAACTCGTCTTCTTCCAACGAGCGTTCAGCCGAGACCTTTGGCGCCTCACCAGTGATCATACCCTTGGTGATGCGCCAAATCTGCAAAGGCGCAGCCGTATCCTTGAGACTGTAATGAACGCTTTCGGCGGTGACAAAGATCAAGGCAATACGAGGGTCGTCTGGTCCGCCGTCATGGGTACCATCATGTAAATCACCGAACCATGGCTTCAGATCGACACTGTAGAGTTGCTTGATTTTGGATCGGTCATGAACGATCTCGGCTTTGCCAGAAACACTGATCCATTCGGAGGTGCTTTGCTTGTGGAACGCCAGGTTGACGTTGGGATTGGCTTCAATGTCTTTGATTTTGGGACTGGTGGCGTTCACAAAGAACCACAGGTCGGCTGGTGCATCTGCTGCTTCGGGCTTATGATATTGTTTGGTGGAAAGATGAAACGTTACTACTTGGTTTATTTTTTCGCCGATCAACAGAGCAAAAAGAGAAGTGTTATAAGAGAAAGAACTTACCGCGCGAGGAGACATGGCACGGCTCACCAATCCGCCCGTATCCTTGCAGACGGTAGTCATCATGCAAAAGCCAATACCCCGGATGAGGTTGTACAGGTCTTCGATCTTCTTTTCGGTTGTAACGGGATTAGGGTCCTTGTTGACTTCGCGTGGAGGGTCCATTGTGTCGTTGATGATATGTTTTGTAAAGAGTGGTGCTTGGCTAAGGGTATTATTATATATACAGCTCGAAAACCCTTGCAATAAGAAATGCATATCATTACGTCGTTGTGATGTTCACTGAGTGAGTGTCTGTCGCTTGCTTCTCTGTCTCCACCCCCTCCCCCCAAATCAGCTCTCTCCCCCCATCGAACCGGTCGTTATCATGTTCAAGTGAGCTAAGCCGACCCGAGGACAGAAGGAGCACGCCTTTTAATTTGCAAGTTTATGACGGATGGAAATCAAAGAAGACTTTTTTTCATTTTCGCTCTCCACTCTTTAGTGTCTCTTCTAATGCCTTATTTGAGCAATTTTATCATTCATAGCGTACGTCACGCTACGTGCATTTGGCAAGCCAGGAATAGGCAAATGAGCATCCGCACTGCCAACTGCTGGCTGAGAGTGTGGCTCTCTGCCGAAAACAGTAAAGGGCACAACTTCTCTCGAGGCCCAGACTTGCCTTACTTCTTTGTCCCAGCGAAACAAAGCCATTCCCGTTTCGGCAGGTTCTCATCTTTTTAACTGCTTTGGGGATCTACCAGCTAATTGATCTGTACTGCGCTTTGCTGCTGCTTACTGGTTAGCATTGGATGCTGCTGCTTGCTGCCAAGGTGCCTAAGCCTTTTATTTCTTAACTCTCTCTCCCCCCCCCTTTTCTTTACTGCTTCTTCTTCTTTCTTTCGTCTACCCTCTCATCCACACACATCTTCTTTTTGTATATCAACACACACATCAAAAACCATGAGTATGCGACGAGGCACGGTGCGACGAGGTCCTACGATGCGGGGTCGAGGCGGCTACCGTCCACCCATTGGGCGTCAAAGTATTATTCGTAGCAACAACAACAACAACAGCGACGACGACGAAGAGTTTATGGCCCTGAATCGTGCCGACAATGATGTCGAGATGGAACAAATCGAGTTTAGCGATGAGCAAAAGAGTAGCGGTAATAGAACCAGTATGTCGGAACGGCCTCTCTATCATCACGGCGACGAAACGTTTGGCGACGTGATCAGTCACCCTATCGAGCAGCTCCACGCCCACCGAGCCCGTAGAGAAACTTTCAAGCACGATATGCAAGCATGGCGACAAAGGTATTTATAACCTTTCACGTAGCATATAACATGCAACAGATATATATATAGAGCTGCGCCTTTTGTCCTATGGCTTGAAGCTCCCTAACTTTATACATCATGTAAATGCATGCGAAACACATCATCACTCACTCACTCACGCATCCGGTATGAATAAAAAATCTTGTATTTTGCCTATTCCAGTGTCCCACCAGGTGCTCCACCACCTCCCGAAGAAGAGGAAGATTACGTTGTTGGTATGGACTACGGAAAAAAGCCTCCCTCTAATACCACTACTCCCTTGGCGTTTCCAAGTTTGGCAAAATCAATGTGCTATAATGAATACTAAAAGGAAAAAAAAATGATATCCACAGTTGTTCACTTTCGACAGTTACGCGGTAACCAAAGCTTCGCTTTAAATCACGAGAAGGCTGAGGTGTTTGCGCGCAAGGTATACTGAGATTGTTGACATGTGACACAACAAAACCATGCAAACAAAAAGAAAACAATGAAAAGCTTGCACACAGGCACACCACTGACCTCCTGCACCTCTCGTTGTACAGATCAAGTTGACACCACAAGAGCGAATCAAATTTAATGGCGTGCACGATACTGACGGTCTGACAGCATTCCTGTACAAATCAAAACGCGAGTTCTCTATCAAAATTCACCACCACAAGTCCGAATTCTCCTCAAATCACCACGCGTCCGAGCATTTCCATGACTTGTCAAACCTTGAGCACAACCCTGAAAACTATACAATCGAATTCAACGAAAACGTCTATGTCGAATTTAAGCCCAAGCGACACCAATTCCATGATATACTTCCTCCCGAGGCCACTCGACGGCCGTTCTTCCAGTACAGTATTATCCACTTTTGAAGAAAGGGGGCGTATGCAGTAATAAGAAAGAGAGTGTAAACTAATTAGTTGCTATTAATTTGCAAACAGACACCCCGAACCTGATCTGAGTGCTGATATTGGCCAAGAAAAAGCCGCATCGTGGCTCGAATTGTTCTATGATCTGTTCTACATTGCCACTCTTACTGAGTTCACACACAACCATGTCATCAAGGACTGGGCTTCGCTTGGAACATATACCCAATGGTTTATCATCACCTGGTGGGCCTGGACAGCAAGCTCACTGTAAGCTACAGTAGGACTCCTTTGAGAAAGTGTGCGGTTACACAGGAAAATCCTTTTACTGATGAAGCATTAAACTCAATTTATAGTTATACGGCGCGATTTGACACGTAAGTTCCATGCGAAAGAGACATCATCTGCTCCCCTATACATATGCACTCTCATCTCTTGTGAAGAGGGAAAATTTACTGACATGTTTATCCTCTCTACATTCTATAGCGATGATGTTGTACATCACATCTGGAAATTAATTGAGATGTGTGCAGTCAGTATGTGTAACACCACACCGCATTCTTTTCATGAATGAATGATATTGCGCGTGGCTCTTTCCTTGTATTACCTCGTAGATCATATCTTCAATTCATTGATTTTCTAATCGTTAATAATGCTTGAATAGTTGCTATGGCAGGCACGGCGGAACATTTCTATAGCTCACCAGCATACGTCTATGGCTACATCGGTAATGTATCTTGTGCAACCATCCCTCATTTGTTACTATACAAAAAGATTGTCATTTTTTTTATTAGCTCACACACTATCATCATGCTGACCCATTTTCTTTATATTATGCAATAGCACTCAAGGGCGTGCTCGTATGCGAGTATTCTATAGGTTAGAGGATTTTTTTTTAGCGTGTTGATGGTCATTCTGCTAAAAAAAGCCATTTTCGCATATATTTTTTTAGTCTTTATTGTGGCTCTGTTGGCCAGATCCAAATCCCGAATCGCACTAGCTTTCTATATTGGCGCCAATTTGATCTCGATCACGCTCTGGGCTGCCTCTCTGGCAATTCTCGATCAAGGCACACATCGTATTCTATGGTATCTCGGTATTCTCACTGAACTTGTCGTCAATGTCATTAGTCGAAGCGACAAGGCCTTGTCTTGGGCTGCCAGCAACTTGGCCGAACGTTTGGGTTTATTGACTTTGATCGTTTTGGGTAAATTCTCCTCTCTTTCTCTCTATCGAAAGCTACCCTATGTCTTTCATATATTAACCTTATTTCTTTTTGCTTTTCGTTACGTATCATATATAGGAGAGAACTTGATGGGTCTGATTGCACTGGTGGCAAAGTCAGGCATGAATCCTTTGGTCGTATTCCCAAACTTTATGGCTGTCGTCATCATCTTCGGCTTCTTTTTCATGTACTTTGAGGACTTCACCAAAGAGGTCTTTTTGGTCAACAAGCACCATCAAGTCTGGGTCTACTTGCATTTCCCTCTGCATTTGTGTCAAGTCGCCTTTGGTATTGCTTTAATCGATGTGTAAGTTTACCTTCCCATTAATCATGTTGCTTATAAGTTGAGACGGGTGAAGCTGAACCCTAGGTGATTTATTTCATAGATTGAAGGTATATCGAGGACAAATGATTGCTGCCGGTGTTATTACCGAGGAAGAGGACCCAACTGAAAGTGAAAGTCATGGTACAGAAGCATCAGGCACTGAAAGCCATGGAGCTACTGAAAGTAGTGGCACTAGCAGTGGGGACCATGCCACAGAGAGCAGCGGCAGTACTAGTGACAGTACAGAAGCAGCAGCCCATCGACGCGCAAGACGTGCCATCGAATCCGTATACCCATCATTATCAAACAACAATAACGACAGCGATGACACAACAACTCCTTCATTCGATCCATTGGACAGCGAGCCTGCCAAGCTGAAACTCGACACCATCTCATCTTCATCTTCATCATCATTATCCTCATCCAATAACAAACAACACCATATTGGTGGCTATTTGACACTCTTCCAATATGCCATCAGTGCTACTGCATTAACAGCCTTACAAGCTCTCGATATTGCCAGCAGTCCATTATTATCATCATCATCCACAACAGAAGAGCCCACCAACATTAGCAGCACCACCACTAATTACCATCATTTCGCTAAACGAGCAGGAGGGGCTTTGGATGTCAGCTTTACGGATGAGGAGAAGGTGTTTATATATAAGGTGTTTTTGATCTGTGGTGGCTTGATCCTTACCATCAACTCGTTGATCAAGATGTTAAACACAAAATTAGCTGGTAAGCATAATATGGAGGCTTTTCTTTATACATGTAGATGCTTTGGACAGAGGAAGCACCGGTTTGATACGTTAATACTAACACAATGCCTTTCATTTAACTAGACAAATTCGGTAAAATTATCATTGCATCTCGTATCATCAACGCCATCGTTTTATGGAGCATGTGTGCATTACCGTTTTCCCAATTGGATGCTATTGTACTCTTGTCTGTTATGATGGGATCACTTATTCTACAAGGTAAATGTTGGCTCAATTTTTTTTCCAGGAAAAAAGATGCGATAGTGTCTAACTTATTTTTTTTTGCGATCAGCTATTGTGGACTTATTAGATTAAAATTTCAAGTTGTAAAGTTTATTTTTTTTTCTTACCCCCTCTATTTGAAAATGATATAAAAACATATACAGGGCTGTTTGCTTTCCTCACTGTTACCGTACTCTATGGGTGGTATAGCATATGACGCGGTATTAATTGTCTTATTAGTTCAACGTTTAAGAGACGGACTCCATGTGTGCCTTCAGTAAACTCGCTGCCATGCATGGGTTTGATGGGAAAAGAAATGATTTATTTCGAAGCTTCCGTCGTCAACGCCTCAATCAAAAGCGAACTAGGCAGTGCATTTTATACTACTTAACAGCTAACAGATCGTGCTACTCACGGCGACCTACTATGTAGTAGGTCATCATTTATGTACGTGGTCGTAGTTTTCTTTGTTGTCGCACATTATACCACAACTAATCGTATATTTACTCCTTTTAACATCTTGCATATACTGTGTCATGTCTATCAAATTCTTGATAAGACCAGGTCGACGAACAGTACCATTTAAATGTCTGCTGCCTTACTGTAGCCACAGTCTACCGTGCGAACTCAGTGCAATCCATATCTGTTCCGACGCTCATTCATCTATTTCAAAAATCCACCGTTATCGTTTCTTTAATGAAACAAAGAAGCGCGCTTGATCCGATGCGATAGTTATTAAAGCGAGTGCACTATATAGTAGATATATAGACTGGGAAAAAGATGCATAGACATGTCTAATTCATTTTTGCTTCAAACATACTTTTATCTTTGAAAGAGCGGCACACTCTTAACGGGAGTCCCTATGGCTTCTATACCTGCTATTACATTCAGTTCCTCCATCATTTATTTACTTACGAAAAAGCAAGGTTACATTAGTATTATCAAATGGCTCTGGCAGCAAAGCAAAAAAAAAAGGAAGAAACGTTTTGGTGGCAACGTTCGCTTTTATTAAATGTTGCACTCCAGATTTTCACGTAGCAACAAGCCGCACAAATAGGTTGAGAACCAGTAGCGTGTCGTATCATAGCAATAAACAGCGCTGTTTCCATAGCGATTGTCGCCATAGTTATCTGCCTTTGCTCGGTTACTAAACAGCAGCATAGAAAGAATCACGCTTTTTTTTTTTAAGACCATGTCACGATGAGAGGTGAAAAGGTGCTGTAGGCACACCTCACGCGAAAATTGTGTCGGCGCTTCAATCTGCTGCGCACGGCGACTGATAAGAAAGTGTTGCCTGCCCAACCCACTGGTCTTCTTCTTTACCAGCTTCTTTTTACTACATTCTGTCGCAATGATCACCGTATCTGACGCCCTCTTCGCCAAGCTCGTTCTGCTTTGTATCTTGCTGTGTATCTTTGGGGAACCAGTGGCCGCTATCTACCGATATGCCCTGTCCCGTCCTGTCATCGCTGTTTCCGTTGCCCTTGTGGCCTTTGTCGTCCGTGCCGAGTGTTGCACTCATGTGCGCACATGGATTCTTGATGCCCCGTTCAAGTTGTTGTTGTTCCTCTCTTGGCCATTTCCGCCATTAGACTTCCCGCCGCTGCCTCCGCCTCCGCCGCCGTTGTTCACGCAACGTGCCACCACAACTTCAACTACTGCCACTGAACCTGTGCATGCGATCCGTCGGCCAAGTGTAAAGTATGGTGGACAGCCTCGTTCTTCTAATCCGGTATGTATTTATCATTGCTGGGATATTGACTGGGAGATTGACTCTGATGTTAATCGTGGTGTTCTGACAACCGAGTACGTGCCCGCGCGACGTGCTGAGCACCTGGGTGCAATGAGGAATCCTGAGCCCCACGCGTTGCTCCCGACTGCTGCTGCGGCTTCCGCTCATGTCTCTCAGCCGCACCAATCAATAACAACAGTCGATAATGCAATTACTGTGAAAGATGAGCACATGGTTATGGTAATGATGGAGCAGTCTGCGGCCCCTCTGCTTTTGCATGGCTCCCGTGTTCCTGAACCTGTCGACGTGGATCAGTCTGTGACCCCTCTGCTTTTGCATGGCTCCTGTAATTCTGACTCTACTGAAGTGAGGATAGATCAGCCTGTGGCCCCTCTGCTTATGCATGGCTCCCGTGTTCTTGAACTTGTCGACAACCACGCGATGCCTTCGTTGTCTGTTCCAGATGCGCATACGGCCGCTTCGGCGTGCTCGTCCCTGCCATCTTCTGAGCAAACCGCTGCTTCGGCATGCGTGTCCCTGCAAACTCCAGAGCATACGGCTGCTTCGGCATGCGCGTCCCTGCTAGAGCAAACGACCGCTTCGGCGTGTTCGTCCCTGCAAGAGCATACTACCGCTTCGGCGCGTCAGTCCCTGCTAGAGCACACTACCGCTTCGGCGCGTCAGTCCCTGCCAGAACACACAGACGACACGCTCTCTGATCGAAATGTGCAGATGGAGGATCCATCGTATGACTTTGTGTCGTATGATGTTGGAGCCTTCAATTTAATGCCTTCTTCGGCTTTGTTGGCGGACGCTTCTGATGTGCGGCATGAAGGTGATACTTCTGTCGAAAATCCATACTTTTTCGAGCATACGACCGCTTCGGCGTGTTCGTCCCTGCAATATGAGCATACGACCACTTTTGTGCGTTCGTCCCTGCCATCACGACAAGAACGATCGTGGCATACCGCCTTGGGCGTGTCCCTGCCTGATCATGGTGAGGAATATCGCGCAGCCGAGGACTCTCCCGAGGACTCTCCTGCCGATTTGCAGCCGATGGAAGTTGAGGGTGAATCCCCAACTCGGTCTGACCTCCAACGCTATATAGCGATGACCGATGATGAGCTTTTAGCTCTCATCAACCCCTCCACCGACGCCGTAACCACCACCGCCACCCCAGAACCCGCCGCCTCTTCTCTCCCGCTCCTCACGTCAGAGGATCTTGATGCCATCCGTGCTCAAGTTGCCGCCGAGGCCGAGGAAAATGACAGTGGTTGTTCCGTCTCTTCTCTCCCTTCTCTCCGTTCGGAAGATCTTGCTTTCCGTGCTCAGCTTGACGCTCACGCAGAAGATCTTGCTGCTCTCCGTGCTCAGCTCGACGCTGACGCAGAAGATCTTGCTGCTCTCCGTGCTCAGCTCGACGCTGATGCAGAAGATCTTGCTGCTCTCAATGCTCAGCTCGACGCTGAGGCAGAAGATCTTGATGGCTGGTTCGACGATTTGATCGGTAAGTTTTTTACTTGGTGATGACACGAAATAAAGGGTTGTTTTCTAATGATTTTTTTTCTGTTTCCTTTAGTTGACCAGTAGGTGTTGTCCTGCGCGCTGCTGTGTGCAGCTTGGTGCGATGTGGGTGTGGCAGTTTCTTTTTTTTTCGTTTCGGTGCTTCGTGGTTCTGTCGAGTTTCTTTCCTCCTCCTCCTGATCCTCCTCTTCTTCCGTCCTGGTGTTCCTGTTGTTCGTTGCTGCTGTTGCGTTCTGTGCGTGCTTTTCTTCTTTTTTGGCGTTTTCCAGTGCGTCAACTGACGCGATGGTGTGGAAAGCGTTTAGGGTATGTATCTTTAGTGCGGCAATTAACAACCAAACCTATTATCAACATCTAATCATTTTCCTTTATATCTCCCGTATTTAGGCTGTATTTTCTTTCGTTTCGGTGCTTCGTGGTTGTGTCGGTTTTCTTCTCCTCCTCCTCCTGATCCTCCTCTTCTTCCGTTCTGGTGTTCCTGTTGTGCGTTGCTGCTGTCGCGTTCTGTGCGTGCTTTTCTTCTTTTTGGCGTTTTCCGGTGCGTCAACTGACGCGATGGTGTGGAAAGCGTTTACGGTATGTATCTTTAGTGCGGCAATTAACAACCAAAATTATTATCAACATCTAATCATATTACTTTTTTCCCCATATCTAGGCTGTTTTTTCTTTCGTGCTCGTTTGTGGCTGGTCGTCTTGTCTGTGGCCGGCTTTGGAGATTAGTTCGGGAAGGACATGAAGGTAAATATAAATGGATGTAATATCATTAGCTCGAATCTCGCATGCGTGCCTCTTATTAATCAAATATAAAAAGATAGGTCATGGGCTGCTGCGGCCTTTGTGTGCGTGCTGCCGCCTGCTGCACTGTGTGTGTGGCGACCGTCTGGCGGGGCGGTTTTAGAAGGCACCCCAGTGGATGGCCCACTAGCAGAGGTAAATGACCGCGGCATTGGTATATGACACTGGGCTACAGCCACCGGGGGTGGAAAGGGTATGAGGGGCACATGGGGATAGCGAGGATGGCACAGCTAGTGTAGTGGGGAGGGGAACAGCGCTCTGGTCTAGATAGGCAGCAGAAACATCATCGAAGCACATCCACAGCGGTTCTTGACAACAAATGGCAATCAAGGCTTGCAAGCTTTCGTGGTTATTACGGTATGTACCATTTGACAAATTCTTGTGGCATATTTATTTATTAAGGAAGCTCTTGCATCTAAGAAAAGATTCCACTAACTAAATCCTTCTATTGCCTTTCCTCTTCTTCGTATCGCATCTGCACCTTTTTCTAAAGGTCGGATGTGATATGGAGAAGACGGATAGGAGCTAGTTTCGCTGGTTTTATCCCTCTTCCTCAAGGATTGTCATTTAGTCTGTTCCAGCTGATGTGCGATGATGTTCCTGCGTAAGCCCTTGTGACTAGAGCAACGTTCCCTCAATCCCTGCTACCGAATGCTCTGCCTAGTTATCCTCGTCCTTCTTACCCTGGAAGCCCCCACCGGCACCAGTAGCTCGGTGTCATTGCCATCTAAGTCCAACCCCGTCCTTGCACTTTTGCTTTTTGGATACCTGAAGCTGGGGTTGTCCTTCTTTTGGCGGGTGGTGCCAGTGATGGTTACTGCCCGCCTTTGGCGGCTTGGAAAAATTTTCCTGTGGCAAGGGAACTTTTTCCGCACGGGAAAGTGGAGAATCCCGTCTTTGGCTTGATGCTGGTTTCTTGGAGGCGAAACCTGGGTGTTCAAGGGAATCTTTTTCACTTGGAGGAGTGGAGAATCCCGTCTTTGGCTTGATCCTGGTTTCTTGGAGGCGAAACCTGGGTGTTCAAGGGAATCTTTTTCACTTGGAGGAGTGGAGAATCCCGTCTTTGGTTTGATACTGGTTCCTTGGCGGCAAAATCCGGTGCTCTTGTTGCGCCTGATATCCAAACGGTCCGAACCTATCTCTCTCGAGTGACTCTCAAAGAAGCCAAGGGCGTATTTATCGTGTTGATCTTCGTGTGAATCGCTGCTGCTGCTGCTGCCATGTTAAACCGGGCGAAACAACATTGTGCCATCCCGACAAAAAAGTACCATGCTACGACAATCCACAAGAAGGTAGCACCATCCAGGTTTTTGGCATACCGTCGGCTATACTCAGGACGTGAATTTCTTCGGACAAACAAGACAATTTCAGCAAGCGGCGTCGATCCAACATCCGCTTTGGTCCCTACCTATCGATCCAAGTCAAACCGACCTTTTGAATCCTGGACCAAACTGGCATGATCAACGATGCTTTGAGCAAAAGACAGCGACGCCTACCAAGCACAAGACTTTCTTGCGGGGGCTATCGATACATCAATCCCACGATCACGATTGGCAATAGTGCGACAACTATCAAGCTGATTGCCATATATCTCACAAGTCATCAGACAACCAAGTTCAACCTCAGGCGGCAAATGGTAGTCAAGGAGAAGCTGGATAACAAATCTTTTTGAAGATCGGACAAGTCTTGAACCAACGTGGACGACCATGTTTCAGTCTCTTTCTATCACTCAAGTCAACGGACATGGTCAATTTCACCATCCATCTTCAAGCGCGAAAGCAGAAGGACTCGGCCATGGAGGAGGCACATAGGGTTTGGCGGCCCTTATGTGAGGCTGCAGTTACCAGGAGCAAGCAAGCGAGCAAGTTTGAATGCGACAAACAATGGATTGACCCAAAGTGTACCAAGTTGGTCAACAATAAGCGACGGAACACCCTTTTTCAACATTGGATACAGCAAGAACCCATCTGACTGACTACACCATGTCAAGGCCCATCCACAAGCAACAAGCGATGAAGAAACAAGAAAATTGAGGAGCACACACGGTACGACCATCCTGGTGAGCCACCATCAATAATCAACACCGCAACAAAATGCATGGAAACGTTTATCTACGTGACTACCTACCACCTACGACTCGATGGCGGCGGCAAGAAGTGGCAGTAACCACCAAGCGCTGGAGCAGCAGCACGCACAACCATACAAGCAATTAGCCCGATTCCGAAGATACCAGCTGTCAACACACGGAAAAATTTAAACACATGTCATTTGGGTCTTCTAGTGGCTGGTGGCAACAAATGACAAGCCTACAGATATAGCGTTGGACACGCAGCACACACAACAAGCCAGGGGGATCGCTCGTATCAAACCAACTTATTTTGTGCTGAGACGATCCACAAACTCAACAGTCATTGGGTTTTTTGGCGGCAACCCATCGAGGACAAACACCAACATTGCTAAGCAAGCAGCATATCCAATAATTGCGGTCATCATCGAATCCAGCAACACGGACAATCGATCCAGCTATCCTTAATAATTAAGACAAGCGGTACACGCGATGGTCACGGTTTTCAGCAGTTCCCAAGCCAAGCAGCAGCAGCAGCAGCATCAGCGCCGAGGCTATCGCTATCAAGACCCACAAAAACCATACAATGTCAACACGGTGACAAGAAGCTGTCATGCTCTTATTAATGATCGAGGCTCAATGATCGAGGCATATGCGTGCTCAAGAGCTACTGCTCGATCATGCACAGCTGTCGAACTGGATGTTATCAAACGATTCATTCTGGATCCCAAACCGACAAGACTAATGGCCGCCGTGTGCGTTGGACGTGTGAAACCGCTATTATACGCGATCAAAAATGTTTGAATTCTGCAGATAATGTGGTAGGTTAAGATTAAGGAAGCGCTGTTACTATGTGACGAGTATACTAACTATAACACACTTTAACAAAATAGACAGAACCTTTGCCTTCGAAAATATCATCCATTTGGTCTTTCTGTCACAAGAACCTACAATCCATATTTTCCCAATTTCTATTTCTTTCTTTCTTTCGTTGTTTTATCACACATGTTCTATTTTTCAGCTCCAAGTCGTCCCCTCATTGAGTGGTAAGTGTAACAAATGATTGGAAAAACTAATAGTGTATGTTTTTAGTAGTTTAGAAAAAAATACCCGTTTGTAAATCAACACAACACCTCGACGGCACACGCGGGATGCATCGGCACGAAAGCTTCTTTTCATTTTTCAAAATACTCTCACGACGAATCTATCTCCTGACGAACACACTGTCAAGACCTTACAAGATCATCCAAGATATCCAAACTAAATCATAACCTGCTGTCGGCTTAGCTTATCAAAGCTAACAGCGCAGAAGAGCTCACCAAAAAAGCATATATGCCAGGTAATGATAAGAAGATCATGCTTTGCTACTGTGCATGCAGCAGGCCTTTATCGAATCAAATATGTCTAACGTTGTTTACCTGTATCTACACATAGAGTCGTTGGTTCCTGTTGCCACAGAGGCGCAAAGAATCGTAAAGTCATAAAAACGAGCTCGCAATAAGCAAAAACAAAATGGGTCATCCGTCAGGCATGTAAAAATAGAGCTTTACATACGAGTGACACTAACACTAATATTATGTTTACTTTTTCACACTGACAGGAGCTCTACGCGAAGATATATTACCTGCACACTCAAAAAAACAAAACAAAGCTAGCTGGTCATTGGTATCTCCTTGCATCGGCGATGACGAAGGTTATCAAGCTATTATTGAATCATTCACAGTGCAGCTTCCGTACACAAAATCAACTACCATCCAACATGCCTACGACCGTCATCCTTTGATACAACCGTGTGTGCCGTCCGTTACCATACCACTTCCTCATATATCATGAAGAGAAAAAAATACAGAAAAAAAAGAGAAAAGAAAAAAAAAGAAGAGAATCATATAATGAAAAAAAAATACAAAAAAAAAAGAGAAGTTAAAATTATACTAATCCATTCTGTTTGTAGCACAAATCACCGGTGAGGGCAATGACATTGGACTTTTTTATATTTGATACTACATATACAGTGTAAAGTCGATTACATAGCATATGCTTCTCCATTTTCCTCAGAAATATAATAAATATTTGGTACATGTATATACTCGATGCTTTTTAGTCAATGAAAAGAAAGGGTGGCTAATTGGATATACTATGTTGCAAGTCGAAAGTGGTAATCGTGGTAGGACACATGGGTATGCTGCTCAAAGTATCTTGCTCGTTGCTTGTGCCAAGTGCGAAGATCAGAGAATTTATGTTCGCACAATGACCAATAAGGAACTATACTAATGCAAGCTTGACGCTTTCTGATTCAATCTATCGCTGAATATGCTTGCAGTCAGTATGCACCTAATGCGAATTTGCGCCAACCTATAATCGCTCATAACACTGGCAGGGCAGACTCTACATTTGCTAAAATACAAATGTTTACTGGTTCTCTTTATTATTTGGAGCTCTTTTTTTACTTTTTATTTGTCGCGGGACGTCTCTATGATAGAAGCGGGATTGGCTGGGGAGTGGGGACGTGACAAAAATATATTTACAATCTTGAGGAAAGGAGAGGGGCGTTGGTAATAGATGATCATTAATCATTTTCAGCCCGCAAACGCATCTCCTTGCGCAATTCATCGGTCAATGGGATATCCTTTTCACAACGTTCACATTTACATTGGAACATGTACGTCTTGTCGAGATAATTGACACGGGTCTCCTTGTTCCAACGTGGATTGACATAGGTTTCACAAAGCTGATCGCCTTTCTTGATATCGCGAAGTGCACGCACCATGATTCTGTACTGCGCCATGTTGTTTTGATATTCGATTGCAACGTTGGGAATACAGCTGTGGTTCATGTGCGATTGCACAAGGTACATGCCACCGCTTTGATTGTTAATGTTGAATTTGCCGAGGTAGTTTAAAAATGTATCTTCATCGTCAAACAGTTGGGATGCTAGTGCTTCTGGCAAAGGCTTTTCGATCTTGCACTTTTTGGGTGGTGGATGGTATGCTTTCTTCAATAGTGCGCGTGCTTTGGCCCATAATTCCCGAGTGGGTGATTCCTATTAGACGAGTCATTTATTCAGCATGGAACTACCTCATCCATACACATGTCCCATATATATGTATATGCACATATGTAAAGAATGTTATCCAATTTCCCCTATAACTTACCATGAAAATCCATTCCGTTTCCTTTGCCTGTCGTTCAGCTTGGTTGACAGTAGCAAATGCATCGTAATGCATCAGCACCGTATCAAGTTCACCCCGCTGATGAGCCAGCAACAAGTGGGCGTACATGCGTGATGCGGCCATAGGGGCAGACCAGTTTTCAGCCTCACAAAAGTTCATGAAATCCTTCATTGCAGGGTTCATGCGCGTGCACTCAAGACGATGGAAAGTGTCCCACGCCAAGCTCTTGCAAGCACGAGTACAGTATGTCATGTCACAATGTGGACAACGGACGGCCAGTCGGCTCAAATGCCTAAATGGCTTAGCGCACATGCCACATGCATTACCGTCGCGTGCCAGCGAGAATCCTTCCCAAGGTGGGAAATACATGAACGGTGCTTCTTCGAAAACAGTTTCGTTTGCTTTGATATCACGAGCCGCGAAAAGACCTTTACCAGTGACTGGATCGATCATTTTGGCCTACATGGTTTCGTTGTTATTTTTTTTTAGTATACACGCAGTGGGAAATGGTCAAGAACAACGAACGAAACAAAAAAAGGTACATTACCACCACGTTGGTCGACACAGCCTTCAAGTCCAGCTTGGGATCGATAAAGGAAACTGGAATGGACGGATCGTCGGAGACACCACTTTTGACAGGTTGTGCAGAGTTCGTCAAACCTTGAGTTTGCATGAGCTTTTTGACACGCTTTTCCGAGACGCTCCACGAGGGTTGATCCTCGGTCAGTTGAACTGTCACCTTCTTGATGCCATAGTCTGGATTGCCGATTTTGATTTTTTGAATGGCATCAACCAATTCTTCTTGTGGTGGAATAATTTTCTCGTCGGACATGGTTTTTTTTTCTTTATTTTCGATCGCGAATCGACGTCTACGTCTCTCTCTCTCTTTCTCTCTCTGGGGTGTATCCGTGGCAAGAAAAAAAAGTTCGCTGCAAAAATAAAAAATCACGGGTTTGGAGAAGCGCGGGTCATCGTGGCTTGAGGCACGTGTGGTGCTTCGTCGAATCACATTTGTCAGTTTGAAAATACTCCGTCGCGATTCAGGTAAAAAATCAGATTCCGAAATGCTTGTGTAATCGATTTCAGGAGATCTTGGGAGGTAGTAGTGTTAGCAGCATTGCAATGAAACGGCACAAAGATAGCGCTTAGATTATATAATTTGACGACAGTTGGCTATATCAATAACATCGGCAAACATCCATAGCTAGAGAAGATAGCGGCAGAAGGTTCGTCTACATAAGTACAAAGGTATCTTACATATCCATTTGGAGCGAACATCCCGACAAGGTTGATTATTACTTGATGGTTGTACAAAACAGGGTAATCGTTGACAATTTTCTCACTGCATCTATCATTAATGATCGGCAAAAACGCGCTCTTGTTATGTGCTAAAGAAGTCGCGTTATCTAATAATTAACCAACTAAGAAACAGCCCTACAACTTTTTGGAGTAAATGACTTGATGGGATAGCTATATAATGAGTAAACAGGTTACGATCACGTTCCTGTAGCTGGTCGTGCATAATTCTTTGGCAGCAAGCAGAAACTCAGCACATCTATCAATTGTTATAAACAGGTATGATAGCATGTTGGTCTATAATTATTTGATCCAGAAATGTTTCGACCAGACATGGCCGAAGGCATCCTTCTATATAGCATGCACGCGAAGACCTATGTAGTCGCTTGAGAGCACAGTCTGTATACTTGGTCTGTATGTAGGCTGAAGAAGGTGAGCTGCACAGACGTTATGTAAAAAGATGACACGGTTAAGCCGCGGATGGTAGCGACATGCCAGTATAGAGCGGAGCGGCAAAAGCACAAGAAATGATAATCATGGAAAATAAAGGCGCATTGACTGCGAGAAAGCAATGTGATTGGTCAAATAAAGGCATGCCGAAGAGAGAAAAAAAATTCATAGTCCTCAGCGTTTTGCTTCTTTCCCTTTTTTTTTTTTCTTCTTCCTCTTTTTATCTTTTTCTTTCTGGCCTTGCACCCCGTCAAAATGTCTGACAGCAACAACGTCCTCGAATCGACAACCGGCAAAAGAATTGCGCTGCCCGTACGTGTAGAGCCCAAGGTGTTCTTTGCCAACGAACGTACCTTTCTATCATGGCTCAACTTCACCGTGGTCCTGGGCGGCCTCGCCATGGGCCTGCTGAACTTTGGCGACCGTATCGGACGCATGTCGGCCGTTTTATTCACAGTCATAGCGATGGGTGTCATGATGTATGCGCTCTATACGTTCCATTGGCGGGCTACCAAGATCCGCAACCGAGAAGCTGCGCCCTACGATGATCGAGTTGGTCCTACCGTTCTTTGCATTTTCTTGCTTGCTGCCATTCTTGTCAACTTTTATCGTGAGTAGCCTTTCTTTCTGACTGTCTCTCTGTCTGTCTGTGTGATCTGCAAAGACAAACAGGTGCTGGACGCTCTATGCTAACATTCGCCATCTCTATAGTTCGCATTGGAAACTGATTAACTGTTGTCTCGCTACTGTACTATTGTATACCCCTCCCGCTAACTCCTCTCTGTAATCGCTTATCTTCTGGCTTCATCAACAAACCCACTCGCACGGCATATACACGCATCCACGACACACACACACACACACACGACACAATTTCCGTTTGCTTTTCTGGATTGATTTCATGGAAATAAAAATGTTTCAGAGCAAGTTTTTGAAACGCCGAGCTTCTTTTTATATTTGTTATTGTTGTTGATATTTTTTAATGGCTTCAAACTCGTCCATTGCTCTCAAACAAGTATGCCGTGGTATTCGGCTTTGGGGTATCTCTGCACGAGTTCTGGCCACTGGACAATGAATCGATCGACAAAGAGGTACAGCAGTCTGCCTGTCAGCGATAGCCTTGTCACTCGAGCAAATGATTCGACGTAAACGATCTGGACGCGTCGGAGACCGAGAATCTGACACATACACGTTCCTTTCAGTCTCCCAATGATCATTAGGCGATGCAACACAATAAAGGGAGTAATGGTATGAAGACGTTACCCTGACAAGATACGCCGCCATACATATTGGAATGCAGCTTCCTGGGCCGTTACACAGAATCTTAACACAAAACACAATAACTTAGTTTAGCTGCTGCTGCTGTTTTGGTTGAGACCACGGTACATACCAGATCAGGCATGGTCTGTAAAAACAGTCCAATGGATACCATGAGAGCACACGCCATACTGATAGGTACTTTAGTCCAGCTTTGGCCAACCTCACGTGCGCGTGGCAGTCGATACACAGCACCCTACATTGTATTTTTTTTTTTTGATCATGTTTGGATTTAGAAACAGAAAGGTAGTGTGGGGGGGGGGGGTTGAGAGTGAGGGGAATGCCCGTACTTTAGCATCTTGTGCTTTTGCTTTGGATTCACTTAAAGTATCGGACTCAGCAACCAGATAAAAGCGTGGTGTGTAAAGCTCTTGATTCAACGTCGATACCAGTGCCATCATTTCTGCTGTGTGTCCACCTATCAAGTGCGTGTGTGTGTTAGCTGAGCAGGTTTTTTTTTTCAAGTCTCTCCAGTTCCCTCAAACCTGCCCGATCCAAGGAAAATGAGCGTTCTGCAACTTGATTCTCGTCGATTCAATGGTTTACTGGAATGACATCCGGGTGTAATTTGCCACAATCGCATTGCGATCAGGGCGACAGTAGTTGCTGCTGCCACGACGACTGCTGCCAGAAACATCGATAAAAGCGAGGGTATAGGATAGCAGGAATAAATGATAGTTACAGCGTGCTACATGCAAACGGGCTTTGAAACCTTTCATTTGGGTGTGTCATGTGTGTGCTGCCACGCTTTAATCCGTCGCGCGTTTTTGTCACTGCAGATGACGCAATTGGGCATCGACTGCATCACAGCTCTCCCTTGTCATTATATATATAAGGCCGCTTGTTCTTTTTTTTTTCTCTTCCAGCGCCCGTTTTCTTTTCCTTTCAAATAGTATTCAAAATAAGAAAAAAATATGGCTTCCGGTCGTGTATTCAAGCTGTAAGTTCATGGAGAATTATCTCCCCATCCCCCATCATCCTGTCACCACAGCAACTCATTCGGTCGTCGTTGTCACATATTAGTAACACAGGCGCCACTATCCCATGTGTCGGTTTGGGAACGTGGCAAAGCAAGCCCAACGAGGTCTACGAAGCTGTCTTGACAGCTATCAAGACTGGGTAACTTTCGTTTTTCATTCTTTACTTGGCCAACACACGTATGGCTTTCTTCTTTATCTGATTTGTATCGACCGCTTTACTCTACTTGTCCATAAAAATAGATACCGCCATATTGACACCGCTTTCGTCTGTGAGTACATATCCTTAATTTCCTTTTGAGGTTTTTAATTTTTTTTGTTTTCCCCAACCCAGTAAAGTAAAGCAGGAATGTTTACCCGCACTTGTTAACTAATCGCCACTTTGTGCCCAGATCAAAACGAAAAGGAAGTCGGTCAAGCCATCAAGGACAGTGGCGTTCCTCGCGAACAGCTCTTTGTCACTACCAAGCTGTGGAACACGTCGCATCGGCCTGATCTCGTCGCCAAGGCCTTGGAAACCTCGCTTGCTAACCTGCAGATGGATTACCTTGGTAAATATTTTTGAGTTCCCTTGCTGGTTCAATCTACAAATGTTTACAAGTAGTAATATGTAATGTATGCTGTTTTGACATGCTCTTCTATTCTTTCTTTAGACTTGTATCTGATGCACTGGTAAGTTTCGGCTTATGAAAGAAATTAAGAGCTGACAATCATAATTAATGTGTTGTTGCTACTTTGTTCGCTAGGCCTGTATCGTTCGCCGAGTCAAAGGATATAGTCCCCAAGGATGAAAGTGGTAACATCCTGTTCGATGATACTGACTTTACGGAGACCTACGCTGTGAGTATTTTCAGTAAAAACGCGAGATATTGCTGGTAATGGCAGAGCGCGTTCATACCAGTAGTAGCTGTGGCTCTTTAATTAATCAATGTTGTTGGGATTGTGTTCGAAGGTAATGGAAAAATTAGATGGCAAGAAGGTCCGCGCTATCGGCGTCAGTAACTTTAGTGTTCGTAACCTTAAAAAGTTGCTCAATACCGCAAAGGTCGTCCCTGCTGTGAATCAGGTAAATAGTAGCATGTTATGTTCAAACGTCCACGATTGCAGCGAGCAAGCAGAATAATAACTCACTTCATTTTACATTGTATTCAGGTCGAATTGCATCCTTTCTTGGCACAAAAGGCCTTGGTCGATTTCTGTGCTGAGCGGGGTATCCACAGTAAGTCGCATCTTGATTCATTAATGCAGTGCATACATGCATGCTTTTGGATTACTAATCATAGCGCGTCTCCCCAAATACCCTGTTTGAAAACTATAGTGACCGCTTATTCGCCACTTGGCAGCACCGATTCGCCTTTGATGAAGGATAGCACAGTGGTATGTTGACGTCACTTTAAACACAGTAATCCTTTTATGAGTTTGTCATCGTTACTGAATAATTAATCTGTTCCGTAATATGAAAATGTAGGCTGAAATCGCTAAAAAGTACGACGCCACTCCCGCCCGAATTTTGCTGTCATGGGGTGTTCAGCGAGGTACTTCAGTCATTCCCAAGTCTGTTACCGCTTCGCGTATCGTCGAGAACTTCAAGGATGTCGTGCTGGAACAGGCTGACTTTGATAAGCTGAACTCCTTGGTGACTGAATCCAAGCGTTTGATCATCCCTACTAGCTGGGATCGTGAGGAATTTATCTTTGGCGAAGATCAATAAGAAGCGTACTACGTCTTGGTCATCGCTTGACACTCTTCCTCTTAATTAGATAATAACTGATAGAATAAGCAGCTGTTTTTATATCACTACAAATTATATTCAGTGTATGTACTTTTGGTGGAAGAGCACGATATGTAAATCGTCTAATATCGAGTATCTTGACAGCTGGAGACTACTGTTTTCGCCGCAATGTTTGCTGCCAAATCAATCTACTGGAGGTGTCATTCTGGTATAAACCCTGAAGCTGCATCAGTTCATTGAGCATATGAGGAAAGTGCTGCTGATCGACTTTTTAAAGGGTGCATCCCGTTCTCAAAGCATACTGTGACAGATAATCTGAAAGCGTCCCGTGACATGGGACATCATCCATCCTGCTGCTAATCAGACAGAAAATTATATCCAACTTTATATACTGCGGCAATCGAAACTATAAAAAGAGCAGTGCAGCATTTTTTTGCTCTAGATAATACCTAGAAACCCAATCGCGACAATGTCCTCGCGCGCCTTGCGTAAATTGCAAAAGCAAAAGCTAGAAGAGCTTTCTGGCTCTGATAACGAAGACTCGCAAGACGAAACACCCGTTGCTCCACAAAGAAACTTGTTTGATCTGGTACTGACGAGCATTGCTACTGATTCAAAAAGTCTGGTCAAAGCGGATTGTTTACTGAGTAATCACTGTTACTTGTAGCTTAATGAAGGCGACGATGTGGGGGAAGACGACGAAGAAGATCATGATGACGAGAAGGTTGAACGCACAGACGAAGCTGCCAGTGAAGAAAAGACCACCCCGGTTGTAGAGGAGGAGGAAGAAGTGAAGCCCAAGGTAAAGCATATGGGAGAAAGTGAAATCCGGTTTATTTTCGCGTGAAAGCTCAATATGGAAGCATATCTTGTGGTTTGCGGTAACAGGCAGCAGCAACTTTCAAATCGAAAAAGAACAAAAAAAAGAAAGCAAAAGCCAAGGCTAAGGCAAAGCAGAAGGATGTCTCGGATATGAGCATGCAGGAGCTCGATGAAGCCCTGAAGGAGTTGAAGGGCGCAGGTGGTGAAAGCAGGTAATTGAACCCATCCTTTTCTAGAGCACTTCCATGAAAGAAACTCACCAACCTTTTATCTTTTCTAGTCAAACATCAACAAACGACACAGCATATGCGAACTCGGCCAACAACCAATTCATCCACGTCAACCAACGAAACCTTGATGCTGAAGCCGAGATGAAGCGTATGTTTGGATCCCGCATTGTCAACAGCGAAACTCGGGGCCGTGTCTTGAAGCGTTCCAAACTGGCCACACCCAAAGTCGATTGGCCACCGTATAAAAGAAACGGATTGGCCATGGAGCTATTGGAAAATAAGCATGGTGTGTCCTATTTTGCATTCAAGCATAACGAGGAGTATCAGGACGCTCAACTCGAGTTCTTGAACTCTGTGACAACCCACGATCCAAATGCCCTCATGTTCCTTGTCAGTCGCAATCCTTACCACGTCGATGGATTACTGCAAGTATCAGAAATGGCCAAGCAAAGCGGCGACTGGACAGTGGCGGGTGACTGCATTGAGCGTGCACTGTATGCTTGTGAGCGCGCATTCCATCCACACTTTACATTTGGCTCAGGAACGGTTCGGTTGGAATACCGCCGTGCAGAGAATCGCTCCTTCTTCTTGGCAATCTTCAAACATATTCAATTCCTCACACGTCGCGGCTGCTGGCGGACCGCCTTTGAGTTTTGCAAGCTCCTCCTCAGGTATGTCATTATTGCAAAATGTACCGTTTTCTTGTCCTTGGATGATCCTCAGCATGGTTCTAATAAAACAGTACTATTACAGCTTAGATCCAGAGAGTGATCCACTTGGAGCAATGCTTGCTATTGATTCGTACGCACTCACGGCAAAGGAATACTCGTATGTTGCGGATATGGCATCTACATGGAAAACGGACGGCAAATTGTATCCAGTCAATATTCAATCCCTTCCTAACATGGCCTATTCGTCTGCCTATGCCAAATTCAAGCTGGCACCCAAAGAGTCTGATACACTTTTGCAAGAGGCCATTAAAAAGTTCCCTTCCGTTGTTCCGCGGTTGATGGACAAACTCGGTGAATCAGGATTTGATGACCAACCATTCTTACAAACGTGAGTTACTTGGATATATCAGGCCACCTTGCCAGATAAGAACTGAACTGAACATATCTTTACTTGATCAGATCACCCAACGTGTACCTCGATCTCTTACAACAATTATTTGTCGAACGCACATACGAATTATTCAAAGAACCAGAAGTTTTATCGTGGCTCAAAGAAAATGCTCGTGCTGTCGCGAATAAACTGCAGAACGCATACAAGCGCGTGGATTGTGCCCAAAACGAAGAAATACCGCTCACTATCTCACGCCACATCGTACTCACTGATATCCAACAGCTGCTCAGCTATCTGCCATCCTCTGTCACAAGCGAGAGCTATCACATGTATGATCCTCTACCTCCGCCCGACTCGGTGGTTGGCTATGATTTGGATGACCGGATGAGACAGGCAGGATCTGCAGACCAAGGATTTCTAGACAACATTTTACGGAACCTTTTAGGTGGCCGGAGGTTGCCAGCAGATCGTATGCGTGAGATCCGCGGATTAGTACAACAAGCACGTGAGCAGCAGAACCAGCGAGGTGATCAGTTACCAGGAGCATTTCCACAAGACGATGACGATGATTTCCAGGGTGACGGGTTAGTATAAAAGCCCTGATTTTTGTGATTGTTTTGTTGGCAAATCTAAATAACCAGCGTTGGATAAAGACATCACGCTACAGATCAAGACGTTCAAGAGCTGTTGAATGCTGTGACGGAGGACGATATTGAAATACAGCAAGCTCTTGCAGCAGAATACGAACAACACGAAGAACATGACAATACACGACCACGACAATAAGAACCCCAAAAACCATCTAGATGACAATAGTAATGCAAGTATTATTGGGCAATAATAAAAGTTGGGATGGACAAGAGAAGGACACCATTCTAGCTATTTTCCCGAGTCCCATAATGGGGATCATGTAAACTAGCAGACGGACGCGGGGCTGGTGGGTTTGACGAAGAAGATGGTGATGATGATGAAGTACCACCACCGTTCCGAAGCGCTGAAGCCGCCGCTGGTACAGCACCATTGGTTGCCGTTCCACTTCCATGCGAGCGAATCATCTGTTGGTCGTTATCCGAATTGGTAGACTGATCGAGAGCGTTTGTCGAGCCGTTCGATGCGGAAGCCGGATCGCTTGTACTAGATTGTGCTGGATATGTGGATGACGATGACGGTGGCGGATTCTTTGATTCATCGTCTTGTGCCGCTTCCTCTGTATTTTCTGTATTTTCTGTTTTGAGCACCGTGGTATTGTAGCTGCCGCAGTGTGTGCACTTGTGGTAAAAGAAATGGTACTTTGAGGTGGACTTTTTTTCACAGTCGTTGCAGAAAATGTGTGAAACGTATTTTTCGTATTCTGGTGGCATCGGCTGTCGTACAAGTTCCCGATCGAGACGCGCAAAATATTCAGACATGTCGCCCAGCGATTTGAGACACGTCGGACATTGGTATGAAGTCTGTATGTAGGCTGAGTAGCACAGTTTGTGGATGCAGTGGCCGCATTGCTAGAGACATACTCATAACATTAATAACCCCACTCCACCCATTATACATAGTTTGAAGAAGAGAAGCTTACCATAAACACCACCGTTGTCGTACTTGTGAACATGTATTCACCGCAAATCGGACAATCACTTTCAAGATTGCGCTCTATGCAGCGGTGCTTGCCTTTCATGGCCATTACCATGCAGATATTGCACTTATGACAATGGAAATAATCGTCATCCAGTCCTCTACCCTGACGACATATGCCGCAATCATCACAATGGTAGATTGACTTTTTCGGATCGTCGTCCCACAGTTTGCATTTGTCACAATAGTACGCCGCCGCTTCGACATTACACTTGCTGCACATCTTTGCCGCTGGTTGCAAAGTCATACACATCATACACAGCATGTTTTTCGTCTCGTGTCGAATAATGTTGTGATCGCTAGCGTCATCGTGACAAAACCGACAAGGAAAAATCCGTTTACAGCAGTTGGCCTCCAGCTTCACTTTACGTTGATAATGTTTACATCCCATAACACCCTTCTCCTTGTCCTATAGTACATTTCACATTAGATCCACTATCTCCTTGCTCGCTTTTCCTTCTTGTGTGAGCGTACGCAAATCCTGTCATCAATTCGTATAAGCGCTTACAAAATATGAAACTGTATAAGGGTCGTCAAAGGTCTTGGCAGTCGAGGTGCCATCGTTCCTTGCTTCAGCACTTGCGACGTCAGGTAGATCCCCTGCGGCAGGTGGATTAGGTCGTTGCGATAAGCCTCTATGTGACATCAAGTACTACAGCAGAAAAAAGGACGGCATTGAGGTAAATCATTTGTATAATGAAAAAGAAAAACGTCAATGACAGGTTTGTTCGCTTACCTGAACTTTCCTTGCCTTCTCCTTCCGGTCGATCGTGGTGTCAATCTGAATCTGCATAATCGCTTTACGAAGTTCCGCCTCATTAAAGTCCTCCTTTGCCGGCTTTGGTTCAGGTCGAGCTTGGTCTTCGGCATCCCACCAATCCTCATCCTCACGATTGTTCATTGGAACATCCGGATCTGTGTCACTACCTGAATGTGCTGACATGGGGAGTTATGGTTTTCAAAAAGAAAAAAAGAAAAAAACAAGTGTCCCAAGCGGGGGGGGGGGGTTGGGATTGGGTGGGGGAGAAAAAAGGTGGAGGGAGGAGAAAAACTCAGTGCGAATCAAAAACTGGACTTTTTCCTTTTTTCGACTAAAATAAAGACAGGCGAAGGAAATCTCTGTCCCCGCATATTTTTTTTTTTGTGTTCATGCTGCCAAGTTGGATAACATAGACATGTTGACCTGGGAGAGGAATAAAAGAAAGGGGCTGGTAGTGTCATATAGTGCTTCACCTCATAGTATGCACTCTGTGGTGGCAACCAACCTTATTGAGTTGTAGCATGAAAAAGATGTTTCCCCTCCGACAAACGCAGTAGCACTTCCGTGGCAGATGTCATGCGAGCACAGCTTATATTGGGCTGGACGACAGTACACACTGTTGGACATTTTAAAGGTGCTTTGTCTAGCTTTCATCATCTATCAGTTTACAGCATTTGAAGATTCCTAATCAGTCTGTACGATTCATGGTTAGTTACTTTATCCACTGAATCGGTCATTTCTCAGTCTATTCAACGAAAGATGTGAGCAATTGTAAGGAGGCCCATTATCTATGTAATCTTTTTCCACTGAGTCAAGGAGCGCAGGTAAATTGTTTGATCCCACAAATATCAAGTGTGTAGTAGTGCCCAGTCGACATATCATCGATATAGAGACTCAAGAGGTTTCCAGGTAAATCTTCAAGTTGTCACTTGGCAGCAACGAGAATGGCTTATGATTGCATGATCGAGCCTTATTACTTCTTCGATGCTATTTTGCTAAAAGTGTTGGTAGAGTGATAAATCAGGGCTAGGTACAGTAGCAGTAGAGATAACAACATGTTTGAACCGGGCTTTTTATCAAAAAAAAAATGGTCAGAGCGTCTTTTACTGCTACGACAATTAGGCAATATTTGCATTCAATTATATAAACCTGCTATGGAAGGGCGAGTGTCTAGGTCAAGCTGCTGACTTACAGCTACCAATTGTCATGTTAATTTGTCTCTAGTCAAAGCAGTTGTGGTTGGCGGCTGAAGAGAAGAAAGTATGATCGTGGTATGTTTTAAATCAAAAGTTCTCTCAAACACACGCCATTCTTTGGCCAAGAGTAACAATGTTAAGGTGTGAGCTGGACTATCTTTTCTTATCTACTACTACTACGCTAATATATTCAGACAAGCCAAGGAAGGACATTGATATATAACCACATACTCTTATAATTATCATGGTTCTCAGCAAACAAAAAATGTGAGCGCTTCTTTATCTGCGTATGCGTCAAGTACAGTAACCGACGCTAAACGTTTAAACATAGCCGGTCATTTATGCCATCCATGTAACAATATGGGTGGGTGCTTAACAGTGTAAATATGATGAAGAGAGAAAAAGTGTAGTGAACTTAAAAGGAAAAGAAGACACTATGGAAAGTGCACGTACTCGAAATAATTCATTCTATCGCGAACATGGTGAAACTCATGTTATAAGAGGTAATACACGTCTACAATACAAACAGTACCGATGGAATATTCCCCACAGCTCAATTCGAAAGAGCCCGCCTCTTTGCCAGTTCAATCATAAGCTCTCAGAACAATGTTTAGAATGGTAGGTGCTCTTCTTCTCTAAATTATGCAGTAGTGCCTACTCTATGCTCCACATACACATTGGCTGTTTGCAAATTCAATTACGGCCACAAAAGCAACACTAGCATAGTTTACAGTCTTACAGCACATTATATATTTGGTCCGCGTAATGGGTCTCAAACTTCAAGCTACTTATTCCACCTCAAACCAAGTGTACGCTTCAAAATAGCATCGATTTGTAATTAACCCTGGATTGAGGCCGGTTGTGTTTTGTGAGCACAGCTTATTATCTTTTCACAGTGTCAGTCTAAATCAGAAAATCACTGTATAAGCGACCTTGAATACGATCGATTGCAAAAGCGCCAGAGTTGAATCACGCCTAATCTGGCACCCGAATAGTAATTCCATGTTGTGGGTGGCTCTTTGATGTACGCAGCATAAAAGACCTAGTATAAGCTACGTGAGGCTCATTTTATCACTATCTATGTATGTAATAGCAGGATAAACAACGCTGATGTCACCAATTTTGTACGTATAGCTTTTAATCTTATTCTCGTTTGGGACTGCAAACATTGTTGCGTTAACTGGCGTCAAAACTCATTCATTTTGTTTAAAGAGCTTGCAGCCGGTATCAAGGACAGAAAGTGCGAGTTGATCAAATGACGATCAGTGACGCAACCATGTACAAAGTGTGCTACGATATGCACATTTTCAGATAAGCAATGACCAAATGTGACATAGCAATCCACACAGCTCAGGCAAGCCTCGCAAAGCTAGGCCGTAGAGGCAGTATTATGGAACCGGCAAGAGTGAGAGGCTACAGGCTGTTGTTTTAGGCAAGGACACCGACTGGATGTATAAGCAAAAGTTTCGCAAGTAAACGAATGCGGTTCTTCGATACATGGACTACACACCTAGTAATCACAAAAAGTATGTGAAAGCTCGGTCTATATTATATGAATGAGGTATCAATGAATCGGCCAAAGCGTGAATGCGAGCACAAAAGCCGAACTCGCGTATACTGCCCCAAAGCTTTATAATACTCTACAGACAAAAACCACATGTCCCTGACTCTTATGTAGACATATATCATCCTACAGATTGTCCGTTGCGACAGTCAAGCATCATTTGCATGCATCGTTGAGGATTGCGCTGCTTGCCTTAAAGAAAGGACGCATTTATACATGTCCCTCTATGTTTAAGCTGGCATCAGGACGCCAAGGGGCACAACAGATAGGGTAAACGGACGGGATACTTTTGCAATACGCACTTTTCATAAACAGAATCCTTGCTTTCAGTTAATTTTTGTATGTGGTTCATTTTATGCAATGTGATGCGATAATTAGCGGGTTTGTGTTGCTTTGTTGTAGCTATATACAAAGGCTGTTATGTCATAATAATTTGTCTGTGAACTACGCTATATACACACGCTGTTTGCCTTGTTGGCTGAAGGACTGTAAACTGGCTGCTGGGTGGATCGTGTTCTCAACATTCACTGACGATGAATTGTCTACTCTGTCAGTCACTCCTATTCCCATCATTGACTGCTCACAGAAAAGCATTTCTTCCGTGAATGTACATGCTCATTCGCATTCGTGTCTTTGTTTTCGCTTGACACGGTGCCGTGCACGGCCCCGCTCACAAACAAGCGCCGATACCATCGGAGGGTACAGCTCCGCATGGTGAGAGACACGTACCACTACCGCCGAAGCACGCTTGTCTACTTGACCATCGGGTATACCATTCCTTTCATTTCCTTTGGTGCTGTATGTTTTGTTATGTCATAGTAGGCAACCCACAAGTTGACTCGCAATCCGTTATCCGGGCCAATGAGAATTCACGGGGATTTGAAGTCCCGAACGAGAAAAAATGTCTATATAAAGCGAGCAATTTCGCCTTTCTTTTCTTCTTCTCTTTAGTTCGTTTTGGTACAGCTTTGGTCTGTAGTACAGATGCACTGCTCTGTGCCATGATCGGGTCATATGCTTGTGCTGGCGATTGTCAAGAGGATTCTGAGGATTGGCTGGATTCAGTGGTCCGCTCGGAGGAAATCTTTTGCAATGTACCAGTGGGAATGTGGACACGTACCTTCGGGTATGTGGTGGGATAATTAAAACGAACTTTTTATTATTTATTAAACACAAATAAAAAAAATGATAAACAAAATAAAACAATCTTTTTCTTTTCGCACTCTTCTCATAAACGTTTTGCCGCTTTATTTTATTTTTTGCTTTGCCTTTTTTTTCATGTGCTTGACAAGTTCCTTATTTTTTTTGCCCACCCACAGCTCCGTGCTAAACAAAGCGGGGAACAATGACAGACGACGGTAACACGATCACAACGCGCTTTATCACACTTTGACACGCGTTTTCACTTTCTGTGTTCGCCTAAAGTGCTTGTTACCGCGGATATGGTGCGACCCTCCTTGTGAAAAGGGGTTGTTTTATAAGAGGCAACATCATTCGCATACGCCAACAGACATGTATAACTGCCAGATCTTTATACTGGAAAGTCTGCTTTCAGCTGCTCGTCTCTCTCTCTCTCTCTCTCTCTCTCTGTTTTCCTGCACGTAGCTTATCACAACAGGATTTTCTTGTCATTTTGGTTTTCATCTGATTCAGATGCAGAAAATTGCGCCTGTTTTTAAAGCATGATTCTTGGACCAAACGTCACTTCCAAGAGGCGAAAAAGAAGGCGATAAGACTTGCGCAATGACCGTGCAAATAGTTCTTATGCATGTTGACCGCGTTGTAAACTCTTTGGTCTGCTCGAATTTGTATCCTTTGCGTAGATCGATGATGACGTCTGTATTATAAATGTAGTTTAATGTTATTGAGTGGCTTTTATGTCAGTGTGCTAAGAAAACATTAAACGGAAACAAAGAATCGGCAGTGCTAAGGTCAAGAGTAAAGAGTAGATCTCGCTTGCATACTTCGATTCATGTATAGATACTGCTTAATGAATTTACTGAAGTTTGAAGGGCGCAAATGGACGCCTTCAATTCAACAAGCCATCTACGAAAGGAGCCATCTTGCTCGCCTTTTCCTCAAATGAACTTGCACCTGATGAATATGAGTGATTCCATTACTGCAGTGGTATTACTGTATCATTGCTGTCTGGCTTCTTCCTGTTGCTTTGCTTCTTGATTGAGCTATCATCGCTACCATCTGATAATATATAAATTCTAGCATATATAAGATCGACACGTCATTAACCATCATCAGGACAAATATGACACGTCTTAAGAAATCCCACTGGTAATACATAATGCTATACAATATGCAGACAGCGAGTGAACAATGATAACGTTACCTTGCAGTGCCTTGATGATAATTATCTTTGTAGTCTGTCAACTGTCATGCTAGTGTCTTTTTCTTATGGTGCGTATATCATATGTTTGTTTCACTATGCGGCTCCGCTTGCCGTGCTCCGCTCTGATTCAACAATTGTCGGCGACGGGTCTGTGCGCTTTAATGGAACAAAGAACCGGCGATATAAAAAGAGTATTTTTTTTTCATTTTACCGTTGGACAAACTGTGTGTTAGTCAAAGTTATCTTTACCCAGTTTGCTTACATAAATAAACTTTAGCCAATAGCTTGTGAAATCAAAAGTCAACCTATATCACTGGCACAACCCTGGAACGATTACTCCGCCTACCCTGAACAATTACTCTGCCCACCTTGGCACAACCCTGGAACAATTACTCTGCCCACCTTGGCACAACCCTGAAACAATTACTCCGCCTTGGATCAAAAAACATGGATTGCCGTTAGCGAAAGTAGTCCTTGCAGTTTTTTTCTTTTGCAATCAGCAACATATCACCGGTTATCTATGACACTCGATGTGCGTGCTACTATATTAATTTTGACGCGTGACAACAATCGATGCCAAGTATTTACTGTACTTGCACTTGATAGAATCTTTTTCTTTCCCCCCTTCGGTTTACTTTTTCGGATTCCGAGATAATGGCAGTTACAGAAAATGAATCTCAAAAGTACATGAATACTAAGACGGTGACTAAATTATAAAGAGCATCGGATCGCAAATACTGGGATGGCTGGGCGTCCAAATCAATGTTCATGACGCCCGAAGGAAACTTTACGACCAAAAACATATTTGTCAAACAAGGCAGCTCAACCTGTGTTATTGTCATGGTAAGTTCTACAAAAAAAAAATGGAGGGAAAGAGGGAAGAGGAAGTGGTGGTGGGGAGGGGGAAGTAGGTTTTAAAGAAAATCCTTCGTTCCGTTAACAGTTACAAAAAGCTTGGACCGATTCCTGCCAATTCCGCCATTCGACCCGAAGAACATCTTGCACCAGCAGATAGTCTTGTCATGACTGCCGTAGGACAGTGGACGCACTTATCCATCACGTTACAACAAACATTCACGCCAAACGAGCATTTTTATTCTGCACCTGTCCAATTTACGCATCAAGACAATTACCAACTGGATACTCGGATCGAGTACCGATCGTATTTCTGGGAAACGCCCACCAAACATTACGATCGCCCGTATCGATTCTTGTCATCCAACAAGTTGATTGTCAAGGCATCGTTACAGACAGTGCCACCGGAACTGCCGCCGTGCACGGCAGCGGAAATGGCTGGTGGTCACAGGCAAGGAGGAGTAGGAGATGGGGGAGGCGCGTGGATGGCCAAGGCGGAATATCAACGAACGTACCCGTTGGACTTTTATGGCATGTTTGGCGTTGCACAGGAAGATCATGCAGTGCTGGGATTTCATGATGTTGCACCCGATAGTGTCTCCTACTAAAATGTTCAGACGCGCGAGCATTTTCTGCGTCATCTAACAACGGCAACAATAATACAAGTTGGGTTTAAAGAAGAAAGTATTGTGTACATGTGTCGTTTATATATACTCTTCGTTGGTGACATCTCTTTGTATCAAGTGTATCGGCAAGAGAGATTTACATACATCATTTTGACACCCAAGTTCTAACTTTCTATGTGTATGTACTGTAGCCATAAGCTTGGTCTGTTTTCGGAAAAGAAGCCAAAGACTTTTTATCCGTCTCACATGATGTGGGTTTCTTTGAGAGCTGGTAGTATACACAGAATAATAGCAGAGAGGTGGAAGTGTGTGTGCAAAAGAAAGAAGAAGTTACCTCATAGTAATTGCTACGCACAAATCTAGAGAGTGACAGATTGTTCTGTGCAAGCACGGTAATACTATTGTTGTCTGGTATAGATTCAATGCTTGTGTCTCCATGTGTTGCTACAAGGCCCCGAAGATGTCCATCAGTCACCTATGTTTGGCCCGCGCTACTCCTGCCAAATCTCTTTTGAAAGATACTCATGCGCGGAAAAAAAAAGTACTATCTAGTACGAACAGAACGCTATTTATGCAGTATGTACAGTATCAGGGTGGCGAGGTGGAGTTACATACGATTCCGTTGCCAAAGCAAGTCAGTAAGCTTCTTATGGAAGGTATCAATGTAACTCTTATTCTTCGTGTGTGTGCCAAGTTTCTTTTTCTCGTAGGCGCCGATTCGGTAGCGAGCACGATTCGTGCCTTTTGAGCAGTTCGCTTTTTACCGTTGTCGACATTTGTGCGTACATGGCTCTTTGGGCTGCGACCTTTGTCGTCGCGAAGGAACTGCCGAGCAGTTGTATTTGGTGCGATTCTGAAAATGAAAAAGACGACTCTCCAGGTTCATATACATAAATAGTATGTTTCACATAAGCACCGAATCTTTGCCTTTGATTTTGTTTCTACATATAAACTAGCTTTGGGACAAAGTGCACTTCTCAAGACTATGTGCTCATGATAGTTGTCGGTCTTGATATCGAAATATGTGCTATAGTAAAAATACAAAGTGTAGCTGGCTCACTTGCACCTGGAAAGGTGGCTCGCAGGTCAAGACAGAGGCGGAACTGTGCTACTTGGTTTCCACGGTTGAAAACGCTTCTGAAAGCGTTCACTCGCAACAGAGATGGAACCGATCCCCTCCCTCCCCTTTTGGTCGTTTCGACATGTTCTTTAGGGGCGGTTGTTTATTGAAGCTCATACAACCGAGGAGATAAGTGTTTTCTGACGATTTGAATATCAGTCTGTAACCAATATGTACACTATGGACTCGAGCCGACACAAGCGAACGATTTACCATTTTTGAGGAGAAAGTAATATGGTGCAATCTGCCCTGCGAATAGACATCAATGAATGCTTTGCAGGTTCTTTCAACTAACGCAATAATGATTCCTTAATCTTTTATTGTTGTTGATGTTTGGTGAGTATAAATAGCTTGCGGCAGGATTTGGAAGACGAAGGGTTTCGGTCTTTAGGGCACTTCCCAGGCAAGTAATTTTTCTTAATGCCAATTGATGATTACAAAGTTCCCTTCCTAGTGTTGACCCAATTGATATTTCTTTGAAAAGATGCAAGTCAATTTGCGGGGCCAGCTACGAGGCTTTTGTGAATGATGTTCTGAGATGAAAGAACTCGGATATGAATCTTGGACCACTTGTAGTGTTCAGGTATGTTTTCTTTACGAAAAAGTGTCCCCTGCCGGATGGTTATACAACAACGTAAAACCGTATAATTAAAATCATTGTGCAGTCAATAAAATCGCGTTTTTTTGTATATCAGAAATCTGAAGATTAAATGTCAACTTGATATACTGTACCCCTAAGTTATATTACTAATTTGCATGTATAATCCAATGACCTCAGATTATGCATAATTGTTTATTCTCGAACACGGACAGTTCGTACCACAGTAAAGCTCAAAAAAACACACCCACGAGGTCATTAGTTGAAAGATATACACGCCATTTGCCTTTATATATGTTTATAACTGGAGAGAGCAAGTATATATGTAATTGTTTGAGCCTTAAAAAGAAATAAAGAAAGGAAAAAAAAAGTAGAACAGCCGTATATGCAATAGATATTGTAAGTAAAAGAGAAGAGAAGAAGAGATATATGATGGTATTAAGTTGTGTAAATGGAACAAAGGGGAACGTGAGAGAAGCTTAGTATCTAGCAAGCACATCCGCTAGCTTCGGATCCATCTGATGTATGAAGATCCACTTTTTGCACTATTACAAAGGTGAAAAGACAGGAGCATGTGTTAAAAGAAGAAGCCGCAGGCAGTGTGATACGAACTATAAGAGACTTACTCTGTTCTTTCCCGTTCTCGTTTGAGTCCATGCCAGGAAGTGCTTGTGCAATTCGTCGAAACAGCGTTTTCACCTAGTAAAGTGACAGAACAATCAGTGTCATTTCACCAGAAATTTACCTATGAAATATAAAACTTACATTGTGTCCGGCCTTCGCGCTAGTTTCAATAAACATGACATTATAGTCCTTGGCCTTCTTCTCACCTTCTTCCAACGTGACCTGTCTGTTTGTACCACACAAGATCAAAAAGTTCAAATGGTTGACCGATTGTTAGGGGGGGGGGGAACAAGAAGTTATAAAGTGTTGTTTTCCTCAATAATTGATACATACCTCTTGTCGTTCAGATCCGTCTTGTTTCCAACAAGTACAATAATCACCTCATTTCCACGTTCGGCACGCACATCGTCGATCCATTTTTCCGTGTTTAGAAATGAGTTTCGATCTAGAATAAGATCATCCACGCATAAATTATGTTAGCCCTCTCTTTCATCTGCCCTCCAAAAAGTACATGGTGCATGTATAGAAACATACTGCTGATATCAAAAACAACGACGGCTACAGAGGAGTCTCGAATATAACTCGGGATTAAACTGCGAAAACGTTCCTAGGTTTAGGTACAAAGCAGGGTTAATGCAAGGTCCTTCTTTTTTTTTTTTCCAACCGCTTATCCAAACACCAACATACACACACAACTCAAAAACAAGAGAGAAAACGCCTCCCCATCCGACCCCTTCTTCCATATGTAACCCGCATACATGAACCCCTTCTCTTTTCCTCGGGTCTTTAACCACCACCTCCTATCCATCACATAAACAAGGCTTACTTGTCCAGCAGTATCCCACAGTTGCAGTCGGACAGTTCGATCTTCTAAATACATGGTTTTGGATAAAAAGTCGATACCGATCGTTGCCTTTTTTTTTTTAATTTTCATATTGATTATATTAGCATACAAGTATTTCTTCATGTGTATACGCCAAAAACAGAAAGCGGATATATATACCTGATAGGTGTTGTCAAAAGTGTCGTACATGAAGCGTGTAATGAGCGACGTCTTCCCGACTAATTAAATATGGAAAGAGATCCAAGTTGTTTTTTTTTAATTCCCTTGATCTGTTCTGTCTCATTCTCTCCCTAGAAGATTAGACATACCGCTTTGTTCACCCAAAAACACTAGCTTGAATTTTCGGAGCGGATTACTAAATTCTGGACTTGCCATGACACACAAAACTAGGGAGGTTATAAGCTAGAGCGAGAAAAAAAAAAGAGGGTTTTGTTGTTGGTGTTGTTGAAAGAAGGGTAGAAAAAAAAAGGGGGTGTGTTTGTAGGATCGGTGACGGCGACTAGGGGAAAGAGAGAGAGAGAGAAAGCCAAGTTTCCAATAAGTGGTGGATAGCTAAGCAGCTGGTGGGTAGTTCACCTGCTGCAGGCCAAAAGAAAAACCTTAAAGCCCGCTTTTTTTAGTTGCCTGCAGAAAAAAGCTTGCTGAGTATGAAAAGCACTACAGTGGTCATGGTTGCACACCGGATACATCATCCGGAACAAGGCCAAGCAGTAAGTAAGTTAGCATAGTGTATGTAACATAATAGTGTGTAGAGTGAGTAAGAGAAGAGGTAACAAGTTATATTAGATGAGCTAGCTATAATGACGGAAAAAAGCAAAAGACAAAAAGAAAAGAGAGAAAGAAGTGTGTGATATAAGAGAGAGGTAGAACACGTCGAGAAAGATCATAGAACGAGCAACTGTAAGAACTTGCTTTTTTTTCTTCTTTGAGTTCTAATTAAGAGAGAGAGAGTGTGTGTGTTTCGGTGTGTTTCTGGTTTGTATGCACGCAAAAGAGAGACAGAGAAGAGGTTTAGAAAGACATTGTGTGGTTGCTTTGTGTTAAGCATCTGCTATTTGGGCCTGTGCCAATCGCGACTCCAAACTACGTAAGGCTTCTTCCTTGCTCAACAGCTCTTGTCTCTTTTCTTGGATTTCTCGCTGAACCTTCAGTTCAATGTCGCGGAGCTGGAGTTCAAGATCGATTTTTGGAGTTAGGAAAAAAAATGTGAACGCCCTATTCGTAGAGTGGGCCAAAGTACTACTACTGACCTTTTCTTCTTCCTTCCTCAGCTGTTCTTCCTTCAAGCGAACGCTTTGACTGGCCATGTCCTCGGCATTGAGAGCAGCATCCCTATAATATCAGAGAGTGAATAACTTTGCAATCGTTCTAGCAAAAGTCACAAAAGAAGACATACTCTGCTTCGCCACCACTGACAGTGCGGCTGAGCTTCTCGGTACGGTAGTTCTCGTAAAGAAAGTCGTGGGTGATCTCCTTGAGGTCCTGTAGGTGCGAGCTACAAGAACTTAAATAATTGATATCATTGCTTGGTAAATGTACACAACACTGATGGCTACGCCTAGCTTGGAGGCAATATCACTCACCTGAGCAGTGCAGACCGAAGTCTGGCAAAGTCAGAGTGTTGTGGATTGTCAACTATTTTCACCACAATTTATAATAAGGGAAGCAGTGTTCACATGACATAGAGTACCGCTTGTTAGCACTACGAGGAAGATGATGATGATGATGTAAGAGTCCTTTGTAAATGCTTACCTTCCACAGCACCCCATGGATACTGACGGCCACGCACGGTGCGACCACCCACGTGGATCTCTTCGTCACTGCCAATGATCGCAAACGGCAAGAGTGCTCGCAACTCACTGTTTTCTTCAATCGTGTCTTCGTCGTCTTCTTCCACGTCGTAAGGGAAATTGTATATGGGGATGTTGTAATGCTCGATATCCTCCATGATCTATTCAGCATTTGTAAGATATCACATAAGGATCATCCTTTTCAAGACAAACTGATAAAAACAACTGACTCTTCTCTTGAAATCCTTCAGTTCTTGTGGGGTCAGCGAATCTGCACGACCCACGACAGGAATGACGTTGACACGTGGGCTCAGGCGACGCATCAGCTCAATATCAATTTCGCGCAATCTGTATGGTCCAGCATAGCCACCCACCCACCCCCGATGATCAAATCAGTCATTTTGCTTTGTCGATAGGCAGATAAGTAGTAACATTTTGAAAAAAAGCTTACGCATGTCCAGTGGGTGAAATAAAGTACAGCAAGGCATGGACTCGATTGTCACGGAAACGAGGGTTACGCTTGATCCGTGACTCTTCGGCCAAAATATCGTCGTACTGTCGTTCCAGATAGCCGACGATTTCTTGGAAGCTATCTCATTGTTATCAATACTATGCGTTTTTTTTTACTTTGCTAGCGCCCCCATCATCTCATGTTGCTTTAGTTTTAGCACACATACCATCGCTCGTTGTCAATGTTGTCACCAAAGCCAGGCGTATCGACGATGGTCAGCGAGATTCTGATAGGTTGTTGATGATAAGTTGTGTGCATGTACATACAGTGTAGTAGGGCAAGCAAGCATTGTATATACATGTTAGTCAAGTAGAGCGCATATGCGGGTGGGCGGGTCTCTCTCTCTTTCTTATTTTCCTTCTCAGTCTGTCTCCCCCTCCCTGCTGCGTTGGGTCCCTTTTCTCTACTCCCTGAGAAGGACCCCATCCCTAATTTTTTTTTTTCGAGTTACGTACCTGACACCATCTTCATCCAACTCTATCATCCAGAGGCCACCCGCAGGCAAAAGTGAGTTTATAATAATCACATATGCGGGATGTGGGAGGAATTGAGAAAAGGGAATTTTTATGGGCGGTGGTGGTGGGTGTGCCTCTAAAACTTACCGACAGAAACGGGCTTGATGGTGATGCCTTCTTCGTTATGCGCTTCCTCTGGATTGTCGCATACCTTCTTGGCCAGCACGCCAGAGTTGCACAGAGTGTTGACAAACGTTGTGCGACCCGTGCCCGAAGCACCTTTTTTGTGTTGGTGGGGGATATTCAAGTGCTTTAATTTCTAACGCTTTTATTTGCGTATGCCCTTTCTTCCCTTTTTCTTTTACGTACCAACCACCATGAGCGTGAATTGGAAACCCTTCTTGACGTTTTTTCTGCGACCACCAAGTCTCTACATACAGCACAGTATTTACAATGTTACTCGACATTCGATCAGGAAACCTCGTAGGAAGACCTCATCATGACTCAAGTCTTACATGTGCCATTGTAACAAAAGTTAAAGTGTGTGTGTGTTTGAGTTAAAAAAGAAGAGAGAAAGAGAAAAGAAAAGAGAAAGAAGCAAGAACCAAAGAGAGAAACTGGAGAGGAACAGGAAGAAGGAGAAAAAAAGAGGAAGGAAGGGGGCGTGCTGCTTTCTTTCTGGTTGATTTTGTGTGTGTGTGTGTGTGTGGGTCAGTGAGAGGGAGGGAGGGACAGAGGGAGGAGAATAAAGGGAGATCGACCAAAGAGATAGAAGAGAGAGAGAGAGAGAGAGAGGGAGGGTGGGCGAGGGGGTGTCTAGGGGATATTCCAAAGAAACAGACAAGACGACTTGCTCTGTTGCTGTAGCATTTCTCCCTCGACCGTCTTTGTTCACTCACACTCGCACTTTGAGATAGCGCGTAGCACATGGAAACTGAAATGGCAACCGATCAACACGGTCGGTCTTTGTCAAAAACCACGCTAAAGCGTTTAGAAAGAGTGGTTGGTATTGAAGAAACAAGTGGGATGGCGTCTATATATATATATATATTATACTGTCTTTACATGATGAGTGAGTGTGTGTGTGTGTGTGTATGGATATTAGAGAGAAGGAAAGATGGGAGAGAGGGATAAAGAAGTTTTATAACAGCAGCAGTTGCGTCTTCCACGCTTCCAATTCATCCACTTCTTCTGGCGCAAATCCCTTTTTCCGTGCAAATGCAATCAGCGTATTCACCGTCTTTTCTTCCACCGCCGGTCGTGGATCACTCGACAACCGCGGGGGCCGCATCTCCTCACTGATCACGCGTCGTGCCTCATCCCATCCAGTTCGCCCTCTCTGTCGACACAAGCATTCAATATACGAGTTGTAGTTGTTCGTGTTGAGTTCGAACCCTGACCGCTTGGCCCTGCGCCAGACATCGTACGCCTTGTGGCTGTAACCATTGTGTCCACAGCTGTCAAGCACGACTGAGATGGTCACCTGATCGATCGCCGTTTTGGGTGCGGACGACAACATCAACACGTCCCACATTTGCAACACAACCTGACCGTCACCCACCCGGTTGTACGCGTCCATCAGTGCGTTGTAGACGGCCGTGTCCGGATCAAAGTACAAGTCCATACGGATCAATCGGTGGATCTGTTCCAGGGCAAAAGCGTCTCGGTATTTCGCACATGCATACAACATGGTAGTATACACGTGCGCATTGGGCCGGATGAGGAGTCGTCGCATGTCGTTGAACAGTGTCAGCGCCCGTAAAAGGTTAGGCTGCGATGTGCCGTCGAGATTGTCAACAATGTCTTGCTTATCTTCAACCATGTATGCATAATTCGGTGCTGCGTCTAAACCATGCATCTCTTGTCCCGGCAATGCTGTCATGGCAGATAGTAAGGTCGTATAGAACGTCGTGTCGAGCGTAACCTTGGCCTGGCCCGGCTCGGCATTTTGATAGTGTTCTCGCAACTCGTAATAGATATCCATGGCGTCATCCAACTGATTGTCGTTGACATACGCCAGCATTAAATTGGTAAACGTGGCAATGTCGGCTCGGCGCGAATCGTGGCGAAACACTTGATCATAGAGCATCTGTGCCTGCGCAGAGCGTCCGTGTCTCGCTAATCCGCTCAATAATCCATTGTATGCCATTGCATCGAGTCGGAATTCGTCGCTATACCGTTGTACAGTATCACATACGCGCGTCAGCAATTTTGGATCGGATTCTCGAGCAGCCAAATTGGCAAGTGATGACAAGACCCGTTCGTTGGGCTTGATGGATCGATACGTCATGTCGTCGAATAATCGGAGCGCGCCATTCATATTGTTCAGTCTCGCCTCGGCGTCGATCAATGTGCCATAGGTAATGACAGTCGGCGTGCAATTGGCAGCCTTAAGGTCGTCGAAAATGGTGAAGGCACGACCTGGATTGTCTTCTTTGAGACATGCGTCGAGCATAATGTTGTATGTAACAATGTCGGTCTTGACATCCGGAAACCGTTGCGGTAAACTATAATACAGATCCAAAGCACCCTTGAAGTCTTCTTGACCGTTCGCCTTGTATGCCAGCAAGCTGTTGATTGTAAAGGTATCCACGGCGTCGTTAGGGTTGGCGAGCACTTCATTATAGACACTATCACCTATCTCTGTGTTTTTTTCGCGCGTCGCAATGCTGAGAATAGTCGAATAGGTGTATCCGTCCGGCTTGACTTTCTGTTGCACCATCTCCTCGTAGAGCGCGAGCGCTTTGGCTGGCTCGATGAAATGGATCAACGTGTTGTATGTGACGAGATCACGTTTGACATTTTGCTTTTTCATCATCCTGAATATCCGTAGTGCCGATACTTCGTCGTTCGCACGCTTATAACAACCCAGTATAGTATTGTACGTATGTGTTGTCGGCTTGACGTTGTTGGCGCGCATCATGTCCAACACTCGGTATGTGGGTCCAGGCCGTCCGTGTACACCATACGCATAGATAAGCGCATGGTATTCAAAATGCTCAGGCTTGAGACCAAACTGATCCTCCATGGTTTCGACCACTTCACGCACAAATGCTAAATCTGCATACTTTTCGCCTTTACGAACAAGCATTAATACTTTGCGGATCGCGTCGCGATCAAGTAACGCTCGATCTGAATTGCGTACGAGTGAGAAGGATTTGCGTGTCTGTATGATATTTTCTTGTTCAATCGCTCGTAGCATGGTAGCTAACTCTTTATTCTGTGTCGTTGGCGTACTGTTTTTCGTGTTGCTCGCGAAATGGCGTCGCCGACCGTAATCGATCTGCAATGTCAAAACTGCTGTTGCTGTGCATGGCTGTTGCTCGGTTGTTGTTATTCGTGCAGGCGCAAGCGAATGGCGTAGTGAGGCGGGTATATGTCGTCGGCCAGCTGCCAAGCAGGCCCTGGCACCTGTTCTCGAGAGCATGTTTATGTTGTTTGTTATAAGCAACGCTTTTGTGTGTGTGTGTGCTCATTTAGCTGACCCCGACTACGAGAGCGTAAAATTTACGGTCACAGACGCTGTATAATGGGCATCTGCCCAGGGCGGGGCGCATTTGGAAAAATGAAATTGTTTGCCCGTTTTGACGTTTTTGACATGCAGCAGCTTTGTTTTAACTCTCTTAGTACCTCTCTTTTTAGCACATCTGTCAATTCCATGTTTGCGCCGACAGCAAGGAGTAGAGAGGAAGACATGGGGCGTGCGTAAAAACATAAAAAAGCCAACAGGTCCGTGGGAGGTTGACCGAAAAGTATTTAATTCCCCACCAATCAGATGTTTATAACGTACTATTGCAAGCTGTTTGTGGGAAAAGTGATTTTCAACAAGTCCACGACTGTTTTCCATGGCCAAAAAGCACTGACCTACACATAGTACTTTTGGGCTGTTTTTTTCTTGGGGATCATGGCTGATGCACGACGAGTGGTGTATGTATTTTTCACACAGCTTACAAAGCATCGTGCCTTCTTGGGAAGTCACAGTGATCATAAATGGATCTCTTTGCTAAAAAGTGATTAGTACTTCTTGTTGTGATAAGAGAGAGAGAGAGAGAGAGAGAGGTCTTGAATGAGTTATGCTTTCTTTCTCAAAATCAAGCAGACTAATAGACAATAGAGATGGCCTTATATGAAATGAATAGCGCACCACATGTCGCAAGATAACCAAGTTAAAAAGATAACAAAATCGATATTGGGTCGTTGTGTACCCCGCCAGCAACGTCCAGGAGTGAGGGAGCACTGATAAGATTGCATTAAAGTGTTTTCTTTTTCCTGCACTGTTCCAAGCCAAATCAAGCACGATCGCTGTTGAGAAAAGCCCAATCAAAGGCAATTGATGACAAATAAGGGTAGGACAATCGACTTTTTGGGACCTTGCTTCGCTATCAAAAAGAGAGAAAAACGGTGGAACAACACTTTATGTGATGCAGCAATGCGAAATACAATGTTTTGTACAATTCGCGGTTTTCGAATCCCGGTAATAATAAAGCGACGTTATCTTTTTTTTTACGTTTCTTATCGGATCGCACTATATCGTTATGTTCGTGACAAAGTGGTTAGCAAGTAGCCATGGCAATAAATGCCAATGTTTCGCCATGGTAAATAGTCATGGTGCTGCAGTAGTGGTTTTAGGAATTGCTAGCTAGGACGGTTATGGGAAACGGGTTTGTCCCACGCTCACGCTGCTCTTGTTCATAACCTTGTTGTCTCGTCGTTATAATCATATATACCCACCATACCAAACATATCATCCGTGCGTATCATTTCTCTATAACCCACCACCAATCCCCGGTTCCCCCTCCCTCGTTTCTTTATCTATAATATATTTAAGGGGCTACATACTGCCATCATCTCTCTCACTCTCTTCTTCCTTTTATTCCTTGTAACTCTTGATACACAATTCACTCTCTCTTTCTCTCTATCATACTACTACATACAAATCGTCGCACGTGATATTCACTATCATTGCCCTCATTTTTTTCAACAAAACTTTTTAACCAAAACTGACAACCACTACTACCACAACCCCTATACTCTATTACTACTATCCAACAGATGACGATTGGATTCTTGGAAAAGAAAGGCGCAACAGAGAAACAGGTTGAAGATGGTAATCCTGGCGTTACTGCCGATGAACAGCTGCTACGTGAACTAGGTTATACTCAGGTATTTTGCACATTATATACAATATGTTCAGTAGTATAAAGCAGCATACTTATTCAATATCTTAGGACTTGAGTCGCTCGATCTCGGCATTTTCCAATTTCGCCATTGCCTTTTCATGCTGCTCAGTACTTTCCGGCTTGACACCCGTATGTATCATTACCGTGGCCGCGACATACTAGATCCGATCAAAAAAAAATAGACAAAGCAATCGATACTATCGATCGTGACCGATTGTGGATATAGTAAGCGATTCACTATATGCTCACACTCATCTCTGAATTTCTGTCATTTATAGATGTGGGGCGATGCAATGAATGACGCGGGGAGCTTAGGCGTAATTTGGGGGTGGTGAGGAAAACTATACTTTAAACTTTTCCATGTAAATTTATAGAAAGGACAAGTTTATATTTAATGGCTTTTTTAAACATTTAGGTTTATCACTGGTATCTTTACGATGATTGTCGCCTGTTCTCTTGCTGAGATCTGCTCTGCATATCCTACCACCGGAGGTACTTGATTAACAACAATCAATGCAACGCCGATCGAACAGTATATACTCACTGTAGATTAATATGATACTCCCAAATTGCCCATTATTTCTATACAGGCTTGTATTTCTGGGTCAGTAGACTTGCGCCACCAAAGTACATGCCCTTGGCCTGCTGGCTGACAGGTAAATAACATGTATTTTTCTTGATCTGTATTTGCATCTGGATCTTTCGTTCTCCCGATTCTACTCTGGGCACCTTCTCAAAAAGTACATCATTTTCTTACTATTATCTAGGCTGGTTCAACTGGATTGGGCTTGTGTGTGAGTCAATATCTACTCTTTTTGCTTCAAGAAAAAAAAAAGTCCATATAGAAATGAACTAATGACTTGACAAAATGAATGATATAGTCGGTATTACTTCCGTTGATCTTGGTCTTTCACAATTCATCGCTGGTATAATCAATGTTTGGTATGTACGAAGAAAAAAAGAAAGACTACTCTATTTTGATGACAGCTTCCTAGAAACCCAAAACTTACGGATTGCTTTTTTGCATAATTAACATGTATCAGGCAACCTGACGTTGACACTTCTGTCTACATGCAATACGGTATTTATGTCGGTATCCTACTTATTCATGGCACTATGAACTCTATTGCGGTTAGCTTGAACGGTTTGATGAACCAACTCGCATGTAAGTTTGTGGTCTAAAAACTACATTCAGACCGAAGTCTTATTATATGTATTAACTTGTTGGCTGCTTTCTACTTGCTAGTTTGGATTAACATGCTTGGTATTCTGTTCATTGTCGTTGTCGGTCTCGCCGTCACTCGCCCGCTTGCTACTGGGAGCTTTGTAGTGCGTATCAACCTCTATACAATTTTCTACAACCCCCTCATTTGATTATGCTAACCGACTATGTTATAACCATAATAGTTTAGCGAATTCTACAACGGATCTGGGTTTTCCAGTGACGGTTACGCTTTTCTTCTCGTCATTCTCCAGAGTCAGTACACTTTGAGCGGTTATGACAGTGCTGCTCACATGAGTGAAGGTCAGTTTTACTACATACCACTAGCAAACTTATCATCATGCCCTGAACGACAAGAAAAAAGACGTTATTCTTTCAACATATAATAACATATGCATAATATTATCATAGAGACCAAAAACTCGCAGCACGGATCACCCTTTGGTATTTTGACTGCTGTCGCCGCCAATGCCGCTTCCGGCTTTATCTTTTTAATCGGTACCAGCTTTATGACCAAAAGCTTTACGACTCAGATTGTCAGCGAAGACGCTATCCAACCTCAAATGGTTCAAGTCTTTATCGATGGCGTTGGCAATGCATGGACCATGGTCTTTTTGATCTTTGTCATGCTTTCCATTTTTTTCTGTGGCAGTAGTCTTACCCTCGGCTCGTCACGTATGGTCTATGCCTTTGCCAGAGATGGTGCTATGCCCTTTTCCAAATACTTGCATCGGCTTGACCCTCGCACCAACAACCCGGTCCTCTCGGTCTGGTTCAACATTACTGTCGCTGGTGTCGTTGGCGTTCTTTATATGGTCAATTCTACAGCGTACGAATCGATCGTCTCTGTCAACACCATTGGCTCGCAACTATCGTATCTAGTTCCTATTGTCTTGCGCATCACCGTCGCTCGCAACAAGTTCAAGCCTGGTAAGTTTTTCCTTGCTATGTTCTTTTAAGCGACAGCAGCCAAATATACTAAATCACTTATTGCATGTTTAGGACCTTGGAACTTGGGTCCCTTTAGCACCCTATTTGGTGCCATTGCAACCTGCTGGCTTGTCTTTACCTGCTGCTTGTTCATCTGCCCTACTGAAGCCCCTATCACTGCCGACAACATGAACTACGCCATTGCTCCCTTTGCTTTTATCATGATTTTGTCGGTTGGGTACTTTGCCATATGGGGCCGCAAATGGTTTACCGGTCCTGTCCGAGTTGTCGATGGTCAAGAAGTTGTCTTGAGCGACGATGACAATGCTGCTCCTTCGATTCATAAAGAGAAAGATCAAATCGAAACATTGAGCCACTAAACTAGCCATTTAGTCGATGTCGTGTGTAAACATATATATGCCCTTTTGCTTTCTACATACTTTTGCATTCTTATTACTATTGCATTATACTGCTCTTACTGTATTGACACAGCTCCTCTGTTCTTCCCCCTTGGTTATACAAGCAACCCCTCTACTTCTCTTTTACCAACAATACTCAACATTCGGGAATAATGCTATATTTATTTTTAAACAGCACCTAATAATACAACTGTATATCTAATATGGTCTTTTTTAATATACATATGTCACTTTCGATCTGCTCAAGTGATCCCCCGTTTAGATCACCCTCAGACCATAAATTCAACCCTCAGTTGTGTTTATCTTTTTGATGGAACCCTTAAATATAAGAAAGTATATATTCTCTAACACACTCTCAGTTTTTCAACCCTTATTAGCTTCAACATTCTAAACCCCCCACCCTTTGAAATTGATCTTAACGGCGGATCGTTGTTCATATACGTCCCTGACATCGAGCACATATGCAATCTGATGTCTGATCTGGATACTTTTGCTCCTTGGGGTTCAGTATTCAAGTCCATGTTCTCCAAGCGTTATGTCGAGTGGCTACGTGAGGCTTCTTTTGGACATAAAGCCATTCGGCTATGAGGTTGTACAAAAAAAATTGCTTTTTTAGTTGTTATCATATTGTCGATTTCTTCTGTCAAATGAAAATAAAACAACGGGTGAATATCATTTTTTCAATTCTGCTGCTTGAAGTAAGCACCCCGGAGAAAGCACACAAATGCCATCTATCCGAGCAACTTACTCATCCAGAAGCACTTTGAAAATCAGCAGCTACGCCTGCAGATGCCAGTTGGAGCGTCACTGGCTACAGCTAACCAACGAAACAAAAGTTCGTTGCAAGAATAAATGTTTACACGATATGACGCAATTCATATACTAGATTTCAAACCTTTTAGCGACTTGTAAATCGTGTACAATAAAAGTATCGTCAACACTGGCAGCAAACTGTATTGTCATGCTCTTACATTCGCTGAAAAGTCGATCGGTCTGCAAAAAATGCTTCCAAAATAAGAGGCTTCTTTGAAGCATGATTCATTGTCAAATCTGAGCTAGAACAGGGCTAGCAGATTGTGTCCACTGGTTTCACCTAATGCTCTCATTGTCAAGGTAAATTTTTGAAGCAATAACAAAGGATATGTCACGCTCTTATTGATATTAGCCCTTTTAATTATGGATTTGTTCGGTACGTACGATCGAAGTACTCTTTTTTTGTTCGTGTAAACTCACAATAAAGCTGTTAAATGCCTGTATTGGGTGTTGTAACGAATGCAAAAATGTTATTATTACTACGCTATTTCTCACTATAGGTACCACATCTTTCTTAACACTGTTTCACTTTCCGTCAGTTGGAGAAGCAATTATACTAGGTTTTAGATAGATATTCGACTTGATAAAATTCAGTGCAGTGCCTGAGGTTCTTCCTCTTTTTGCTTTGTGCCTTCTCTATATGATTCATTGTTAATGGGCTTCCATATCATTATTCTCCTTTCTTCCCGTTATGAAGCACAGCTACCTATCACTCATTTGTTACACTGTACCATTCATCCTCTCTCTTAAAAACTCGAAAATTTTATAAAAACGAGACGCTATACATCTCAAATATTTTACAAACTTCATGGGGATTAAAAGAACAGAACGGCTAAAGTACAGTAAATGCAACTTTGTATGCTTGAAGTGAAAGGTGGATGCAGGCAAATGAGTATATGGAGATATAATAATGATAAGGGCAAAGAATAAATTATGTATCAAATCTTATGGGCAGAACGTAACAGTGTATTTGGGAGCCTGACAAGCATACACGCTGAGCTTGTCATCATACGGGTAAGTGTATACATCTGGACACACCTTTTTGATCGCTTGAGCAAAATGATTTGACACGCAAGTATCTGGTGCTGCATGAGCGCCAGTACAGCAGTACTCATCTTGCTTGTATCTTGAACAAGCACTTTGGCACGCCACGAATTTACTACCACCCGCATCGGCCGCAGAAAGAGACACCAGATCACTTGGACAGCTTGGTGTTTTATCACAAAAGGTGGGCTGGCAGTGCCGCGGGTCGCTCTCCACAGGATAGTCTGTCATTTGTGTGGGCTCGATACGGATTGGCAGGTTGTAACCATCGACATACGAAATGTCTTAATAATCGATGTTTTCAGCGCCTGTCATTTTAAATCCTGCAAGAGAGGCTGGGTTGTCTGCATTAGCCAATGTGCAGACGTGATTATCGCACGATTCGCGCGCCCATACCCGGCCGGCCCAGTCATCTGCAACGTCAATAGTCGAGCTGCCGCCGGGCGCCATTGGAATCACTTGACCTTGGGGCTCGTCATTTGTTTGCATACCGACCTGCAGATCGTGTGAACAGCGGTTTTGGACTATAATTCGCTTTGCCATTGTCGTCGTCATCGTCACGTACGAGGAAAATAGAAAAACTGCCAAGAGGAAAAAGCGTTGCTTCGCATTTTCTTGTCTTCTAACACAACTAGCAAAGGAGAAAGAGAGAGAGAGAAGAGAAAAAGAGATGAACCAGAAAGGGCAATACTGATTCATATACTTTTCTTTAATGAGTGTAATTATACATGCAGATTCCGTATAGAATATGCTGCGTACTTTGATTCTCAGGGGAGGGGGGTGATGAAGCGGGGAACGATGAATAGATAAAGTGTGCTCGCCCCCTTATTAAAACATGCCAATTGAATCTATATGCTACTTAGCTATTTACAAAAAAATAAGAAGTACAACTATTCGTTCTCTAAGGGAGAATTTTGCAAAGGTTGGTCGCTCAAAAGATTCTGGTGATGGTGGTGGTAGAGTTCTATGTGTGGCACCCTAATATGACGTGTCAGGGACCATTCATCTGGAACCATCAAAAAGTATCGCTCCATGGCTTCTCTGAATCGAATTCGGTATTGTCGCGGGGATATAATCGTTGGTCCTTTACCACCGCCACCTAAAATACCAGACTCTTTGACCCAACTTTCCAGTTTTTTGTCCCATGTAAATGTGCGGATGAAATCTATTCATTTAGTGTTGAAGGTTTGTGAGTATAGCTGCTATGTACTACTGACCATATCTGCATGAGAACCAAAAAAAGAAGGAGGTGGATTATATACAAAACAAAACATACCAACGATACCGACAACGAGTTCTTGTCGGTCTTCGTCAATGCCAACCAAAAGTGAATAATCCATCACGTTGTGGTTGGATAGAAAGAGCGTATCATTGTGAAGTGAACTGCGAAGGACTTCTTTGGAGTGTGCTCGTATGAATAGTGGGGATTGATAGATTACTATTACATATACTTGTTAGCCTCTTTTGCGTATCCTGACAGGCGTAAAAGCACTTACACTCTACTAGATTCTCATCGAGTAAAACTTCGTCTTGCTTTCCTGTAGACTGAACATGGCGATTACGCATAGAGCCTTTCAAATCAAATATCTGAGAAAAGTTTAGCTTTATTTGCAAGACATAAAACAGAAGTACTGATTACTCACCTTTTTCACCTTGCGTTGATAAAACAAATTTTCCATGACAACAACATCCATTCGCATCGACTTGCCGTTTGCCGAGTTCTTATATCCGATCGTATAAAATCCAAAGATTTTGGCTAATACTGTAGGCAATTCCCGGAAAAATGCCTCAGACATGTAGTGGAAATATGCAGGAGCAAAGCCAAGGAACGCATCCATCTCAAATCGGGACACTTGTTTCATGAGCAGCCTGTCGTCGCTTGTTTTCAAGAACGCAGATCCGGATTTACCACCTGACGCATCCCATTTTACGCAACTGGCCAAGGACAGTATATAACTGTTCTCATATCCACAATTGCGCCGCAGGGCATCGAACTGCTCCACAAAGAACACTTTGCAAAAGAACTTTGTAGAACCAATACGGAAATTGTATCCCATATGTACCATCGTTTCGCGCAAGAGAGTTTCTTGAATATCGGCAATGGACTCGCTGCTGTTCTCGCTTGACATGGGTGGATAATCACTACTTGGAAATTGGCTCGTGCCGTTAAACCCGAGCGTGCTACTGTCGTCGGCAGCAACGGATGACTTGTCATACCCAGAGCCTTTCATGTGTGCCAGATAATCCTCACAGCTTAGAGTATACGCAATGATCGTACTTGGCTTGTCCTCGCTCACAATGACAAAAGAGTCGGGGAATATATGCTCCGTCGGTTGCCTACATAGAATAGACACAGTTAGCATCTCGATATCTTTAAATCTATCCAATCATCAACCTGGGACTTACAGAGGGTATTCAAGCGGCAACAAGTTGGACACACCACTGTCCGTCAAGAAGTTGGTAATCGTTTTCATTAGCGAACTCTTTTCGGGCGGTGCTTTGGATGAATCTTCTTCCGCTCGGCTTCTAATAGTCTCCATTCCATCCAACGTCTCTTCGTCGCCATCTGGTATTTCCGACGCTCTTTCCTCTCGTTTACGAATGTTAGAAGAAGATACACCCGCATTGATACACACCGGTGGTGCTTCCAATAGATCCACAGCAGGTGGCGGGTTCCGCTCGAGCTCCATCCCAAATCCAGTTATCGCCTCGGCAACGCCATGGTAGCGCTGCGAAAAGAACGATTGGGTTTGTGGTGGATCATTGACACGATTGGTATAGGGTGCCATTGGCGAAAAATAGTCGACAGTTTTGGTATCGTCATCATCCAGACGTGACATTCCTGAGCCTGCGGTTGTCGTCACAGTAGCCATCGTTTCGTCGAGAAACTCGTCCTCCAAATTCTCTTGGACCAGGTCGTTGGCATGGGTATATACTTGCATCAACGTCTTTTTGCGCGGCAATCGTGATCGGAACTGTCGGTCGCTGCGTGCTGCTGCTGTGGAAAGACCGCTGTTACTCTTTCGCATCATGTGTCGAGGATCATCAGTCTTGGCTGCCCCAATATTGGCCGGTCGAGTAGGATATCTCGATGATGCCGCTGCTGCTGGTCCACTGCCACCCAAAGCAGGAGGTACACGGGTAGAAACTCCAGCATTAATGTGATTGTTGCTGCCACTAGCGCTTGGAGCATTCACATCGTTTAGTAGTAAGTTGTATCGATAGTCCGGCAGAATGGTCCTTCGTCGGGGAATGCCGCCGCTGCTAACTGGATCACCGACAAAGGGTCGCTGTTGTCGGACACGTAAAAGCGGTGTTGGCGCATTATCATAGAGTGGTGGCGAGAGTTTAACCTTGCTTTGATGGCCCAGATGGAGCACAGGTATCCGCGACGGAGTGATGGCTGCTGAAGCAGGCAGTCCAGGACTCTTTGTCCTGGCTACCTGGCTATTTTTATCGACTGTTCCCCTGACGATCGTTTCTTCAGACCGGAATTTGGCATTGAACTCGCGCATCAGCTCCAAAGACAAGCGTCGTCGGATTTCTGGCTGCAAAAACAGTTTCTTGTCGGATGGCTCGTCTTCTGGCTCAGTTTCATCAATTGACGAACATAGTTTGGGTAGCACTTTCGGTGGTCGCACAATTGCTGTATGTACATCCTCTTCGTCGCCATCATCGTCGAAATAATAATCATTGTCCAGCTCAGTTCCGAGTAATGGCAAATCCGTCACTTCAGCGGCACGCTTTGTTCGCTCACCGTTTGCTTCTTCAGGCATGACATCCGGTGGGAATACCTTGCGAAGGTGGTTGGCAGTAATCTTGCGAAGCTCGCGTTCTGGTTGCAAATAATGTCTGACAAGGTCTGCATACTCCAAATCCCAGGCGGTAATTTGTTGATACAGGACGCGTTGGACCCAATTAATAGTAAGCGTATCACCTGGAGCGCTTTGAGCGTACACTGTCTGGAGAATCTGCAAAACTGGCTTCTTTTCGCCATCGCAGCGTTGTGACAGCTCTTGTAACTCGGTCTTGCACGCTTCCCTCCTGCGCGGATCCACCAAGTCGAACGGAAATGCCTTGTTGCGCTCGACAATGGACTGATAAAACTTGTTGATCTTAGTACGAAGGCCCTTGAATTCTGCCTCTTTCAGTTCGATATGGACCTTGCTCAACGTAAACAATTTCGTCGGTGGAACGGCTACTTCCAGCAGACCGATTCGGTCATACTGGAAACGCACAGCAAAGTCGCGATAGCCAAAATAGCGCACATGATGAAGTCCAATATCGTGTGGACAGATATCGGCTCGACAGTGCACACCCTTTTGATATAGACACACTTCGAGGAATTTACCAAACGAATAGTTCCAAGTGTTTTCTGACATTGGTATCACCGGCGTAGGCTTCTCGCACTCTCGACAGTAGCTCCACATCAGGATCTTTTCCGACATACCAGGTTGTGGACACGGGAAATTATCAATCATCACATTGATACGTGCATTTCCATTGGCATAGGACCGGTAGTGGTGCAGCACAGTGTGCTCGCACATGCTGGACGCACACGGCTGGATAGCATCCCGGCACAGATCCGAAATGTAGTGGCCCAGAGTCGTGTCCGATGGCTGACAATAGTACTCAAAGATACGGACCTCTGGACCTTGGCAGGGAACCGTTGTCACCGTGCACACATTTGAATAGAGAATCACAATGTTCTGATGATAGAACGGATTGAGCTGGTCTGGATTCTCCCGCAGATATGCACCCCAGGAACGCATGAGCTGATTGCGCTTTACTACAAGCCGTTCGTACTCATCGTCCAGGGATAAGCCATGATCGGTTCCGCTACCAGTGGTGCTCATGTTGGTCCCTGCAGGCGTAGTCGCATTACTACTACCACCGCCAGTGTTTCCATTAATACTGCTTCCGCCACCTTGGCGCTGCTCAAATGTGCTCTTGGTCGGCGACGATGCAACTGACATTTTGCGCGAAGTGTTCAGCAGAACAAGCTTGTCGTTCGTCTCTTTGAGACACATCAATAGATATGGCTGAGGGAATGCAACAAACTGTGATGCCGAGATCACTGTGTCTTGATAAAGCTTGATGAATGCATCGACTGAAGATGCTTCCGTTGATGCTGTTGCTGATAGTGACGTAAACGACTCGGTCTCTTGCTGTGTTTCCAGTGGTAGCAGTGGTACATTCGTTGCTGATCGAGGTGACGTTGCCTTTGTATCTTTCTCTTTCTCGTCTTTGGAGCCCGGTAACGTGGTACCCTCTTGTTTTTCGCCATCATCGAGTTGCTTCTGATCCAAGCTACGATTTTTTGCAAATGAGTCGCGTAGTAACGACGTCTCGAGTTTGAGATTGTTGACGACAAAAACCATGAAATCGATCAGTCGTTTGATAAGTCGCAACGTCTCATTTGGTGCACCACGTAAAACGATCGTCCCACCCAAATCTGGCTGACATTCGTCGAATATCAGATAAGTCTTGCGCCGGTTAGGGAGCCATTCGTGCATTAATGTTCGGATCTCAAAAGCTCCGCAATGACCAAACGACAGACTACCTAACTGCAGTTTATCGACCGAGGGCACAATTGTGGCTCGAGTGCATCGTGCAACCGCTTCAATCACGCTGTATTTGACATTGTGAATTACTGGTATATTGGCCTCTAATAGATATTCCAAGGCAAGTCGTGATACGGTCGACTTTACGAGCAAGAGCGAAGGCCGAAGAGCAACAATTCGTGCAACCAGTTTGCTGATGTGCTCTCGCTCTTGGGATAAAACCGGTGCAATCGACATGAGCTGGTTCTCCATTTCAACACGTGAATAGTCGAGCGAAAACAGCAGGATCAAAATTCGAGGTTGAGCGATATTGCGGATCATCTTCTTGTGCGCAACGTTTTTGGAGCACATGACACCTTTGACATAAAAGCTGTCGGAAGGAACCCCACCAGGCACCTTTTTAATCTTGATGTAATGTCGGATATCCATGTCATCACCTGATCGTACGTCTGGTCGAACATTGTCTGTAACCTTGAGCAGCAGGTTGGTGATGATATCTTCCCATTCGTTCTTGGCCTGCTGCGTCAATCCATCAAAGCTCGAGTCTGTCATGAGCTGCTTAAGCATCCTGCGCGCGTGCATTAAAGCACCAATACTCAATTCAATATTAGGCGGTGGAGCCGATATCCGTCTGTTGCGAGGGGTCAGTAGCCTAGACTTGATCGCACTGTGATCGTCAAATGGCGACATGAATGGAGCGGGCGACCAGCCTTCGCTTTGGAGTAGCGCATAATCGACTTTGGGCAAGTTAGTCGTATTGATCCGCATATTAGTTTTCCGGTGTTGTCGGCTCGAAGACCGTGACGATGGGCGTGGGTGATGGTGCAGCCCACTGATACTTTGTCGACGTAGCGAAAGCGATCGCTCGACGGGACCCGCGTGGCCTCGCAGTTCCTCTGTTCGCTTGGCACGTAGTCGGTTGTCGTAAGCTTCGTCGTCACTGCCAAATGAGTCTTGTGATACCACAAGATCATTCAGCTTGATGGACTGGCCCTGCGATTGATTCGAGCCATTCGATGGCATGCGCGTAGTTCTACCGCCTGGCATGCTTGCAGGTCGACTCCACAGATCGTACAGCTGGTACTCCAGGTTACCATTTTCTTCGTCATCATCCAAACTACGACTGCCCATAAACGGGCTTAATTCCCGTTCTGCCACAAGCACACCGCCTCCTCGATCCATATGGTCATGGTTGCTTTGCAAAAAAGGCGAAGACGCTCCTCCATTGTTGCCGCCACCGTCATCCATGATAAACGAAGTAGAAGTGTTAGATCGGGGTCGCCTTAATAACGAGGTTCCTGCATCTAGAAGCCGTTTCAACCCGCCGTCATCCTTGTCTGTTTCAGCAGAGATCGACCCAGAGCGTGACAACTTGCCACCTCCAGCACCTCCAGCACCGCCACTCCCGCCTGTGCTACCTGAGGAATGAGGGCCAGTGGCTATCTCGAGTTGAACAGTAGTTGCGTCCGAATCGCCGTATGATTGACGATGACTTTGATATGGGTGTTTTACAGCCGTAGTAGGTATATGCATTTTTGGCGCTGCGATGGGTGGCGGCTGGGATGGAATGATCGGGCCTCCATGGTATTGCTGATGTGATGAAATGTTATTGTCTCGGTCGTCGTCGTCATCGTTGACCTTTTCGTGCTCCATCGCAAGTATGTCTTGATCCGCTGCCACCAATAGCAAAGGGTCATTCCTACTGGCAAGATTGTGCTCGTCAAAGCAAAAATTACATACGCGAAGCTCGCCTTTTTGGTTGTACCGTTTGCCTGGTATCGTATGTGATGCACACTTTCCACAAAAGATTTGGCCTATAAGGACCCGATTATTACTAGTCTCATATACACGCACTAATCCGAATAAAGTCATCCCTCAGTGAAACGAACTTACCGCAAATACGACAATGATGTCGTCTACGTAGTAGTTTGAACGGTTTGCGACACTTGTAACACTCCTTGCACTGCTCATCCGACATCCAAAACTCCTTGTCGGACTTTTGTCCTCGTAACCGTGCAATGATTCTGCTAAGCGAATGGGAAGTGGACATGGAAAATGTGGTTGAGACAGACTGCGCATCGCTACTGTCTACCGAGTGCGTTTTGGAGATCGGCAGATAGTCTGCAATAGCACTCGGAAGAATCGTAGATGAAGACGAAGCGATCATAGGATGACTTTCCTCACTGCCGTCCGGAGCACTCGTGCTGTTACTGCCATTGTTGTTGCTGATGACATGATTTTCCTGGGATGCCGAGGCATTAACTGGAGTTACCGCTGTGGATGTGGGCGCTCGCAGGCCGACGGGTTCACGATAAGAAGACGCTGGAGGTGTAGGCGACGTAACGTATATTTGTCGACTATTGGACTGAATCGAAGCTGGTGGTGATTGCTGTTGATCACTTTCTCGCTCATGCATACGCTCTTCGTCATTGTTGCTAAGGAAAGGTAAATTTCGTTCCTCATGGTAGTGTTGGCGGCGTTGGTGGTGGTGCTGGTTTTCTTCAAAGTGGTCAATTGGGTGTGGTTGAGAACCAGAAACTGCAGCTTTAAATTTCGTGAGAATCTTGGAAAGAGCCCATTCATCGCTGTCGTCGCCTTCGGGGACGTCAAAGTTAAAGCTGGTCAGAGTTGTGATGTCGTTGGCGTCCATGGTTTTAGCACCATTGTTCAGCAGGAAAAAAGAAAGAAACACTAGTAAGTCGAAAGAGAACAAGAGGGTTTTCTAAAGGCCGACTAGCATGGTCATGCAACTCGCCACATGTTTTCTTGTTTTTATTTTATATTTGTTATGTACCAGCATCAAAACATTCCCATTATACAGTAAAGACAAGAGCAGGTAATTCTTTTGCATCTTTGTTGGGGGGGGTGGACAAAAGAAGCGACTCGACAGGAACCAATGCAACTTGTCGTCTAGCAACAGTAGTAAACGTCTGAAACGAGCACCGGAAAAACAGTTTTGCCTCTGCATATATCAGGTAGGCCTTCTTCAGTAATCTATGCAACTGATTTTTATTGAGAATCTCGGGTCATATTGTCTCTAGAGATAACAGCCCTTTGTGTGAGGGAACGTGAATGTATTGAAAAAGAAATGTAATTTAAAGTACGTATCGTATATAAGAACATGCTCCATCGTTATTATGCTAGGATGCTAGTACACTCTAATACCATCACCATAAGAGAAAAGCAAGGACCTCTGTAATCTTTGGTGATTTTTAGTGATTTTCGGTGGCATGTTAATACAAGCTACTATATAAAATAATGATGGGGTGCAGAATGGAAGTGGCGGCAGCGGCTTTTGTTTATTCTCAGTCTTCATTGACAGATCCGTGATTTTACGTGATTTCCAGTAACCGTTGGTGGTTTTTTGATGAACATTAACGGTTTAATTCATGTAGCAAACCTTGGTGAGGGACACTAACTTTCCTTAATGGTACAGCGGTCGCACATCTGATCGAGTAAAAATCCTTTTTTTCTCGTCAGTGCAAGGGTTCGCTAGTAAAATGAACTCACTTAGAGCTCGATTATTCTTTTTGATAGAATAAATACCAGCGCAACAGCAAAAGTGTCGACATAAATCTAACGTTATACTTAGTATGAAAAGTTATAATAGATCAACTGGCAGTTATCGTCCCTTACATTTTTTTTTGTTTTGAGTACTGTTCTTGAATTGTTGTAGTGGCTACTTGAAGAAGCGATCAAACACAGCACTTACAAGAGATTAATAGACGAGCTTACAAACGTGCATACATTTACAGTGTTTCTCTTATAACAGCAACTTCATAGGCATATTTACCTGATAGAGAAACATAAATCAAGCGAAAAACATGATGAGTGCATTTTGATAGATTCTTAAAAATATATTATTGCATTTATCTCACTGACATTTTGGTTATGCAAGGTATCCTAGACTTAACATCTATGCAGTCTAAGAAAATAACCAGTAATATTGTCCTACTTGACATTGGTATGGTGCGTTCGCCTTATAACCGTCAATCTTTTACCTCAGCTTTACTCTCTTATAACGTCCCCAAAAGGCAATTATACAGTCCAACGTGCTTCAAAATATCTTTTTTAACTCGTTTGCTTTCGTTATTGAAGAATAAAAAAATATTCATGTTTGTAAAGAAAAATTATGGGAAGCCAAAAGTTGCCGGTTTTTCGCAATTTAGCCCTATACGTATATATACTCGCCTATCGCCTACGTCCTACACGTCGTTTCTTTTTACCTTTCATTTAAAAGATACCGCCATTAAGACGAAAGCAGAAGGTCACCCGAAGAAGGACGCGTGCGCCTGACGGAAGTTCACTGCCCAGTTTCAGGGTATACGCCGTTTTTTATATTGCTATTCCTATACATTTTTGATTCACTATATATACATATCATTGTTCTTTGAAGTACATTTTATAAGTTTAGTGCTTAAGAATCAAATTGAAACAAAATAAAGTTTTGACGGTTATAAGGCGAACGCACCATATGATTTGGCTATTGAAAATGCATCTATTTGCAATATGTATGGTCACCTCACGCTAAAGTACAAACTCACTCAAAAAGACACACCTCGAGGCCAGAAAAATCCTCCAAATCACAAAGCGGGCAGACCAAAAATGAAAGAAAACGCGGATCCTCGTCAGTCTCTATTGTCGTTCGGCAGACAAGGAGAACATCATAGGGATACTTCATCTAGCAGCACTGCGCCAGTCTCTCGCAATGTCACAGATAAGGAAACAGAAAGCTCTCTATTCCTAGCCGTGTTTGATACAGATAGCCATGAAGCCCAAGCTGCTTCAAGGGAGTACACCAGTACGGTGACGAGCGGTTATATTCATCCAGCAATTTCTTTGACAGAAATGGCTTTAGCATCTGCGCCTACTGAAGATATGGACGAATTTGTGGATGAGATGGAAGACTCTGAAGACAGCAGTGATGACGAAGGCAACTATGATGTAGTTGAAAATAGCGATCGCAATGGTAAGAAGCAAATACATTGAACGAACGGTAATCAAGGATTTGACTAAAAATGCCTTTTGCTCGATATCGTGCATCATTACATTAATAGCATATAGCAATCAATCAAAAAAAGCCGAGAAGGTAATGCACCAGACAAAGACTTCGAACAGCTGCAAGCTCGGGATTGTAGCTCAAAAGTGCCCTGAAGAATACAAAAGAGGAACGTTCTGGGTGCTGCCGCCTGAACCGTTCTTTGCTCTTATCAAAAAGCTCGAGCCCGAGGCGCTGTAATATCTTCGTATATTCCTTTGGATGCCGCATCTCTTGCTTAAGGTGACGTTAAGATGTCAGAGCTGTCAATCTCGCCTCAAGTCCAAAGGAGTAATTAATAGGCTATGATGCGTTGTAGATATGGAAGAGTGAGTTAAAGCAATGTCTTATGCAACATGATACTAATTGTATATATGATACTCATTTATTCATTTCCGAAAAAGCAAGGTTGCATTGTTATTATCAAATGGCTCTGGCAGCAAGGAAGAAACGTTTTGGTGGCAACGTTCGCTTTTATTAAATGTTGCACTCCAGATTTTCACGTAGCAACAAGCCGCACAAATAGGTTGAGAACCAGTAGCGTGTCGTATCATAGCAATAAACAGCGCTGTTTCCATAGCGATTGTCGCCATAGTTATCTGCCTTTGCTCGGTTACTAAACAGCAGCATAGAAAGAATCACGCTTTCTTTTTTTAAGACCATGTCACGATGAGAGGTGAAAAGGTGCTGTAGGCACACCTCACGCGAAAATTGTGTCGGCGCTTCAATCTGCTGCGCACGGCGACTGATAAGAAAGTGTTGCCTGCCCAACCCACTGGTCTTCTTCTTTACCAGCTTCTTTTTACTACATTCTGTCGCAATGATCACCGTATCTGACGCCCTCTTCGCCAAGCTCGTTCTGCTTTGTATCTTGCTGTGTATCTTTGGGGAAACAGTGGCCGCTATCTACCGATATGCCCTGTCCCGTCCTGTCATCGCTGTTTCCGTTGCCCTTGTGGCCTTTGTCGTCCGTGCCGAGTGTTGCACTCATGTGCGCACATGGATTCTTGATGCCCCGTTCAAGTTGTTGTTGTTCCTCTCTTGGCCATTTCCGCCATTAGACTTCCCGCCGCTGCCTCCGCCTCCGCCGCCGTTGTTCACGCAACGTGCCACCACAACTTCAACTACTGCCACTGAACCTGTGCATGCGATCCGTCGGCCAAGTGTAAAGTATGGTGGACAGCCTCGTTCTTCTAATCCGGTATGTATTTATCATTGCTGGGATATTGACTGGGAGATTGACTCTGATGTTAATCGTGGTGTTCTGACAACCGAGTACGTGCCCGCGCGACGTGCTGAGCACCTGGGTGCAATGAGGAATCCTGAGCCCCACGCGTTGCTCCCGACTGCTGCTGCGGCTTCCGCTCATGTCTCTCAGCCGCACCAATCAATAACAACAGTCGATAATGCAATTACTGTGAAAGATGAGCACATGGTTACGGTAATGATGGAGCAGTCTGCGGCCCCTCTGCTTTTGCATGGCTCCCGTGTTCCTGAACCTGTCGACGTGGATCAGTCTGTGACCCCTCTGCTTTTGCATGGCTCCTGTAATTCTGACTCTACTGAAGTGAGGATAGATCAGCCTGTGGCCCCTCTGCTTATGCATGGCTCCCGTGTTCTTGAACTTGTCGACAACCAAGCGATGCCTTCGTTGTCTGTTCCAGATGCGCATACGGCCGCTTCGGCGTGCTCGTCCCTGCCATCTTCTGAGCAAACCGCTGCTTCGGCATGCGTGTCCCTGCAAACTCCAGAGCATACGGCTGCTTCGGCATGCGCGTCCCTGCTAGAGCAAACGACCGCTTCGGCGTGTTCGTCCCTGCAAGAGCATACTACCGCTTCGGCGCGTCAGTCCCTGCTAGAGCACACTACCGCTTCGGCGCGTCAGTCCCTGCCAGAACACACAGACGACACGCTCTCTGATCGAAATGTGCAGATGGAGGATCCATCGTATGACTTTGTGTCGTATGATGTTGGAGCCTTCAATTTAATGCCTTCTTCGGCTTTGTTGGCGGACGCTTCTGATGTGCGGCATGAAGGTGATACTTCTGTCGAAAATCCATACTTTTTCGAGCATACGACCGCTTCGGCGTGTTCGTCCCTGCAATATGAGCATACGACCACTTTTGTGCGTTCGTCCCTGCCATCACGACAAGAACGATCGTGGCATACCGCCTTGGGCGTGTCCCTGCCTGATCATGGTGAGGAATATCGCGCAGCCGAGGACTCTCCCGAGGACTCTCCTGCCGATTTGCAGCCGATGGAAGTTGAGGGTGAATCCCCAACTCGGTCTGACCTCCAACGCTATATAGCGATGACCGATGATGAGCTTTTAGCTCTCATCAACCCCTCCACCGACGCCGTAACCACCACCGCCACCCCAGAACCCGCCGCCTCTTCTCTCCCGCTCCTCACGTCAGAGGATCTTGATGCCATGCGTGCTCAAGTTGCCGCCGAGGCCGAGGAAAATGACAGTGGTTGTTCCGTCTCTTCTCTCCCTTCTCTCCGTTCGGAAGATCTTGCTTTCCGTGCTCAGCTCGACGCTCACGCAGAAGATCTTGCTGCTCTCCGTGCTCAGCTCGACGCTGACGCAGAAGATCTTGCTGCTCTCCGTGCTCAGCTCGACGCTGATGCAGAAGATCTTGCTGCTCTCAATGCTCAGCTCGACGCTGAGGCAGAAGATCTTGATGGCTGGTTCGACGATTTGATCGGTAAGTTTTTTACTTGGTGATGACACGAAATAAAGGGTTGTTTTCTAATGATTTTTTTTCTGTTTCCTTTAGTTGACCAGTAGGTGTTGTCCTGCGCGCTGCTGTGTGCAGCTTGGTGCGATGTGGGTGTGGCAGTTTCTTTTTTTTTTCGTTTCGGTGCTTCGTGGTTCTGTCGAGTTTCTTTCCTCCTCCTCCTGATCCTCCTCTTCTTCCGTCCTGGTGTTCCTGTTGTTCGTTGCTGCTGTTGCGTTCTGTGCGTGCTTTTCTTCTTTTTTGGCGTTTTCCAGTGCGTCAACTGACGCGATGGTGTGGAAAGCGTTTAGGGTATGTATCTTTAGTGCGGCAATTAACAACCAAACCTATTATCAACATCTAATCATTTTCCTTTATATCTCCCGTATTTAGGCTGTATCTTCTTTCGTTTCGGTGCTTCGTGGTTGTGTCGGTTTTCTTCTCCTCCTCCTCCTGATCCTCCTCTTCTTCCGTTCTGGTGTTCCTGTTGTGCGTTGCTGCTGTCGCGTTCTGTGCGTGCTTTTCTTCTTTTTGGCGTTTTCCGGTGCGTCAACTGACGCGATGGTGTGGAAAGCGTTTACGGTATGTATCTTTAGTGCGGCAATTAACAACCAAAATTATTATCAACATCTAATCATATTACTTTTTTCCCCATATCTAGGCTGTTTTTTCTTTCGTGCTTGTTTGTGGCTGGTCGTCTTGTCTGTGGCCGGCTTTGGAGATTAGTTCGGGAAGGACATGAAGGTAAATATAAATGGATGTAATATCATTAGCTCGAATCTCGCATGCGTGCCTCTTATTAATCAAATATAAAAAGATAGGTCATGGGCTGCTGCGGCCTTTGTGTGCGTGCTGCCGCCTGCTGCACTGTGTGTGTGGCGACCGTCTGGCGGGGCGGTTTTAGAAGGCACCCCAGTGGATGGCCCACTAGCAGAGGTAAATGACCGCGGCATTGGTATATGACACTGGGCTACAGCCACCGGGGGTGGAAAGGGTATGAGGGGCACATGGGGATAGCGAGGATGGCACAGCTAGTGTAGTGGGGAGGGGAACAATGCTCTGGTCTAGATAGGCAGCAGAAACATCATCGAAGCACATCCACAGCGGTTCTTGACAACAAATGGCAATCAAGGCTTGCAAGCTTTCGTGGTTATTACGGTATGTACCATTTGACAAATTCTTGTGGCATATTTATTTATTAAGGAAGCTCTTGCATCTAAGAAAAGATTCCACTAACTAAATCCTTCTATTGCCTTTCCTCTTCTTCGTATCGCATCTGCACCTTTTTCTAAAGGTCGGATGTGATATGGAGAAGACGGATAGGAGCTAGTTTCGCTGGTTTTATCCCTCTTCCTCAAGGATTGTCATTTAGTCTGTTCCAGCTGATGTGCGATGATGTTCCTGCGTAAGCCCTTGTGACTAGAGCAACGTTCCCTCAATCCCTGCTACCGAATGCTCTGCCTAGTTATCCTCGTCCTTCTTATCCTGGAAGCCCCCACCGGCACCAGTAGTTCGGTGTCATTGCCATCTAAGTCCAACCCCGTCCTTGCACTTTTGCTTTTTGGATACCTGAAGCTGGGGTTGTCCTTCTTTTGGCGGGTGGTGCCAGTGATGGTTACTGCCAGCCTTTGGCGGCTTGGAAAAATTTTCCTGTGGCAAGGGAACTTTTTCCGCACGGGAAAGTGGAGAATTCCGTCTTTGGCTTGATGCTGGTTTCTTGGAGGCGAAACCTGGGTGTTCAAGGGAATCTTTTCCACTTGGAGGAGTGGAGAATCCCGTCTTTGGCTTGATGCTGGTTTCTTGGAGGCGAAACCTGGGTGTTCAAGGGAATCTTTTCCACTTGGAGGAGTGGAGAATCCCGTCTTTGGCTTGATCCTGGTTTCTTGGAGGCGAAACCTGGGTGTTCAAGGGAATCTTTTCCACTTGGAGGAGTGGAGAATCCCGTTTTTGGCTTGATCCTGGTTTCTTGGAGGCGAAACCTGGGTGTTCAAGGGAATCTTTTTCACTTGGAGGAGTGGAGAATCCCGTCTTTGGTTTGATACTGGTTCCTTGGCGGCAAAATCCGGTGCTCTTGTTGCGCCTGATATCCAAACGGTCCGAACCTATCTCTCTCGAGTGACTCTCAAAGAAGCCAAGGGCGTATTTATCGTGTTGATCTTCGTGTGAATCGCTGCTGCTGCTGCTGCCATGTTAACCGGGCGAAACAACATTGTGACGTTCCGACAAAAAGGTACCATGCTACGACAATCCACAAGAATGTAGCACCATTTCAAGTTTTTGGCATACCGTCGGCTATACTCAGGACGTGAATTTCTTCGGACAAACAAGACAATTTTAGCAAGCGGCGTCGATCCAACATCCGCTTTGGTCCCTACCTATCGATCCAAGTCAAACCGACCTTTTGAATCCTGGACCAAACTGGCATGATCAACGATGCTTTGAGCAAAAGACAGCGACGCCTAACAAGCACAAGACTTTCTTGCGGGGGCTATCGATACATCAATCCCACGATCACGATTAGCAATAGTGCGACAACTATCAAGCTGATTGCCATATATCTCACAAGTCATCAGACAACCAAGTTCAACCTCAGGCGGCAAATGGTAGTCAAGGAGAAGCTGGATAACAAATCTTTTTGAAGATCGCACAAGTCTTGAACCAACGTGGACGACCATGTTTCAGTCTCTTTCTATCACTCAAGTCAACGGACATGGTCAATTTCACCATCCATCTTCAAGCGCGAAAGCAGAAGGACTCGGCCATGGAGGAGGCACATAGGGTTTGGCGGCCCTTATGTGAGGCTGCAGTTACCAGGAGCAAGCAAGCGAGCAAGTTTGAATGCGACAAACAATGGATTGACCCAAAGTGTACCAAGTTGGTCAACAATAAGCGACGGAGCACCCCCTTTCAACATTGGATACAGCAAGAACCCATCTGACTGACTACACCATGTCAAGGCCCATCCACAAGCAACAAGCGATGAAGAAACAAGAAAATTGAGGAGCACACACGGTACGACCATCCTGGTGAGCCACCATCAATAATCAACACCGCAACAAAATGCATGGAAACGTTTATCTACGTGACTACCTACCACCTACGACTCGATGGCGGCGGCAACAAGTGGCAGTAACCACCAAGCGCTGGAGCAGCAGCACGCACAGCCATACAAGCAATTAGCCCGATTCCGAAGATACCAGCTGTCAACACACGGAAAAATTTAAACACATGTCATTTGGGTCTTCTAGTGGCTGGTGGCAACAAATGACAAGCCTACAGATATAGCGTTGGACACGCAGCACACACAACAAGCCAGGGAGATCGCTCGTATCAAACCAACTTATTTTGTGCTGAGACGATCCACAAACTCAACAGTCATTGGGTTTTTTGGCGGCAACCCATCGAGGACAAACACCAACATTGCTAAGCAAGCAGCATATCCAATAATTGCGGTCATCATCGAATCCAGCAACACGGACAATCGATCCAGCTATCCTTAATAATTAAGACAAGCGGTACACGCAATGGTCACGGTTTTCAGCAGTTCCCAAGCCAAGCAGCAGCAGCAGCAGCAGCAGCAGCGCCGAGGCTATCGCTATCAAGACCCACAAAAACCATACAATGTCAACACGGTGACAAGAAGCTGTCATGCTCTTATCAATGATCGAGGCATATGCGTGCTCAAGAGCTACTGCTCGATCATGCACAGCTGTCGAACTGGATGTTATCAAACGATTCATTCTGGATCCCAAACCGACAAGACTAATGGCCGCCGTGTGCGTTGGACGTGTGAAACCGCTATTATACGCGATCAAAAATGTTTGAATTCTGCAGATAATGTGGTAGGTTAAGATTAAGGAAGCGCTGTTACTATGTGACGAGTATACTAACTATAACACACTTTAACAAAATAGACAGAACCTTTGCCTTCGAAAATATCATCCATTTGGTCTTTCTGTCACAAGAACCTACAATCCATATTTTCCCAATTTCTATTTCTTTCTTTCTTTCGTTGTTTTATCACACATGTTCTGTTTTTCAGCTCCAAGTCGTCCCCTCATTGAGTGGTAAGTGTAACAAATGATTGGAAAAACTAATAGTGTATGTTTTTAGTAGTTTATAAAAAAATACCCGTTTGTAAATCAACACAACACCTCGACGGCACACGCGGGATGCATCGGCACGAAAGCTTCTTTTCACTTTTCAAAATACTCTCACGACGAATCTATCTCCTGACGAACACACTGTCAAGACCTTACAAGATCATCCAAGATATCCAAACTAAATCACAACCTGCTGTCGGCTTAGCTTATCAAAGCTAACAGCGCAGAAGAGCTCACCAAAAAAGCATATATGCCAGGTAATGATAAGAAGATCATGCTTTGCTACTGTGCATGCAGCAGGCCTTTATCGAATCAAATATGTCTAACGTTGTTTACCTGTATCTACACATAGAGTCGTTGGTTCCTGTTGCCACAGAGGCGCAAAGAATCGTAAAGTCATAAAAACGAGCTCGCAATAAGCAAAAACAAAATGGGTCATCCGTCAGGCATGTAAAAATAGAGCTTTACATACGAGTGACACTAACACTAATATTATGTTTACTTTTTCACACTGACAGGAGCTCTACGCGAAGATATATTACCTGCACACTCAAAAAAACAAAACAAAGCAAGCTGGTCATTGGTATCTCCTTGCATCGGCGATGACGAAGGTTATCAAGCTATCAATGAATCATTCACAGTGCGACTTCCGTACACATAATCAACTACCATCCAACATGCCTACGACCGTCATCCTTTGATACAACCGTGTGTGCCGTCCGATACCATACCACTTCCTCATATATCATGAAGAGAAAAAAATACAGAAAAAAAGAGAAAAGAAAAAAAAAGAAGAGAATCATATAATGAAAAAAAAATACAAAAAAAAAAGAGAAGTTAAAATTATACTAATCCATTCTGTTTGTAGCACAAATCACCGGTGAGGGCAATGACATTGGACTTTTTTATATTTGATACTACATATCACAGTGTAAAGTCGATTACATAGCATATGCTTCTCCATTTTCCTCAGAAATATAATAAATATTTGGTACATGTATATACTCGATGCTTTTTAGTCAATGAAAAGAAAGGGTGGCTAATTGGATATACTATGTTGCAAGTCGAAAGTGGTGATCGTGGTAGGACACATGGGTATGCCGCTCAAGATATCCTCCCTCGTCCTTTATATTTATCCTATACTCCTCTTCCAATCGAATCACAATGACTGGCAAATTACCTGATGGATGTTGCCGCTAATGTCAATTTCACCAATAATAAAGATAAAATAATGTTTGAACTGCTCAAAATATAATATGGGTGGGGCTGTGTTGGCTAATCAAGAATTACTGTAAAAGCTGCATGAAACACTTTGGCGTTTGTAACGATGCGATCCTTTCCCACTTCTTTGCTGTTCGTTTTGACACGGTCGTAGTCTTCTCCCAAAAATAAGGAGTGGGGAAACTTAAAAAATAAAACATAGCGATTTGCCACATTGTTATGGAAACTAAGTTGTAACTGTATAATACTGTCATAAGGATTGTCGCTTATTACCCATCTTTTTGATGTAGCTGGACGCCCAACAAATGAGTTCAACGGCGTTTCGTATTTTGCAATGCGTTAATTAAAGTGATATCCATGCTTCTCTATATCGCTCACACACCAGACAAAGCACCCCTGTTTGAAATTGTGAATGAATTTGAATGCTTGGCATTAAACGACCTTCTGGATGCTTGCTAGAGCAATAAGTTGCGTTCTTGTTACCTATTCACAAATAGATATGTATGGGTCCACCAAGTCAAGACAGCTAATGGCTTGTGTTGCTTAAAGAGAGAGTCAGTAAAACCAAGAAACGAAGAGTGAATAGCTCATATGTAATTTGACAAATGATACAGTTTCTGACAGCCCAAAGGAATAAGTTGGATTAATCACAAATGCATAATTATGTCTTAAATACAATAAGTCGAAACTGTAAGCTATGCATCAGCACTGGTACTAATGGCTCTTTTTTGTATTCCAAATACGATGGAGAGTGGTAACGGCCAGGTCCAACGCGGTGATGGCGGCACGGCATTCGAAAAATGGCATGTCAAAAAATCCATGCAGTGTACCTAGAATGCGAGTCGCCGTAACATCCACGCCTGCTGCTAACAATTTACGAGCATACGCTTCTCCTTCATCCACAAGCACGTCCGCTTCGCACGTTATGACAAGTGCAGGAGTTAGACCCCGTAATTCTTCCAAGGAAGCTTTGAGTGGCGCCACAGTAGGAATTTCTCGTCGACTTGCCACATCATCAGGCACATAATGATTCCAAAACCATTGCATCATTTCTCGCGTCAAATCATAACCTTCTCCAAACCTGTTGTATGAATCTGTATCAAAATTTGTATCTGTGGCTGGATAAAATAAGATTTGCCCGCGGATACCGGTGAATTGGCGCTGTTTGGCCAGAACTAAATAAACATGCATTGCAATTTCAGAAAATACATGTCAGATTTGTTAAGCATGTGCATACAATTTTTTGTTGAGCGAACAAACATTGAGCTTACTTGTTATGGCTGTAGCCAAGGTGGCCCCTGCAGAATCGCCAGCGACAACTAGTTTACTCGGGTCGACATGTATGGACCGAGCGTTGGCTTCATTTGCTGTCCAAATGACGGTATCGTAGCATTCTTCGAGTGCCACCGGATACTTGTGCTCGGGGGCCAAGCTGTAATGTACAAAAATGACAGCAGCATGTGCAGCAACAGCGAGCTAAGTATTGACAAGGTTTGTTTCAAGTACATCATATGTAGATAAGTATCTTCTTTAATGTTAAACGCTGCGTAGCACAGCTTTCCAAATGGAAGAAAGAAGTTCATTATCTGCTGTTTTACCTCGGTCCTGGGGCGTAAATGCGTCACTTCATCACCGATCACCCATCCACCACCGTGTCTAATACGAGCAGATAATTGAACTTGAGTTACGCATAGTCTGTTTTGTATCGATAGTAGAAAAAAAAGAAAGGGGTGGATAGATGGTGGGGGTGTAGACCATTACATCTTATGTAAAAACAAAAAACTTACAAGTAAATAATGACAGGTAAAGTCACCTTTTGAGTACCTGGGGGTCGCGTCATTCTCAGTTGAATAGGTGGGCCATTACCAGTACTATTGGGAATGGTCCATGTCTGCTCGATCACCGGAGGCAATCGCTGAATCCACTTGGGATTCGAGGAAGCACTTGAGAAAATTTCTCGTAGCGCTTCAGGTGTCAGAACAAAGTCAGGGGGAAGCTGCTGGTGCTCGAGGGCTTCTTGGAAGCATGGCTCAAGTTGAACGTTGTGATAATGGTGATGCTGACTAGTCATAGGATTCTCGCTATTATGGTTATTCGTAGTATGTGTCAAAGTAATGGAGAGGCACTGTGAAGGCGATATCTAAAGAAGGGGACGTGTGTGGGAAAAACCGAATTTCTTGTGTGCTATGGCATCCATAGTCCTTTCGTTAGAAGTGAGGCGCAGCTTTCATGACATTTTGCGCTGGAAAATGCACCGCAGCAGAAGCGGGCCCCCTTGTTCTATTTCCATTACTGATAATGGTATGAGCACGGACCACGCACCGTACCTCGTTTCTTCCCATTGTTTATACTCGAAGGATGTAAAGGGGAAAAGCGTAGCGTGCTATCAACGGGCATCTCTGGATCAATTCTTGAAATTACCAAACTCTCTAGACTTGTTGTGTGCGTATTTTACTATTACCAACGTTTTACATGATATAGCATCATTGATCATACTTTATGTGCTACACCTTTGGTATAAAAAGGCATACCGTCATTTCATTTATATCAAAAATATATAATATATTCGAGTTTTACAGGAAAAATTTTGTTTTTTAAAGGGAAAAAAATAACACGAAAAGAAAGAAATCGGTTGGTTGGGGGATAGTAAAATACAACGAGGATATAAAAATGTGGTGACCCGTAAATTTTCTTTGTAAAAGATACACAGTTTGTATATGTAGTGGTTCAAAAAAGAAAAGAGATAAATAGCACTAAGTAGGTTCAATACAACAAAAATAGAAAGAAAAAAAGTTACAAATGGAGGCAATTATGTAAAGAGAATAAGAGAGAGAGAGATATCCTTGTGTTCGTGCGCCTAGATAAAAGGCATTTCGTCTCTTTAAGCGTAAGGGTTGTCGCCCAAAATGCGGATAAGAGGTGGAGTCTTGATCATCTCAACAGTAACAAGAACTTGGATCTTGTCCAATGCTTGGATCGTCTGTGTGCCTTGGTCGGTACTGTAGCCCGTACTGTCAGACAGACGGGCATGGAGCATGGATGCACGCTTCGACACTGAAGGTGAGGGGGTGATCGATACAGGCTGGGTATTATTGTTGATTGCCTGCTGCTGTTGCTGCTGAGTAGCATCGCTACCGTTTGGTGTTGGTGTAGATGCTGTAGATGTGGTAGTAGTAGTAGTAGTAGTGCCGTTCGACGTCGTCGTTGCTGCTGCTGCTGCTTCTGATGATGACGATGCAGATGAGGGGACAGCAGTTGAGGGAGGCGAGCCACCTTCCCGCATTTCTTCCAACAAGGCATCTTCATCCAAATCATCATCTTCGTCGTCGGACAAGCTCCAATGACGCTGCTTGCCAGTGGTGGTATCCATTCCCTTCTTCCAAAACATGGTCAATTGACGCTTCTGAGCATCATAGTTGGCGCGCCAGACGGGCAAGTTGGCCAGATGGATACGACGCTCGAGATTGACGCTTGGGATCATGACATCAAAGTACTGGTCTGAGACGGCCACGACAATAGCCTCCTTGCGAACAACAATGAGATCGCCATTCACAGCGTCGGGCTTGTGGACACCGCGCTTGCTCAAGTAGACGGCCAAGAACAGCATGTGGCTCTGATCGCGGGCATAGAGCGCAGCTTCTTTCTTGACATTGGTGTGCTGGGCCAGTTTCTGGACAGTGTCGCGGTCGAGGTAGAAGCGCTTCTCGCCAGTCAATGCAGTTTCGAGCTGGCGATGGACAATCAAGTCGGTGAAGCGGCGGGAAGGGGAAGTAAAGTGGGTAAAGAGGGGCACATTGAGTGCGTAGTGGGAGTACTTCATAATATCCAGGGTGCCGGTACAGAAGTACTTTGGTGGTTGGAGCGTCTTGAGTACAATAATAGACATGATCTTACGGAGGTGAGGGTCTTGAATCGACTCGATCGTTCTTTCAATGGCTTTAGCAGATGAAATGTCGATTGGCACGCCCAAGTGCTTGGTTGCATATTCTTGCAATTCGCGCTATATAAGACACTGTTTAGTTTGCTGTGTCCTTCTTTTGCTCGCAATAACTGGTTAACTTACAATCTTGCGTTCGTTGGGCGGTGCATGGCGTCTCAACAGCGCCTGTTCAGGGAACTGGCTGGAGATCTTTTGAGCAACGCTTTGGTTGGCAAGCAACAAGAGTTCCTCAGAGATGATGGTAGTGTGGTCCTTGGCCTTGATACCGATGGACAATGGCTCACGCTGCTCGCTAAAGACAAAGTCCAATTCATCGCGCATTTGGGCCATACCGCCAGCGTGACGACGAGCCTCGTTGAGCTGTTGAGTAATGGCATAGAGCATGCGGATATCCTGCTCCACACCTGTACGGATATCGTCTTCAGCAATCGATGCAATCACTTGGTTGTCGATTACCTTTTGAGCATCCTCGTACGACACCTTGGCACAAGACCTGTTTTCAACAACATTATAATGTCAACACGGCTGATTTCCATTACTTGAAAGAACAAAGGTAAAAAGAAAAGGTAGTAGCATACTTGACGATGGTCTTGCCAAACCAAGTGTCGAGCACCTTGCCAGCAGAGCTGAGCTTCCACACGACGGAGAAAGTAAGTCTAGATGATGATAGGAAAGTGTGAATGTCAGAAGATCTCTCCAAAGACATTGTAACAGCGTGCGTGTGATCGTGATGATCTACCTTGGCTCGTTGGGAATCAGGTTGGTAATTTGTTCAGTCAGTTCGCGGGGAAGAATAGGAACAGACTTGTGAACCAGTTCGACACGCACAGCACGCGCACGGGCCTCCTTGTCTAAAGGCGAATGTGCCTTGATGAAATGGGTCACGTCGCTTACGTGGACACCCACTTCGTATGTATCGTCGCCCAGCTTTTGAATGGAGAAGGCGTTATCGAGCACTAAGAGAATCCAAAACGAGTTAGAGTTCATATCCGACGACGCTACAGAAATTTTAATTACACACACGCTTGGCAAAACCCCATCCCCTACTTACCCTCGGCATTTGCAGCTTCCAAAGTGAACACTCTCACATCCTTCATCTCACGACGCTTCTCCAAGGTCTCTGCTTCGATCTGGTACGGAATCGCAGGCAAGCAGCCGTTGACTGCTTCAGAAAACTCGGTGTCGGTCACGTTGTTGTCGGCAAGAATGGCCTTGGTCTGGATATCCAAGTCCTCGATAGCGCCGAGTTCGCGCTCCAAGGTACCGAATGGATGCAACGATGTGATAGGCCATCGTTTAATGGAGCCCTAAATTTAGGAGATATCAGCTTTTACCAATTCCCACCGGTCTTCTTCTTACTTGTCAGTTCAACCCTAAGCACCCAGCCCCGAAATCCAGCTTGATTCATTACCACAAACAGACGGTTTGAATAGGTCTCGCTGCTGTCAACAAAGTCGGCCGGTGCCTGTTCGATGGGAATGGCAATCAAGGGCACGCGCTTGTCGGTAGCCTTGAACCAGACAATGCGGGGTGCTTCCCTGATAGGCGTCTGGCCTGTTTCTGCCTTTTGGGCTTCCTCGGCAGCTTTTTCCTCCTGGGCGCGCTTGTTGTTGGGGCGCATGAGTGTGAGCGTGCTAGAAAAGGCAATTTAATTTCTGCATTCAACATCGTGTGTGTGTGTGTGTGTGTGTGTGTGTGTGCGGGATGATATGCTTATGATCCGCAACTTACCCAGAAAACACTTGGTTCTGCGCACGTTCAAGGATGGCCACGACGACACCGCAGTACTTTGGCTTGACCGTGTCAACGTCGTCGTCGCCGCCAAAAATGATCTCATTTTCATCTTCTTCGTCAGGTTGGCGCATCTTGACCTGTCCACCGTTGCGAGCCAGCTTGGCTTCCTCCTTCTCCTTCTTCTCGCGAAGCACCTTTTCAACATCGACGAGACGGATGGCAACAACATCGCCCTCCAATGCACGGTTACGGTCGCGCGAGCCACACACATAGATATCAGCATCCAGATCTTCACACGAGACATAGGCGTCGCTGCGGTTGCGCTTGTTGACACGCAGCATGCCACGCACCAGCTGACGGGCACGAAATAAGGGCGTCAGGGCAGAGAATGGAAGGTGTGCAATGAACAATGGGCGTCGTTGGTGCGGGTTGGCGTCGTCCCGAGCAAAGTTGACACGGGTTGGGGTGAATGGCACCAAGTTGAATGAGTTGCGATAGGTCGACGAACGAGGCGAGTAGGGCAGACCGGGTGATGGAGCGCCTTTATTTGGCAACAACAATGAAAATAAAGAGCCCATGTCAGGAACCACTGTACTAACTCCAACAAATTCCCCCTCCCCCTGTACCGATCTCTCTCAACCCCACCCAACCCCCGCGCTTTAAATGAAAGCTTACTGTTTCTCCAATCATCCGTAAAGTTGCGCGAAGATCGTCGGTTGTGGCCCATGGCCTTGTTGGTATCGTTGCCGAGATTGAGGGGCTTGTTAAAAGTGATGCGACGGTTGGCTCTTTCACCAGCAGGCTCATTCTCATTCAACGTAGGCAACTGCAAAGAAACACGCTTACTGGCGCTCGTGCTGGCAGTGACATTGAGATCGAATCCTCCGTTGCCACTGCCGGACGACTCGGAATAACGGCGACCGGCAGGTCTTTCGCTCAGTGTGGTAGAGCTACGGGACGATTGTCTTCTGGAATTGGGCACAGACTGTGAGGCATCAATTTCATTCATCATTTCGGGCTGTTTTTTGTAGGTTCCCATAAGCTTAGCCTCTGCCTCTGCCAATGCTGCCTCGCGTGAAACAAAGCTGCTAGTGTCCTCATCCTGCTCGCTGATGCTGCTGGCACGCATGCGCATGGCACTGCTGCGACGACGATCGGCCTTTTCCTCGGCCGAGGGGATGGGTAGAACCGACTGGATATCAATTCCTCCGTTGCTGCTGTTACGATAGCTGGTGTTGCTGCTGCTGCTCGTCGAACCGTTGTACGACAGGCGTCTAGCGCCTTGCGGAAGTCCGAAATTATTAAGTGATTGATGCTTCCGACTGTTTCTACGACTTCCAGGTGTGTTGCTCTCGTCCCTGCTGCCGTTACTGTTGATGTTGCTGCTGCTGCTGTTGCTGATGGCAGCGGCAATGGCCGATGTGCTGCTGGATGGCAGTGTTTTAAGGGTATTGATCATGTCCTGGAGTGAATCAACAGTGATGGCTTGGTCGTCCTGTTGTTGTTGTTGCTGCTGCTGTTGCTGCCTTCTCCTCTGGTAACCATCCTCCTCCTCCGCCAAGGTATGTAACCCAAAGTTTGTATTCCGACGGCTACCGTTCTGATTGGGCAGCATATCGGACGTGATAGCGGACTTGCTACGCTGATGGCCACGTTGGTGGTGGTTGTGGTTGTGTGCTTGTTGCTGTTGTCTCGACCGAGCATTGTCGACCGGGCCAAGGACGTGAAACGAACGACGCTTATCGGCACTCTGAGTCGACATGGGTGGCGGTGGCTAATAGTGCGTTGTTGTTGTTGTTGTTGTTGTGTTGTCCACGTATATGTGATTGTGTATACCCATTGAGGATAATTGAGGATTCCGTCAATGTGTGGAGCAGAGAGTATATATGGGGATTGGGGAGGTTGCGGAAATGAGTTACATTGTTGCTTCCCCGAGAAAAACCATACAAAAAGGTGCTATCGTATTGAAAAGGAGAGAAGGATAGAAAAAACTTACGTTCTGTTCTGGAGGGTCAAACAGACCGCGGGTGCTCTCTGGGGCCGTTTGGTGTTCCAGAGTTTCGAGGTCGTGTTCCATGACTTTTCAACGAAACTGTGGTGAGTAGGTAAGTGAGTGAGTGAGTGAGTGTTGTTGGTTTTTCAAGCGGAAGAAAGGAACGACCGAAAAAAGAGATAATAAATGGCGGAAGAGGAAAATAAAAGAGAAACGACGGTCTTTTTAAAGAGAGAAAGAAAGAGAGAGAGAGAGAGGATGAATGAATGTGTTGTGCCGTGCGTGTATTGGCAGTGAAATAAAAAGAAAAGCGGGACGAAAAGAGTAACTGAAAACGAGGTGACTTTCATAGTATGGGTCTGCTCTTGTTTGGATTACACAAGAAAAGGTTATTTACCGCAAAACCTTGGTTTTTTTTTTTGTGCTCTTTGTGTTCTTCACAAGGCTGCACAAAGACAAAGGGTTTCAACTTGCATTGAAGACCGGATTCCACTCTCAAGAAGACTTGAAGACCAAGTTGACGATGATCTTGGAGGAAAAGAAGAGAGAGAGAGAGAGAGAGAGAGCTACTACTCGCATGATTGTTGCTATATATGCACAACCAGAGTGCTTCTCGATATAAGCTGCTGATGAAACATGCAGTCAGAGCTGGTATATCATAGCCTAGTTTTTTGTATTTCCGCATCCTTGCATATAATCTATTTTAACGCACACACAGACAGCGCAGACAACAGGGTGGTACGACCATTTTACATGTTGGCTAATACGTTATACAGTGCTTCCAATAAGTGATGTCGCAGCCTATCAAAATTGATATCGCTTTGTGAGTTATATTTAAAAAGTCGTCAGCCTATCAGAACCAAATTCGCGCGTACAGAAATGGGAAGTCTTATTTTTAGTATTTGAAGATGGGCATGAAAATGGCGTTGATGAGAATGAATTTATTGTCGAGACGATTGCAACTCATACTGGATACTTGAGAGATGCAACCCAACAGTGAATCGTCTTTGAGTTGTCCAATGTTGATAGAAAGGCCAAAAGAGGAAGATGTCCGTATAAAGGAAGCAAATACTAAAAGAGATTATGTGCGCTACACTGTCGAGTGCAGCAGCAGCAGTAGCAGCAGCAAAGCAGTCGGGGATTCACACTCGAACTGCTCAGAGCAATATAATACGTTCCCTGATAGTATTTTCTTGAAAGTTGTGAAAAAGTGGGTGTTGGGTGTATTTTGACGGAAGAGCATAATATGACTGTTATCAATTTCATCGATGCTAATATCCTTCTGCTACTGTTGTTGAAACGATTCACTCATCTCAAGGTTTCACGCAGCACTGTTTATAACTTCATGAGATGTGAGTGCAACCTTGCAACCTTCTCCTGAGCTTAATCCAATAGAACAATTCTGGGCGGTGGCGAAGAGTAAGGTTAAGCGTCATGGTTTTGGCAATAAGACACTTTATCAAAAAAAAAATTACGGAAGCATGTGAAAGTGTGGATAAAAGTCACTCCAAAGGGTTCGTTTCGCATTCTTACAAGTGTTGGAATGTAAATGCCCAAAACAAGGACCCCATGTAACGGCTGTAACGGCTTCAAGAACAATATATAATGCAGTGATAAAGAAAAGTTAAACGAACAGGGTATACATTTTTAGTATCCACGCGTTACAAATGTGAACAAATGTAGAACTTTGGCGGCAATGCACAGTTGTATCAAAGTTTGAGCAGGAATGGCATCTAATGCACGTGGTCACAGATGACTTTTAAAGCAAATATTGCCAAATGTTCTCCGGAAAGTAAAGAAAGCTGTGTTGGCATATATATATATATATATATTAATTTGGAGAGGCATAGGCTGAGATATTCTGCTAGCAATGGTATTTTGGTATAATTCGATACATGGGGTTAATATTAATTATGTCGACGTTTGAGATGGCATGGTCGCTTTCGATCTTTTGATACATATCAAGGTACGGTGGGTGTCTTGCGATCAATGATAATCTATGGGTCATTGGAGCGCACACACAGACGATCAAAGACGTTCATTACAAACAAGATATTCGATACAGCCACTACAAGATGCGGTAGACTCTGCCGACTGTCCGGAATCTTGACTTTTTGCCAGTTGTAGCAACGTGGAAATGCCTTCTGCAGGCAGTAGCAGAACGTGGGAAATTAGAGTTCTGGCCTCTTTGGAGACAGTTGGGGGTTCAGCAGTAAAATGGATGTCGCTGCCCAATACCACATGCACATGATCTTCGAGAAACACTTGCCACTTAGTACTGCTTGAGGGAGCTTTGCATTTTGTTACAAAGCTTCAAAGGTATCAAAATTGCCGGCCATCAAATGCTTACCAAGTGGAGGACCAAAAAGGAAAAATCAAGAGTGAGCAGTTCATCGTGCTGAGAGCGCTTGACAAAAGTGCCACCCTGCTGAAGGTTGTTGGGTTATTAATGGCGGTGCCACCGTCGTTATCAACGGTCGCATCATTGCTGTTTGTTTCCAAGTGTCATCTTGTGGTTGACCATTAGCGGAGGCAGGATTTCCGTTGTTGGACTCTCTTGGGGGGGGGAAGAAGAAACATCGTCATGATGTGGTCAGTAGGGTTCCGCACGAGACGAATCCCACCGATTCTATGAGGGAATCGAATTGGTGTTGTCCAAGTAAAGGAATCGAATCGAATCGTCTCGGTAAGAATCGGTAGAATCGAAGAATCGAATCGGATCTTCAACAACAGTCAATATGTAACTAAATAGGGCGTAAGCAAAGAAGTGCGCGGGAACGCGATGCGCAGTCGTTTATATATGCACAAAACCGGGGTCAACTATTGAAGCGATAGAACCAAGCAATTTTCCGTTCACATCCTCCAAACATTAATGCACATTTTCCTCTCCTTCAAAGTCTGGGCTCAGAGTGCTTCTAAAAAAATTGAGTCATTAAAGAGAGACGCGGCAATGTTTCGGACGACACGGGCGGTCTTTATAAAATGGACACCGCATTTTAACAGGAATGGAAGTATGAAATGATGTTATTCATACCAAGTACAGTGACAACCGCTTTCACAACTGTGAGTATGATATCAGGAAAATAGCATCAATCGTTAATGGCGGATCAAAGAACATGTTTTTTTGATAATGGTGTATACAACAATAATACCCATTTTTGAGGATTACTACACGAGCTGCAAGATTGGAAGCGTCGTGACCATCACAGGGAACATACAATACAGTATACATCATTTTTGTAACATATATGGATGTTGCTTGAGCTTTAAACAATATTGTACAGTAAGGACGATCAAGTTTGTACATCTCGATGATGCCTGTTCTTTGCACTTGGTTATTTGATTAGTACCTTGACAGTTGTATTGATTCCCTTGAAAACAATATGTATTATCTCAGAAAGCATTCCTGTCTTACCATGATACTCGGTTTTACACGTAAGCATCAATATACGTCGACATTCTTTCTTCGAGCCACTGTCTTTTGCACTACACGGTTTTGCCTCGGCCTTAAGTAAGGGTACATCTTGGCAACGGCACCATTGACCAGGCTTTGTGAGGTCCAGCCTATCGCTGCGAGAAGGCGATGTACTAAGGACTTGATGATTGTAGATACGGATATTGAAGCACTGCGGTACACAATGCGTGCGTCGTTATCTGGATCCTCCAGGAGTAATGTATGACCATATCCAGCGTTTCAACGAATTACACGTCGGAAAAGGTGTTCACATCATTGAGGTCGTCTACATCCGAATTTGTGCTAGATGTGTCAGAAAAATCGTCTTCAAGACACTATTTATACGTGATTGGTTATTTTGCTTTTTGACAACGCAGACAGCGTTGGACGCGAGAGAGATTTTCCATTGGCCAAGAATATCAGTCATATTACGGCTCGGTAGGGTGATCAAGATGTAGGGTATATAGCCTTATAAGCTAGTAACAAGTAAAATATCTTATTTTTGTTATGTCATGAGTTACTACTATCACTACTAATGACGGCGCTGTAGGTTATACTATATAGTATGAGTAGCATGAATATTGCTTGCTGCGGTTTGATTCGTCACTTATTCTAGGTAAAGTGTTATACCCATCCCCTTTGTTCTTTCATTCCATCAGCTTATATAAACTGTATGTACTTTGATCGCAAGTTCCGTAAGCTTAATGTTTATTTGTAACTATAGCTTCTGACCTTTGTGTACAATTTTATAACTATGATATAGATGGAATTTGTCTGTTTTCAATTAAGTCTTTCCGAAAGGATGCATGCAAGTCTGATTCGCGAATCTTTCATTTTTCTCTTAACGCAGATTCACTCCAAACCATCTTCACCATCCCGCTCCAAAAAGCAAAATAAGAAAGCTTATTTTCATTCTTTAAGATTCCAACACATCATCACATCCCTATTTTTCCCCAGCTCAAATTGTACTTACGTGATACAGTGAATCCCAGCTTTTTTCAACCATACTTATTTCAATACCCTAACTCTAGGTTAAAGTCGTAAACTTGATAAATGTTTTCAATACACCCCTCACTACTTTTCCATTACAAGACGAGCATTTAAGAATTGAGTTTTTTCTACTTTAAGTGAGTAACGACAAAGTATATATGTGCTGTCCATACTGTTCTTTTTTCCGGTAATCTTTTATAGTGTTCAATGATGTTACTGCATTGTATCGACAGTATGTTTTGTATAATGGGCTGGGTTTGACATCAGGGGTTACCTTTTCTTAATCAAAACATATTTTTCAATGAATGCATTATGTACTTGTCCTATAAAACAGAGAACATATGTTGTTATGAAAATCGATTACAGTAGTAGATCGTATATGAGAGAACCTCATAAGATTGCTTAACTTTTGTGCTGCTTCCTTCACGGAAATAAAACGAGACTTTTTCTTTTTTCAAAATTGCTCAAGAATGGCAGCCTTGTATCATAGAAATAAGCGAGGATTCACAGTGGATCAGTATTCTGTCATTATTCCCCAGAACACATACTGTACAAAGCCACTTTCACTCTCTATACTAGTTTTGTTTGGTGAGAAGAAAATCTCACATACACAAGATAGTCTCTCAAGCTTGATGTGCTTCCCTCTCCCGCGCTTATATCAAATAAAAAAAGGTTGGATCAAGTCTACTGTCGATCTTTTTAAACTTGATACATATCTACAAAACAAGACCGATCGTCAGTGTTACTCGTCCTATCTAAATCATACATCCCAAGCACCGCTTTCTAATAACATCCGCAAAACCCTTTACCTATAAGATCCAAAGTGAAAGAGCTGACGACGAGTGAGCATACATATTACTACGATTAGTTCAAGTGGATGTTCGAGTTGGAGAACAAGATAGATAGAAATAGAGTTTTATGTGCGCTTAAATAATGCAAACTGTGTGAAACATACTAATGAGATTTTGTACTCGTTAAACCAATCTCATATCATGCTTTAATCATGCTGATACAGTAATACCATGATAACATAACTCCTATAGCAACAGCAGTGGTTTAATACACAGAGTAGATATTTTATCATAGAATTAAAAGTATACATGATATTATCTTACATATTATAATTACAAGTGGGAAACTAATGCTTGAAAGTACTCCTGACAGTGGACGAAGTACTCGAGCTGATTCCTTCGCGTCTAAATTTGAGGAACGTAGCCGACAATCTCGAAGATTACAGCCTCGACGCGTATGTGCAACTTGACGACGATATGTTGGCGTTGTCAGATTCGCAACTTGTGATCAACATCCGGGATTGTATCCAGGCTGTTGACGGATACCATTACTACGAAGCATACCGAACAGAACCACGAAGAAAGTTCGGCTATTCTTTCCTTTTTCGATGCTCGCAAGATTTCCATGTGCAGGATCAAGCAGCCGTTCGTTTACAATTGTATCGGCGTATGCCAACTTTCTTGTGCAATGGCCGCATCAGTGGCATGGTCGGTAGAGTGAATGGTTACTTCCACTTGAACATCGAACACTCCTGTGGGCATGAGGCTGCACCTGCCGTCGAAAATAACGCCGTCCCGCAAAATGTACGTGCATACATCGCTGCAAATGCCATCGACTTGGATGCACAACAGCTGCATCGTAACATTATCCGTCAGTTTCGACAAGAAGCGACAAGAATAACGCAGGGGCAAGTGTATTACTGTGAGTGCCAGTCAATCTAAGACCAATATACACTGCACGACACCAGTTCAGATCGGCAGAGACGCTCGTCGGCAGAGCCGCTGACAAGGGTGTCCGTAAGGTATGTCAAAATGTCCTAAATAAATACTAATACATGCGAGGATAGTGTATATGTTCACTTCGATGCGTTGAGAAATAGACAAGAACCATTAATATAGAATCAATAAAATTCAATAACCATTAAACAGATTTTCACCTCAGCACAAAACAGTAAGCATTTAAAGATGAGTGGTTATATCAGTAGTTGCACATGTCATGTTACGAAATTAGACAGATACAGAGAAGATATCAGCATGGACACTGCAAGAGAATGAATTTTGATATAAAAAGATGGAAAGTTGCTTGGGGCGCGCAAGCTTTCCATGCAGGATTAATTAAATATAACAACTAATGATGCTAACCGTCCAGGGATGGAAGGCTCCATAAAAAAATCATTTGATACATAGTGCAGAAGTTGAGATAATATAACAGAAAAGGCTACAGTACATAGCGTGCTATTTTATAAAGTGCGCGTGCGGACATGGCAGTGGATATTTATCAATAGAGCTTGATTAGCAGTGTATTCTGGAAAACGGATTTTGGTTCAGTTACATGATTAACCGCTCGGAGAAATTAATTTCCGAAATCCGTTTCCGTGATTTTTTTGAAACGGCTAGGTAGGCGTTAAGTACTGTGCCGTTGCACGGAATAAAGCCCGTTATAAATTAAGCGATGTGCCGTTGTAGAAAATATCAAGCCCTGTTGTGGATTAAGCACTGTGCCGTTGCACGGAGTAAAGCCCGTTATGAATTAAGCATTGTGCCATTATGAAAAACCCAAGCTCCGTTATAAATTAAGCAGTGTGCCGTTGTAGAAAATATCAAGCCCTGTTGTGGATTAAGTACTGTGCCGTTGCATGGAGTAAAGCCTGTTATGAATTAGGCACTATGCCGTTATGAAAAACCTAAGCTCCGTTATGAATTAAGCACTGTGCCGTTGCACGGAGTAAAGCCCGTTATGAATTAGGCACTGTGCCGTTATGAAAAACCTAAGCTCCGTTATAAATTAAGCAGTGTGCCGTTGTAGAAAATATCAGGCCCCGTTGTGGATTAAGCACTGTGCCGTTGCACGGAGTAAAGCCCATTATGAATTAGGCACTGTGCCGTTATGAAAAACTCTAGGCCCGTTATGAATTAGGCACTGTGCCGCTATGAAAACACAAGGCCCGTTATGAATTAAGTACTGTGCTGTTGTAGTCTTCACAGCCGAGGTCGCAGACCGACGGCTTACTATTATTATTCG